AAAATCTAAATGATTAATAAATATTAATAATTATAAAAGTAATGCTAAGTATAACTTAATGAAAACGATTTTATACATTACTTTGAGAGAAATACTTGCAGAAAATGCTTTATAAAAACAATGTATAAAGGATATGCTTTACGATTCAATACTTACATCACTTCATTACCACAACTATTGTATGCAATCAATGCAATGCCATAACAGTTGACAAACCGGTTTGACTGCAGGCCCACTGCACTCATGACTTTTATACCCCCTTTAAGATACTAATCATTATTATAAAGACACGAATACATCTAGCATTAAATGGACAATACACCTGTGCACTAATACATACCTGTGCTAACTAAGCTCTTAAATAAACATTTTTCTACAATTACTCAGACTTTTTACTAAAGTTTTCACTTCAAATATGAAATATTAAAATATCCAACAATTTATAGCATTAATATATATGAGCTTGTCAATATAGATAATATAAAATCATAATCATTATAATATAGACAACTACTAAAATATTATAAATATAACTATAGTTTTGAATTTATATAAAATAATAGACAATTTTTTTAGAAGAATATTTTAAATGTTATATCTATTGTAAATATAGAACCAAATTTGGAAAATAATTATATTTATTGGAAAAAATGTTTTAAAAAATTAAAATAAAGAATAAAACACAATTATCTATTAAATTAGTCACAACTATTGTACAACTATATACCCTTGRATATTATATAAGTATTCATATTTAACATTATAATCAACAATAATTAACAATTGTTTGCATAACAAAGGCACTTAACTATTGCTTTTTAATCTTAATAACATTTCAATGCTATTTTAAAACATTTAAATATTTTGACAAAATGTTGATTAATTTATATGAAAAATGCATTATATTGTATACAATGAAATTGAAAATTTTCATGTATCATAAAGTTGATATACACTACTAAGTAATTATATATATGTATATTTTAAACAAATTAAATACTATGCCATACTGCCATTGGGTTACAACATGTTAAAACTTACTAGTGTTAAAATTTTAAATTATATATCTATTTGACATATGTTTTTAAAATTATTTAACACTCACTTAATTTGCGATAAAATTTATAAGTAACTATGATTTAAATAGGAGGTAATAGATATTTATAAATGTTTAGTGATAGTAATCTCACAGTTAACTTTTTAATATAAGAAATTTAATTTTAGTCAATAAGGGGTGATTCATATATTACGTTCTCACTTGGGGAGGTTTGTCGACCAAAGCTAACTTTTGCAAACGAGGGGGAGGGGTAGAGACCTTAAGAACGTTCACATTTTAATATTTTATTTCTTATGGTTAGTGACATGCGAACGTAATTTTTTAAATGACTACATTAGAACAAATGACTACATGGGGGAGGAAGGGGTCTAGATTTCTTAAAATGTGCGAACGTAATATGTTAATCACCCCTAATCATAATACTAAAATTTACTTAAATTTAAGTATCATTTCATCTTCAATAAACTTTAAATTAAAATTGTCACATTGTAGTTAAATTTAATAGTTAATTATATTAATTTATTTTTAAATCAAATATTTTATAAAAACATGTTTTTAAGTCCCAATAAAACTGTTTTTAATCAGAAAATTGTTCAATTTTTTATAAATAAAAATTAAACATGTTGAATTTAAAAATTTAAAATTATTAAAAATGCATTCAAAGAAATTATAAGTATTGAATATAATAATTTTGTGTCATTTCATTAATTTATTTTCAAATTTAATATTAAATTATTGTCGGTTTTGTTGATTTTTGATGCTTTACAATGAAATGCCAGTCAATAGTCAAATGTATTGAATTGTTTTCAGTAAACGGAAATTTGTTACAAAAAATAAATAATAAATAAAATCTATTATATATTATTAAAAATATTTAATTCTTAAAATAAAAACTTTTTGGCAAATTGTAGTGTTTATATTGCTTTTGTATTAAAATTAAATGATAGTGAATTTTGATAGCAGTTTTGGCTTWTTATAAATAATATATACATGTAGTAGATATGCAAATGTCAGGGTCGGTCATACAATGCATTATGTGATTGTCATTCAATTGCTATACACAACACTACAGTCACATGAGTTTCTATAGTTAGACAACGTTAGTCATTCACAGCAATAAATACAGTATATATATATATATATATTGTATATATAGATAGCAATAAACACATTGATATCTGCAATGTTTTTGCCAAACAAACGGCTTATACAGTAATTATTTAATGTTATCTTTACTTTAAAATTTAGTTTTTCTTGTTTTGTTTGACTCAAAAGTGTTCATTTCAGCAAAAAAGTTAGAAATATGTTTAAAATTTAGAAAAAACTAAATTCACTCATTGCTATCCCTTTCAGTCTGTTTAATGAATTACTTATTTTTGCTATTTTTCATTGCCGTACGTCAGAGGGCGATGTACTGGTGCTAAACACTACTCAATACGACATCACTTTTGGACGAAATCAGTAAAAAGTATATAAAATACATCATTTTTACCAATAAATAAATTAATTATTACTGTTTTACTATTTAATTATATCAAATCGTTTTTTTAAATGATACTCTATATAAAAATACAATTAAACATATTTCAAGATAAATGATAAGTTTATAGACTTTGACACAAGTTTTTATTACTAAAATTGATAAATATGTATATAAAAAGTCGGTGTCTGACCGATAATATAGTAAAATATGTTTTATATCATTTTGATTACTTCATATCGATATAAATTGATGTGCATATGTATGTACAGTATATATGAATGCATATAATATTTTAATTTTCTAACATAACTTTTTATTTTATAATTCAAATGAAATGATATACAATAAAAATGGATATAAAGTGCACGAAACTCTTTTAAATTTTATTATCACTTAATACAAACATTAATGTATTTTGAATACAAGTGAAAAAATAAAACATTTTGGCTGAAAACGAAAAAAAGCATTTGTATGAATACACAACTCATACATAAGTTTTTAGTTAACAAATGGATGAGAAGGACTTTTGAAATAAAAATTGAGGCTCAGGGACGTTATATTGTATAATATTATAGTTTATAGTTAGTATTTTTAACTAGCCTTGAACATATAACATTTTAGTATTAGTATAGAAAGTCAACACTAGTGAACACCTCAACATTGAAAATATTTTTTAATAGCTTTGTAGTCAACTTTGTCGACATAGAAGAGAGAGAAAGAGTAGAAATGTGTATAAATGATAGTCATGTATATGATATACATGGCATACATTGAAAAAAAGTAGATACACTTGACTTGAGAGGCAATCTAAAGCACGATATAAGTAGATTTATTTGATACCATATTTTCGGTATACAATTATATTTATCAATATTTCGTACTACAAGTGTTCACTATTATTATTATTATTATTATTATTATTATTATTATTATTACAATAGAGTATGTCTTATGGTTATGATTGAGCTGCCATCACATCAAAGTGATGCCAATATGCCTGTCCTGGTTTAGTTGCCCACTTTTGGCACCACTTTTAATCTTTCATGCCTTTCCTCTATTGCCGTAAAGGTTGCACAACTAACTCAATACATAAGCACTAGTTTCTAGCACTATATGTCCTCAATCACTAACGACACCAATTAAATGTCATTAATATTATATAATATAAAATATATAAGAAAACAAATACTTTTTGATGATAGACTAGTCTTAAATCATATTAAGCTCTATAATCAAAACTTGTAATCAAACTCTACTTTCAAGGCTTGTTTAAACAACAAAATATAAAAAATTGTTTTAATCTATAGATTATTTAATATAAATAATATTATTGTCCAAAAGTAGGTATAGTTTAAAAACTAACTAAATAAATATTAAATAATAAAAAAATATAAATTATTAATAACAATGTTATTTTATACAAACAATAAAATAACTTTAGTTAGATTGTTATAAATTTTTGTTTTCCTTATAATGGCCAAAAAATCAAATATATAATAGTTTAAATATGAAATCGACAAATTCATTTTTTTATATTATTTGATATAAATTTAACATATCATTATTAGATTTAGTTATATTTTATAATATAATCTTATTTTATTGTCACTACAATTTTTATAATTGTTAACTTTTTTGTACATAATTAAAAATTACAAACAATATTATAAACAACAAATGTTATAAAAAACTATTTAAATATATAAATGATAGTAATAAATTATAACTTATTAAAAAAATAGTTTTGTAATCTGTATACAGTAAATAAATATTTAATAATATATTAAATAATACTTTTTATGCAAATTCATTATTAAAAATTAAATAATTTTAAATTTTAAAAATAAATATACATGATGTTGAAAAATATTTATTAACGTATTTCTATGGCATATATAAAGTAATGGCAAACATGAGGTTTTAATTTTGTATTTATATTTATTCTACTTTTAATTAATAGTTGCTCTCAATGCCGACAATCCAGTTATCTAATTAAAAATTAAGTTAAACAAAACCAATAAAAAATATCATATATACTGTATATGAATTGTGAATCTTATTGAATAAATATTTAAGTTGAAACAAATAAATATTATGTTATTTGCTAAATAGCATTAAATAAATTACAATTACGAGTTCACAACTAAAAAGTGGGACATTTTATGCTAGTTTTGTGCAATCACTTGCTTTTTCACATATAATCATATCATTGTTGAAATTACAGTATTTTAAAGGTAAAAGTGATTTTCAAAGTAATTTACGTTAAACAACATACTGTATAAACTTATTTCAAGTATTCAAACGTTTTATTGACATTAAATGACAATTCATTGATTTATATAAAGCAATGCACTTTTGATTGCATATAAAGTGTATATAAAAGTGAATATCGACTTTGAAATGATAGCAGCATTTAATTGAAATTAATTGAAAAGTTATAATCAATTTGTATTGACTTACATCTGATGGCATGGAAAAGGTTGTCGGGAGAGACGGGCGATAGGCTGTCATCTCTGGTCAGAGCGGGTCCTAACTTAATGTCTCTGATATCGTCGTTAAGTCCCAACCGATATATTATTCCATTCATTGTCTTCTTGTGGTATTCACTAATGGTTCCAACATTGGGTGATATGACAGACAGTCTATCAATTTAAACAACAAAAACAGTAAAACAGTTAACAATTATTAACTAAACTATTGCCAGAAACGAGTGTTTTAGTGAAACTGTAAGTAAATTTAAGCACAAGACTATGTCATCCATGGCTTTGAATGAGAGGCCTCCCATTAGGTGGTGCCAAACGTTGATAGTATCAAATTATTACCATTATATACCTTAAAGCATATATCATACATGGCATATACACTGCCTTAGTATATATACAGTATATAGTGTAGTGTGTAGTGTAGTGTAGTGCCAGGCAATTCAACATACAGTATATATATATTGTGGAAAAGGGGGTCAAGGATTCACTTTCATAATACATAACTAAAACACTACTACAGTATAATATTGTTCATACAATTGATGATTTGAGATCATCAAACATACAATACATACAACCCATACAATTCAATATATTTATTAAATCAAAATCCTATGCCATTATTGACATTTTCAGTCAATAGTATTACAATTTATATATACTTTAATATAACAACAAAATTGTTGACTGACATTGACTTTGTATTTAAGAAACACGTAATTTAATGTTAATCTCATTTATTTTTATTTAACGACTAAATTGTATTTAATAACTATAGGTATATGAATATAATGTTTATTAAATAGCGTTATACTGTATACAATAGTTTGATATATTGTTTGACTATAAGACCAATAATTTTAGTCAAATGAGATAATTATTGTGGTTTAATATACTTTACATGTATAGTATAATATTAATACTGTATTAGTAGTATTGTGTAAAGTGTGTAACCCTTATTTGGGTGTATGCCTGGTCATACCGGTGCTGATAAGATGGTGCAAAATCGATGTGTTGTCACTCAAGGTTAGTGTGGTATTGGCGTAGGTCTGGCTCTAGTAGTGTAGTGGTGTTAGTAGTGGTGTAGGGCTGTAGTGGTGGCGCAATAAGACATTGAACCGATGCTATGCTAAGCTATGCTATGCTATGGCAACACTACTAACGCAATCAATTAAGTCTATGGCTTTGAGAGTTCATTATAAGCATTACAAACATTACATTGCTATGCATTTAATTGAATTTATTATATATTTTTAATGTTTTTTCATTTTATTCTATCATTATATCTCACCATTGATATCAACAATTTGTTTAATCAAAATATTCCTCTAATTATTATTAACATACAGTATTTAAGGCGTTTCATAAGTACTCTCATATCATATATTTTATATCATCAATATATAAATATAAGTCATATTTTTTGACCCCTTATCATACTTTACTTATTGAATGTCATATTATTTGAAAATACAATCGTTTATCACTTAATTTAATATCAAATCATTAAATGAACCAGACACTATCTAATAAACATATAGTTAAATACAATTGTATGGGTGTTTTGGTTTACCTTAAAGGGAGGTATATCTCAAAACAATTGATTGTCATTTTATAATGATATCTATTTCATTTCATTGTTATATTTATATTATCATATAATATACCGGCTATTTATATATATATTGAATGTTTATATTTAATTTAATTTATTTTATTCATCGAGAGTGACATATAAATTGATTAAACAATTGGGTTAGAGATGACAGCGATTATACTGAATGTCAGTCCCAGTCAAATGAATCAATCGGTTATTATAAACAATGTTATCATTAATATTATATTATAAATAAGATTATGCATTACAAAACATTTATAATTATATTAATAAGTTATAATATATATAAATAGTTAGAGTAAAATTATTTCATTAATATCATAAGTACTAATAAATTTAATATTATAATCATATTTATATATATTAATAAATTTATTAGTATATCTGAACTAATGTAGGTATTTAGGTATAAAAATATTGTCCAACTATTTTAATGTCAAATTATAAAATATTTTAATTTTATAAAAATAGGTTATATTTGGATATCAATTGTAGTGAAAGCCATTATTTAGTTAATTTAAACAATAATACCATAGCCTTGGAATCGCTTATTTAACTATTTGTATGATTTAATGTGCATTTATTTATATTTACATTCATTTACTTATTAGATATATTCACTTGAATATAAAAATTATTAAATATACTAAAAATGTTAAAATAAAATGATTGATTTAGTATTTGTATGTTTATAATACTAAACAAATGTTAGATATTATTGCATATAAGTTAATGCAATATATAAAATATGATTAGATATGAATTAGCTAATTGTATATTAAAGTGTATAATATAAAAAACTGGTTGGGATTTGAAATAACATATAAATATTGAACTTAAGAGAAATTGTATGATTGAAGTAAGGGATGGGTTGTTGTAATGAAATGTATATCAAATACTTACAGTTATTTGTATTGATAGTCGGTTTGTGTGTCTTTAGGATTGATGTAAAACTCAAAAATATGATATCAATAGTGTGTCTGACAGTCGTGTTTAGTGTTCGTTCACTCCAACGATGAACAGCTATATTAGTGATACAACTCTAGTATAGTATAGACCGACACAACACATGAAAGTATAGGCAATGCGCAGTCTGTCCAACAAATCATTCAATGCCTGTGCCCTACACTGCCTGTACTTTCACATCACTGTCGGTGTCCTTGGGATCCATTGAGAGGACACCGAACGGTATATCGATTTTCTGAAGTGAACACCAATTCAATGCTTTCAATGCCTTTTCATTCAATCCATGTTTGTCTCACACATCAGACTATATATAAATTTATATATACATACATACTGTACACATACAACAATTTGTACATATACTGTACTAATGTATACACATACACATACACATACACATACACATACACATACACATACACATACACATACACATACACATACTATATATATATATATATATATATATATATATATATATATATATACTGTAAATATATAAGACTACAACTATTTATAAAATAATTATTAATTCAATATATTATTCTATAATAACTTATTTTCAGTTCATTTGATAACATCTAAAAAGCTATTACACCATTAAATTGAATGACACAAGACTTTAACTATATAACTATAGTTTGCTTTAATGAATAAATATTATATAATTTTGAAAATTATGGATATTTATGCAAAATTTATTTATATAATGATATCTATATTTCACTGTATTGTCACTAATATTGGCAACCCTTTCACTTTTTTTGTGAGACACCCACTCTTTACCAGATATTTATGTTGGTTTTGTGCGCTTAAAATTATTTATGTTTTTAACAAAATAATAAAATTCATTTAAAAAATAGTTTATATTTATATTTGATATTCTGTTTATATATGAATATATACTGTATATTATGTATGTAAATGTAAAATATATTGTATATATATAGTAGACAAATACAAATTATCCAGAGATACAAATCGATAAATGTGTGGCATATTATAGTAGTAATTATTTACCACTAACTATATCGAGACATTTTAAGTAAAAAAAAGTCTATAAAATTTGTCAAATTATTGACCCCTCGCCAAAACATTGTGGGGTCAAAACTCTACACTTTAAAAGAATAAATATTAATATTAATTTAAAAAATAATTTTTCAATTTTTATTTATATTACTTGTCTAGTGATAAATAACTTATTAAACAGATTATATTAATTGTATTTGATGTCAATTCTGTAAAAGCTAATTAATAGAAAAATGTGTCCACATCAATTACATTATCAACAATATACTTGAATAACTACCTAAATACGATATACAATATATACTGTATATGTATAAATAATAGTATCATGGTGCATCAAATATTTTTTAAAATTATGTACATCAATAAATGTATAACAGTTTCTTTAATTTGTAATTTTTGTATTATTTAAAAATAAAATAAAATTTGTAATGTTGTAATGTTTAACTAAATAAAATTAAATTAAAAGAACGTTAAATAGAAAATTATTTATAAATATTTATCTTAAAATAACCATTTTATTATTGAAAATTACGTTTAAATCTATTTTGATATATTCATATGATTTTAATGTGATAATAAATAATGCATTCGAAAAATTAAATAGATTTAGTTTTAATTAATAATTTGTTTAAAAAATACTATATTTTTATATAATAATTATTGATTTAATTTTATAACATTGTATATTTTATGTTTGAAAAATAGTGGAAATATTAGTATTTTTACGTATGTTACGCAAACTTATCATGATAACATATTTATTTTAATAACTATATTTCATAAAAAACATTATAAACATGTTGCATTTTGCAATCTTATCATTTATTAGATATATTTCTAAAATATATTATTTTTTAAAAACATTTAATTAAATATTATATTTTTATATAAATAATATTTATTTAAAGTAATTAAAAATCATTTTGAAACTTTATTATCTAGTATTTATGGCAAATTAAAATTATATAGATGTATTAGAAAATAATAATATCTTATAATTGTTAATATCTTTAAATATTTTCAAAATGTCTATAAAGAATGGCTATAACTGAAATAATTTAGCTATAAATATATTATAAATATATTAGTATTTATAAACATTCTCTTCGTTTAAATACGAGTTTCTATTTTATGATTTGTATTTCAAATTGAGAGGAATTGTTGAGAATTGAGTTGAAGGTTATGTCGGCCCCCAAACCCTTACCAAAACTCCTGTACACTACTATCCGGCTTTTAGTTTCAAATCTTTATATACTTTTAGTTTAGGGAACAGTATGTCATCCTCAACAATGAATAGTAAAGTACACTATCCTTGACAGAGCCATATGGAAATGGATAGACAGTCATACTCTGGCACCGGCATCGCACTTATGACAACACATTTTCTATCCATTAAATCCTTTCACCCATTTTTGAACTGAGATTTTCCTTCACATGAATACTAACGGGAAATTTGACAGAGAATAGAGTTTAGTCGAGTTTTACACAGAAAATAATGCAATTGATTTGGTATTATAGTCCTAAAGGAAACTGTTTTCAAAGGGTTTATTTTCATACAATAAAGAGTTAACATTTGCTTCAAAAAAATCATATAATAAACTACTATAGTATTAGCTGTGCTAACAAATCAAATACTTATGTATTATATTGAAAATATGCTGACTTTGATATGACTAAAATATCACAGTTTCTTGATGTCATCTTAACATATTATCAATTTAGTATTCATCACTAATTAATAATTAGTAATTATATATTATTTTATTTTTTAATATTAAATCATTATAAAAAAATATAAATATTTTCTTAATTTTATAAATAATTTTTTATTATTTAATTTAAACAAATTGGTTAATAATATTATTAAAATATATATTTAAAATTAGTTATAAAATAATCATTAATTATAAAATAGTCGTGTATGTTTTTGTAAATCTAATACTCTAATTGTAATAAATTATCATTTTTCCTTCAATAAGTTTTATAAAATTTGTATAAACTACAATATATATACAGTTCAACTCAAAAGTAAAGCATTTATGGGGAAACTAAATAGTAAGTTATGCCCATTTGACCTAAATAGACATCAATTATCAGATTTAAAGTAATTGGATTAATAAATGTAAAGAATATTTAGCAAAATTCTAATAATTTTCAGATTTCTTTATTAAATTAATACTAATCCATACATTTAAATAAATGGCTGAAAACAAGTGTTTTAAATAATAACAAAAATAATTTGTATATTTGTATGTAAAATATATGACAGTATTTGAAAACCTCGAAAACTAGAAATTGAGGTCAAAAGGGTTTTATGTGACCAGACCTGGGTTTTCATCAAAATTCACAAAATCCATGTCTTTTAATGTTTATAAATTACAACAATTATATATAATATTTATCAAATTTACAAAACATTTTTTGAGACATTAAAAAAAGGAAAAAGTGGTCTAAATGTGTATAAAAATATGTGTGTATGTGTTAATGAGTGATATAAATATATATATATTAGTTGCATTACTGGTGATACATGTGCTCTTATTTCGCTTTTATAATAGCACAGTATGTTTGAGAAAAAATAGGTCACAAAAAGGGTCGATAAGAGACTTGAATGCTAACTTGACTTCGGATATGCCAGAATGTCTAGCACCTAGGTGTTACTTTTTGTAAATATAATAAAAAATACACACACAAAAAATATATGAAAATTATCACTATTTCAACTAACTTATGCAGACATTTTTGTACAAAACACGAACTTAAAAAATGTCTAAAACTTCAATTTAAACTAAAATTTTAAAAATTATAATAATAATTATAACAATGTTTTTGAGTATAAATGGAATTAATTATTAAATTGTATATTATAGCACCTAATAACTTTTAAATGAAAATGAAATAAAAATTGATAGAAAAAAATTATTTTTAGAAATTTTGTTACATTTAGTATAAATATTTTTAAAATTTTAGTTTAAATTGAACTTTTAGACATTTTTTAAATTCATATTTTGTTCAAAAATGTCTGCATAAGTTAGTTGAAAAAGTGATAACTTTGATAATAAAATTTTGTGTGTAACTGTTATTATATTTACAAAAAGTAACACCTAGGTGCTAGACATTCTGGCATATCCGAAGTCAAATGCTAACAATCAATCGATATTTTGTCTGAAAACGACAGAATCGGAATTCACTAACTTTTATAAATTATATGAATCACTATTTTATTTCATTTATTTTTATAAGAATATTCTTATATATATATATATATATATATATATATATATATATATATATATATATATATATATATATATTTCATTTATTAAACACTGATTTATTAAAAATATATTTTAGATTTGTAAATATTATGAAAAGCATTTTAAATATTTTAATTAACTTGTAAACAATATACTGTACATCAATTATATAATCGCATTTAATTTATGATTTAAGTAATCACATTTCGATAATTTCCAAATCTTATGTAATATTACAATTAATTATGACAAATTAAATATTTATTTTACTGATATTATGTAAATACTGTTGATTTTTGCTAAATTATTTAATATGTGATACATTATACACCTATGAGTGCTTCAATTTACTAATAAAGAAAATTAAAATAGTTTTTTCAGATATTTATTGTTGAAGAGAACAATATATTTTTGTATATATTTTTTATAACAAAACACTAAATTGCATAAATTATTATGAAAATATAAAAAAATAATTATTTAATTATAAATTAAAGGTCTGAAGAGAAAGTTTTAATAGTATTTGTCAAAATAAAATTAAATTACATTATCAATAATTATATTAAAATTTTAATAAAATTTAGTAAAAATCTAAACTAGGTTTTATTGAATATGTTGAAGTGATCTATAGTATAGTATAGTATAGATCATACTATTGATAATGTAATTTAATTTTATTAAAATTTTAATATAATTATTGATAATGTAATTTAATTTTATTTTGACAAATACTATTAAAACTTATTTATAAATATATTTTATTTAAACTTTCTCTTCAGACCTTTAATTTATAATTAAATATAGATTCTATACATACATAATTATATTAATTGTAAATATCATTTATTAGATAAGTCATGTGTGGTYAATAAATTAACAAATTTATATATATTCAAACTGCCATTTAATTATTTATATAATTACTATCGTATATATCAGTATATATCATATTATATTAAATAGTATATAACTAACATTAATAAATTAGAAATATTTTATATATACTGTATATATGTGTGTATATAAATATATTAAGCTAGTTCATTTAGAAATATATAATAATTAAATATTAAATTCCAATTTTGGTAATAATAATAAATTATTGAAATTTTGCAAATAATGAATTAAGTAATTGTAATGTCGTTATTAAATATTTGAAATAAGAAATTTTTGATTAATATTTACAATTTTATTGACTATTATTTAGTAACGTTTTATATGAAACTATTGTTGACATAAAGTATTACAACAAACTCTACTCTATATTATTAATAGATTAATACATATTGTATTAAAATAACAATTATTATGTAATCGTAATAAATAATAACACAATGAAACATATTTTTATCATTTTGTGTATATTTAGTTAATTTAATAATTTGATAGAAAAGTTTATTATTTACTAATTTAAAACTAATTATGAAATCAACGATCAGTTTATTTGTTTTTGTGATATATATAGTGATAAATGTATTGTTTGTTGTCATTACTTCTTCTACTGATTCATCACAACTTAAACTTGTTTTTATGGTTTGTATTCAATTGATTTGTATCTTAAAGTAATGATTATATAATATGATATGTATTGATGTGATGGTCAGATTCACCGACACGGCGACCGCACACCCATTCAGAGCTATCCAACTGATCCATACGCTAACAGCAGCTATTGGCCCGACGGTTGGGGACAATTGACAACTGTTTGTATTATTTGATTGAATTATTTGTCTTAATATTATCACAAATTTGTTATAAAGAAAGGTAAGCAACGTATGTATGCATTGGGAGAGTATATCCGCCGTCGATATCAAGATTTTTTGACAATTGATCCGCGAGAAGTGTATATTAGGAGCTCCGGCTCTGATCGATGTCTTGAGAGTGCGGCGCTTGTGATGGCAGGAATGTATAGACCTGATGACAGGTATTGAATGGACAATCGGATTAAATGATTACTTTATTAACTGATGTTTATATTAATTTAGATGGATATGGGATAACCAATTAGGAAAACAATGGCAACCATTTGCCATTCAGACAGTACCTCATGATAACGATAGCGTTAGTTATCTTTCAATTGATATGATTAACAACTTTAATATTATTTATTAATAATGTTTTAATGTTTAATCAGATGCTTAATCCTGGCTCTCATTGTGTGTCCGCCGAACAAGAATTATCAAGAATTCGAGGTTCTTCTCAATATATATCAATCACTCAGAAGAAAAAGGTTTAAATTAATGCAAATAAAATGTTTTATAAAATGTTGAAATACTATATTATGTTAATTAGGGTCTATTGGATTACGTGTCCATTAACTCTGGTCGTAATGTGACTGATTTGGATTCGGCCGAAAAGATATTTGATGTCATCGCTATTGAACAACAAAATGGCTATAAACTTCCGCTTTGGATCGATACACCCACTTTTGATGCATTGAAAGATATCTCCGATATTACATTTGTTTTAGACTTTTCTACACATTTGATTCAACGTTTAAGGACAGGTATATCGTTTGAAACCAAAATASATATAATGGTATATCTGTAATTTGATAAAATATGAAATTATTTAACATAAAATTATTAAATTTTTAAGGATTACTTCTTAAAGATGTGATAAATCGGGCGAAAGAAGAAATTTCTAAAAACAAAAACAATACTCATTCGTATAATTCAATTAAGAAAAAAATTTTCATTTATTCCACCGTAAGTTTGATTTATTAATTGAATCAAATAAAATACAATAGTATTATATAAAATTATATTTATTTGAATAGCATGACACACAATTGGCAACTCTGATGAATGCATTGCATAATTTTGACAATAAATCGCCTCCATTTGGTATTAAATGCTTTGCAAAAAGTATTGTAATTGTRTTTAATTGAAAATATTTTTATTAAAAAAAGGATCGACAATATTGATTGAGTTAAGACAAAGCAATTCAAATTATACATTCAATTTCTATTATATGAATGACACATATTCTAAGCCTATACCTCTTGGTCTACCAAACTGTACGGATCATCAAAATGAATGTTCTTTCACACAATTTGTTGAATCTGTAAATGATTTAATTCCCGACGATTGGGATCATGAGTGTCATAATACACACACATCTTGTGAATCAACTACAGGTATTACATAAGTTTAATCAATTGTACTCTACTGTAACATAACATAACATAACATACCATACCATACCATACCATACCATACCATACCATACCATACCATACCATACCATASCAATTCACATTTAAGTCAATTTTCACAATTAAATTTAAGTAAAATAGTAAATCACTTACCGATACTTTTAAATTATTAATTTACAACCTTTTCTGAAATAAGCATACAGTAATTGTATTATATTTTGAATTTAACTAAATTTGTATTAACAGTAATGGCATATCTTTTTGGATCTCTGATGACTTTGGCAGTGATAGCCATTCTATACATTATTTTTATAATATTTAGACGAAAACCTAATCAAATAGCTTATCATATGCTTCCAAATAAAGCAGTTATCAACTGAAGTTTAAATTACTATTATAATCAACTATACAATTATACTGTATTATACAGTATGTGAAGCTATATTTTATGTACAATTATATGAGTCATTTACCAATAAATATCTATTGATAAAAATTTAAACATATTTTGATCACATTTACCGGTAGTTACATATTGCTAACATTGTAAGTATGAGTAATTGACAAATGATTATTACGGTAAGGGTATCATTATAGATGTCATAAAATTTAAGTTTGATATTAAAACTTAATTTTAAACAAATATGTCTAATTTATTTAGTAAGCATTTTATTAAGCTAAATTATATATTTTATGTATAAAATATTTTTAAAAAAGTTAATGTTTACACAAAATATGCAATTGTTTAGATAATGAATACCGTAATGAAAATATTATTTTGAGTATTTATTTTTAAGGATATTGCGAACAAAAGCAATAAAATGTCTTAAATCAGGTTTGGTATGACCTCTGCTTCCAAACTCCTTCTCAATAACCATGGGTTGCAAAGAGTCCTCGGGATCGCAATCAACAACTACTTGAATGTATTTTAATTGCATTAAAACATGATTTTTTAAAAAGTAATTTCAAGACAAACCTTTGATTTGGTCGCTATCGACACTCATCTTAACTGTAAACCATTTGTTTGGTTCAGAGTCTGATATTTTATTAAACTTAATGGTATAGACTTTGTCGTGTTTTTCCATTCTTAATCCAACTGTATTCCAGATATTCATAACATTTTCAACATTTTCTTTGTTTTCATCAGACTTTTTGGTCATCTTTTCGATGTCTAAAAATATAGTGACAATTAATATGTTATGAAAAAGTGGTAGTAATTAACTAAAGTATTAATACATTGTTGAACACGACTGCACTTGTCTTCGGCTTTTGATATATTAGTCTCAGCCTTAGTGATGGCCATTTCGACGGCCTTTATCTCAGTCTCGTGTTTTAACTTTTCTTTATTAAAACGTTTGGTATCTTTGACTATATCTGTCAGCTCTGATGAAACAGTGAACAGATATCAAAACAATTAAATATTTGTCAAACAATTCAATCTAAATGTTAGCAAACCTCGACTTTTTCGGTCAAATTCATCACTTAATTGTTTGACATCCACTTCTTCAGTCATGACATCATTCAATTCATTTGATAATTTAGTCCACATTTTGTTGAAATCATAAAATTGTATTAAAACTTATCTTTAAATACAAATATATTATTAAATATTAAATCAAATCAAATAAATGACTTGAAAAATAAAGTTATTAATAACTGAATTTTGTCAACCAATCAAAATAACCATAAATTACGTAAACATATAATAAATTATTTTCAGCATTAGTTCATTATAAATATCACTTCAAATGTTGACATTATTTATTAGACTTAACTTACATTTAACCGCCAAATAAATGATTCAATATTTGAATAACATTTGAATGAATGACAAAACTTATTATTAAACTAACAATTGTTTAGTCAAACAGTTTGTAATACACTTGATCTCAAAGTGATAGTGACATTGTTGTTGCTGTAGTTCATGTCATGGATCAGTTTCATATACATACAAAATAATTCAATTAAAATTTATTTATCATATAATTAATTAATTATATATTTTAGAAATAATGTATAAATTAAATGACAAATAATTTATAATTTTAACTTTTTTTGAGACAATAAATGAATTTTTTGGTTCAGTTTATAAATACGAAGTCCGCCGCCGTTGATGTCAATGACTGGTTCACTCATTTGTTTGTGGTCTTCACAAACCAATATAAAGTTGTCTTCAGTGTCTCCGTCGGGAAATTTCACTTTATAGTCTTCAAGTGGCAGACAGTCTGAAACGGTAACGCATCCCAGTATTGCTGAAGTCGGGTAACTGTTCGGAAATTTCTTAATACCAGCGAAACAGTAAAAGTTTTCAATCTCTTTGACACTTTCATTATCTGGTGTTTTATTGTTTGAACGAATCCAAAGTCTTCCTCTGAAATTTGAATACCAGTTTCGGCCCTCAAATCTTTTAATGCCATAAACAAGAAGTGAAGCGTACGGTTGATTCACTGAAAGACACATTCCTTCGTCAGAAATGGACATCAATTCAATGTCTTGTAATCTCATATTATTTAAATTTGCAATAATTTTTTTGTTATCATTCGAGTCATTGGTTTTGCGATTATTATAAACATATTGAAGAAGTGGTAGTTGAGTGTTATCTTTATCTATAAAATGTGATGCATCGACGGTCACATAATCACTCTGTAGTTGACTTTCATCGTATAGTTTTTCAATTTGTTGGTTAAAATCTTTAACAACGGGATCCTTATAATCAGTTGCCGTCCGTTCATTAAAATCAATTAAAATTTTGTTTTGTTTTTTGTATTTATTTTCGTGTAATGTTTTCACTTTTGTCGACAACTCTTTTCGTTTATCATTTGAAATCCAATTTTGTGTCGACAAAGAAAAGTAATCGTTTTGATCGTCAATCACTTTGGTTCTAACAAAAGAGTTTCTGTCAAATTCAAGCATCTGATCCTTATGACCGATAGCTTTCGCTAAACTCTTATTAATTTCAAGAGTTGCTGCAATATCTTTGAGACCAGAATTTGATTTTTTTTTCGATTTATCTGAACTTAAGAGTTGATCCGTAACAATGGCTTTTAACGCAAGTTTGCCCTCTTCTTCCATTTGTCTCATTGATTGTCTTTGTTGTCGAGTCATCACCATTTGGCCACAAGTAAAGCAATTGCCAATACCTTCCTGTTCACATACAATGCGACCACAATTTAGACAATTGGATACTAATTCATGTCTGGAGGCCTCACAGTTACACTGACGACGACCTGTTTGGTGACAAAAAACATTTGATTCACATCTTAATTAAAATTAAATTCAATGTGTGTTTGTTGTCAATATACCGGGGAATAAAGTGATCCCATCTTTGATATCGTCAATTGTGGTTAACTTTCGCCTCACTTTAGATCTCATTGTCTAAGCAATTGATTTGTGTCTTAGGATATAATTATATAATTAATTGAAACCAAATGTCAATTAATATTTAACTCAAATGTTGTTTGACTTATGATTGCAATGTTGTGTTGTAATTGAATTGYAGTCTAAAAGCAAAACGTTATAACATTTATGAATAACTCATTCGTCAATCATATGATTAAGTGATGAAAGCGTTTAAATGCGTTCAATGAATGAGTGAATTGTGTTTACAAACAATAATACATTCAATGAATTATTTAATTATTAAATCAATTAATAAATAAAGACATCAATGGATGAAACATTTGATGATAACGTGTTAACCACTCTTAAGATACTTATAATCGGAGAGTCATTTGTGGGAAAGTCGAGGTATTGTTGCAAATGTTGTTTAATTTATTAATTAAATAATAATTTTTTAAACAAATTATTTCTCAAATATTTTGAAAGTCTTTTGTTGCGCTTCACTGATGACACGTTTGCCACTGAAATGCCCGCAACTATCGGTCAGTTTTGGGATCAATTGGAAATCAATTCAATTCATTGCTAAATAAGAATTTTTGTTTAAAGGGATGGACTTTAAGACAACAAAAATGACAATAGACTCATCGGTGGTAAAACTGGCCATTTGGGACACGGCTGGCTCTGAGCGGTTCCGAGCACTGACGCCAAACTTTTATCGTGGCTCTCATGGAGTGATACTCGTGTACGACGTGACAAATAGACAGACGTTTGAACGGTTGGACAACTGGCTTAAAGAAGTGGACGCCTATTGCAATCAATCAAATGTGGTGAAGATGTTGGTGGCCAACAAAATTGATAAAGTATTGACTGAAATGTTTGAATAGACACATAATAATTGTTTATTTAAAGGACGGTCGAGTTGTGACTCGTGAAGAGGGACTGGAATGGGCGCGAAGATACCACACATTATTCATCGAAGCGAGTGCTAAAACTAAGGAAGGAGTTGAATGCGCTTTTGAAGAGTTGGTCCAAAAGATTATACAAACTCCTGGCATTTGGGAGGCAAATGAAACTAATATACAGTTAACTAATAATCCTATCACTGATAGGAGTTGGTGCCAGTCGTGGTGTTTTTGAGATCATTTGCTTACCAGTAATTGTATTACCGGTAAATTTTTTCAATAAATTATTATATAATTCTGTAAAATGCAAACTTTGGTTATTATATGTAAAAAATTTTAATACAGATTTAAATAACAATAAGTAAATGTTTTATTTTATTTTATTTCTTTTAAAAAGTATTAAACTGTATTTTGATGTGAAATTGAAATATAAAAATAAATAAATAAATAATGARTTTACATTACAACACAATTATAATCTTTTTTGTTTGGATTAAACCATTCGCATCGGTTTGAATTTGGATCCCAAATGGTATTATTTGGACACATCTGTAATATTGGTTTTTCGTGAATACACCAATAATACAGTTTACAGTTATTGTGCGCTACAAATAGTGTCCCCGGTTTAGCACACTCTTCAATCACTGAGTTTGATGGCGACTCAGTTGTCGGCACTGGCTTTGACTCGGAGGCTATTGAATTAGTTGTGGAACCGCTATTCTTATCTGTTGTTTGATCGGAGTTTACTGTACTCTGGGTTACAATGGAAACAGCTGTCGGTTTACTTTCTGAAATAGTCGATGGTTTAGTAACTTTAGCTTTAGATGTTGTACTACTTGACGGATGTACAGTTGTTGTACTACTTGGTGGTCGTACGGTTAATGTGTTACTTGACGGGCGTACGGTTGTGGTAGTACTGGTAGATACGGGTTGTGGCCACCATTGATTTGGTTTTGCTGTTGTAGTGAGCTTTGACGGGTCGGGTACTAAAACTTGATATCCTTTTAGTTTTTCATTCATAACTTTAAGTAAGGGATGTTTTTTTCCGCCACAGACTCCTTTAAAGTCATCCAAATCGATGGCCCAAATCATTGCTCCACCGAATCCTTCTTTTTTAATGTAATCCATTTTAATACCAATACTATTTTCATCTTCATATCCAACCCATTGTTTATCTGAGTAAGCAAAGGGACATTTGCCGATATCATCCAACTGTTTGCTCCATTTGCCAGCATTGGTCTCAACGCATATCTATTCAAATAATAAATTATAATTTAAATTATTTTAAATATAATTTAAATTTGTATTAACGCTAACTTCATAATAAGCCATAAATCCCGAAGCATTTGTATATAAAGCCGCTTCTCCGCCGCCATTATTTTTATCCCATCTATTGATGGGTGCTCTTAATCCATGATTATCTTTACTGCCCAATGTATAAGTCCTACCATAGAAGGGAACGCCAACAATTAATTTATGTTTAGGCGCTCCCATTGAATGCCATAAATATGTTCCGTCATTCTGGGACAAGATTTTATATATTTTTATTTTTTAAATAATAAATAGATTTATACAATATTTACCACATTTAGCTTTTCATACGCCCACTCATCAATAGGTCTTTTATAGAGAGGTGAGTGGACGTCAGCAAATCCAGTCCAACTGCCTCTTAGGTCATAAGTCATCAGATGAATGTGATCTAATAATCTGGTGGCAAAAAAATATAATATTAATCACAAATATAATTGATTTGAATAATGACATACTGTCCTAATTCGTAGACTTCATATCCTTCTTGTAGTCTAAACTTTGCCACCGGAACCGCTGCAGTCAGTAATAGTTTACCTTCTTGTTTATCAAACTCTTCTCTCAATTCCTGTTTTAATAAAACAATATTTGTTATAAAGTTTTTTTTAATCAAATTCATAAAAAATTATATTTACAAACCTTAACGAGTTTGAGAAAGTTTTCTTTGTCAGAATAAGATCCCTGTCTATCACTAGCACCGGGATATTCCCAGTCGAGATCAAAGCCGTCAAACTTATATTTATTCATCCATTTAACCACTTCATTGACAAAATGTTGACGTTTTTGCTTTTGAGATACCATTTCAGAGTATTGTTGTCCGCCCTCAGCCCAGCCCCCGATTGCCAGCAATAATTTAAGTTTTGGATATTTATTTCTTAAACCAATAAATCTTTCATATCCTTTATTGTCGATATCATAACTCGGATCAATATATTTCAGTTCATGAGTCTTGTTGTCCAATCCAACAAATGAGTAGATTAAATGTGTGCATAACTCTCCCGGGATATCTTCGATGTCATAGGACATGGGATCTGCTCTATAAACAGCCCAAGCGCTATAGTAACAGACTATCTTTGGCTCAGTTAGCTTGTCTTCACATGTAATTAATCTAACATTAAAAACAATTATAACTAAATAAATAAAAATTATGGTAACTATATCTTTTGAAAAATTCATTTTTAATGTATAGCTATTATTGATGGTCTCTCAAACTCAATGATGTTTGAGTTGTACTTTACATTTATAAAACTAAACTTATTTATACTCTAAAAAATATAATTGTTTTATAATTATAATTAATGATAAAATGTGGGAAAACGAGTCTTCAAGAATTTATTACCAGGTTTTTGACTTTATTTGTTTTAAAAAGCAAAAGTCAGGTTAAAGTTCACAATTAAATTCAATAACTTTCTCATTGAAAAAAACTAATAAATTTTTGTTTTTTTAACTTATTTGATGGCATTTCTTGTTAACAATCGTTGACTCTTAGACTGACTGACTTCAAGACTTACATCTTTGAAGATGTTTTGAAGTCAACGATCCAAACGACTAAAAGTTGTTTAGTTTATTAACTTCACAGTACTGTAGGTATAAGTTAATGAACACATTAAGTGTTATCTCATAGTGTATATCAATTGATTATATTTATATAAATTATATATTATTTTACTTAAATACTTTTAAATTCTATAATAAAAATAAGTTTAATATTTTAATGACAATTATAAATTAACTTTAATTTTCTAGTTTAATAAATAAGTTTAATAATAGTATATAAAAGTTTAATAAATTAATATTTTCTGATAGTAGAAATCATTGTGCAGTTCTAAAAAATTTATACTTTAAAGTTTAAACAACCAAACAGCCAAACAGCCAAACAGCCAAACTGCCAAACAGGACAATATCTTATGATTGGCCATATAATAGCATGAGACCACATTTAACGGGTCTGATGCAATTATATGGCCAATCATAAGAGTAATTAAAAAATAATTAATTATAAATATATTGAGTCTATATATCTATAACTTTGCCATCAAGAGGTCATTTTTATATTAAAAATATGGTTTAATAGATATTCACAAAAAATTATGAGTCGGGAGTCTGATGCGGGTCTGATTTTAAGATAGACCCTTTAAACAACAAAAATCAAATCTCAAAATATTTAAATAATATATATATATATATATAATTTAATATAAAAAATAGATTTTTATTTAGATTTTTTTCTTTCGGTTGTTTCTTGACTTCTTGGAACGTGTCCTTCAATGACAAGAAGTCCTCCTGAGTCGAGAGTGGCATTAATCTGGTCTCTGTCGACATTAGRACTGATTTTGCTTTCATATGAGAATTCGCGCCACGCTTTGGATCCTTCAGTGCTTTCCTCCTCTTTTTTGGCCTCAATATATAGTTTAGTATCCGATATAATGATACGGATATCTTTAGGTTTATAACCGGTTAAATCAAATGCCAGTCTAAACATACTGTCCTCCATTGGACTATAATCTCCTTTTGTAATTTTTTTGACTTTAATTGTCTTGACTTTATCACCAAACAACTTAAGCCATGGTTTTGAAGTCCATCTCTCAATGAGTCCAATGAATGGTGAGGACGGATCTACATATTCAGACATTATCTTTTTAACTCTCTGTTCGATATCAACCAAATCTTTCAAATCTCTTTCGTTATCTTTTGACTCATTTTTAAATTGTTTTGCAGACATATATATATTCCTTGAGTTTAATTCATTTGCTTTGATTTTAAAACAAATTTTGTAATTAGTTTGTCTTATAAGTGGTTCAACAAATTTGATGGTTTTTATCAAATATCTCATAGCTTTTATAAAATCACTTCAATTGTTTTTGAATTTTTAAATTCTGTATTGTTTAGTAAAAGTTTAAATAATTTATATCAATTTGTATGCAATTGACGAGATATTGTTTAATAAAAAGTGTTTTTATTGTTTAAAATCAATAGATTTTTCTGAAATAACAATTAATATACTTTATAGTAATGTTTTTCATTGTTGAAATAGTAAATGCTAAGTAAATGAAAAATTTAATTTATAGTAATTTTATACATTTAACTACTATGTACTTATGTATTAAAAATATTTTATAAGCATTTCAATGTGTTTTTTGACATAAAAGTACGACTAATATAACATTACTAATAAATAAATCCTATTAATATCAATAACATGACAAAAAAGGTATTGACTTTCTTATAGATTGCTCTCAAAATTATCACAAAAAGTCTTAAGTAATATAGAAATGTCTGAGACTTTTAATCAAACAACTGGAAGAACGCAACAAAATAAAAAYTATTTTCCAAATATAATACTGAAGTATAAATTTTACAATTAATTAATAATTAAAATTTAAAAATATTAAATTTTACSCAATAATTACTAATAAAGTAATAAACTTTATATATATAATTATTTTAATAAAAACTTTGACAATAAGATTCAAAGCAAAAAACAAATCATATTTATTTAAAAACAACTAAAAACTGAGTCACACATTAAGCAAAGCAATTGAAAGTGAAGTAATCATTGAAAATATAAATAATAATAACTTTACAATAAAAATAAAAATAAGAATAAAAATATATATAATATTAATATTTTAATATTATTTAATTATTTATTGACGAGAAGTCGGTGAAACCAATGCTAATTTGTCTAAATATCTACCATTTTGAGTATCCATGTCCTGAGGACTCGATTGAAGGTCCAGACCATTGAGCGTCATAACCTGAGGCCCAGCTTTTGCCGGATTCGAGGTTAAGACCCGAGTCATAGCTGATCAGCTTAGGTGCGGCGTATGAGATGATTTGCGGCTCAGACTTAGCAATGTAAACGGGTTGAGCCAATTGCAACTGCGAGTAACCATTCTTGTTGATGGATACATCTGCGGGATCTTCTTTAGCATCAACACCGGGTTCGTTGGTGTCGACCTGAGCTCTGAAACCGTGAGCGTCAGCAACGTATTTGACGGTTCTTTTGCGTCCATCTCTGTCTCTCAATTCGTATGAACCGGTTTGCCATCCTTTGCCTCCCTTTTCGCGTCTTGAGGTTCCGCCGGTGTGGTGCTCCTCGTCGTAAGCAAACTCATAGTTTCCGTGTCCCTAATGGACACATGTTATGGTTAATGATTTATTTAAATATAATAAGAGTTAACTCACGTCATCCTTTCGTGTGACTTGTGATCGTCCGGTGTTAACAGCCTTTCCATAACTTTGTAATTCAAGCAAAGGACTGGCCAGAGAAACGCCGACAAAAGCGCACAAAACAATTGAAACTTTCATTTTTCAAATGATTTTTCGTTTTGAATTCTGATTGACAACCGATTCAATACTGATTTCAATGGACGGCTGGACTCCAGTTTATATATGCTTTGATTTGTGTCATTGAAAAACTTTTTTTGAGTGACAAAAACGTGAAAATATTAATTAGTTACACATGTATTTGGAGTATTAATAAATATAAATTTATATTTAAATATCATATTGTAGTAATCAAGTACAAGGATTTCATCAGTAAAATGGCATCGCTTTTACCATAAGATCTAATTATCGAAATTAAAATAAATAAAAATTTAAATAATTTTTAATACCTTTGAATGTGAGTTATATTACGATAGGTGTGGTCGTGTCTTATCGATGCTTAAAAAATAACAAAATTTAAATATTAAAAATCAAATAAAAAAATAGAAAAAATAGAAAAAAGTTTCGAATCGAAAAAATCTCATTAGTTTTTTTGGATTTAAGTGAAGGATTTTTGAATAATTATTTTCATAATTAATTTAAGATGAAGTAAAACAAGAGTAAAATAAAAATAACAAAAAAAAGTAAGTAAAGAAAAGATTTCAATAATCTATAATAATTTATTATTTAAAATATGCAATAATAATGTTTTATTAAATAAAAATCATAGTTTTTTATATATTAATTTSTTAACTTTCTGTGGGTTAACATAACATTTAAGGTAAGATAATTAAGATATACTCATTTAGTTTACTACAAATATTTTTCACTTTTAATTAATAAATTGAATTTGCAAATTATTTTATTATTATTTATTCAATTAATAAAATTTATATATTATATCTAATATGATATTTTTAACAATTGATTCATAATATTAATAATTAATAATTATTTAAAGAAATATTCTATTATAAATTAAATGACCAAATTATTGTAGAAATAATTAATTATTTTTTAATTATCAAAATTTATATATAAATCATATTTATTAAAAATAATGTTAAATTTACTGAATATAAAATATTAACATTAATCATTTAAGTAATTAAATAATTTTATACATATTTATCAAATGTCAATAATTAGTGCATCATTTAAATGATAAATAATCACTGTTTCTCTCAATTATTTAATATGTTAATCCTAATGTCTAAATTAAAAAAAAGTTAAGTAATTTCTACAATATTCTTTTAGTTAATTAAATGCTAATCACAATCATTATAATAATGTTTTAAATATATTAATAGTAAAAATACACATAAATTATAATTACTAAAGAGTGCTAAATTTATAATAATTTATCAAAATTTAATATATATATATATAATTGCAATAATTATTAATCATATTTTTTACTGTTTATTGAAAATATATTCAAAATAATTATTCATTTTTTATAGAAATATATTTTTGAAATAGTTTTWTAAAAATCGTATAAAACTAGTGTATTTGTGATAAACAAAATTAAAATATTACTTTAATGTTAAAATATCTTTAATATATATTATGTAATTGATTGTAAACTAATTTTATTTTTAACTGTGATTAATGTCAATCAAATATTTAAAATAATAATTCATTGCTAATGAAAATAAAGAAAGTTATACTTTTTGATTTGAACTCATTTTTCGCAATTTATGCTAATATTGCAAACACTGTACCATAAGATTAAGGAAAGTTGTTATAATTATAAGACAGTATCTAAATGTTATTATAGTAAAAGTACTTTATATTTGTTTTGTATTTTTATAAAATTGAATGTTTGAAACAAATAAATGCCGTAAAAGACATTGAGTTCAAGTTCAACCCTTTCCAACCAAAAAATATTGTTTTTGAATATTATTTTAATTACTGTATAATTTGATGCTAAAGTATTTTATAAGGTGTATAGTTTCATAACTTTTGTTTATTATGATAAATAAATATATTGATATTGAAGATTAAAATTAGTAATTCAATAAAAATATAAAAACCATTTGTTGTACTTTTATTCATATTTCTATAATACTGGAAATAAGACAGTAATTAATTATAATTATAATATATACTATATAAAGTATTATATGATATATTATAGTTGATATCACAATACAAAAGATTAGTTAAATATTTACTATAATTGTAATTCATAAAATTCTTCCAGAATTTGACATTTAATTAAAATAATTGTTAGTTAAATGAAAATTAATTAATTCAAATATTATTCTACTAATTTATGTATTTTWTATTCATATAAATTCAATTCAAATAAAATAAATATAAATTCAAAAATGGATTTTTTGTTAAATATTTGAATAAACATTTTTTAAATATATTTGTATATTTTAATTTTTATAACCAAATAAATATAAACTGATAATTATAATCTAAAAACAATAATATATACCTTACATTATTGTTTTTAGAATTTAATTATCAGTTTATATTTATTTTTTATGATAATTAAAATAAATAAATATTTCAAAGTATTACAAGTGTTATACACTATAATAAAGAATTTAAAATATCTTTTATATAAGAATCGTCGTGTGTATCAAATATCTGATTTTAACACATAATTAAGTTATATTTATTTTTTATATTTATAATATGAAATATTTTTTTTATAAACCAAACCATTTTTATTATTTTAGTTTATTATAATTATAATAAGACTTATTTTTATATAAAATTTCTATTTTTATTTCATTTATTTTAATATCAATATAATTATTGTTAATAAAAAATAACACTTTTTATTCAGGCAATTGGCATAACTTTAACAATAATAAAAGCAATTTTTTTTATTAATAAAACATTATGAAAAAATAAAAATGATTTTAAATTAGCTTTTAAATCAATTAATTGCAATTAAAAGTCAAATGTGAAAAAATAAAAGTTTTTCAAATTAACATATGAGAAGTTATGAAACTATATGATTGAAAAATTACAAATTTAAAAGTGGAGCAAAAAAATAATAATTGAATTAAAGCCAATATTATTTTATTATTATACTGTAAATACTGTACAACATTGCTATGTATTTTATTCTAATAATATAATATTTAATAATAATATATTCAATTTGATATTTAATAACTAATAATAAAATTTAATTTACTTATTATTAATATGTCGTTACATACAAATAAAATTGTAGTAAAAGCAAAATTTAATAAACAGAAATATATTTATAATTTTTAAAAGAAATTTCCCAATTTTTACTTATTTACTGTATATGACAATCAATCATTACTTTGTGATACTGTAAACATATAAACAGTAAGATCTGCTTTTTAATTATCGGTAATTAATTTAATAATAATAATAATAAATGGAAACATCAAAAATTTATTTTTATTAAATTCAATTCAATAAATACAAACATATGATTAAAATACAATTAAAATTTAAAAAAATCTTATTTAGCGTAATTGTAAATAATAATCTCTGTCCTAATAAATTTATGTTATGTTAAGCAATTTTTTGTTAAAATTAGCAACAATTCAATAAAATAACAATTCGGATAAATATTTTATTCATAAGTAGCAAAGAGCATTGCATATATTTATATATAAATCTCATTTAAAAATTTATTTAATAAAATATCATTTGATAGAAATTGGCTAATAATAAAAAAATTTAATTTTAAAACATTTATAAATAATAAAAGCATAACTGTTAATTGATAAACAATCCAAAAATGTTAAGACAATAGTTATTTAACTAATAAAATATTGCAAAAAATAATACAAAACATTTGCACTAATCTTCTTCTATGACTTCCAATTGTGAAGTCTTCTGAGTCCTGTGTTCTTCAATAGCTCTCCATATCCTTAATTCGACGCCTCCTTTAAGGTTAAGACGTCTCAAATCTTGGCGAGTCATTAATGACAAAACTTCTTTTAAATTATAATAATCTTCATTTACAAACTTTTTAAAAAATAAAATAACAAATAAATATATTCAATGATTATTGAAATTAATGCCAAATATATAAACATATAATTAATATTAAATTAATAAATACTTTGGCAATGGATTCATCATCGACTCCCAAATTGACCAAAAAGTTAATTAGTTCGCTATCTTGTCTTCTAATTTTAGAACTATTAGACAAACTTTGATTGGCATCTATTGTGGAACTGTTACTAAACATTGGACTTAAATYCATTTGTTGTTTATGTTGTTGTTGTTGTTGTTGTTCTTTTTGAACCAAATTTATTTGCATTTTTGTTTCAGTAATAGTGCTTTTAATCATCTCTTGTAGTGTTTCTTGTGTTTCAATTAAAACCTGAAATAGTCGAAGATTTTCACCTCTCAGTTGTTCACTCTTTTGCTGTAACTGTTGTATCATCTGATCGTCTGAGAGCGTCATATTGACAATAGGTCTTAAAACAACAGATTTAGTAGAATTAATAGTTGAGACGCCAGAAGTTGATTCCCTGTCGGGTTCCATATCAACAACAGCTTCAGGTTCGTCATGAGGTTCTCCTCCGGCAATATTTTCTCCGAGTTCTGGCGATAGTATAGTAATGGCCGCCTGAACTGCGGATCTAATAAGACTGTCCAATGCAAACATCCAGTGAGGTTTAATACTGTGGTTACGAAGTACTTGATTAACAGCTTCTTGAAAAGTAAGAAGTGCTAATTGTATTTGATTTATGGCGGCGCCATCAAAGTCAAGCTCTTCTTTGAGTGCAGCGATCGCGTCCTGAATATATTGACGTTTGTTCTGAGGTATGAAATCCCTGAGTCCGGGAAGCAGTATATGTTGCAAATGGCTTTGTGTTAACACCAAGTCTTGAATTGATTGCCGCAATAAATGAAACCAAAGCTCACAAATGGCCAGTGAGTCGTCAGTAATCACTTGGACTAAAGTGGCCCTTCTTTGCGAATCTTTCTTAAGTAAGAAAAACCCCTCCTGTTCTGACTCACCAATGGTTCCCATCGTTCCTTCAACGGGTGGCGACAATAATATACTACTTGAGCGGCGAGCATAAGGAGCATCTTCAGAGCTACAAWTTTTTTTAATCAGTATTCATTAAATATAAAAAGTTAACTAAAATATTGTAATATTTGTAATAATTATAATAATCAAAATATTTATGAGCTGGATATACACTTTTTTCTATAATGCCATTATATATACTGTATATAATAATAATAGTCATTTTCTATAATAAAAGTATTTTATAAATCACGTCTAATTGATATTAAAATTAATTAATTACAATTGGCTAACAAAAATTATTTTTAAAATAAACGTTTTTTAAAAAGTCTTTAAAAAGTGTTTGAAGTGTTTTAATACTGTTTGCAAATTATTGTAATAATACCGGTATGTTATTACTTATGTACAGTCCCTTAGAGTAAATTACTTTTTAGCTAATTCACAATTTAATAAAAAAAWTTACCTAAAAAATTAAATTAAAAATAATTTAATAATATTCCTTATAAAATTACAAAATTATTACAAAAAATGCTATTATAGAAAATGGCATTATAGGAAAACATAAGATTCCTGAKCTATACCTCTGAGAGTACATAGCAGGTGAGTGCGGGCCTGAATCGAAAGGACTGGCACACCGTCGAGATATATTTAGATGCAAATTGGGAGCACTAAACATGCCATACCATAAAACATAATATATAGATAACGTGCTATTAAAAAGTTAATTATTCATACCCGTCATCACCAGTACTAGAAAATCTATTAACTCTGGTCTCAAGTCGGTCGGGTTTGCATTGGGGGTCAGTCGGTACTGATATCGAGCGATTGAAATCATTGAGACTTCGAGTAGGACTTATAGTAAGTGGTGATGGAGTGGTTTTTTTCTTTCTTTGAGGACCGGTATCAAGAAAAGTATCTTCAAGTAATTGTCCGGCAGTGGCCCGTTGTATTGGATCGGGAATAAAACAACGAAGAATAAAGTTTTGAGCCTTTTCTGACATTGACGGTGGTATCTGTGGGTGCTCTTTATAGAAACCAACTTTAAAGATAATTTCTTGTCCCGACCCCAACTCGATAAACGGAGTCTTTCCAGTTGCCATCTCAACAATAGTACATCCCAATGACCATATATCTGCAGGTGCACCATAACCTCTCTGTCCCTGATCTATTACTTCAGGTGCCATGTATTGAAAAGTACCGGTGAATGTTTCGGTGTGCGGATTAATACCAGCCAATCGTTTAGATGTTCCGAAATCTGATATCTTAAGTATTCCAGTGTATGTATTAACTAAAACATTATCTCCTTTAATATCTCTGTGCACTATCTTCTGGTCGTGTAAATACTTAAGACCTTCGAGTATCTGTCGCGTATAGAAAGAAATAGTCGGTTCGCTGCCTTTAAGTGGACCCCATTTGGACCGTAATAGCTGTGAAAGACTACCTCCCGGAACCCTTTCCATCAATATTTTAAAAGTATTGTCTTCACAAACWGAACCTAAATAGTTAACAATATTTTTATGGCGTAATTGTGAATGAAGTTTAATCTCTTCATGAAGTGGTTGTACTTCTCTGTTCAATAAAAATATTATAATAATTAAAGTATTTTTGTAGCAAATAATTAAATATGAGTTAATAATACCCGATATTCTTTATGGGAATTTCTTTAACAGCAATTGTCACTTGAGTTCTGAGATCTCTTGCGGCAAAAACAACACCATAAGTGCCTTTTCCTAATCTTGTGCGACGATTTTGTTCATCCAATTCGTATTCAAACTTAATAATCAAACAAATTATTAATTTAATCAAATAATACAAAAACACAAAAACATAGAGACAATGACTTACTTGAATGGGTCCGGTGTCGACAATTGAGTCCAAATCAGTAACTCCTTCTTCATCAGCTGTCATTTCAATAATGAGATCATAAAATGTTTTGCGCAACTGTTCCGATGGAAAGAACATCTGAAAGTCATCGCAATTGTGATGAACATAAAGAAATAGACATCTTTGATCCGCTTTATATAAACTGTAAATTAAATTTAGTTATTATTAGTAATTACTTATTAGTAGTTATTTAAAAATTTTGAAAAGTTCTATAGAATTATCGGCAAATACCTGACACCCCTTATAGTAGAGACAGTAAAAAGCCAACTGTGCGGTCGCTTACAATTTTCTTTGTCTCGCAAACAATATATACAGATATTGGAAATTTGCAGAGATTTGCCATCAGCACCGTTCATATTGACCGTCACATATGATGGCATTAAAATTTTATCGGTTTCAAGAACTAATAGTGGGAAACGGATCACATTCACTGTTTCATCACTGATGGCATCAATGAAGTACTCCATCCAAAACTGAAATATTTGTTCTTCAGGTGTCAAAATTGCATCTTCTGGTTTGCGTTTGAATTGATTAATCAATCGTATATTACCGACAGTGGACTTAAGGTACCATTTGGGAGGCTTTAAGTTAAACATACATTCGGCCGCTTGAACAGCCTTTGAGTAATTACCGGCCAAAACACTAATCTCAAAAAAGGTCGCCACATCCCAGTAATCCTGAATCGATGCTAAGTTACCTTTTCTCCCAATTAAGATATTCAGAACCGATGCAATGTGTTGTAGTTCTGAACATTTAGGAAAATCATTACCTTTTATAACTAAAAGTGTGGCCAAATTAATGCCCGCGTATTCATTTGGTTGCACTTCAAATCCCTTTCGATACCAATTGATAGCATTATTAAGACTTTCTTCATCAGTATATTCTGACTCAACAAATATATCTTTATATATACGACCGGCTAAACAGATCATATCTGGAAAGTTGTTCTCTTCTTTTTGAAGGGCAGTCGTTACCACATGAAGTGCTTTCTCACGATCGCCGGGTCTTTTGCGTCGATTCAATGCAAAAGCATACAAATGCCTAATGAGTGGCGTATAAGTAAAAGAAGAATTTGGTAGTGATTCCAAATCATCGATCATCTGAACCATTGCATCGTAGTCTTGGATTTCACGAAATGATATCAACATATTATGGACGATATCGGCTGAGACCAGATTCGGGTCTAAGTCATGTTCCATACGTTTTCTCATATTTTTCAATGTTGTGGCTAAATCTTCACCGCTTAATGTTTCCCGAGCTTTGCGTAAATCCGCTAAAAACTTTTCCTTCATATGTGTCCTAATTTTCAATTTTATAAAATTATAGTAAAATAATAATATTTAAACTAATTTGTTATTTCAAATTTATATATATATATATATTATATGTATGTTATAGATAGTCAACAGTAAATAGTAGAAAACTTATTCATAATAATTTACTAAATATACTAACATTTAAAAATATTTATGATATTGTTAGTTAATCTATAAATAGCAAATTATATAAATTAAATTTCAAATTATTGATTGACTAAAAAAGTAAATATAAATTTAAAAATCAAGAGATGATATAAAAACAATAAAAATATAAAACAAATTGTCTATAAAATGAGTCAATGAAATGCTAAGATTGCATCAATTGTTGCAATCATTGGGCGAACGAATCATTCAAATTGTATGACTTATTGGGTAATTGTATGCAAAAGATGTCAAAAGTTTGTGGCAATTGATGTTTGCAACGTTAGGTTATCATTGTTTTGGTCACTAATAACTATATTACTTACTTAAAACATTATTAGGTTATATGTTTTGTTTGAATAAAAATATTTATTTTCATTTATTATCTAAATATTATTTATATAAATATCACTTTTATTCCTCGATAATCAGGTAAGAAAAGTTAATATTWTTTTTGTTGTAATTATATTAAATTAAAAAGTTTGTTATATAAATTAAAATATATATCATTTAAACTGTAATTACTATCGTCAATAATAAATAAAATTTCATTATAACATATTAATAATAAGAAAATCACAAAAAATAATCAATAATAATTTTGAGGAAATATAAAATATGTAAAATTGAGAATATTTTGTAAAATTACTGAAAATTATWGAAAATATTTATGTGATTTACTATTCATAAATTTTATAAATAATWTGATTGATAYTAATTATGACAAAAATCATAGTACCTATATATTTCAAATATTTATAATCATTGATAAGTTTTTTTTAAAAATATGAAGACAAAAGATTAAAATATTAATATTTTCAATAAATCTTATATTTTATAAATTTTATAATCCCTGATATTGTTTTTCTATTTAATTATAGTTAATTAAATAATCAGAATATAAGTTAAAAAGTTAAAACGCTTTATTAGTTATTATGCGATTAAGTAAAGATTCAAATTATGGTAGTTTAAATATTGATATATATATATATGTTTAAGTTATTTATTAAAGTATTAAAAAGTTCAGACATGTTAACTAATATAATATATATAAATTTATAAGATATAAAATATATTGTATAATCAGTAATAAGATTTAATTATAAGAATAAAGTATTTTTAATAATTTCCAATTATTATAAATATTTTAACTAAAATCCATTTAGATTTTCAATTTTTGAGTTAATAATTTGATAGTCAATATCAATATAACGATATAAAAGATATCATAAAAATTCATAGCACAAAAAAACAACTATTTGCTATTATTTATTAACATTTTGGATATATATTGTAAATTTGATTGACTTAATCATATTATCATTAGATATAATCTATTAACTTACTATTATATAATTAATTTTATCAATTGTTAATTTAACAACGTAATGTAAAAATGAAAATAATTACTGAATACAGTATCATAAAATAGATAATACTTTTAATCTTAATATTATAAAACATTAATTTTATAAATTAGAAAGTCTTAAAAATTAACATTAATATTGGCTTATTATACAAAATCTTAATACCCGTTACTTATTTTGCTTAATAAAATAGTTATATAATAATCTCAATATACTTTTAAGCACTTCTACGAACTTTTGGTGAAATTATAATATAAAACGAAAATTAAATTTGTGTGAAGTAACCGACAATTTGATACACGAAAAYACCATCAAAATAACAATTTATATATTATTTTGTAAATTAAATCAATATATTTAGTAATTAAATCGTTATTACTTACTTAGTCTGTACTTCGACTTCAAGTAATAACTTTTTAAGTTTAATATGAAGTGGTGTTTTAGTTTCCGATGAAAGTGGACTTTGAATATTCGGATCGTCCGAATTGGCCACAAGTCTGGCAACTGATGGTTCAGTAACATAGCAATGCTTATCGTCGGACAATCGGTATGTAATGCATGTATAGTTAGACGACGGAAGTTTCATTGGTATCACCACATCGGCGACGCTGTCATTGAAGAGCAATATATTTTGTTTCATCCCAAAGGACTCGCGATTTCCTAAACGATAAAACAAAGAGTTTTGTTGTTCTTGTATAGAGATATCAACAACAGATACATCTGCGTTATAAAACGTGTCGACAACTGATATCTCCTCGAAGTCCAACTTCTGAAACTGAATATAATGTAAGTTTGCATTACATAAATGTGCCGCTCGTTTAATCTCTTCAAAAGCAGCCTTTCGGTGACTAAGAGTCGGTGAAACTATTGTCTAATTATATAATAAAATAATTAATTTATTGAATATCATTGTATTTGTTGACAGATATGTAATGACAATAAATACCAAATCAATGAGACAAACGACGTCCATCTTAGGCCGTGAAGTGGGTGCAGATGACGGACCCGATGCGTCTCTGCTCGACGTTGAAGTAGATGGAAGTGATGAGCAACGATGTGATGGCGGATGACATGACTGGTGACCATTGTTTGCTTCATTCATTGTYTACCACTATCTTCACATAACTGGTACATCACATGAACGGCAATCATATATTGCAATATACAGTGCCATCACTTTGACACCACATTTACCACAATCTCCATGTCTTCATAATACTAATGATAACAATATAACAAATCAAATAAATATAATATAATTATCTCTAATTTGGCAAATGTTTGGCAATATTTGTAATAATTATGTTATTAACTAATATTAATAAATCATATAATGTTTGACTAATAATAATGTAATGAAAAAAATAGTTTTAAAGTTCACAGAGAGATAATACACACATATGTTGTAATGCATAGCATTTGCATCACTCATACACTGTCTCTCAATACAAGTCATTATATTATATCTTATTGTTGTTAACATTGACTGTGTTTTGCTATGTTATTGCAATAGACATACCATTTAGTCATCTGATGTCTGTTTGTGTCAATTGTGTCCCAATTGTCATCACTTATTACATACACAACTATCACCACAACTCATCCAACAAGCATTGAGTAGCCATTTGTGTGACTAACCTAAAGACACGACTTAATAGTGATGTATTGAATGACGCAATTGTCGATCACTTCAATGCATTGATTAGTCATATAAACAATGATTTAATTGAATGACATTTATTGTGAAGTAATTGTATAACAAAAGTGTGGATCAATTGTGTGAACCATTGATGTCATGGACTCAAACGTGACGGTATTCAATGAAATCAAGTCATCAGAAATCAAATTAGCAGAGGTTTGCATGTCTTTGATTCTTATATTTGTCATTTGACTGGTTATGTGATAATTGATGGACAGGTTGTCGGGAAGGGTACGTTTGGAGTGGTTAGACGCGGCATTTGGAAGGGACAGGAGGTGGCCGTCAAAATCATAGAGACGGAACAGGAAAAGAAAGCATTTCAGATTGAATTAAGACAACTGTCACGAGTGTCTCATCCAAACATTGTAAAGCTTTATGGCGCCACTCAAGACAACGGCTTTGTCTCTCTGGTCATGGAGTACGCAGAGGGAGGAAGTCTTTACAATGGTTTGTTTGGATGATTATACTGATTACACAACTTAACAATTATTAAATTGCATGTGTTTTCCAGTTCTTCATTCTGTTCCGATGTTACCGTACACACTGTCTCACGCTATCTCATGGGTGTTGCAGTGCGCCCGCGGCGTCTCATATCTGCACGGAATGCAACCCAAAGCCCTCATTCATAGAGACCTCAAACCTCCGAAGTATATTATATAGTCGTGATTTAAATGATTAAATTAATTGTAATGATTAACTTATATTTGGATGTATAGCTTGCTGTTAGTCAGTGGCGGTACTATACTTAAAATCTGTGACTTTGGAACTGCTTGTGATATTCATACACATATGACTAACAACAAGGTATTAAAAATTTTTATTATGAATTATCGTTTTTATTGGATTTCATTTACCGGTAATGTATATTATTATTTACAAAGGGTTCGGCCGCTTGGATGGCTCCCGAAGTTTTTGAAAGCTGGAATTACACCGAGAAATGCGATGTTTTTAGTTGGGGTATAATTTTATGGGAAGTATTGGCGCGAAAGAAACCATTTGATGAGATTGGTGGGCCCGCATTCCGTATAATGTGGGCCGTTCATAGTGGTCAACGACCACCGTTACTTCAAAAATGTCCAAAAGTTTTTGAAAATTTAATGACCAAATGTTGGGCTAAAGACCCCAACCAAAGGCCTGCAATGAAAGAGGTCGAAGAAATTGTGGAACAAATATTTAAATATTGTTCACAAAACGCCAATCAACCAATTATTAAYTCTCACACTAATACAAATCGTAAGTCATTTCTATAATTTTAGTTTTGTTTTAATTGAGTTTTATTTTTTTAAATAAAATCTATTAATAGCGTATTCATGTGTTGACAACAGTATAAACTCAACGAACTTTAGTATAGACCAACAAATGCAGACACAATTGGATGCTCCGCAACAAATAGTTACTGAACCGCCAGTCCTTAATATGAGTGGTACCAATATTATTGATCCCAACGATTTACTTCAAAGTGTAAGTTTTTATCGGTAAATTAAAAACAAATTTTGTTGTCTATTTTATTAAATAATTTGTATAAATTAGAAAAACAATCCGGCACTAAGTGTACCACCAAATATGTCGGGTCTCATAAATAATTCGAGTTATAATCAGCAATTGAATTATATGAATAAATCATTACGAAGGATCTCTGAGGACCAACCGGCCAATGCGGCCATTGACTCGAGTTCGGCACAATTGAATACATTTACTAAAGGACACAAACGATCCAATTCTAGTGGAACTCCAGTCACAACAATGAACAGTACATCTCAATCACTTAATAAGTCGCGTTCAATAATTGGTCTCAATGATGACCAACCCGTTGCTTCCGGTTCCAGTCAAGCATTGCAAAAAACAAGTAGCTTTTACACGGGTCGACCAGATTTACCTAAATTAGTTGTACCTTCATTTAGAGATTCTCCGCCTATTAGTAGTACCAATGATCAACAACAGGTAGCTTCTGTACCAAAGGATTTTAACGCGTATTTAGTTTTGGAGTCTGAGTTGCAACCAATACAACCCGACACCAGTAATAGAGAATCAGTTAAAATATTTGAAGAACACAAACGCATGTCTCAAGAATATTTACGTATGAAAATGGAAGTGACTCTATTGTCTTCACGAAAGCAGGAATTAGAAACCTCTAATAAGACCACCAATTCATTAGAAGATTATTTGGCGCTTAAACAAGAAAACACTGCTTTAATACAACTTAAATCAAATTTGATAACTCAGTTAAATATGATTAAACGTAAACAAAGACAACGGGAAGCGGCAGCTGATGGAGACTGGGTTCTCATCGACCGCACCGACACTCAAAACAATCATTGATTTTGTAGCAAATGTTTTAATTTTGTAATAAAATTTCATTTATTTAATGTTATTATTTATATAAAAATTTATTTTACAATATTTTAAACTGATTTAAAAAAGTAATTATAAGAAATCATTTCATTTGAAAATTAATAAATGTTATAAAACTATTGTTACAGTATTTAATATGAAATTAATTTTATGTTTGATAAAATAATTATTGACTCAAAGCCACATAAAATTGTAAATTGATTTAACGCATCACAAATTGAAAGGAGGTTCCCCTTTACTATAATATATTTAGCATAACTTAATATTTTATAGCTTAAAAAATTTAATGACATCTTAATAATAATAATAATACTGATGATAAAAGTTAGATAATAGACAATTATTATTGTACTAAACAATAATTAATTGTAATTTTTATTATTAGATATTAATAGCTAATCGATTGCAATATTTGAGAACTCGGATCTCTAAGACTTTATAATTGAAGAGTTGTGTGCTTTTGTCAAGTTTGACATCATTGAAGTATAAGACACCCGAACATTGTTTAAGATATTGGAACAGTTGATTGGGAATTACTTTGCGTAACTCATTATTTAATTGACCAATAATGGCATCGATGGTGTCATTTATAGATACAGAAAATCCAATGATTTGTTTGATGTCAATGCAATCAAATGTTATGTAGATTTCATTTGGGAACAGCTCACAGATACTTCCATTGCGTAAATGATAGTATGATATATATCTGTAATCTTCAAGACGTTGTCCATTGCAATAAAGTGATGATTCAGTTGTCTTGAGATTAGTGATAGTACAGCATTGGTATTTGATTTTTGATATTTTTGTAACTCTAGATATATAGCACTGAAGCGTCAAATGATTAATAGTATGAATATATATCATCTCATTTGTTCCCATTTCGTTGTCTCCGATGCATGAAAATGAAACCATTGGCCGATCGGACGCGAGGCCACTGCACTCTCTCTCGTGATTTAGTTTTCGAGTCGACATCTCAATGAAGATAACTCATTATTATAATAATTTTTCAAATCATTTATCTGATCGCTTAAAAAATCAATTTTATTCTTCAGGAGATTAATACAGTTGTGATCACTTAATCGGTATTTTTCGACATCGACTTCACAGTTCGTACACTTAATTTTTCTTTCCGGATGAAACTCACAGTTAAGCCGATGTAATAATAGCCGATTCAATGGTACCGATTCCCGACATCCATGTTCAGAGAAATCACATTTAATTTTCATTACTGACAAATAGTCTAAAATAAAAGGAGGCGCCTCCTCAATACAGGACGACTCAATCAATGTGTGATCCAATGGACAGCAATTTTCATTGATCACAATCTTTTCAATACAAGAAAAGCAAAATATGTGATCACAAGAAGTCAATGATTTTGGGTTATCGTACACTTTGTGACACAATTTGCAAATTAAATTATCAGATATTTCCGATATAAATCTTTCAATTTCATATCCCATTATATGTATTATTATTTAATTATATTGATATATCTAATTATGTTAATAAACTTATGTATTTATTATAATTATATTAATTTTTAATTATAATTAATTTATTACTATATAACAATCATCAATAAAAGAAATATGACATTTATAATAATATCATTATAATAAAAGATTAAAATCAAAATAGATTAATAGATAAAATATAAAACTTAAACTTGTTTACTAAAATAGTTTAACTTTATATCATTATATTTTAATAATTGTCAAATTAAAAATAAGTGATAATTACTTTCCAAATGATATATTGATAATTAGCATAAAATATTATACTTTATTAATATAAGACATTTAATTAGTAATAGTTAGTAATATTTATTTTTGATATTTGAGAAAATAGTAAAATTATTTTTTTACTTTTTACAGATACAGTATTTATATAATATAAATATTTTTAATAACTTTATTTCAGTGTCATTTATAATACAATTTTCATAACCAAATGTCAAAAATCAMAAATTATAGATTTTATAAATTATAACTAATTTAATTTATAAGTTATAATTAGTAATTACTATTTGTACTTTCTGTGATTAAATTTGCATAATTTATTTGTTATAATTTAGTTATAGTAATAAACAATTACTTATACTTTACTATTATTTATTCTAAATGTGTGTTTATGCAAATCTAATCATATGTGAGGATTTAAGTTAAATAAAATTAATAATAATAATTAAATATAAGTGATATTTTTATATAATTAATTAAAATCAATGCACTAAATTAATAAAATATACAATACCATACCATTTAACCATTTAATAATTTATTAAAAACTTTTACAATATATATATATATTATTAAAGGCGTTTACTAATTGCTTCACTGAATTCGTAATTTTTATTGCACTAGAGTTTCATAACTTAAAACAAATACAGTATTAAATATTGATTAATATATAGTACAGTACTATAAAAAGGCTTATTTAATAATATTATTTTTAATTTAATCTTAAAAGTTAAATGAGTAAACCACTAAAGTTTTGAAATTAAAAAATGAATTCACTATTGAGTCTAAGTAAGTAACTTTAGTTTAGCACAAGTTTTTTAATAATTTTATTTATTTTATTGTATATATTTTTTATTTGACAATTAATATTGATAGTTTTGAAGAATTAATTTTTTTTAAATATGTAATATTTACTGTATATAATAGGTATAGTTTTAATATTTGTATTTTTGGTGAATTGTATTGATAAGAAAGTGTATCGCATGGACACCAAAAACAATTACCTAAAGGATTGTCACTTAAAAGCTTTGGACCAATGTTTTAATAGAGGATATTATTTTACTCATACATTCAATACAAGCAATTTATCAATGAATACCAAACAGTTTGATGATATGTGTGATGCCGTCACAAATGCATACAATTGTATGAATAAGTATTTCAATGAATGTCCTGAATCGGTACAGAAAGAAGTTTACCGAATAGGGAAACAACACTTCTATGAGTCGTGGAAACAGATCTGCTCTGATGGACCTCTTAGACAAAGTTTGTCATCAAATTATAACAATTAGGACAATACTATTAATAATAATAATAATAATAATAATATTATTATTATTATATAGATTTTATAACACACTCGCCATGTATTCAGCAAACTCTTAGACAATCCAATCAATATAAGACTATTTGTATGACTAATATAGAGAAAGCTTTTGAAAAGACTTCAAATTCAAAATCAGTGATCAGTTTGATTAATACTGGTTGTTGTGCTTTCAATCAATGGCATCACTGTTTAGATAAGTATATATAACTTCATACTATATTTTTACTATTATATAATTTTTATTTAACAATAATATCAAACAGTAACATAAATAATAGTTTGTTAACAATTATGTTTTAAATTTTTAAACTTATTTTTATAATTTAGTTTAATTGCGAATAATTGTGGGAATAATGCAATGGAAGCAATAAATAATTTAATTGAAAAAGCATCGGGAGGTTAGCTATTAAATTGTAACCATAAAAATACAATTTTTTATTATATAATTATATTAATTTTAAATCTTAAGGTTTTGTCTACAATTTATGTACTAAAGACGGCTATAATCCGGGATCTCAATTGTGTACAAAGTTGTTAAAAACTAATCAAAATTATGGAAATAAATACTTATAAATTTTATATGCTATATTTTAGTGTATTCAATTTATTAATCAATTATTTAAAATGAATTATAAAATATTAATATTAAATCTGATTAAATAATATAATAATATTTCTATTATACTGTATAATAAATGTAATATTCTAAACAGTATAATAAGTATAATCCATTTACTCTATTGTTACTCAATATACTGTATAATAAATCAATTTGACAAATATTAATATATTGATATAATATACATTATATTATAGTTTAGAAATTAACTCTTACTATATAATTACAATTTTGATAGAAAAACATTTTTTGATGATAAAACCAATATACAAGATTATACAATATACTATACATAACAACATTATATTTCCATTATATTTCAAATATTTGCATTAACTTCTATTACATATTATTAAATACAATAGTTAAAAATGTGTTAATTTTAATATTGATACAACTATTCAAATAAATAATATAAAATTCATTTTTTTATAAATTATATTTTTATTTAATAACAATTTAAAAATATGATATAAATAAACCAAATTATAAATGACTGCACATAAGGTATATAAGGATAATAACAAGCTTTCGATATTAACAGTTTTTCTAATAWTTATTCATTTTTTAAAAATCTTATAACAATAAAASAATTATTATATACTGTATTTAAATATAGAAAAATGTATTTAAAGTATTGTATTAAACAAATGTTAATATTAATGATAATYATTAYAATAACAACAAAATCTTTTGGAAAAGAAGAAGATGGTGAAGAAGGAAAGGGAGGAGGAAGTGGTGGTGGAGGAGGAGGAGGAGGAGGAGGTGGTGGTCAAGAAGGAAGTAGTGGTGCAAATAAAGAGGGAAGAGAGGGTTCACCGCAAGGATATCAAAGTAATTATGTTTTTAAAGTTTACTTTTATTGATATTATTTATTTAAATTATTTAGAAAATTGTAGATTACATAAAAAAAAAATTAAAAATTCGGTACAGAATGTCTATTAGAGCTTTTAATAATGAATTATTAGTTAATCATTAAATGACTTAAATTTAAATTTCATTATACTGTATATTAGCATATTTAAAAAAATACAGTATATTAACTCACAATTTAATAATTTTTTAGATAGAATGGGATCAGCTGGTCCTCAAGGAATGGGCAACAATATGGCAGGTATGGGAACAATGGGTGCTAATAGAGGAATGTCAGGAGCCATGGGTTCAATGAGGGGTAACCAAGGAATGGGTAATTTTAATGCTAATAGAGGTATGAATCAAGGAATGGGTTCAATGGATAGATCTATGACAGGAGGAATGGGCGGTGGAAGAAGACAACCCTATTCTAATAATATGAATCCAAGAAACAGTATGACTTCTGGTATGAATAGACAAGGATTTGGTCAAAAAAATCAGTATCAAAGCGGAGGTTATAATGGTTATAATGGTTATAATGGTTAAAAATGTGATAACAGTTTACAACAATAAACAATACTTTATTTAAAAACTTTATATGAAGTACTGTATGATATAAATCTCTAACTATGATAATTCATAAATAAATTGTGTTTTTAATAGTTTGTATAAAAATTGTATATCTACTCAATGTTTTCAAATTCAAATAAATATATAACTTAATACTTTACTTTATATTTATTTTTATAAAGTTCTACCAGTTAATTAATTTATTAACAATTATCAAAACTATTGTTTTACATATAAGTTTATTGGTTATTAAATATTGTAACCAATTATTACACATAAACTAAATTAGAGTTCAGTAATTATAAACTTATGATTTTATGATATTTTATGATATTTTATGATATTTTATGATATTTTATGATTACAAAATATTTTTTTTTTTCATACAGTATATCRAATTAAATTATAATATGATATAGACTTTTATGTTAAATTATTTTATTGAATTTATTGTGTAGTGTATAATAAAATTATTATTGTATTACATTACCTTTACATTAATATTTTAATTGATGCAAATAATAAAATACTACAGTACTATACATTAAGGACTATAATTTAAAATATAATGAAATTAAAAGCATTATTGCTGTATATAATTTAATAATTAATAAACAAAAAGTTAATTTTAATTTAATCAATATTTGATAAATTATTTATTATATAGTATTTTATTCAAACTTTATAATGTGTGTCAATATAATTGATAGTATTTTGTGACAAAACATTGTATAATATATAGTAAATCATTGGATTTACTCTAAAAGTTATCATTTAGTTTGCGGTAAATATAATAAAATTGAAATATTTGATGAAAAAGTATTATTAATATAATATGACATCAATTGCTATAACTATAGTATTGAACGCCAGATGTCATGTCAAATGTGATATCAATGGATGTATTGATAATAAAATGGTTGACAATTGATGTCCAAGTGATGGCACAAATCAATGATAATTTGTTGTTTAAGACATAAATGACAATACAATAGAAATAATTGATGGGTTTGTTTGATGGTTGTTGTGGTCGTCAGTGTTGTCCATCACTTTGTTTCCGTCCAAAAGCCGATACATTGACATCACTAGACCTGAGCCATCACTGTCTTCAAGACGTCCCAAACAATGTCTTTTCACACGAGCGTACTCTTGAAGATCTGGTTTTAGACGCCAATCAAATCAGGGATTTGCCCCGAGTTTGTCAATATTTTATTATCCACTTTAAGTGTCTTTGAATTTGAATTAATAATCTCTCAATTGTTTGATAACTTTAGGCATTATTTCATTGCGAAGGTTTGCGTCGATTAGGTTTAGCCGACAATGAATTGCAATCGATTCCAAGTGCGGTGTCATCGCTGACCAAATTAGAAGAGTTGAATATCAGTAAAAACAATATCTTACAAATCCCTGATAGCATCAAGTCTTGTAAGTGCCTTAAAGTAGTCGATGCATCCATCAATCCATTGGGTCCACGACTTCCCGATGGCTTCACTCAATTAATTAATTTGCAAGAACTTTATCTCAACGATGCATTCCTCGAGTTTCTTCCCGCCAACTTTGGCCGGTATTTATGTTTTTAATTATAATATTTTACAAATGTTTAAACAATTGATTTATTTGTTCACTAGTTTATCGCGTTTACAAATTGTTGAATTGCGTGAAAATCATATCAAAGTCTTACCAAAATCTATGTCCCGTTTGATTGATTTAAGACGTCTAGATATCGGACAAAATGATTTTCTGGAGTTTCCCGAAGTTATCACAAATTTGCCCAAATTATCGGAACTTTGGTGTGACTGTAACCGCATTATTTCGATACCAAATGTATTAAACAAAATGATAGACAATTTATATTTTTAGGATATTTATTGAAATAATTGTATTTTTTTAGTCAATCGGTAATTTAAAAGAGTTGACATATATCGACGCCAGTTATAATAAAATTGAAGAAATAGCTTCAGATATCTCCGAGTGCTATGAGTTAACTGATCTGACTTTTACATCCAATAAGTTAACAGAACTACCGGAAACTATTGGCAATTTGACTAATTTAAAGATCTTAAGAGTTGATGAAAATGATATCTCATTACTTCCCTCTTCTATTGGAAGGTATATTTGTTTAGTTTATAAGATGTTATCTATTTATCTAATATTATATTTATTTTGAATTTAATAGTCTATCAAATATAGAGGAATTAGTTTTTAATGATAATCAAATTGAGAGCCTTTCGAGTAATATTGGATTACTTCGCAATTTACATACATTAATCTGTGACACCAATAAGCTAACTGAGCTGCCCGTGTCTATCGGTAGTTGTATTAGTCTTAGAATATTATCGTTGGCTAATAATCTGCTTAAAGTGATTCCCGACGAATTGGGACGACTTTCTTCTTTAAAAGTTCTTAATTTGAACTCTAATTGTTTAATGTATTTACCGCTTTCACTGACAAAAATATCAAATCTTCAGGCATTGTGGTTGAATGAAAACCAAACAAAACCATTAATACAATTGCAGTCAGACATCGATAAGGAAAGTGGTCAGAAGGTATTGACATGTTTTTTATTGCCTCAAATTTCCAATGAAAATCACCGCAATTCAATAAAAGATATAATACCATCAACTGATGAAAATAGTACACTACATGATAGACAATTGATTAAGTTTTCAAATGATGGAATTGATGACGATTTGGACGTTAGAATAACGACGAAATTAATCCGCGCTCCGACTCCTTATCCTAAGGAACTAAAAGCTCACGCAAGACATGCAAGAAATTTGGCGCTCAAACAAAAAGATGGCAATAATTTAGTGCCGATAGTCAGTGCAAATGGTGGCGATAATCATAACAATCATGTTTCAGAAAATGATGAACAAAACAATAGATCTGAATGCGATTTAAAGTCTAGTCATTTTGAATTAAAAGACACAAAAATGTCAAAATCTCCATTAAATTTAAGGCATTCGACAACCAGTGAAGTCGCCAAACGTCCGACTACTTTACCCATAACTTCTTCATTTAACAATCAAAACAATAAAACATTAATTAAAAGTAATTTTTTTATTGATTTTGTAAATTTATTGTTTATATTAATGTTTTTTTCGATTTACAGACGAACTGGATTCAGAAGAGATCGAATTKGTTGGCACACAGATTGCAAAACTAATGGAACACAAAGATTGTGGTGACTATAGAACTGTTGGGAAGACGGGTCACGAACGCAAAAGTAGTTACAAAGTGGCGGTCAATAGTTCTGCGAGTTGTTTGAAAAGTCCTGTCGAAAGAAAAATCAAATCGAAATCTTTGTCTATTATTAAAGATGATTCTGAAAGAGGATATAAAAGCGATATTGAAATCTACGCTTTGGACAGATCGTCGACAAAATACAAAACTGATTATACAAGTGATTGTGAACTAAATTCAAGTCGTTTGTCGCGACAAAAACAAACGGTGCCTCAAGAATGTGATTCAAATAAGAAGAAGCCTTTTGAATCCAATAACGATTTAGATATAAACTGTGATTCTATAATAAACAGTCAGTCGACTGATATGACAAACATTCCACAAACCGATTATCTCTCAAATGATCGGATAATTGATTCTTCAGATGTTGTAAGTGATAGTAATTCACAACAAATCTCATCACAAAGTAATTTAAACTTAACTCAAAATATTAATAAACAAAATTATGACAAAACTGATGAACCAATTAATGCAATTGATGTCAATTCAAATTCATCTCTGAAATCATATCCATTTATAGGAAGCGAACGATCTTTATCAGTAAACTCGGGTCACTTGCCTTTTAACGGCAGTACAGCCACTGATAACAATGGTGTCAGTACTAGTCATTATACTTCATCACGAGTTACAACCACTAACATTATAAATAAAATATCATCTTTACCTCACAAACCTCTCAACAATAATTCTACTCAACTGGACTCGCAAACGACAGCATCTGTTGTGTCCAATGCTCGTCAAAGACAACCACCAACCGCTTCGTCACAATTTATAATTAATAAATTTTCGCACGACTCATATACTCAATCAAAAGCATCAAACGGTCACAATTCAAAYACATTGTCTTCATTGGATGAAAGCCACAACAACTGGAATATTAATGGAATAGATTTTATTGATGACTCTACTGAATCTTCAAAGGGTTCTAACGGTTCCATTGGTTCCAATTCATGTGATCTGTTAAATACAGTTAATAATAATTTAACTCATAGTAACCGATATAATGCTACAAACAATTTACAAGTTGTGAGTCATTAATGTCTAATTATTTTGGCGATTAACTGAATATTTATAAAATTAATTTTTGTCTATAGTTTCCCGTAATAATTGTTAAGAATCCGGGTCTCGGTTTTATCTTTGACTGTTATTCAAAACAATCAAATGAATCGACTGTTAGTTAAGATTTATAAAAATAATAGTTTAAATTAATTAATTCATTTGTAATACATATAAATTAATTGATTGCAGGGATTGTATGTGTCGTGTGTAGAACCGGCCGGTTCTGCGAGTACTGCACTGAAGGTCGGCGACAAAATACTTCAAATCGATGGCATAGATGTTCAAAATGTGACCAAAGATAAGGCCAATTATATATTTGAATCAACTGGAGATACAATTTCTCTAATCGTTTTGAGAGATAAATCTTAATTTTAATGATTTCAATTTTTGAATAACGTTTTTACATACATTTTATTAAACCTACAATTGTGTTGATTTAATGCTTTAGAGATAATTTATTATGCATGAGATTTACTATAAAAAACGCAATCAATTATTAGTTTTTGTAGTTAATCGTGATATAATAGAGTATATAATGTACAGTAGTATAGAATTTATAATACAGTAGTTTTGATTAAATTAATATATTGATTGTCGTTTATATATCTGATAATATGCACAAATAAACACTCATTGAGCATAACTTAAGATAAATTGCTTAAATTTTAATAATTTTTTTTATAAATTATGTTTTAAACCAAAATTTGATTTTGAGATTTAATTTATTACAATTTGATATTATTTTGTTTATTTAAACTTTTTTACAATTATTTATTTGTTTTAACATTATCATTAATTATTTATTGTTTAATTTATGAATGCATTTTATTTTTTACACAGTATTTTTAGATATTTAATATTTTAATTACAGTCATGTGTTTATATACAGTTTATATCTAAAGTTTATAAAAAAAAATCTTAACAAATATGCAATAATTATAATTAACTTAAATAAAGATTTAATTTAAAAAATGATTTATTCATTGGCTGAAATATATTATATTTAATTTCTAATTGTTAAAAAACATTTGTATTACAATTTTATGTATATTTGCTATAATTTGATAACTTATTGATTAATAAAATGTTTGAAGAGTTGCATTAGAGTTATATTTTTGTGTTTATTGTTTTACTAATTTCTTAAAACTATTATTTTTTTGATACATTAGTTTACTTCGAGTTTGCAAAAGAGCTAATAAAATGATGATCTGATTAAAACAAAATTATAGTAATTTAAATATTGGCTGTTGTATAGTATAGCTGCCACTTGTTGTTCACGCGATTAATATTTAATACAATTTTAAAGTTAAATATACAAATATCGCGTTAATTACAATAGATTTTATTAAATATAAATATATTATTATGAAATAATATTTTACATTGCAAATTAATATATATATACCTGTATATACTGTAATTAAAATTACATTAAAGGGTTGTATAATTGTTTTATACAATCAATAAAAAAAAATAAAATTATCTAAATTGTTGTGAAGTACGTGTCGGCGCCAAAGATATTCGGCTAAATGTAGATAAAGGTTATCTTGTGGTATACCCCCTCTTAAAAGATTGCGTTTCATAGCTCTCCATTGAGATTCAATGGTCTGTGTGTTTGCACCGGTATGTGAATTGACAAACTCTTTCGAATGATTCACAGTAAAATGGACAAAACCTAAAAATTAAAAAATTAATTAACTTAATAATATGTTTTATCTATCATTTATACCATTGTCTGTTAGTCTATAATATCCAGCCCAACAGTCAGACACAATAGTTGTCCCAATTTTTACATGCTTACGTATCAAAGGTAAAAGAGTGTCGGCATCTCTTTTATTTAGGGGACATATTTCTAAACGAAATCTACCTCCACGTCGACAATTAGCTCCTATTTGAATCTCAACTAAACCTAAAATCCACGTCCCATCAACTAGTCGACCTCTATTGTACTTTCTTTTACCAACTTTTGTTTCGTCAATTTCTACGACAACTCCTGAATTAAAAGTTATCAAAATATTATCATTATAATTAGGTTTAGGTTGCGGTCGGAACTCCAGGTTAGGTAACAGAGCAAACACTAATACACTATGAGTTTGGTATTACCATTATAATTAGGTTTAGGTTGCGGTCGGAACTCCAGGTTAGGTAACAGAGCAAACACTAATACACTATCAGTTTGGTATTACCATTATAATTAGGTTTAGGTTGCGGTCGGAACTCCAGGTTAGGTAACAGAGCAAACACTAATACACTATGAGTTTGGTATTACCATTATAATTAGGTTTAGGTTGCGGTCGGAACTCCAGGTTAGGTAACAGAGCAAACACTAATACACTATGAGTTTGGTATTACCATTATAATTAGGTTTAGGTTGCGGTCGGAACTCCAGGTTAGGTAACAGAGCAAACACTAATACACTATGAGTTTGGTATTACCATTATAATTAGGTTTAGGTTGCGGTCGGAACTCCAGGTTAGGTAACAGAGCAAACACTAATACACTATCAGTTTGGTATTACCATTATAATTAGGTTTAGGTAATGTGCATAATTAAATATGTATCATATACTACCTTCTCCTCCTAAGAGATCAACTGATTGATATTTTTCGACCCAATCAAATACCACTTCTCGACAAAAGTTAAGCCAATCACTTATAGTGTTATGAGATGTTGTTTTAGTTAAATCACTTGTTTCTCGTTTAATGTCCTCATATTTTGTTGTGCCGACCGAAAACAGGTACGTCAAGATTATTATGTTTTCAATGCTAAACTTTGATCCAGAAAACCACGTATTATTCAAAGCACTTAGTCTATAATCATGAGGTTGTCCATGCTTTTGGTGGCACCGGTACGATAATTGTTTGACAATTATCTTCTATGAAAATAATTTTTTAATGTATTTTTTTGCAAATTAATTATTTACCATTTCGTTGTCACAAATGGGACACTTTTTAGTTGCTAATAATAAACCCATTGTTATACACCAGTTAATCATTGTCTCCTGTGAGACAAGTATTAGTCTAAATAATGTCTTTAGATTAATCATTTTGTTCACTAAATTTAAGTCATAGCTTTCAAAAGAAACATAACTTTCAAGAAAAACTTAACAAAGAAAATATTCTCTAATTTACAATAAAATTAATAGTAATTCACGAGACATTCATATATTTATCTTTAAAATTGTATTAAATATTAATCGCGTGAACAACAAGTGGCAGCTATACTATACAATACCCTATGTGGGTATTGTATAGTATAGCTGCCACTTGTTGTTCACGCGATTAATATTTAATACAATTTTAAAGATAAATATATGAATGTCTCGTGAATTACTATTAATTTTATTGTAAATTAGAGAATATTTTCTTTGTTAAGTTTTTCTTGAAAGTTATATATATCTTATTGAAAGCTATGACTTAAATTTAGTGAACAAAATGATTAATCTAAAGACATTATTTAGACTAATACTTGTCTCACAGGAGACAATGATTAACTGGTGTATAACAATGGGTTTATTATTAGCAACTAAAAAGTGTTATTTGTGACAACGAAATGGTAAATAATTAATTTGCAAAAAAATACATTAAAAAATTATTTTCATAGAAGATAATTGTCAAACAATTATCGTATGATGCACCAAAAGCATGGACAACCTCATGATTATAGACTAAGTGCTTTGAATAATACGTGGTTTTCTGGATCAAAGTTTAGCATTGAAAACATAATAATCTTGACGTACCTGTTTTCGGTCGGCACAACAAAATATGAGGACATTAAACGAGAAACAAGTGATTTAACTAAACAACATCTCATAACACTATAAGTGATTGGCTTAACTTTTGTCGAGAAGTGGTATTTGATTGGGTCGAAAAATATCAATCAGTTGATCTCTTAGGAGGAGAAATTATATGATACATATTTAATTATGCACATTACCTAAACCTAATTATAATGGTAATACCAAACTGATAGTGTATTAGTGTTTGCTCTGTTACCTAACCTGGAGTTCCGACTCGCAACCTAAACCTAATTATAATGGTAATACCAAACTCATAGTGTATTAGTGTTTGCTCTGTTACCTAACCTGGAGTTCCGACCGCAAACCTAATACCTAATTATAATGGTAATACCAAACTCATAGTGTATTAGTGTTTGCTCTGTTACCTAACCTGGAGTTCCGACCGCAACCTAAACCTAATTATAATGGTAATACCAAACTTATAGTGTATTAGTGTTTGCTCTGTTACCTAACCTGGAGTTCCGACCAGCAACCTAAACCTAATTATAATGGTAATACCAAACTGATAGTGTATTAGTGTTTGCTCTGTTACCTAACCTGGAGTTCCGACCGCAACCTAAACCTAATTATAATGGTAATACCAAACTCATAGTGTATTAGTGTTTGCTCTGTTACCTAACCTGGAGTTCCGACCGCAACCTAAACCTAATTATAATGATAATATTTTGATAACTTTTAATTCAGGAGTTGTCGTAGAAATTGACGAAACAAAAGTTGGTAAAAGAAAGTACAATAGAGGTCGACTAGTTGATGGGACGTGGATTTTAGGTTTAGTTGAGATTCAAATAGGAGCTAATTGTCGACGTGGAGGTAGATTTCGTTTAGAAATATGTCCCCTAAATAAAAGAGATGCCGACACTCTTTTACCTTTGATACGTAAGCATGTAAAAATTGGGACAACTATTGTGTCTGACTGTTGGGCTGGATATTATAGACACTTTTTAGTTGCTAATAATAAACCCATTGTTATACACCAGTTAATCATTGTCTCCTGTGAGACAAGTATTAGTCTAAATAATGTCTTTAGATTAATCATTTTGTTCACTAAATTTAAGTCATAGCTTTCAAAAGAAACATAACTTTCAAGAAAAACTTAACAAAGAAAATATTCTCTAATTTACAATAAAATTAATAGTAATTCACGAGACATTCATATATTTATCTTTAAAATTGTATTAAATATTAATCGCGTGAACAACAAGTGGCAGCTATACTATACAATACCCAACAGGGCTGTTGTATAGTATAGCTGCCACTTGTTGTTCACGCGATTAATATTTAATACAATTTTAAAGTTAAATATACAAATATCGCGTTAATTACAATAGATTTTATTAAATATAAATATATTATTATGAAATAATATTTTACATTGCAAATTAATATATATATACCTGTATATACTGTAATTAAAATTACATTAAAGGGTTGTATAATTGTTTTATACAATCAATAAAAAAAATAAAATTATCTAAATTGTTGTGAAGTACGTGTCGGCGCCAAAGATATTCGGCTAAATGTAGATAAAGGTTATCTTGTGGTATACCCCCTCTTAAAAGATTGCGTTTCATAGCTCTCCATTGAGATTCAATGGTCTGTGTGTTTGCACCGGTATGTGAATTGACAAACTCTTTCGAATGATTCACAGTAAAATGGACAAAACCTAAAAATTAAAAAATTAATTAACTTAATAATATGTTTTATCTATCATTTATACCATTGTCTGTTAGTCTATAATATCCAGCCCAACAGTCAGACACAATAGTTGTCCCAATTTTTACATGCTTACGTATCAAAGGTAAAAGAGTGTCGGCATCTCTTTTATTTAGGGGACATATTTCTAAACGAAATCTACCTCCACGTCGACAATTAGCTCCTATTTGAATCTCAACTAAACCTAAAATCCACGTCCCATCAACTAGTCGACCTCTATTGTACTTTCTTTTACCAACTTTTGTTTCGTCAATTTCTACGACAACTCCTGAATTAAAAGTTATCAAAATATTATCATTATAATTAGGTTTAGGTTGCGGTCGGAACTCCAGGTTAGGTAACAGAGCAAACACTAATACACTATCAGTTTGGTATTACCATTATAATTAGGTTTAGGTTGCGGTCGGAACTCCAGGTTAGGTAACAGAGCAAACACTAATACACTATGAGTTTGGTATTACCATTATAATTAGGTTTAGGTTGCGGTCGGAACTCCAGGTTAGGTAACAGAGCAAACACTAATACACTATGAGTTTGGTATTACCATTATAATTAGGTTTAGGTTGCGGTCGGAACTCCAGGTTAGGTAACAGAGCAAACACTAATACACTATGAGTTTGGTATTACCATTATAATTAGGTTTAGGTTGCGGTCGGAACTCCAGGTTAGGTAACAGAGCAAACACTAATACACTATCAGTTTGGTATTACCATTATAATTAGGTTTAGGTAATGTGCATAATTAAATATGTATCATATACTACCTTCTCCTCCTAAGAGATCAACTGATTGATATTTTTCGACCCAATCAAATACCACTTCTCGACAAAAGTTAAGCCAATCACTTATAGTGTTATGAGATGTTGTTTTAGTTAAATCACTTGTTTCTCGTTTAATGTCCTCATATTTTGTTGTGCCGACCGAAAACAGGTACGTCAAGATTATTATGTTTTCAATGCTAAACTTTGATCCAGAAAACCACGTATTATTCAAAGCACTTAGTCTATAATCATGAGGTTGTCCATGCTTTTGGTGGCACCGGTACGATAATTGTTTGACAATTATCTTCTATGAAAATAATTTTTTAATGTATTTTTTTGCAAATTAATTATTTACCATTTCGTTGTCACAAATGGGACACTTTTTAGTTGCTAATAATAAACCCATTGTTATACACCAGTTAATCATTGTCTCCTGTGAGACAAGTATTAGTCTAAATAATGTCTTTAGATTAATCATTTTGTTCACTAAATTTAAGTCATAGCTTTCAAAAGAAACATAACTTTCAAGAAAAACTTAACAAAGAAAATATTCTCTAATTTACAATAAAATTAATAGTAATTCACGAGACATTCATATATTTATCTTTAAAATTGTATTAAATATTAATCGCGTGAACAACAAGTGGCAGCTATACTATACAATACCCTATGTTTCAAGTATTCAATGAAATAAAGTGTTTAAACTGACATTTTTTAAAATTAAATACTAAATTAATGTTAATTTATTTAATGGTTAAAACGTTTACTATTAATATTCAATTACTAGAAATTATATAAATCTTTAAAAATTATAAATATATGATACAAATAAAGTTATTTATTCTCGTGTTATTTCTGTACAAAATATTTATTTGATTATTACAGATAATAATTATTAAATATATTATTAATAATAATAATTTATTATATAACTTAGAGGGCTTCGTTTTTTATATATTTTTTTAAATTGTAATATAAAACCATTAAACTTTATATTTGGGTTAGTTTGGGGGTGGGTGGGGTAGGTGGGAGGTTAGATAGTAGTGTATTAGGTAGGGGTGGTGTGGAGTCATATTATGATTTATAAATTTTTATTGACTTCTAATGTGAATACAATCGAGTGATTTTTAATACATTTAATACAGTGTTGTAATGCACGCGAAAACAATATAAAAAACGAAGTCCTCTCTAAGGTAAGTGTTGTCATATTATTATTATATTTCATGCTTTTATTATTATATTTTTAAATATTTTATCCAATTTRTTAATTTTTTACTTGAATACAATACTTTAAATAATTACAATGAATTATGAAATGAGTTTTTTAATTGTATTTATTAGTGTCTCAGTTGTCGATCCTATAGTTAGCGATGAATACAATTGTCGTCAAAGAGTTAATTATTGTTTATTTAGTCGTGAAATGTCTGCAATAAGAGCACAGAATATTCGTGAAAGTGATGTCAAACAAACTGTTGAATGTTGCGGACAATGGCTTTCCCTTAAATGTATTAATACTGTCATAAAAGAGATAAATGCAATCAATTGTAGCGAAGAAAACAAGATTTCAAAAGAGTTGGAAATTAATTTAACACAAAATAATTTGTGTAAAGAATTTGCAAATTCAAAGAAGTGTTTTTGGCCGGAATGGGTCCATATTGTCGTCCATATTATGACTATTTTGGTAGTCATTGTTTTTATCAGTCTTTCATTTATAGCTTTACAACCAAAACTACAAAAAGAGATCAAACAAACACCTGAAACAAACCGATTGAAGAGTCCAGCGACTGATCAAAAGGACACATCAAAAACCCCACCAATGGTTGAAACAAAAATCCCGAATTCAATATCCGGTTATTTTAAATACAATAAAGTCTAACATTTATTTTTTAAATATTTTGATTTAAAGACATTTTAGGTGCAAAATCATATAATTATATAATTTTTAAAAATAATAATAAATTTTATTGAAGTCAAACGTTTGTTACTTCAAGTTTCTACTCATAAAAAAGTTTATTAAAATAATTATTATTAATATAATAATAATTAATAAATATTACTTTTCTGAAATAATAACCAAAACTATAAACTATTATCCATTTATGTTAATAATTAATTTAATTTATTAATTAATTTATACGACTAATTGTTTATTAACAACAAATTTAAGTATTAATTGATAATTATATTTAAAAAAGTTATGATTAAAACAATCAATATATTGAATATAATGTCACGTAATATATGAATAYAATTGAGTTTATTATGTGTTATGACTTGCAGTTTGTCCTCAAATCTCAAACAATAATCCGATTGACTCTTCATTTACTAAASTTTTTTGTCTTTTTCGGTGACATTTGAAGATATATTTTAATATCTTTTAATTAATCCTAATATTTGTTATCTTTAACGGGAAGTGTCAACACATAAAAAGGCAATAAAATGGTATGAATTAGCAAATAATGTTTGATTGTGACAATTGTGGTAATGATTGATATATTGATGAACAGAGTATAATGTCATACAATGGCGGATGTGTTATAGCGATGAAAGGCAAGGGATGTGTTGCCATTGCAGCCGACAGAAGACTCGGAGTTCAAGGACACACTGTGTCAACTGATTTCAAGAAGATCTTCGAAATGGGACCAACTCTTATGGTAGGACTTCCCGGACTGGCCACCGATACGTTGACAGTCTCGCAAAGACTTAAATTTAGAATCAATTTGTATGAATTGCGTGAAAACAGGCGAATCAGTCCCAAAACTTTTGGATCAGTTGTGTCCAACTTATTATATGAACGCCGGTTTGGACCGTACTTTATATCTCCAGTAATTGCAGGCTTAGATCCAAAGACAAGCGAACCATATATAAGTACAATGGATTTGATCGGTTGTATTGATGAATCCGACGACTTTGTGTTAGCCGGAACTGCGGAAGAACAGGCATTCGGTATGTGTGAGACACTTTGGGAGCCCGACCTCGAACCGGATGACCTCTTCGAGACCATCTCTCAAGCATTAGTTAATGCAGTCGATAGAGACGCTATGTCTGGATGGGGAGCTATTGTCTATGTCATCGAAAAAGATAAGATTACTGAAAGAACTGTCAAAACTCGTATGGATTAATGCATTCAATTCAAGAGTTAATACTTGAAAAAAAATTCCGTATTTTTTATTAATGAATAACTTATAAATAAAAACTTAAACAAAAATTTTATGATTTTATGATTTTGTTGTCTAAATTTGAAAAGATTTTTAAGTGATTATCTGCTGATCCACTAATCATATATTTATCAGAAGACCAATTAACACAAAGAACTTTGTCTTCATGTCCTATAAGATCAAAAAGCGGTGCATTTGCTGATCGTATGTCCCATTGTTTAACTATATTATCATAAGAACCGGAAATAAAATGGTATTCATTTGTTTTACTCCAATCAATGGCTGAAACCCACGCTTGATGTGAGGTATAAACTCTTGAGACTAGAGATCCTGAACTGGTTCGGGGATCCCATAGTCTAATGTGTCGATCACACGAACCGGTAATTAAACAGGTATTGAATGATGAGTAAGAAATGGCCAAAAATGCTTTGTTTGAAGTGAGTGTTTGTTTGTTTTCTGCCACTTCTATATCCCAAATACGGATTGTATTATCCATAGAACAGGTGGATATGTTTGCAATGCTCGTCTCCGATAGTTTATTCATCCAAACACATCCAGTGATGGCTTCTTTATGACCACTGAGTGTTATAACTGGAATTCTATTTTTATCACCTCTCTCTGATCCATCATTTTTCTTGCTTTTCTTCTGCGCGGAAGTCGATGGTTCCGAGTCTTTCAATTCATGTTTCGGATCAGCTAATGACCAGATCTTTAGCATTTGATCATAAGATCCGGTGGCTATCAAATCATTGTTCACATCAACACAATCAACAGATCGTGAATGTCCTCTACAAGAGAACAGATATTCCACTTGATTTGACTGTGAGTTCCACTTCCAGACAATTGCCAACTCGTCGTGAGAAGTCGTGACAAACATATGATCATTTGAACTATCATTAGACTCGTTGACAATCCATTTAACGGCTTTAATTGGTGCCAAATGAGCCGGTATTGCAATCTTATGTGATCCGTCACTGTTTAGGTCCCAAATATGTACTGAATTGTCATAACAGCCACTTATTATCCAATTATGATGACAATCAACACAAGAGACCCAATCGTCGTGAAGTAGTGAGTTGTGTGGCTTYGGTGGACACCATTTGGCAAAGAACTCAATTTGCAGCTCATTCTCAACACTTAATGTTTCTTCATTTTCAACAAATTCTTGGACAGACACTCGTAATAACTTATTATTGATAATAAAGTCAAATTCAGTGTCTTCTAAGTTAAGATCACTTTGTTGATCATCAAAGGTCTCTGCAATTAACGTCTTGATCAATGAGTTCAATGCCAGACCATCAGTGGATCCATTGATCGCGTAAGGAGTCGACGGAATAGCAAAACGACTATCTTTTGTGATAAATGTTGCCATAAATTGATGGACACTCTTGTCGTCCATCGTATCCATTGAAGATTAGGTCTCAAATCAAATAACAATCAAATAATAATTAACAGCAAAACACGTGTTTGTGTTTAAAGTGTTGTTTAAGTGATTCAATGCTTTACTTGTGTCACACTTTCACTGCATTGAAGGAAATACTGTATTAATACATACAGTACTGTAATGTACTATAAAGTCATTCATAAGGCATTGATTTGTTTTAAACAATTGTTTTATTGATGAAAAAAATGAATATTTAATGAAAACTATTTAAAACATTTTATAAATACATTTAAATACAATATTTAAAATGAAAAAATAAGTACTAATTATCATTATTTCTAGTTCTGTCTAATAAACGTCTTAAAATCAAACTGCCGGTGTCCAGAGCACTGTTAGCTCCTACCAGTGCCTGTCTATAAGTACTATTAGCCAAACCAAGTCCTTGATCGTAGAGATTTGATGCAATTCTTGAGCTATGGTGGGGCAAATAACACGTGCGATACCACAGAGATCTATATTGAGGAATAACCCACTCTTCTTCAAATTGTTTCAGTTGTGATGCATTTGGTATATGAGTCGGTGCTAACGGTTCCAGTAATCCCTGACACCAATTCTGTCGATACAATTCATAAGCTGACAGACTTCTCGATGTGGTGTTTGTTGCTTCTGGTCTTTCTGTCTTATTTTCCATATTTTCATCCGAGTCCTCAACAAGTGTCCAATTAATTGTATCCAACAATTCATACGCCGGTCCCCGCATATCAATGGTATCATTGATTTCATTTGATTGTGAAAAGACATAGTTTGCCATCAAAGGCAGACACAACACAACAAACAATTTTGAACACATTTTTATAATAAAATAGTTTGAAATAAAAAGGATTTTAAAATATAAATAAAATATCTAATTATAAATAATTATAAATTTTAAAAACAATAATTTAGATGAAAATACCAAATGCTAATGATTTCAATAAAGTTTGTTTCATCTCTTTTATAGAGATATTTGGACTAAATTTTTATTCAAAGTTTAGTTATTTTTGACCTAAAAATCAAAAAGAAATAGTTTTTAGATGTCTTAAACTAATAAAAACTGGAATTTTCCCAATAAAAGTGTTATTAAAGATTAATTTTTACTTGAACTTGGTCAATTTCTATAATTTATAGTAATAGTTATATTATTTTTAGAATAAACAATTGTGGATATGTATTGTAAATTAAATAAATTAATTGACAAATAAGTTATTATATTTTGACTTTTAATAAAAAAACTAAAAATTAATATTGTATTCTTGATAACTAACAAATTGGATTATTTAATTAATCAATAAATTAACCAAAAAATATTTCAATACAGAAAAATAATTAAAACAAAATAATAGTTTAATATTTTATGTTTTCTAAAGTTCGAAGAAAAGTTTTTATATTGTTATATAAAACTTTGATTAATTGGTGRACAGAAAACATTATTCTAAAAATTTAGTCAATTTGTGTATATTTTTTTAAAACTTTTATKTATATCATAAAACTAACATTGAATAAATAATATTATAAAATGCAATCATTACAATCACTGATTGATAAACATTATTATAAATTATAATTAATCTCTTTCTATAATTTATAATCAAATATAATTTCATTAATCTTAACCTTATAAATCATATAATACATCATTAAAACATATAAGTTTTACTGATTAAAGATTACTTTTACTGATTTTATAGTATTTTGAATATTTGGTATTTTTATAGAACATTAATSAAATTACATTATATTATATTAGTTAATTGAAATATCGACTATAACTTACATTAAACTTATATTAAAATATGGTTTATTATTTGTTATACTAAATTTTGAGTTATTGATAAATGTATAATCATTTATCAAYTAGTTATCCCATTTAATCATTTTGTCAAATTTAAAATGTCTTAATTATTTATGGGATATATAAACACCGGTCTAATAGATTATAGTGTTATGTATTGTTTGTACAAAAATTAAATATTTGTTCAAATTTTTGCTAATTATCTGCTTAACATTATCTACTTTATAGTATTAATTATATATTAATACACTATCTATTTAATTGCTTATAATAGTAGTTTTGATAACTTAAGTCTTGCACTCAAATAACTATAAATAAATAATAATATTCTGTATTTAAGTTGTATATAATATTAACTATAATTAATAAATAATTGTTCTTGGTAATACAGTATCTACAGTAGATAGCTATTGCTTACAGAAAATCATAAAAAACTTTTTTAATTTATAAATTATTTAGTATTACTAAATACAAAATACAATAAAAATTAAATTCATATTAAATTATTATTAATATAATTTATTTAAATCAATTTAGAATATAAAATTATTCATTAATAAACAATAAATTATTATAAATTTATCATAAATAAATATATAAATTGCCATGATACCTAGATAAATTCATAGTTTTACAAAAATGACAACTATTGCAACTTATTTAAACTATAAATCGTAAATATTTTAAATTTCAATTAACAAAATTTTTATAAATAAATATAAAATATTTACAATTAGAGAGAAGATTATTACCGAAAAAAAATAAAATAAATTTATAATTAAAAATAAAACAATCATTAGATAAAAGTAGTATTTAAAACATAGAGATTTGATGGTAAGTCAAGAGTAGGTTTAGTTAAATTAGTATTTTTAACAAAAACCATTATCTTATCGTTTGGTCGCGAAATTGCCATTTCAATGAATAAATCCAATGACTTATTAGTTATTAAATTACAAGAATCTAATTCAATGAAAGACAATCGAGAATATCTTGTTATCTCTTCGACAAAGATGTCGGTGATTGAAGAAGAACATAGAGAGAGACTCTTTAGTTGACGAAGTGATACCAATTCATAACGACATTCATCAGTAATGAAACTGTTGGTGAAATTGTCCAAAGGATTGATTGATATTTGCTCCACATTTGGACAATTGGCTGGAATTTGTTTGATTGCTGTATCCGTAATGATTGGACCATCGATTTTGATCTTTTTTAACTGACGACAGCCGCCAATAATTATAATAAATTGTGTGTCAAATGGTATTCGAGTTACAGTTAAAACCAATTCTTGTAATGACTGCAAATTGGCGATCAAATTGTAAGAGTTGGCATTGATTGCAGAATCAGCTTTGAATCCGTTAAACTCAAGTGTTGTCAAAGAAATCATTTGTTCRCAAATGATTTGAAACATTGCAGCTCTCATTGAATCTCCGATTTGAAGATGTTTTATATGTTTGCCATTTCCCGATACCAATGCTTTAATACCAGATTCATCAATACTAATGCAATCAACTATAGATAAACGACTGATTTTATCACCAAACAGATTGAAACAATTGCCAGTTATCTCAATATTCTGATCTAATACAAGAACTTCAAGTTCTTTACACGATTTGATCAGACATTTGAGTGCATTTTCATTGATTTCATTGTCTTTAAGCATAACGTGTTTTAAAGTATCACAACACTTGTCGCTCAGAATTTGTAAGATTTCATTGATATTACAAGAACTATAGCTAAGATCCAAATGCTCTAAATATGATGAACAGTCTCTTGTGAAGACTTCCAACACTTCACGACAAAAGATACAATTCTGAAGCATCAGTGACTTCAGGTTTGGACACTTTGACAATACAGTCGACAGATTCTTTGCGGTAACAAAATACCACTTTGTATTGTCTTCTACAGCGCTAACAAACTCATCTCCAATACATTCAGCACTTGAGACCTGATGTTTGGGGTCATCACAGACGGCAAAACTGATAGCAACACCAAGAGATGATTGACAGCGAATCAGTTGGAAAACCAATTGTCGCCACTTTTTGCACACCTTCTGTGCGATAATCTTCTCGACAAAAGACAATTTAGACAAAATAAGTAAAAGAGAGTAATCGTCTAATGTATTGATCAGATCCGGTGATTCACATGTATTGGATTCATCACTATTGATGTCAATAGCATTCAAATGGCCGACCATTGATGTCTGCGAGCACTGAGACATAACTAACCAATCATTAGATTCACATGAAAATGATATATCACTTTCACTATCACTTTTGTAGTCCATTTTACATCAATTTATTATTAAAATTATCTTTAAAAGTGTTTAAATAAAACATTAATTTAAATATAATTGAAAATATAATTTAATATAAGGTATAAATCATTGAATCATTCAATTGTTGCAAACACTCAATCTCTGCTTTCATGTACACACAAAAAACAAGTTTTTAAAACCGTATTTGAATACAAATCAATTTGTATTTAGAAATGTATTTAAATACAATTGTATAAATACAAAAAATATACAAAAAAAAATTGTAATAAAATTGTAACTAATTGTATTAAAATACAAAAATAAATAAATACAAAATTTTTGTATTAAAATACAATTTTTGTTGAATACATTAATGACGTACTCAAATATCTCAATTATAAGTTGTAATATATGTTTAAATAGTATTATTTGTATTTCAATTGTATTTTGATACCAAATAAATATACAAAATTGTTGTATAATATCTTACTAACTTATAAAAATGAAAATAGTATACTATTATATGTATGACATGTGAGTTGAATCAATATTACATTAAATATCCGTTTGTTAGTAATTCAATGACTATTGAGTGACTGTTTGCCTAAAAAAATAAATTATCAAATAGTATACTATATATGTATTATTAATTGATTTAATTATTTGATATGATTATTTGATTAATTGATTATTTGATTAATTGATTATTTGATTATTTGATTATTTGATTATTTGATTAATTGATTAATTGATTAATTGATTAATTGATTAATTGATTAATTGATTAATTGATTAATTGATTAATTGATTAATTGATTAATTGATTAATTGATTAATTGATTAATTGATTAATTGATTAATTGATTAATTGATTAATTGATTAATTGATTAATTGATTAATTGATTAATTGATTAATTGATTAATTGATTATTGATTTTATTATTAATCAATTAATCATATCAAATAATCAAATTACTTAATTATACATATATAGTATAGTATTTTATAATTAATTTTTTATGCAAACAGACATTCAATAGTCAATCATTCAATAGTCAGTCATTTGATATAAATAAATTCAAATTAAAACAAATTTTATTAATATTTATTAATAATAATTGATTTATATAACTAATGGTGGCACACAGACATAGAGTGAGATATAATGGTAAATGAATAGCATTATTTAATTTAATTTAACAAATTTTTTGCAGTGTCTGAAGTCGAAGTCAATTATTTTTTCAAAAGGTATTTTCAATTAAACTAATAAATAGTATACTATTTGATAATTATTTTAATTTTTCTAATTTATTATTTTATAGAGAAGTTTCAGAGATTCACAATGAAGTAAATCATATTAAGTAATAGTGTTTAAAATATAATATACTATTAATATTGAAAATCATATTATAATCAATTTATTTTTATTGTAAATCATATAATTATTTAGTGATTATTTTATCAAATTATTGTCATTTAAAATTTTAGTTTTATTGTAATTATTTTTGAATATTTAATGTATTTTTTATATTTTGCATTATTTTATGTATATTTATAATTATATTGTTTGTAATAAAAAACAATTTATTTGATTATTTTTGTATTTGAATTCATTTTTATTTGTATTTTGTTTTGCACTTAATTACAAATGAGTTACAATAATATTGTATTGTAATACAATTTTTTTTGTATTTTGGTTTTCATTACATTACAAATGAGTTACAGTATTATTGTATTGGACTACAATTTTTTTGTATTTTGATTTGTATTATTATGCAAATAGTATGCAATTGATTTTGTATTGTAATACAATTTTTTTTGTATTTAATTTGTATCTCAGAATACAAAAAAAAATTGTAACTCATTTGTAACAAAACATCGAGAGTTGTATTTTAATACAAATTTTTAATTCTGTGTATACAAACATCAGTCATATAATACATATTAATATACATATAATATGATTGAATACAACAACACTATTGACTCACATTCACTGCTATTCACTCTTGTTATACATTTTTGTATATTATTTACATTGCATTCAAACACTACTTTTTATTAATATTTAATACTGTATTTCATATCAGTATTWTACAGTAGTTTACACTAAAGTATAATATATTTTATAATCATATGATATCTATGTTTAATTAAAATGTATTCAAAATAATTATGTTTAGTTTAACATAAGCTCATGGATTCATTTATAATTGCTATAACCATAAATCTAATTTACTACAAATATTCAATCAAATAATAATTTAAATTTACCGGTATATAACATATTTTATGAGTTAATTTATAGTATATAAAATTAATTGATTCAAATTTTAATCATTTGACTGTTTTTTTTTTACTTTTTATTAGTAAACTTTAAAAATAAATGGCATATAAATTACAGGTAATTATTAAAAATAAGTTTAATAAAAATGACAAAATGTTTAAACATTTTCAAATGTTTGTTCCAATTGATTGCTTCTATAGTTTTTTGAATTTCTTGGTTGTAATGGTATTAGAGGACTGTCCTCTTGTAGTGTCTCTACTTCTCTTCTCCTATAAAACACACCTCTTATACGTCTTCCTATTATTGAATAAATTTTATTGTTTTAAATTTAACATAAAATATAATTTGAAATTAAAAGACACACGAATTTGTCTGAAATGGTCGGTAACATCGGTTCGGTCGTCCGTTAAATCAAGAATTCGCATCAAATTGAAACAAATGGGATCATTAACAGCAGCCAAGTCTACAAATGGCTTATGAGAAAAGGCATATATGTGTGCAATCGCTGCAAATAACATCTCCAAACATATTAAGAAGTCCTGATAACGTGAAAATATTTATTATTTAAAATTAATTTATTGTAATATAACTGACCTGAAAATTGCGAGAAATTTCCGCGTGTTTTGGATTTATACCGTCGGGAATGAAAGCCTGAGTAATAAACCCGATTTGAATAAATATAGATATGACTACTCCTTGACTTAAAAATGAAAACAAAATTACTTCACAATTATTGTTAGATAAATATAAATGACATACAAAAAGGAGAAGAAGACAACAGCTTTAATACACAGAAATTTAGCCAAAGGTCTCATTGGAGCCAATTCTGACTTATATGTCGTATAAAATATGACCAAACAATACATTGCTATCTATTGTTTTAATTGATAATTTTTAAATTTTTAAAAAATATTTAATATTACTTTAATTAAAAAAAAGTTTACCATTTGTGAAATATTATTAATAACCAGTAGATATGGATAAGCATATTGGGGTCCGTAATGTCCCTCACCGTATACGTCAAGTATCTCAAAGAATCTAATATATTGAAGAAAATAAAGAAAACAATTTTAAACCATAAAAATGATATATAATAACAAATCAAACAAACAGTGCTAAAAATGTAGTAATAGGACGAATGACCACATATTGAAGTATTCCGTGTTTGCATTGTTCAAGAAATCGTCGGCCGCCGACACACGGAGGAAGAAAACAAAGTGGAAACAGATGTTTGACTCCAGGCTTACACTCAATCATTAACTCGAGATCCATCTCATGAAACAAAAAGTTCAACAAATACTTCATAAAACTATAGATAACAAAAGCTTCATAACATTCACGAAGTGTATCCACATAAATGGCTATTTTCGGAAAGTTCATCGCTAACCACTACAAGACATTCAAATCATAATTATTAGATCACAGCTGTAATTAAAACATTGAAAATACAAACTGAATTCATGGCATATATGGGAACCATCCATAAGATGCGGATAACATATTTCTGGAGATATGGCTTATTATAATGACTTAGATGTTGGGTTATCTCCCAAATGGACACAAACAGAGCCAAGAAAGCGAACACTCCGGCGACCAATGGCCACATCGATCCGTTACCACTACCACTGCCATCGGTACCATTGCTGACAATCAACGATAAGTAATTGTTATCAATCACTAATGACATGACAGCATTTCTTCAGATGTCAATGTGATTATAGTTAACGCAATATTAATAATAATAATAATAATAGGTATATGATATATAAATTGTTACAAACAATGTAATCACAATTGCAAACAATAAATATCTTAACAAACCATACAATGAATGCACTCTTTAATTATAATTAGACAAACAATTTATGATTTAATGATTATTACTTGTATTGCATTTGATTTATTGTTTACAAACTGTTTCTCTGTTCACAAGCAATACATTTAACAACCATATGATTGACTAATAAATCTAGAGTTACGCCCATTTGTTGTCAATTTCAATACTGTAATCAATGAGAAACACTTTTGTAAAGGCATTAAGTGTTTAGTGAAATAGACAATGAATTTATCTAATTCAAGGTAACTAAGAGTTATATAAGTGTTGCATAACTAATATATTTAAGTAATAACAAGACATAAAATGAGTCCAATTAAGAGTGAAACTTACAAAAAAACCACTGCCGTGACCAGGATTTGAACCTGGGTTATTGCGGCCACAACGCAATGTCCTAACCACTAGACGATCACGGCTTCTATAAATAGATTGCTTAAACAACACTTAACCCATATTATATAAGTGGGAAATTCAAAAATAAACTTATTATATAACAATTAAAATTAAAAATAGTGTATTTAATTATAAACATATAATAATAAAAAATACATTTATTTAGCTATAAATAATCATTTGTCCGAAATATGACAAACGAGAGAGGAATGGTTGCGATGGACACAACAATAGTTCATAATTGATTAGCGATGTATTAAATCCATCAATAGGTGATGTATTAGTTGGCAATGGATTTATGTTTGTTGAGTTGACTAAGATATCAAGTATGGATGTATTAGCCATCACTTGCAACAACTGTTGCGACAATTTTTCATTGATAAATGTATTATCGCTTAACACTGACATAATCTCTTCAGACAACTGCTGATCCACTAATGACTTTGATTGGAAGTATTGGTCATATAAAGCATTAGTCGGTTCAATGGCTTTACTGACTTTCGATGAATATGTTTCAGTGGTCTCTTTGACACTTATAGAGTCAACTGTTTGATCATTTAAAATACTTTTAGTTAAAGTTTGGACATCACTTGTCGAACTAAAACTTTGGGAATCAGTTTTAACTACATTAGGAATATTCATTAAATTAAGACTTGAATCTAATGTCGGCAAAAGTGGGTTAACAGGTGATACTTCATCAGATGTAGAGATTGTTGTCGTTGACTGTGTTTTGGTGTCCAAAGAGTTTTCTATTTGGTTTACTTTGATTGACTTTACGTCTTGAAAATAGATGGACTCTTGAGTAACAATTGATGTGTCTTCAGACTCAGTTTGATCCAAATCTGAACTACTCTTTTCATTTAATTCTGGAGATAAATTTGCATCTAAAACAACATTTGATCCCATATTTAAATCTTTTGATGACTTGTGTGAATCACTATTTATTATCACATAATCACTTGATATATCGTCATTAATATTACTAAATTCAAGAGCAAACTGTTCTCTTAAGATGTCATTTCTATAATTATTTCTAATATTTTTCAACGAATTTATTGGTTTATCGTTTAGATCTAAAGCTGAATAAAGATCTAAATTATTTTGAAAATCCATAAAAATATTTGTTTCGGTTGTCTTTTGATTAGAACAACAATAAACAGCTGCGGTGTCCAAGAGGTGAGCCTCTGTATTGAATATATAGCCTCCGCTATCAATAATACATTCTTTGCCATTAACATTAATAACTGTTCCTTTGGATCCCTGGTTGTGAACAAAATTGTTTTCATCAAATAAAAGATATAAGTATTTCAGTGTTTCGGCTAAGAAGAATGATTCCATTCTGTCTTCAATTGTATGGTCGCTAACGCTCTTAATTGTGGCAAAACCGCAATCAGTTTTGGCTGATTTGTCTATTGAATCGATAACATCGGCACCGATTTGAAGCAAATGAGGATCTTTTGTGGCTTTATATAAATATAAAACACTTTCAATAAATTCCGGTCGTAATGGATATCCATCGCGTTTTGTATTTAGTTTAGAGTTAGGAATGTCATAAAATTCTGGAGTAAAACCATACTGTTTCCACACTTGATGGTAGTTGTAAATGGATTTCTTTGCCTGATCCAAGTCACCAATTAATGTCTTTATAGAAAATTTTTAAAAAAGAAAATAGTCAACAATTAGTAAATGAATACTTTAACATTAATACTTACAAGTACTCCTGGCCAAAATGCTTCTAGCGATTGAAATATAGGCATAGTTGGCTGACCACTAGTCATACTGACCCATACATACCAGTCCTCTTTCTTAATATATTTATTGATTGCTCGATAATTATCTATATTTATAAATAGTTATCGTTTTTACAAAATATTTCAAATGATAAAAAAGAATATAAACAAACCATAAAATATATCCATGAGTTGAGGCATTTGCAAAAGCATAGCTCCTTTCACAAGATATTCATAATAAGAGTCAACACCTCCACCGATACCACTCTCAGTTGCTGTCCATTTGCCATCTTCTATATTAATATGATTGCCAACTAAACCAATCTTTGATCGGCTTTTATGTAAGGCATTGATTGCTTTTAAGGCTTTATTTTGAAAGATGGGATCACCAGTCAGTCGAGAAAGTGTACAAAACTCTAAGACAAACGTCCCAACGCCTGCTGTACATGTAATGGGTGTTTCGTTTTCGGGAACTCCATACCTAAGATTGACTGTTCCGTAAGGCATTCCTGTCTTACTTTCAAAGGCTACAAATTAACATTAATAAAACTATTTCAAAAAATATATTTAATTTATATTATAATACATGAAATATTAATATGAATACCGGGAAGTAAACGTCGGGCGGCATCTTCGGCTAGTCTAAGAAGTGGTCCCTCACAAGGCCAGCCTTTCTCTGTTTTAATACCAGCCTTATGTGAAAGTAAATGAGCCGACAGAAGACCTCCTATCACTACAATAGATAATAATAAATAACTAAATATATCTAAACCTTATATAAAATAACAAAACCTCTGATATTAGTTTCAAAAACAGAAACATTGATATTAGTATTAAAATCGGCCGTTTCGATGACCAACTGTGCCACCCGACGGAACTCACTATAATTGCCTAAAACGGCTAAAGTGTCCAAAGCATCGATAAGAGAAAGTGAGAACTGACCCCAAGTGTCCGTCCCTTTACAAGAAATGGGTTGCAATTCATCATAATTTGAGGCATACTTTAAATAACTTTCATATGAATGATAAAACATTGACACTATTTTGGCCCTAAATTTTGACAATCAATTAGACAAATGTTTTGATAAATAAAACAACAAATAGTGGACTCACTTATAGCTATTGATCTCATGTTTAGTCAATGGACTGCTTATACCATAACAGTGATTGTATTTGTAATAAATTAATATAATTACCAATAAATTTAATTTCAATCCATTTAAATACATTTCATTATAACATATGTGATATTACGTAATATCCAAATCATTTAACAAGTAATCCTAAAATCAATAATAAAATTGTCTAACAATTAAATTTAATTAATTACATATAAATTTGTTATTAATGAATAAAAAAATTGTATTTAATTTAATCTTTTAATTTTCGTTTATAAATTTTATATCGATTGTCACAATTGAATTTTATAAATAATATATAGTTATAAAAATAGTTTATATTTATTTTGCTAAACTTTATGATTTAATTAACAAACAATAATATTAATTATAATAAATATAAAAACAATTAATAATAAATTCAGTGATTAAGTAATGATTTGTTAAATAATATGAAAAAAACAGTACTTTTTGTTAAATTATTTTAAAGAGCTATCGGTTTATACGGTATAACACTATAACACGTCTCAAAACAATACACACACAACACGTGTCACTACAAACTCCGCCCACTATTTACTTAATTAGCCAATGAATGACATTCAATGTCTAAATGGTTTTAAAATATACATCATTTATGAATGGTTTGAATGAAACACAACTAATGTATTGACTGAAGACTTCCTTTTCCTGAAGTGAGACAACACTTGAGGTTTGTTTAAAAGATTGTGGTATTAGTTAACCATTAATTTAATGATTATTTAATTGATTAATCCATAGTCAGCAGCCATGGGTAAGATAATGAAAGCGGGAAAAGTGGTGCTGGTGTTGGCCGGCAAGTATGCGGGCCGTAAAGCCGTGATACTCAAGAATCACGACGAAGGAACCAATGATAAGAGTTATGGACACGCATTGGTCGCTGGCATTGATCGATACCCTAAACCCATACTTAAGAAGATGGGGAAGAAGAAGAAGGCAAAGAGAAGCAAAATTAAGCCATTCATTAAAGTGCTTAACTATAATCATCTGATGCCTACCAGGTCTGTCAACAGTTCCCAACACATGACATGTCTTAGTATTTGTTAATAATATTTTGTGTATTGTTTGTCATTGTATTAATAGATATCTCGTTGAGTTGCCATTTGACAAATCAATCACAAGTAAAGATGTGGTGAAAGATCAGTCAAAGAAGCGAAGGGCGAGACGAGAGGTTAGAAAGAGGTTTGAGGAGCGCTACAAGTCTGGCAAAAACCGTTGGTTTTTCACTAAATTAAGATTTTGAATGTATTTGCAGTGATTTCGTTTGAATTTATTAAAACTAATTTCTTATGACTTAAAAAATTATTTATTTGATATTTTGTTTACAATTGAAATATTTTATACATAGAATTACTGTAGTTTTAATTAACTACTTTTGAGACATTGGTATTACCGGTATTTTTAAGACATGTATGAATAGTAGAACTTTTGGTAGAGTTTTTGAGTGAACGTATGAATTCTGCGACACCGGCTCTGTAAGACATCTTTGAATTTTTCATCTTCAATACACTTAACTCAAACTCGGCGGCGATTTTAGTGATATCTGAGACCTCCAGTGATATAGATTTGTCCAAACAGTTGACTTCATTGTAGTGTTGAGTTATCTCTTGTTTAAGTTTGTCGACAAACATATTTCTTAATACAAGATCAACGTCTTTAATCTTAATGTTTTTCGGTTCCAATACGTCTGTAGCCATCGCATCGATGGCACTAATAAAACTTCTTTGACCATTAAGTACTTCTGATCTCATGTTATTTGTTTTATTTCGACGTTTGAATTCTTTTTTAACGATATCAACCATTGAAAAATCTTTTGTAGATTTCTCTTTGAGATCTTTGCCGATGTGTTGCGGAACGTCGTGCTTAGGCATAGACCAGTCATCTTCATCATTGAGGTCAGCGATACGAGTCTTAAGGTTTTTGTTAAAGTGAAAGCTATGAAACTCCTGAACAGATTTCTTGAGTATATTCGGTTGTTTGCAGAAATCACAACTTGTTTTACATCCAGTCTTAATAATACTGTCGTCGCTGACAAACTCTGAAAGAATAAAAGAATGTCTGCAACTGGAGTCTGATTCGCAATATTTAACCATTTTTTCAAATCTTCGTAATGCTTGCTTTGGGTCATCATTTTGTTGAGAATTAGATGAAGTGCTTTGACTTAACTTTTTTTCTGAGTCTTGACGTATAAGATATGAAATGGCATTTTTATCTTCAATTGAATAATATATTCTGCATTTAGCAGGTTTGCCGTCTCTACCAGCTCTACCCGATTCCTGGTAATACCCGGTTAATGATTGTGAAACATTCCAATGAACAACAAAACGCACGTCAGCCTTATCGACACCCATACCGAAGCTAACCGTCGCGGCTATACATTTGACAATACCTTTCATCCATTTTTCTTGACACTCTTTTCTCTGGTGATTAGTTAGTCCCGCGTGATATGCCATTGATTTAATGCCAAACTTACTCAAATCACTTGCGATTTCATCACAAACAGCTCGCGTCCGACAGTAAATAATTCCAACGTTTGTATTCATTTTGGTTGGTCTTTCACTAAAACTCTTAGCGCTGCAAAATTTGTCACTTTTGGGCGCCGGTAGGCATTCCGGTCCGATCTCTTCCATTACAAATTCTTTGAGTTCTTCGATAGGATTTTTTAACAAATCTTTGAATACAATATCATAAACAAGATTTGGTCTGAAATTAGAACAAACAAACTTCGCAATCGGTTCTCGAAGTTTTAACAGTGAAATAATGTCTTCGACTACTTTTTGTGAAGCAGTGGCAGTCAATGCAATCCAAACAACTTTAGGATATCTTGCTTTAAGGCGACCGAGTTTTAGATAATCAGGTCTGAAATCATGTCCCCATTGAGAAACACAATGAGCTTCATCTATGGCTATGCGACCCAATTGATTGGTTTTATACAAATGTTCAACAATTAATTGGAAATTAGATGTGGCAGCCATTTCAGGAGTGATGTACAACAATTTAATGGTCACTTTGTCGGACATTAAATGAGTTTTTATATTCTTTTGTTCGGCTGAAGACAGGGTAGAGTTAATAGTTTGAGCATTGATTGACATCTTCCTAAGCGCCGACACCTGATTTATAATGAGTGCCAGAAGTGGTGACACAACTATTGTGAGTTTGTTTGTATCACAAATGGCCGGTAATTGAAAGCAAAGTGACTTTCCGGCACCCGTTGGCATCGAAACAAAGATATCACTTTTACCATTGATAGCACATTTGATGGCATGTTCTTGAAGTGATGATCGAAACGACTCGTAACCAAACACTTGTTTGAGTGCTTTTTCTGGGGTTTCATAACGAGGCGATTCAATTATCACATTATTTGATACCTTATTTACATTTGAAGAACAATCTATAGATTCTTGACTTTCATTAATATTAATCACTTCTCGATAGTTATTATCTCTACATTTGGTAACTTCTTTAACAAATGCCACTTCTTGGACATCGAGTTTGGGTCGTTTGCTTAATTTTGTTTCTTTCATTTGTTTAGCCTTTGACTGATCCACAGAGAAAAAGTCTTTAATTGTATGCTTTTGGGTAAACCTTTCATTGAAGTGTTGTCTCTTCATGTCATCAAAGTTGAGGAATAGTTGTCAATGAAATCAATGTTTTGTTTACATTCAATACAAACACGTGATGTCATTGCATAACAATAACACAATCAATGAGTGTTTGTATTGAAACATAGCGTTAATGTGATTACGAAATGCAATCAATTGTTGCCATTAGTCGTCTCAATGGACACAAGATATTGAATTGTCGTCACTTAAGTTCAGTGACAACTATGTTATCACCACAAGTAATATCTCAATACGAGTCGGTCATTGGTCTCGAAGTTCATTCACAAATGACTTGTAAATCAAAACTATTTTCTTCTTCTGGTACTTCATATATGGGTTTTCCCAACAGTCAGGTGTCGTACTTTGATTGTGGTCTTCCCGGAACACTACCGGTGCTCAACACTAAATGTGTTGAATCTATTATAAAGACAGGTTTGGCACTCAATTGTCAAATCTCTAAGAAGTCAACATTTGATCGAAAACATTACTTTTATGCCGATATGCCTTCAGGTTATCAGATAACACAACAACGGGAACCACTGGCGATCAATGGTTTTATTGAGTTTATTGTATTTAATACTAAAGATAAAGAAAGTTATCTGAAGAGATCCGAACTGAAGCAAATCCAATTAGAACAGGATTCGGGAAAGTCATTGCAAGACAATAACAGAGCACTGGTTGACCTGAATCGGGCCGGAATAGCGCTCATGGAGTTTGTCTTTGAGCCAGACTTGAGGAATGCTAACGAAGCGGTTTCATTAATAAGGGAATTGATATTAATATTGAAATCATTGGACACCTGTAGCTGTAAAATGGAAGAGGGAGTACTCAGAGTAGACGCCAATATATCTGTTCGCAAACCTCATCAAAGTCTAGGTATTAGAACTGAAGTCAAGAATCTTAACTCATTTCGATTCATTCATTCAGCCATTGAATATGAAATTAATAGACAAATAGCGATCATTGAAAGCGGTGGTCAAGTGGTCAATGAAACCCGAATGTATGACATGAAACTTAAAGAAACAGTTCCCATGAGAGATAAGGAAGTAGTTCAAGATTACCGATTTATGCCCGAACCTAACTTACCATCAATTTTACTGACAGATGACAATGAATTGAATAACAATCTGATTAATATATCTGATATCAAAAGACAAATCAATGTCAAACAAATGCCGAATCATTTGAGAAATTATTTACTTAATAATTATTCTTTAAATTTAAGTCAAGTTTATATATTAATGAATGAGTCGGGAATGGCCAACACTTTTACCACAATTGCTAAATATAGTAAAACAAAACAATTTGACACTATTTTTCAATTTATTAACAATGATTTTAGGATACAATTAGAGGAAATGAAACAAAATTTTCAAAATTGTATAATTGATTTCAATATTATCGCTCAAATTATTGATTTATTAATCAATGAAAGCATTTCATCAAGAATTGCAAACCAATTATTAAATCAATATTTTCAAAATGAAAAGCGATCGCCAAATGAAGTGATTACACAAAATAATTGGACACTTATTACAGATGACAATATTATTAAAGAAAAATGTTTGTTAACCATTGAGACACTTCCAAAGATTGCAAGAAAGTATGCCAACAAAGGTGTCCGACGACACAAATCTTTACTTATAGAAAATGTTATGAATTTATTAGACAATAGAGTCAATGAATGTGATATTTGGAAACATTACGACCAATTGCTTAGAAATAATACAAATGTTTTCAARTAATTCATTGATTTACAATATAATTATTTATTTTTAAAATTTTTATTAATGTATTTTTGTTCAATAAAGCTTTAATTACTTAAAAATTATTTAACTGGTTTCAAATTTAAGTTAAATTGTTATATAAATAAAACAATATTTATTATGATATTAATAGAATAATTTGCTTAAAAATTTCAAATATAATCAGAATAATTATGCACATAAATTATCAATTATTTTTTATAAAATATATGCAATATATTTTTAATATATCGACATATAACATATCATATTATAATTTTTGACATTAATATAATTTAACTGTTAATTTGAAAACAACACAAGTTTGTGGATAATATAGAGACATAAATTTATGTCCAATAAATCATTTATATTAATAGTACAATATATTGAGTTTATATAGTATTTCAATATCTCATARTTTATCAGACACAGCACCTCTCCCTCACTTTGACTGTCAACTTGTGATTACAACTATTGTTATAACTTTATATTATTTGTTATCAATAACCAAAGTACAAAAAAGGTTTAGTATTTCATTATCTCAATTATTTCTGAGTTAAACTAATTTTTGCAATAAAAATCATTGAAATATTCTATTTTATATATCATTTTAAATTTTAAACTATTGCTAAATATTTTCTAAATTTAATATCTAATCTTTATTTTTAAAACTAGAAAAAAAACATTTACCGTTTGTAAGTGCAAATAGAAATTACTAAGTATTAGTATTGATAAAATTTATTAAATTACATGAGAAAAACATTAGACAACTTAAATATAAGAATAAATGTATGGGAAAAATATCTTAATGTCAAAAAATAGTATCAAATGTTAAATAAGATATTATAAAAACAATTTTAAACTTTTTACGAAAACATCATATTTGACGGTTAAACCAGAAAACCCAAAATAAAATACTGTAAAGCAATACAACAAACTATTAGATAAAGTTGTAAAAGTCTATTAAATAAGTGTATAACAATTGATTATTATTTTATCATGATCATTTATGATCAATCATATAAATATGATAACACTATATATTTTTGTATTTTGAATCTTTTGTTTTGTAAGCGATTGGCACAAAAAAGTGGTGATTGTATTAAAAGAATTTAAATATAAAACTTATATTAATAATACTTAAATAGGAAAATAATTTATTGTAATAATTAATAATTAAATATATTTTTTTACAGTAAACCAATAAATTCATACATTTTCATTAAAAATACAAACCAAATAAATAATTATCGCATATTCAGTTAAATTAGATCAAAAACAAAGATCAAATATTTTATATAATAAATATKAAATACTTTAATTCATGTTAAAATAGTTTTTACTTCAATTATTAATTAAATAACGGATAAATGTGTTTTATATAATATAACATTTAAGCTTACAATAAAACGCTGTAAAGAAACTACAATTTATATTATATAATGAGTAAATATAATATAAACAAGACTACTGTATTAATATATATAGCGATGAATAGTAATATTAATTGTATATTAAGTTATTGTTTCACTTTTATTAATAACTTTTCTGTCAAACATAATGTCAGCAAAAGTAATGATAACTTTGTTTGCTTTGATTTCAATATCATTTCCATCAATGAAGGCTTGAATACAATGTCTTTCATTTTCAAAGCCTACAAAAGCTATCTTACATTTGTTGGTCCGATGCTTATCAATAGTAATCATAACTGCTTCAGGAAAGGTATAAGCAATGTCTTCAATGTTGCAATTGTTGGAAATGTTAGACACTTTGAGGAAACACCGATTGATTTGTTTTTCATCGGTCACATCGATATAATTAWTTTTTTCAAATTCTGATAAGTGTTGAACACATCTTTCATTATGTAATTTCAATAAATTTTGCCAATAATTTTTGCGATTATCAACTTTTAATGTATTATTCAGATGTTTTCTTACTCTATGCACAACTCGGGCTAACATTTTTGGTCACTATTTTATGAAAATTTTGAAAAATATTAACTTTCAATATATGGAACAATTTTTTTAGAAAAATATTTTATTAATACATAAACTATTCAATGACCGAAAAACAAAGTTAATAATTTATTACTGAATTTAAAACTTTTGAATTTCTAAAAAACATATTTTAATGTATTAGCTTTAAAATAAATAAAAACTTAAAAATTTAAAACAATATCTTTACTATTTTACTACAATAATGTAATGTTATGCTCTAATTGTAATTTTTGGTTTAACGAACTCAAAACAAATAAAATTATGATTAACTTTCATATAATGATGAAAAATATTATGAATATTATATTTAATCTAATTGTTATTTATTAATGATATATATTTGTTGAAAAATTGTAAATATTATTATCTTTATTATTTTTTRTTAATTCATTTAAAAGAGTTTCAATATCAGTTAATAATAGTGTCAAAAGTATTTTTGCTAAAGTAAAAGCTAGTAATATAACAAATATTACTTTTAAAAATAGAAATTTTTTAGAAATGATTTGATTAAATGTTCAATAATTTGAAAATAAAAGTTTAAAATTATTTTATCGCATAAATAATAATGACTATCTTTAGATAATACAATTTTAATAAGTAAATAATAGTAATTTTATGTTTATTAATATGAATACACTATAAATAATAAGTTATATTTAAATAAAACGCCATTAAAATATTTAATTAACAAATAATTTATAACAATAATAATTAATACTTGATATAAATTTATTATAGTATTTTAAATAAATATAATATAAATTATGAAAGTTATATCATATTTATGTTTGATTTTATTAATTAGTTGTCAGTTAACTAAATCTGATTTTAATAAAACAATAGTAATATAATTTATTTTTCACAATAAATATAATTATATTGAACTAAAAAAATATGTTTTAATTGTTTATAGAATACAACAAAAATGCAAAATGTGGTCAAAGATAACGATTTGACTATTTGTCGGCACAAGAATTGTCACAGTCTTTGTGTTACCGATAGTATTGATTCTGTACTTAACTATAGAAATGGTAGTATTTATGCCTTTAAAGGCAACTTCTTTTGGCCGATTCTCGACACAAGTGTATCACCGACTGAACAAACGGCTAAAAAAATTAGTGATTATTGGAATCCAAATAATAATTCAAAATCATTATTCTTGGGACCCATTGATGCAGCGCTTAAAGATGATAATGGATTTACTTATTTGTTTAAAGTAAACGTTTAATAAACTAATATTTTATATAACTTTTTTTGTTTGTTTTTTTAAAGTTAAACACAGTCTATACTTTTAAAGAGTTTGARTTTATTGGTTCACAAAAAGTGGATGCATTTAAATCTATTGATTCAATTTTGATGACTAATTTCTCCAAAGACTATCATATGGTTTATATATTCAAAGACAACAATTATTGGCAAATATTTCCAATTTATAAGATGTATAACTGGACTGAAATGGGAGACATTTACCAAAAAATGAATGTTAAGAGAATTCATAGGAGTTTTCCCGTTAATATCGACGCCACGTTTGAAGACAATGACAATAATGTTATTTTAATTAGTGGTGAAAACTATATGAAAATTGAATCCAATAAATTTACTGTAAGTTAATTAAATCAATATTATATAATATGTTATGTAATATCAACTTTTGTTTATTTTTTAGACTGCAATTCAAGAGTCGGACTTTGAGATGAAATTTATATATAAAGATATATTAAATTGCAAAAAATCATTTTATAATCAAACTATTTATAGAAATTATGATCAATTTATTGTATCATTGATTACTGAAAAGTTTGGATTTCCTAAACAGTTGAGAAACGAACCGTTGGCCGTCCAATGTGTTGGTCAGTCTAATTATATTATAACTTCATTATAATAGTCTAATTATAATCATTTTTATAGTAGATAATCAATCGGCAAAACAAACAAACAATTGGTCCAAAACATTGTATTATGTAATAGGCATTTGTGTCCTATTTATTGTTATATTCATAATAATATATTTAATTAAATTATTTACTAAACGATTGAATAACAGGAGAGACTTATTATACACTTATCCACAAACTAGACATCAATCTAACAGATCTGAAAGTTATAATATCTCTAATATTTAATATAAAATTTACTTTTATTTAGCATAAATTATTTTTATTTATTAATTAAATTGTTGATTATAAATTATTATTAAGATTTAACTAAAATTTATTTTAACTACTTTTTAATAATACAATTATTAAAAATTAAAAGATATCGACTGATAATAATTATTTTGAGAAATTAGTTATATTTGATTAAGTGGTACACTAATAAATATCAAATAATTATTAACAATTTATAATTTATAAATGATTTTTTGTATTAATTGCAAAAATGTAAAATATTCTTTAAAATAATACATAGAAAGTTATTTTTCTAATAAATAAATTAAAAGAGMTTTCATAACAWTATTTTAATTGTATAAATGTTGTTGGAATCTGATAATTGATTTTTAGAAAAGAAATTAAATATAAATTTTCATAAATTATAAGATTATAAGCATTGACTAGATTTTAATTTTAAAAACCAATAAATGTGTTGATTTAAACATTGTTTTGATTAAATGTAAATATATTTAACGTAATTATATAGAAGTTATCATCTATTTAGTCTACAATATACCGAAATAGTAGATAATATTTAATATTGATAATAATTCTAAATAAAATTAAAAATTATTATATCTATAATACATCAATATATCATAATATAACAATTATTATCCCATGATAGCAATTATATTATATAAGCACAAAATTATTTAGACAAATACATTTAAAAATAATGTATTTTAATAAATAATTAAAATTTAATAGTTTATTATACAATTCGTATACAGTATTATAYAGTATGATGAAAGAGATCGTATAATAAACTATTAATTTTTTATTGTTAGTAAAATAATTATTATAAAAATATATTTTACAAAAATGTTTGACCATTGAATATAAGATTATTAGTTAATAAAAATATATTATTTTTAATATTTTTGACAATTTTGAAAATCAATTTAATTCAATACATGATATGAACAGTAAATCAATTGATTCAATAGTGATAAAAAATGACTTTAATTATCATAATTTGTTATAAATTAATTGATTTACTTATATTACTACAGTATTAATGCAAAACAGTTAATGTATTWAATGATTATAATATAATATTTAGACGTAATTGTTGTGTAAAAACCATTTTGTGTGTCATTGAAGTAAAGGATAGTTTGGTTTGGTTTGTAATATCAGATCAGTTTTGACGACAATAATGAAGACAACGATCGCCCGATTGATCCAATTCAAGAATCCAGGTCAGGGACCACCACAAGTGGTTCCCGTGACGTATTTGGCACAGATATCACAACAACCGTATCGATGGATGTTTAAGACTGGATGGTTCTTCAGATACTTTATATACGCCAACATTGTATGTCTGCCTCTTTGGGTTTGGATTGACCGTCAAGTGAATAGTCCGGCGGCTGTGGCCGCGTGGGCGGCAAAGAAACAACAAGACAAACATAATGAACATTTGCAACACATGTGGGCCGACATCACCGGTTGGAAGAATAAAAAGGATGATTAAACACATGATATTCTTGTAGTTTATTGATATTATAACTTAATTAGTGATTAATTAATAGATTTAATTGTCAAATAAATTTGTTTTAATTGTAATTATTTTGTATTCAATTATTGTATGTTTTATTCAGTCTTTAATTTTGATTTCTCTTTTAATAATTGGTTTAATTTTATTAATGATTTACTAATCAATTATATTAAGTAAAGTAGTTATATATAAATTACAATTTATAAGCTGTTATTTAGAGGTATTATTAATAATGTTTAATAAAATATCAGATCTTAATATATTTGTCTTTATTTCTACTGTAAAACTAAATATTCAGTTATTTAAATAATTATAATAATCAGTTAATGTGTACTAAAAATATCACTTTGAATACAAATTTTATACAAAAAATGTTTTGACGTCTATTTTGCATTTTAGACGAATATATTAATATTTCAATAATAATTATTGTTAGTTTATTCAAAAATAAAATCTATTTATATAACATATTAATTTATATACTGTACTATAAAATAGTATATAAATATATATATATATATATATGATTAAATATCTATATGATATTACAATTTAAATTAGTAATTTAAACAAATTTACGAGATTTAGATATTTATATAATGAATGAGGTATTTGTTAGGTGACAATTATTTTTAATACCCAAATCTGAGATAATCATCAGCAATGACCAGAGGATGACTTTTTATAGCTTATATTTTTATGAACACTTTGAATATACTATAATAATATATAATAATATATAAGATATAATAATGAATAGATTCCAAACCAAAAGCAAAAATAAAACAAAATTTACAAAAATAAATAAAATATGTATTATATGTCATTAATTAGACAATTAGTTAGACATTTAGTCAATGCATTCTTCGGCGACGTTTCCATAACATGTTGGCTGAAGAGAAAGTTGAATTAAAAGAAGTCGAAGCCGGAGACAAACCCATTGTTAGGAACGGATTCCGAACCGACGGAACCGCAAAATCAATGGCTCGCGAAGTATGCGAGTGATTGTGATGTCGTTGTCTTTGAGGTGTTTTGTTTGTTTTTATTACTTCATAGAAGTCTGATTGTTCGTCATCGCCATCAAAATCATAGTCGGAATTATAATCATCGGATGTTTCGCTTAATGAAGAAGTCTCAGTCATATCGTTATCGCAATCCATTTGAATTGAGACGTTAGTGGAAGTGGAAGAATGGTTTGGTTCCGAAATGGTTGAACTTCTCTTCCTTTTTCCCGTATATGAAGTCGAGTGTAAAGACATTTGATAACCATTGTTGTGATAATCCTTTTGGTATAAAGTCTTAGAGTTCAATGGGTTTTGTTTTTTGTTGTTTCGCTTTGCCTTTCGTGCAGACATTTGATTAGTCTTACTATTTGATCCACAATTGCTTTCATCTGACTCCGAGTCCGATAATATCAATAGTTTAGACCGAATCAAAATGGATGCACTTCTGGCCACTGGTTTCTGGCTCTTAACTGATCTCATGATGGCATCTGTTTGACCATCAATATCATGGTTGCCATTGTTGGGCACATTGGATGTGTTGATGTGATGGTCGACATCAATCATAGTACTGCTTAACTCGTCGGCCAATTCATCCATTTCTTGTGTAATATAAAAATAAATCAATCAATTCATCACTAATTGGATATAAACTGTTGATGTCTTGAGATTGCGATCAATGATAAACACAAACAACAAAAGTCTTTTAAATGAACCAAAAGTGACGTTTGAATCACTAATTGATTGCAAACTAAACATAAAACACGTCTTTCACTCTTTCAATACATATTTAAAGCATTTATTAAATTACAATGAATTCTAAATTAACTCTAAATTCTCTATTAAAACAAAAATATTTAAAATTTTGGAAATAAAGGCTTAAATTGTGTGAAACATCGAAAACTTAAATATGAGAAAAAATAATACATAAATCGGAAAATTGTATTATTTTTAAATTAAAGAGTGACTTAATGTGACTTTTGTATACAACTATTACATTGTATAATATATATGTAAAATAAAGGACAGATAATGTAATGTTATTTTATTATATAATTTGTAATACAATTAATCATTATATTATTAACACTAAAATAAATTTTATTAAAATTATTTTGATAAAACTCAATTAAATATTCTTATGTTTTAACATTAAAAAATTGCTTTAATTAATAATTATTTATTTGTGATTTTATGAAGTTTTTTATATCATAAAAGTTTGTCTGAGTTGTCGTCAATATATTTGATATCAGAATCTTTACGAATTATCAATGGATTATCGGGTATAATGTCATCCAATTCATCGACATTTTTATTTTGAGTTGAAAATGTCTAAAATTAAAATTTAGTAAAATTTTTACAAATTTATCAAATTTAGACCTTTAAAGTCGTTTCATTTGTATTAAGATTTTCTGATTTAATACATAGAGGACATAAACGATGAACAATAGGACTCAGTTGCGAGTGATCGCTAATTTCTACAACACCTAAATTATATATAAATTATTAATAAAAAATAATATAAATTAATAATATATTGTATATACTGTATATTGCATAACATACGTGCAATAAATTTATTTTTGTAAAGAAATCTTTCACAAATTTGACTAACCAAAGGACCAACAATTAATGTTACTATAAAACCAATAAACGAAATATACATATAATTTATATGAAATATTTGTAATATTCCTCTAAATAATAAAAGAGATAAAAGAAAAAATAAAGTTATATTAATTAACTGATAATAAATTTAAATTAAACTTTTATATTATTGATTACTTTGGATGATAATCGACTGAATAATGTCTTTGTGTGGCAGATGTGAATGTGGCGTACGATATGTGTTCAATGATTTCTGCAGGACATGAGTTCACAGATACTGGTAATTGAAATCCTCTGGGTCGGGGATATACTATTGTACCGATTGTTATTAATAAACACATTGCTATTCCAGATATTAATCCAGTAATAGCTCCCTTGAATATATAATTTATAAAAATTAAAACTAAATTAATTGATATATTTGTGATAAAATTCTGTATTTTATTACAATTGCATTAACACAGGGAAAAAATATTCCCAAACAAAATAGTGATAATAATGGCCCGGCAATGGATCCGGTCAATGCATGATGTGCCTGCAATCATTTTTTTTGTTTTAATTAAAATTGTTAATAAATTTCAATATAAATACTTGTAACACAGTTCCCAATCTGCCGATGAAAAATGCAATAGTAATGGCTAAAATGCCGTATGACATAGCTGTCAATTTTAAACATATTTAACATAAAATTATTTCTATTTATGTGATTATATTTAGAATTTATTGATAATACCAATTATTTTAGTAATCATTAATTGTTTTTTCTCTTTAATATCTCGAAAATATCTTTTAACAAAGTCATCCCAAGTGACTGTTGCTAATGCGTTAAAACCGGAAGACAAAGTGCTAACAAATTAATAAAATAGAAAATTTGTAAAATAAATATTTAAAATTAAAAAACCTGTATAAACCTCAATGAACCACTGAAAACACAACAAACAAACAACCCTGGTAATCCGGGATAGTTTGATAGAGTATCCATTACAAAGTAAGGCATTAACTGCAACAGATTATTATATATTTAGTTTAATTGTTRAATAAACAATAATCATTATAACAAATAGATTACTTGATCGTGTCTATCGATAAATCCAAGTGCTATGGGATCACAACCATTATATTTGGCAAATACAACAATTCCACACCAAATGGCTAAAAATGATATTATTAAAACACCCGGAATATTCCAATATAAAACTCTATATGTTTATAAAAAATTATAAATATATATTAAAAATATTTGTTAATTATATTTTTATAACAAAAAAAATACTTTTTAGCCTTTGCTGGTGATCCCAAACAACAATATCGTTGAACTTGTGTTTGTTTGACACAATAGGTCCCTGTCCAATTAGTCAACGTTCCAAAAAAGACTGACCAGAATATGTCTCCTCTATAAAGACTGAATGTTGGACTGTAAACAAACAAACAGATATTAATAATTTAATTTTTAAATCAAAAAATACTTAAATATATTAAGTCTATTATTATTGTAAGCAATTTTCCACGACTCGATAAAACCAGACTCTATTGACCCCACAATTGCTACCATTAGAAGTCCAGAAAACATTAAAATAGTTTGCATAACATCCGTCCAAATAACCTTTAAATATAACAATTTGWTTTAATATTCAGTGACAAATAAAATAAAATTAATTTTTATACTAATTACCGCTTTTATACCACCCTTGATATTTAAATATAAGTATTGATACATAAGTTTGTTAGCAAATAATTAACTAATTTATAATAATATTTCGTACAATAGATGTATAAAAAGTACAAATAACTCCAACAACTAATATCGATGTTGTCACTGATAATGGGGTTACTATAAAATAATAATATACTTTAAAATTAATAATTTATTATTAAATTATAAAACAAACCGGAAGCGAGTGCTATTGATGGCCCATAGAGGACTACTCCAAGATATGGCAACTATTTTTAATTAATGTAAATTATAAAATGCAACATTTTTTTGTTGATATTTTAAATATAAATTTATGGTTTTATAATTTACAGTGCATAATATAAATCCAATTGATCCGGACAATCTGACCGCATTCATACCAAATCGACGCAAAAGGTACTAAACATTTATAAATTAAATTTTATTTAAAAAAATAAATAACTCAATTAAAAATTATATATATACCTTATGAACACTGGTTAGGTTGAGCTTATAATAGACGGGCATAAATACATTGGCTGCTAATAATACAGCGATTGTGAATGTTATTAAATGTAATGAATATTGTGTGCCCTTTATTGTTGTTTAAGAAAAATAACTAATAATAAAACATTAATAATAAATATAAATTAAAAAATTATAATTACAAATAGATATATCTCAGCCGGTACACCTAAGATTGTATTAGACGAAAGAAAACTTGCGATCAAAGACATACAAACGGGAAATACATCCAAATTTTTTCCTCCCGTAAGAAACTCATCTTTTGATGGATTTTTTCGATTTTTTAATGCAAAATATATACCAATTAATGTTGAAAATGATAAAAACACGCCAAACACCAAATAATCAATTATTGAAAAGTTTTTCTCTAACATTGTTTAAATATAACAATGATCTTACTCATAAATGTACAAATTAATTAATTTATATTAATTATTATTTTCAATTTGATTTTAAAATATAAAATTGTATTTAATTTATTTTTACTAAATTAATGCTATATTACATTTATATCATACTCTCTATAGAAACTTTCACTGTATGACAAACATTAAAATTTGTTACATTAAACAGTGATTTCACACACTTTGCAAAAAAATGATGCAAATAATTATATTATCAAAATGTTTATATAAATAATAGCAATATTCTCGTTATCTAAGCAAATAAATCAATTCAATTATATGAATTTTTTAAATTGATATTAAACTTTGTCTAGATTTATTATATTGTTATGGTATTAAGGCATTTATTATTTGTATTGTAATTGACATGCTTTTGTTATATATGGTAAAAGTTTTGAAAAATGTTTTTACTAATAATATATATGTAGAATCATAAATATTATAAATTACGAAAAATTATAATCGAATTTAACTTTAAGTATTAATAAAATTTTAAAACTATATGTAATATTGTAACATGTTTTGTATTAAGTTCTAATATCATATACAGTAATAGAGTATATAATATACTATATAATAAATTTATATAAAAGTCATTGATAATACATTTATTTTTGAATAAATTATTGTATATTAAAACGGTTGAAATAAATTTWGATTAAAATAACARTAATATATTGTTAATAACATTTTGCTTTTGATCTGTAATTCAAAGCATTTGTAAAGTCTTTGTTATTTAGTGATAAAAATTAGTTTAATTTGAAAAATATGAGTTAAAACAAYTATTAAGAAAATCCAAATTATTTTTATTTCTTTAATAATTATAAATAAATTAAATTAAACTAAATAGTAATTAAATAGTTTTAATAGTTATATTTTGCCGTTTATCTAATAAAATGTCGAAACTTTTATTTAAAAATACGTGACTAATATCAAGTGATATAAGTGATGTGAATTTGAAATTTTTTTCAACTAAAGTAAAACTAAATATTGTAAGTAGTAATTAGTTAATAATTTTGTAAATTTTTAATAATACAAAATACAGTTATTTTTTATTTCACATTATTTAATATTTATAATTGTCAAGTGGTTTACAATTAATTTGTTATCTATTTTTGTAATTTGAATAATATAATTATATTTTTTATTTGTTAGCATATTTAGTAACTATTAAAATGTGTTAAAAAATAATAGTTATTCAATTGAATGCAAGGCTATATAAATATTAATATAAATTGAATTGAACTAAATTTGTATATTTTTTATAATTGATTTATAAATTTAGGTCTTATAGTAACATAAATAACTTTCATTTAAACTTATTTTTATAATTTAATAATAAATTAATTTATCTGTAATTAATTATTTAAGAGCTCAATGAAAAATACTAAATATTTAAGACTGATAATTATATCTAATTCTTCAATAATTTCATGATTTACAGTAAATTTTTAATGTAAATATTATTACCAATATATACTGTATATATATATATATATATATATTTACTTATATTTCACGATATATTTGTATATAATTTGTACTTATAGTATAACATATCAGTTTTAATTTTGATTAAAATAAATAAATTTTATTTAATCATAGTTTCAAGACATGTTTTATTTGACAAATAAATTGAATTAATGTTTTATAATAAATAAATCAGTTATTATACATAAACACAGATAATAGTTGTTAAACTAGTAATTTCGTGTTCATCGAAATCAAACTGAGTTTTAACTAAAAAAGTGTTGAGATCTCCCTTTCCTTTAACATAACGCATACCATTAAAATCATATATAATACTAAAATAAAATCTTTAAATAAAAAATTTGGTAATAAAGTGTTATATTGGGTCAAATAAACTTAAATGCTGATAAAAATAGGACATAAATCGAGAATTTATATTATTTTCAAATTAAAGAGTGATCTTTTATAGGTAACTAAAGAGCAGACAATCTAATATTCAATATATAAACTAAAATACAGTAATCTATTGAATTCAAAATTCAATACATTATTTTATTTAATGTAATAAATTATTTTAATAGTCTATTATATATATTGTACTGTACATACAGTAATACTATTGATATATAAGTGTTAACAATAAATTAAACCTTGTTACAAACATGTTGTTAGAATTCAATTAAATATTTTTATGTTTAAATATTAAAAATAGTTTTTTAATCAAAATTTAGTTATCAATCTGTGATGAAGTTTTTTATATCATAAAAGTTTGTCTGAGTTGTCGTCAATATATTTAATATCAGAATCTTTACGAATTATCAATGGATTATCGGGTATAATATCATCCAATTCATCGACATTTTTATTTTGAGTTGAAAATGTCTAAAATTAAAATTTAGTAAAATTTTTACAAATTTATCAAATTTAGACCTTTAAAGTCGTTTCATTTGTATTAAGATTTTCTGATTTAATACATAGAGGACATAAACGATGAACAATAGGACTCAGTTGCGAGTGATCGCTAATTTCTACAACACCTAAATTATATACAAATTATTAATAAAAAAAATAATATAAATTAACAATATATCGCATAACATACGAGAAACAAATTTATTTTTGTAAAGAAATCTTTCACAAATTTGACTAATCAAAGRACCAACAATTAATGTTATTATAAAACCAATAAACGAAATATACATATAATTTATATGAAATATTTGTAATATTCCTCTAAATAATAAAAGAGATGAAAGAAAAAATAAAGTTATATTAATTAACTGATAATAAATTTAAATTAAACTTTTATATTATTGATTACTTTGGATGATAATCGACTGAATAATGTCTTTGTGTGGCAGATATGAATGTATCGTACGATATGTGTTCAATGATTTCTGCAGGACATGAGTTCACAGATACTGGTAATTGAAAACCTTTTGGTCGGGGATATACTAGTGTACCAATTGTTATAAATAAACACATTCCTACACCAGATATTAATCCAGTAATAGCTCCCTTGAATTTATAATTTATAAAAAATTAAAACTAAATTAATTGATATATTTATTTTATTTTACGTACAATTGCATTAACACAAGGAAAGAATATTCCCAAACAAAATAATGCTAATAATGGTCCTGTGATTGATCCGGTCAATGCATGAGAAGCCTGTAATCAAATTTTTGTTTTATTTCAAATTGGTTAATAAATTTCAATATAAAATAATTAATTAAATTAAATACTTGTAGTACTGTTCCCAATCTGCCGATGAAAAATGCAATAGCAATGGCCAATATGCCGTATGACATAGCTGTCAATTTTAAACATAGTTAACATAAAATTATTTCTATTTATGTGATTATATTTAGAATTTATTAATAATACCAATTATTTTAGTAATCATTAATTGTTTTTTCTCTTTAATATCTCGAAAATATCGTTTAATAAAGTCATCCCAAGTGACTGTTGCTAATGCGTTAAAACCGGACGACAAAGTGCTAACAAATTAATAAAATAGAAAATTTGTAAAATAAATATTTAAAATTAAAAAACCTGTATAAACCTCAATGAACCACTGAAAACACAACAAACAAACAACCCTGGTAATCCGGGATAGTTTGATAGAGTATCCATTACAAAGTAAGGCATTAACTAAATAATTTTATAATAATTTAMTTTTTTGTGTCAAAACAGACAACAAGGGTTATATTATAAAATTACTGCAAATTACTTGATCGTGTTTATCGATAAATCCAAGTGCTATGGGATCACAACCGTTATATTTGGCAAATATAACAATTCCACACCAAATGGCTATAAATGATATTATTAAAACACCCGGAATATTCCAATATAAAGCTCTATATGTTAAAAAACAAAATATATATTAAAAAATATATTATTATTTAAAATACTTTTTAGCCTTTGCTGGTGATCCTAAACAACAATATCGTTGAACTTGTGTTTGTTTGACACAATAGGTCCCTGTCCAACCGGTCAACGTTCCAAAAAAGACTGACCAGAATATGTCTCCTCTATAAAGACTGAATGTTGGACTGTAAACAAACAAACAGATATTAATAATTTAATTTTTAAATCAAAAAATACTTAAATATATTAAGTCTATTATTATTGTAAGCAATTTTCCACGACTCGATAAAACCAGACTCTATTGACCCCACAATTGCTACCATTAGAAGTCCAGAAAACATTAAAATAGTTTGCATAACATCCGTCCAAATAACCTTTAAATATAACAATTTKRTTTAATATTCAGTGACAAATAAAATAAAATTAATTTTTATACTAATTACCGCTTTTATACCACCCTTGATATTTAAATATAAGTATTGATACATAAGTTTGTTAGCAAATAATTAGCTAATTTAGATTATATATTTCGTACAATAGATGTATAAAAGGTGCAAATAACTCCAACAACTAATATCGATGTTGTCATAGATAATGGGGTTACTATTAAATAAAATAATTATAATTATTATACTTTAAATTTAATAAATTATTTTTTAATAAACCGGAGTCTAAAACTACCGACAGCTAACAGACCGGAAGCAAGTGCTAGTGATGGCCCATAGAGAACAACTCCAAGATATGGTAACTATTTGTTATGACAACAAATTAATTAATATTATAAAATGAATAATTTTTTATTAATTAAACGCTGTTTTATAGTTTACAGTGCATAATATAAATCCAATTGACCCGGACAATCTGACCGCATTCATACCAAATCGACGCAAAAGGTACTAAACATTTATAAATTAAATTTTATTTAAAAAAATAAATAACTCAATTAAAAATTATATATATACCTTATGAACACTGGTTAGGTTGAGCTTATAATAGACGGGCATAAATACATTGGCTGCTAATAATACAGCGATTGTGAATGTTATTAAATGTACTGAAAATTGTGTGCCCTTTATGTTTAAAAAATAATAACTAATAATAAGACAATAATTGGTATTAAAAATTAAAAAACTAATTACATATAGATATATCTCAGCCGGTACACCTAAGATTGTATTAGACGAAAGAAAACTTGCGATCAAAGACATACAAACGGGAAATACATCCAAATTTTTTCCTCCCGTAAGAAACTCATCTTTTGATGGATTTTTTCGATTTTTTATTGCAAAATATATACCAATTAATGTTGAAAATGATAAAAACACGCCAAACACCAAATAATCAATTATTGAAAAGTTTTTCTCTAACATTGTTTAACTGTTTCAATGATTTTACACAACTAATACAGTATATTATTTATTTTCAATTTAACTTTAATTTATATCAATAAATAAATTTTTAATACATACTAAACACTACATCTACACAGTATTTCATATTTATTTAATTTTTACAAAACAAATATTATATTTATATCATACTCTTTAATACAGACTGTGTATACAAACTTTTACGATATGACAAACATTAAATTTTTTACATTAAACAGTGATTATTGTTTCACACATAGCAAAAAATGATGCAAATAATTATATTATCAAAATGTTTATATTGAAAATAGTAATACTTTCGTTATCTAATCTAATGCCAACTCAATTATTTGATTATTTTTTAAATTGATATTATACTTTGTCTACATTTATAAATAATAAATCATTTATTTTATTGTTATAGAATTAAGGAATTTATTATTTGTACAGTAGTTGTCAATGATTTTGTTATATATGATATGTTTTGAAAAATGTTTTTATGTCACTATAAAAGTTCATTTTTGTTAATAAAATATTAAAATATATGTAAAATCATAAATATTAAAAAATAATAATAGTTTGAATTTAGCTTTAAGTTTTGATAAAGTTCTAAAACTGTAAGTAATATTTAAATTAAAAACTTATATTGTATTAAATTCAATATCACATTATTAACATTAATTATTAAATAATTATTAATAACCGGTACAATAAATTATAGAAAAGTCATTGACAACACATTTATTTTTGAATAAATTACTGTATATTTAAACTGTTAAAATAAATTTTGATTAAAACTACATTAATATATTTTTAATAATAATTTTGTTAATTTTGCTTCTGATCTGTAATTTTCAAAGTATTTACTATTTAGTGATAAAAATGATTGAAAACAACTATTTTTAGGATATTTTTAAAAATGAAAAATTCTGTTTATTTCTTTAATAAATTATTTGACTGTATTTTTATCTATTATAATAAAGTGTTGATATATTCTTTTAATAAAAAAACGAGTGATTGATATCAAGTATGTTACGTAAGCGCAAATAGCCTCAGGGGTTAAATGTKAAGCTATGGGACAATATGTGAATTTGAGGCAAATACTAAATGATTGGTTCAATCAATTATCAAATTAGCTCTACTATTATATTCAAGTTTTTTAATGTCTGTAATTAATCCCCTTTAAAATATGCCATCTATTGACTGGTGTATATAATGCCAAATAATTAATGGATAATTTTTTAATTTAATGATCAGTTATTTTTTATTTCACATTATTTAATATTTATAATCGTCAAATGGTTTTTTGCAATTTGAATAATATAATTGTATTTTTTATTTTATTTATTAACATATTTAGTAACCATTAAAATGTGTTAAAAGAATAATAGTTATTCAATTGAATGCAAGGCTATATAAATATTAATATAAATTGAATTGAACTAAATTTGTATAACTTTTATAATTGATTTATAAATTTAKGTCTTATAGTAACATAAATAACTTTCATTTAAACTTATTTTTATAATTTAAACAAAATTGATTTTCCTGTTATTAATCAGTTAAGAGCTCAATGAAAAATACTAAATATTTAAGACTTTGGTAATTATATCTAATTCTTCAATAATTTCATGATTTACAGTAAATTTTTAATGTAAATATTATTACCAATAGATATATATAAAGAAGCGGTCAATTGATCTTGAGCCGCGTATTTTTTGAATAACTTTTAAACGGTTAGAGATAATTTAATTCTGTAAAATACATTTAAGAATATCATATCGACCACACTTAATATACACACAATCACAAAACTAGGATGACCAGATATACAAAATATCGGGACCAACGAAAGACTATGCTACAGGTCAAACTACAACTCACAAATTTATTATGATAATGAAAATTTGTAGAAAAGAAATAATAGTTTAATATAAAAAAAGAATCATCAAAATCGGATTGGTAGTTTTGTTTTTATTTCTTGTTAAGTTTGTAATAAATCCTATTATATAAAATAGTGCAAAATAAAAATGACGTAATTTATGAATATTATATGTTTAATAGATGATATTTTCAAATATATTACTAATTCTAAAAACGAAATTTTAATATGTCGACTAGTTTTCGAATTATTCGAATTTCAATATAAATCACACTATTGTAATTTGATATTATAATTTATATTGAAATTCGATTATTTCGAAAACRAGTCGAGTTATTAAAATTTCGTTTTTAGAATTAGAAATATATTTGAAAATATCATCTAATAAACATATAATATTCATAAATTACGTCATTTTTATTTYGCACTATTTTATATAATAGGATTTATGACAAACTTAACAAGCCATAAAAACAAAACTACAAATCCTTTTTTGATGATTCTTTTTTTATATTAAATTATTATTTCTTGTCTACAAATTTTAATTATCATAATAAATTTATCAATTTTAGTTTGACCTGTAGCATAGTGTCTTTCGTTGGTCCCGATATTTTGTATATCTGGTCATCCTAGTTTTGTGATTGTGTGTATATTAAGTGTGGTCGATATGATATTCTTAAATGTATTTTACAGAATTAAATTATCTCTAACCGTTTAAAAGTTATTCAAAAAATACGCGGCTCAAGATCAATTGACCGCTTCTTTATATATATATATATATATTTACTTATATTTCACGATATATTTGTATATAATTTGTACTTATAGTATAACATATCAGTTTTAATTTTGATTAAAATAAATAACATTTATCTAATCATACTTTGAAAACATGTTTTATTTGACAAATGAATTGACCGGTAATTAATGTTTTAACTGAATATTAATGAATCAGTTATTATACATAAAAACAGATAATAGTTGTTAAACTCTAGTAATTTCGTGTTCATCGAAATCAAACTGAGTTTTAACTAAAAAAGTGTTGAGATCTCCCTTTCCTTTGACAAAAACCATTCCTCTCTCTTCTAAAACAAATTCACTGTTGTTTTGACATTCAATTAAAACATTAGCCGCTTCTTCTGTCACTTGTATGCGACCCATAATACCAGTGCTTTCCATTCTTGAGGAAACGTTTACTATTAATAACAAATCAATCAAATTATTTTAATATTAGACAATAATAACAAGTAATACAAACCAGTATCGCCCCAAATATCGTACTGAGGCTTAGCAGCTCCGACCACACCAGCTATGAGAGGACCTACAGCTATACCAACTCTTAGCATAAAGTCTTGAAGAGCGTCTTTATTTAATTTCTTCAATGTTTCCATTAAAGCAGTAGAAAAGCGAACCAAAGTTATGACATTATTTCTAACGTCTTCAATACTGATCTCACTCTTTAATCAAATAAATTGATTTGAAATAATATTTAAWATTAATAAACAATTAAAACAAACTTCATTGGATCCCCTTCCGGGTTGTAGACCAGTGGCAGCCATATATGTGCTGCCAATTGTCTTAATTTTTTCAACTCTTTGAAAGTTAACATGAGATAACATCTGTATATTAAATAATTAATAAAATAAATATTAATATACTGTATATACTATAGAATAAAAATTGAATACTTGGTCGAAGTTAAGTATAATTTCATTAAGTAATTGAAGACATTTGAGACCGGATTCATAGTTTTCTGAATAAAATTGTGAATAATTAGGAATCGATGCAAACATAACGGCACACGAATCGTATGACTCGGAGTAGAGCTGATCGGCCGATACGGAGCTGTTGTAGAGATACCGTTGCGCCACATGAATGGGTAATATATTCTCTAATAATATTCTATTGATTTCTCCCATTGTTTGCATTTCTATTTTTTCATCGACCAGTCTATTAGTCCACTTAAAGTCCAACCGAAATATATACTCAATTTGTCTGTCAATTACATGAAGAAGCACTGCAACCATAATTACATAATAGATGTGTCCAACCAATGGATCAAACCCTATACTGCTTATCCATAAATTTTCTTCTTCAGATCTTACAATTAATATCTGATATATCGAGCATTTATTGTAGAAAATTATGATAAATATAATGACTCCCAAACAATGCATTAAGAATTTTAGCCATAAATGAATTCTTAAGAATAGACTGACGCCAGTCATCGCAAGAATCACACACATTGTATAGTCCTTTAAATTATTACAAAAAACATTATTATAATTTATAACACATTATATTATATATTATTATTATTATTATTATTACCCAAGAATAGGCACAACTCTCTAATTTAATTAATTCATCAAAAGTCACGTCAGTTTCGTTTAGATGTCGATCACAATGTCTCTAAAGAAACTGACAAATATTAATATAAAACAATAATTTAATAAATTTTTATTTAATTCAACTAACAATTATAATGTCAAGAACTGCGTTAATTAATAGCGATGACGATATTAAAAACCAAATACCAATTCTTAATAAAATTGGTAACTATTTTATTTAAAAAATAAAATAAAACTGTATTAAAAACAAATGAAATTGAAATTAAATAATTAAATAATGAATACCTGATGTGATCTGTAAAAAGTATAAACTAACGATACAACTATCACTATAAGTGTAAATACAAAACAATATTTATGCTCTGAGTTGACACTTGTATGTGGGATAATAAACTTGATGGCCATCATTGTTAAGCACAGCCATCCGGCACACAATAGATAGACACTAAAAAATTGGTCACTTTGTTGGGCAAACACTTTCTCTGTTTTAATAATTGTTGACTTTTTCTTTTCATACACCGATTTGTTTCCCACTAAACCAGACGTAAAATTTAAGAAAAATGGATGAATATCTTGTGGTCGACACCATTGGCTTTTCATATTTAATGGCATTCCTTCAATGGCTGAATCCATAAATTTATTAACTGAATTAATCATTTCTCTATATCTGATTAAACTGTTTAAAGTATAATAATTWATTATTWATTAATACTTAAAAATAATCAAAAATATTAACAAATATAGTTTACCTGGATTCTAAAATAGTAGTCGGCAAACGAGTATGTGTCGGCTCATATGAACGTCTCTAACAATAATTATATATTAAAAAATTTAATAAATATAAATATCATTTCAATTCAATTCAATTTAATTGTATTATTAGTAACATTTTTTTCAAAGAAAYCCCATATATTAATTAAATTAAATATAAACTAAATCTTACTCTAAGTTTATTAATTTGTGCCTTAAGATTATCGGTTTGTCTTTTTCTTTTACTATTAGGAGAACCAGAATTTGTCCGATTATGTGATATTACATCCTTTTTAGAGATTAAATATCCAATCTCTCCATCAGTTAATTTCTCTGTTATATACAATATGTAATAATTCATGATATTATTATTTTGCAATATTTTTTTAATAAATTAATTTATGAAAACCTTTAATAATAAAATCATCTCTTTGTCTGACAGAGATGAGATCGAGTGTGGTTTGAGTGATGTGAACAAATCCGGGAACTCCGTTGTGCTCCATGGATGATGCGATGACACTATCCAGTGACCAGATATCATATTGCCATTTATGAAGACCCATGATTCCCGACAATACCATTCCCGAGTGAACTCCTATTCTCATATCAATATCAATTTCTTTGATATCACGTATTGTTCTGAAATTCATAGTAAAAATACTAATTTATTATAAGTTTACTAAAAAAAAGATAAAACCTAATTATTCTGATCATTTCGAGACCCATTTGGACACAATTGATGGCATGATTTGGATCATAATCTGGAAGTCCTGATACACAATAATAGCAATCACCTAAAAGTTTAATTCTTAAACAATGATTTCGTTCAGCGCTTTCATCAAATCTTCCAAAAAGTTCATTAAGTGTTTCAACCAAATCATTAGCACTAAGAGATGCCGTCAATATCATTGAGTTGACGATATCGGCATAAAGTATGGACACATTTTCATATTTCTTTACATAAAGTTTATTGAAAGGTCTCATTGGTATTAACTCTTGTCTTGCAATTTGAGAAATGGTTGTCCGGATGTCATTGCGGACGTCATCAATCAAATGTTTGGGAAAACAAGAGTTTAACAGCTGTTCCTGTTGTTCGCGCTCTAAGTCCAACTTAAATGTCGATTCAATACAAGATCTATGGTTTATAAATGCTTTTCTGATTGCAATTTCTAATAGAAAACTCATATAAAATCCAAATACAGCACTAAATGAGTAGAAGAATAGGTCAGCGATGGTAAACTTGAGAATACCATTAGAATTACACGACATCTCAACTCTTTGTTTAAATGTTAAGCTTAGTTCAACACCAATGATAAAAATAGTGGCAATACATGAATAGATCCGAGAAGAAAATGGTAATAATATATGATTTGATATTATTATATAAAAAGTCGGACGAATTCTTTGCATAGGAAATGGTTGTTGAGTTGTGTCTATTGGGAAGAGAGCGCCGCCGTACTCCTCAAACAACATTGCCATCAATATTGTAATGCCGGCCACTGTTCGCGATATTTTCGGTCGTAATAAAAGTTCTTCAAAACATGTTATTATCAAAAATATTATGAATACTATTAAAGACGAAACTCTTATTAAAAAAATTCCCGGAAATGATTCCCGATTTTTCTAATATTTAAATGAATTCAAAAACAGTTATATTATAAAAATTATAAATTGATAATAATATTATATAATATAAATCATCAAAATATATYTAATATTTAGCAAACCTTATCAAAAAAGTATACAATTATAGCTATTATGTCAAACAGTATATTAAGTGTAAGTAAGACCATAAAGAAGGTGTGTTGAAGTCGTGACTGATATTTAAGAAACATTTTGCCGACATCTTTGGCTTTGAACTCTTTTTTCAGTGATTTCCACGACCAGTGAGAAGACTCTTCTGAATAAGCAGAGTATGTACTGAAGACACTGTTGTTGCGATTGATTGTCGCCGACGACAGGTTTATAAGAGTTGTTTGTTTGGCCAGTATTTCAACCGTATTTGTTGACATCCGCGGCACAAATGTCGTGCTTTGGGATGTCCTCTGCTTTACACTCATTTCAACTATATTTCTGTATTTCGTTTAACACATTTCTAATTGAAATAATAAATAATATTTTTTGTGATATACCTATTGTTAGAATTTAATGACAAATGACAATGAAATGAATTACAAATAAAGTATATTAATATAATAATTGAAAAAATAAGAAAATAATTACTAATCTTATCACTAGTTTTTCATTCATTAGTCGATGAAGTTTACATAAAATATGAGATTTTATGTGAAAGATGTTATAAAATACAATGCAATCTAATAACTGATTATTTTGTCATTTAATATAAATTAGTTGCTAAAACTCATTTAGATATTTGAAATATCTTTACTAAGCAAACAAATCACAAATAAAGGTATATAAATGTATGTACAGTACCGGTAYATATCAATATACTTTTATTTCAAATATAGGGTTTATTTAACTAATTATTAAACTAATATAAATTTATCTAACAAATATGTATTAATTACTGTAATATATAAATGATAATATATAATACTATATATACAATATGTATATAAAGTATTTATGTTTTTATTAATTTTTAAATTTGATATATTGTTTGTGTTTGAAGTTAAAATAATAACATTTTTAGTATAAAGTTTATACTTTTAAAATATTTTTTTGAATATTTATTCCAAAAAAAAAACTTGAAAAGTTTTCTTATTGTTTATGTATGTATATATCTAATAAATGTATCTAATATAATGGTCATTTTTAGATATAACAAAAAATTTATATTAAAAATTTTAATGTTAATAAATCAAGTTTTATATTTTGATAAAATAAATAGTTTTATTATTCTAACTGAAAATATACATAATATTAATTAAAATTAATTCCAAAATTTTAGTAAAATATTTTTTATAATTATGGATCTAATTTATATTTTAAAACAAACATCAAAATTGGTTAAAGGATTTTTGAAATATTAATATTTTTTTCACAGTCAGTTCACAAACAGGCAAAAAATAAAACATTTATTTTCAAAAATTATTATACAAAATCTATTTTAAGATTTTAATATTGTATAGTAAATAAAAATTATTAACAGTAGATAATTAGCAATTACCGTAAATAATAATAATAATGTAAAAATATAGAATATAATGTTGGATTCACTGGAATATTAGCTAATAATATAAAACTTATTATAAATCACTATTTTCTTATCACATTTTTTCAGGAAATATAAAAAATACAAACACTAAACATATTTAATAGGGATTACAGTACAGTATATTGTACCGTAACTACAGTATAATAATTTATATATCGGTCAACCGGTAAAGCATATACTATATAATATATATACTATATATTATATACCGGTACAGTATTTTATAACTTACCGGTAATTGTTTTGCACTCAATATGAGATCAAATAATTATTGATTGCATTGAAATTATATTTTGTAATAGCAGAGTATTTTTAGATATTATTAATTAAATGTTTTAATACAATTTAATTGAAACATAATTTATTAAAATACTTATATATAAATTTATATATTTATATTAAAGATTAATTAATAACTAAATTATTGCAATATAAATCTAATATAATTAACATTAAGATAATAATTTCAAAAAATTAATATTAATATCATTTATTACTAAAGCAATTAAACAATGTATTAAACATTTGAATTGCTTTAATCAGTAATTAATTATTTAATTTTTGTCTCTTCAAGTGTTCATTTCTTAAAACTGTAAAATACATTAATTCAGTGGTTTGTTGTTCTCGTTGTGTCAAATAAAAGGCGACAAAGAAGTTAATGACAGCAAATGATATGATAGCAGTCCGATGTCTTTTAATAGCTTTTAACCAAACATTATATAAATAACTTCTGGAAGTCTTATCATTGATTGAGTCTGGAGTCGGATAAGTGACAAAATAATCGGCGAAATAAATACAAGAAATAGAGCTATAGATCAATGGATATAGAGTTGAAGTCAGACTTTGAATAATACCAGCTTTTAATGATATACATAGAGAACAACTGTCCACACCTGACATCATTGGTTCGGTAATTAACGTATAGTGTAGGACAGGACCGAAAAACATAGGTAAACAAAGTGATGGGACATAACTATTGAAAATGGCTGTCCGTCCGTCAGCCAAATGAAATGATCGCCGAAAACAGTTAGTAATGAAAGCCGAAGTCAGACCATTAGTGACCAATTTTATTCGCATCACATAATAAAGTGGCCAAATTTGCCACTTATCGGGCCAGTGGTCAGTCAATTGAACAAATTTGTTTGACTTCTCACCACTTGTGTCCCATCGGTTCGGAAATATATTATTAACTGCAAGAAGTTCTTCGGTAATGCCTTTCTTCTGCATTTGTTGTTGACGTTTGGCCACCAATTCATCAAAGTTTGGCGAATATTTGTCCGATATGTCCGACATCTTCGATGGTTGAGATGTAAAGTATTGCTTCACATAATTAAAGACATCCATTTCAATGTCATTCAGTGGTAATTGTCTTTTTTGTCCATCAATTAAATCATTAATATTTGTTGTTTTAAAAGTTTGAATAATGTTTTAAATGAAACCATGTTTTCAATTACAATAACACTGTAGTCGTGTAAACATATGTCTCACTTACAGACAGTACTGTATCGTAGTATTGAAGTTACAATTATATTGAATAGTGTATCACAAACAGTATTAATAGACAAATATAACAATTTTATCTCTTATTTCATAATATATACTGTTTTTTATTTCATTGATATTTCACTGTTTACTTATTTTGATGAATTCATAATTGGATTAAATAAACTAATTTAAACATTCAAATCAATATTSTTTACTTTGTTTATCTCATTTTAACTTTCAGTTTCTATAAATACTTTCTTACTTTTATAATATATTGTATAATAAATATCATATATTTATTACTATAATTTATTAATTCTTAATACAGAGAATAATATAAAATTAATAATATACTAATTATTATACAGTTTGATAGTTAACATACAATTATAATAAAATAAAAGAAAATGCAACAAAAATTTAAAGTATATTACAAAATAAAATAATTATACCTTAAATATAACTAAATTCATTAAAGAATATTATTGTTATATATATATATATATCAATATTTTATATACTGTACATACTATGTATATATAGGTATATAATTTTAAAATWTAAAATTAAATAATATTTTATAAAATATAAATAACAAAAATATATAATAACAATAATTATTTTTAATTACTGTTTATTCCTTTTATAAATAACTTATTTTTAAATCATTGGAATCATAGAAACGTATAGTTTATTAATAGATTTTAATATAAAAATATCAATACTATGGGTGTATTGATTCAATAYTGTGTATTAAATTAATATTATTACCGGTAATATAAAAAAACATCAAATAATATACAATATTTATTGTCAAAAATTAGAATCTATGGAAAACATCTGGTATTATTAGTATCTCAATAAAATAGGATCTATTAATAGCTATTATTATCAAAATCTATTTAAAACAATAATATAATTTGTATTATGTATAACATAAAAAATATATTAAATAAATTAATAATAATCAATTAATAAATTATTTTCTTATTTTCTTAGAAATAAACATTTTTACTCATATTTTTCTAACTAGAAATGGTTATTATTAATCCTATATTATGGAGTTACTGATTATTATAGAGTATTTGATGAAATTTGACATTTGGTTAAAAAATTTAACTTAAAATAATATTTTTATTGATATTTACAATAATTACTGTTAATATATGTTTACATTTGTAAATATATTTATATAATTTATTATTAATTATATGAATGTATAGTATATGTGATATACTGTATGATAGAAACAGTTGAATATACTTAATATGAATGTATTGTGAATGCAATGAATGGCAATATATTATGAATTTATTTACTTAACGACACAAACCTGTAAAACGAGTTTTGATTAAAGCATTTAAAGAGTGATTGAAAGTGAAAGTCATTTGTGACTTGAAGTTCATTACCACAGATCAAGGCATCAGTTAATTGTTTAATAAATAATTATTATATTTATAACAATTGTCACAAAATGATGGGTCGTCTCGTGTTTGTCACGGGAGCGGCCGGTTATGTCGGATCTCACTGTGTCCTCGAGTTTTTAGTTAATGGTTACGATGTCATAGTTATCGATAATTTAGTCAATTGTGTCATAACTGATGGCAATGAACTGCCAGAAAGTTTGATTCGTGTCCAGCATTTGACGGGAAAAAAGATCAAACAATTTATTGACGGAGACCTTCGGGACAGTCATCTATTGGACTCTATATTTGCAAACAACGACATCGATGTTGTCATTCATTTCGCCGGTCTTAAGGCAGTCGGCGAATCAATAGATAAACCCCTACTATATTATGACAATAATATCATCGGAACTATTAATCTGTTGAAAGTATTTATTTTTTATTTAAATATATTTTTGAAAATTATTTATCAATATATGATATCATTACAGACAATGAAGAAATACAAAGTCGACAAATTGGTATTTTCTTCGTCCAGCACAGTCTACGGCGAACCGGAACAGCTGCCAATCACCGAACACTTTCCGACCGGCCAGAACTGCACCAATCCGTACGGCCGAACAAAGTATATGTTAGAGGAGATTATGAAAGACGTGTGTCGGGCGTCGCCTGACTGGTCAATCATATCTTTACGCTATTTCAATCCAGTTGGCGCCCATTTTTCGGGCGATATCGGCGAACAACCAAATGGTGAGCCGAAAAATTTGATGCCATATATCACTCAAGTGGCAGTCGGTGTGAGACAAGAGCTGAAAGTATTTGGTAATGACTATAAAACAAGTGACGGCACCTGTATTCGCGACTATTTACATATTGAGGATCTGGCGGTCGGACATCTTAAGGCAATTGATAAGATTTATAACAACAACTTTCCTGGATTTCACGCCATTAATTTGGGCACTGGTAGGGGTTATACAGTTTTGGAGGTATTATTATAATTTTTTTTAACATACTTTAGTATTAAATTCAGATATACTGTATGGCATAATACTATACGTTGTATAAAATTATTTAATATATTAACATTAATATACATTTGATAGACTAATTTTATCATTAAAACTATTAAAAGGTTATCCGAGCCTTTGAAGTAGCCACTGGAGTGAAGGTTCCTTATAAAATAGTCGGTAGGCGTCCAGGAGATGCCTGTGCCGTCTACGCGGACGCCAGGTTAGCACAGGAGGTGCTCGAATGGAAAGCCACGCGAGGACTACAAGACATGTGTTCCTCGGCCTGGAAATGGCAACAGAAAAATCCCAACGGATACCGATCTAAAGTTAAATGACCGTCAATTTGTATTATCAATTACTATTAATATTATACAATCAATTATTTATTTTTTTTTAGATAAATATTGTTCAAATTTTGTTGTCTAAATTATGAAGGTTACACAAGTTTTCATTGTTAAACACTTGACTATTTCATATATATTGTATACGTTATTAAATTATTGAAAATAATTTGTGATTATAACTTACCGGTAATATTTCATTAAACATTACATCATTAAAGTTTAATAGTTATTGTATATTAAAAGAGTTTAGATTTCATGAAAATACATATAAAAATTAAGTTATTATTATGAAAATTATTGAGTATTTTATTTTTTACATGAAATAACATACCGTAATAATAATATACGCTACAGTAATACTGTATTTATTATGAAATTTAATTATAATATTTCATGAAAAATTATAAATCATTTTTTTGTGAAGCGCTTATTAAATAAATTTTAACTGTTAACTAACAGTGCTTATTATACTTATCAATAATTTTAATCAGTTAAAACATATACAATTATACAAATTAGTTAAAAATTAAAAAAAATTAATTGAATTAAATTATTAGTCAATTTAATTAAAATCAAATTATATTTTCAAAGCATCACACGTTAACAGTCATATGATATGGAAATAAATGTTAAAACAATTTATTTATAATAATCACACATTTGATTAAATATATTTATATATAAATTTATGTGATTTGTCTATAATATACTGTATATTAATTTTAATCCATTTTTATTATATATCAATATTTTTTCCCGGAATGTAAACTCTCATCTGTATATACCGTAATGTGATTGCATATTACAAATATGATGTTATAAAATAAAAATAATTTATTAAACATTAAATCCATATTTTTGAAAATCTTTAAGAATGATATTAAAGGCAACATTTGCGTAACCATTGGAAGTGACTCTAATGACTTCCCGGCCCTCACTTTGTGCCACAACTTTCGGGTCAATGAATTCTGGTTTACGGCCACTGAACCAACTCATCCAGCTTTGCATAAGTGATGACGACTGAGGAACAAACAGTGGCACTTGTTTTTTATGGACACCTGGTATTGGAGGGATATGGGTTGCACCGTATCCTCGAACCACATCATTACCAAAATAGTCAAAACCGTAGACACTTACTGTTGAATATGAGATTAATGTTTGTTAAAACACATATTTTCATACAGTATTATACAATATATTATATATTAAACATAACTTACAAACCAATTGCGGCCAACCGTAAGGATTACTTGATTTGAATGATATTTCCAGAGGAAAATTCCATACAAAAAGTTGTTTGTCATTACATTTTCTGGTGATCTGAGACATGCCATCCTCTAAACCGGACACAACTGACCAGTCATTGCCATATTTGAAACAATATTTACAATAAATGTTATCAAATGAGTGAAAATAGGCACTCTCTACCTGTCCAGTGATATTCACACAAAATACACTATTGCTAACTATAGACTCACTCATTGATCTATTAATAAGAATATTCTCAATTATAATCAAATATATTATAATTTTATTTGTTATTTAAGTTTATTTAATGTTTTTAGTATACAGATTATAAACAAATATAATTATTTGAGTTATTTATTTCCTACATTCAATTCCTATGACTACCTTTACCACAACAAACTATTATTAATATATTGAATATTATTGAATATATCCAATATTTTATAATACAGTACATTATTTTATTTTACAAATTTTTTTAAATTGCTTAAACTTTACAAAACTTTAATTATGTTTAAAACATAAATCATAATAAAAAATAACTCCATTATTATGTGTCCTATTCTACTATATATAGAAAAAACTTATAAAGAATTTCCAAAATGATTGTTAATTATTTACAATTCAATTTAAAGTTAGTTTAAATCAATTAAAATGCATTAATGTTTTTAATATAGTTATGAATACATATAAAATATTACATACATTTAGATTCTGTAATAATAATAATATATAGTATATAAGTAATCAAATGATTATAACGAATAGTATTGTAATAATTGGTATATTATATGATATAATATATCATACAATAAAGTAAAATAAGTTGTAATAAAATATTTAAATTTCATTTCTATATTTCAATTGATATTTGAAGGACTTGTAGTGTTAAGATGGCGTCAGTGCCACCATAGCTCAGTGGTTAGAGCACTGGTCTCGTAAACCAGGGGTCGTGAGTTCGAACCTCACTGGTGGCTGACAAACGGTTTTTTTTGTGTTAAAATACAAACTGTTATTATTGTTTTATATAACAAATACTAAATGATTTGTCAACACTTGTTATAATATTATTTGAAAGATATCGCTATAATGTCTTCAATAACTAAACTTTCATTTTAATTATTTAATTGATTTGTACATCACTTTTGATAATAAGAGTCTATTTATCACTCGATGTCTTCGTACGGAATCGTTGAGTATTACGGCTGTAATGTCGATCCGTATCCGTGCGGATACTGTAAAAATATAAAACCCGCGGATTATGGTAAGTATCGGTTCGGTAAGTGTTAGCCGTAGATTGTCCACCAAATGATAAAATGATTTGATTGTCTTTGACAGGAATGTGGTCGCATAGGCTCTCAAACATGAGTTATCAAAATCTAATTGATAGAAATTGGCGAAGAAGTGGTCAATATTGTTATAAACCAATTCTCAATAAGACTTGTTGTCCAATGTATACAATCAGGTCTGTTGTTATCTAATTAATTGTTTGAATTAATTGATTATAACAATAGATGTGATGCTCTCGACTTCAAACTCAAAAAGTCTCACAAAAAAGTGATTAAAAGATTCAATCATTTTATAATTAACGACCAAAAGCCTGAAAAAAGACATGAAAGTGGTTTGTCATCAATTGGTRTCACCGAAGAGAAACATAATATTGAACCACTGATGGATAAAAAAGAAACTAAAGATTTAAAGATTAAAATCAATTCAAACACACTGTCATTAATGGTTCCGATTACCAGCAACAACGATACCAGTGATGTAAATGTCAAATGTTGTGATCAAAGAAGTGATATTAATTCATCAGAAAGAAAGAAAAGAAAAGCCAAATATATTAGAAAAGAGAGAAAATTACAAAAAATTATGAAAATTGAAAAATGCGATCAATTGAAGGGTCAACAGATTATGAATGAAAGGCASARAAAGAGAGTGATTGAAACAAATAAAAACAAATCACTTGAAGATTATTTAAATGAAACGGAAATCGCTTTGAATGCAAAACATAAACTTCAAGTAATACTAAAAACTTATCATTTGTTTAATTTAATTTCTATAGAATTTATAGGAATTAATCGATTATTATTTGATAATTTAGATAAAGTTTATTTCGACTTTAAATGATGAATATAAAGATACTTTAGAAGCGAGTCATTCAGTTTATAGCAAATATCAAATGGCAATACACGGCGATAGTGTTGACAAATGCACTCAAAGACAATATAAGAGATTTCTGATTGATTCACCTCTTGAGGTATTTACTAAATAGTAATTGTTTAGTACTTTTAAGTCAATTATGAATTACTTAATATCTTAGATCAAAGAGTTTAATAATGATGTTAGTAATGAATTGCCGAAACACTATGGATCATATCATCAACAATACTGGTTGGACAACAAACTAATAGCAGTCGGTGTCATCGATGTCCTGCCGTATTGTGTTTCATCTGTTTATCTCTATTATGATCCCGACTTTAACTATCTTTCATTAGGAACTTATTCTGCTTTAAGGTTTTTATCAATAATAGTATAATTAAAATTATTACTACCGATAATAATATTTATAATTTTAATATTATTACAGAGAGATAGCTTTAGTGAGAAAATTACAGCGATTTCTACCGCAACTCAAATATTATTATATGGGATTTTATATCCACTCGTGCCCTAAAATGAGATATAAAGTATTGCTATTATTTATAATAATTTTCATTATTATTGATTATATACTACTGTATATTTTTAGGGACAATTTCTACCATCGGATCTGTTATGTCCAGAAACTCATACGTGGCATCCGATTACTAAATGTGCGCTAAAGTTAGACATTATTAAATATTGTCGCTTTGAAGACAACCCAAATGTTAGTGACGACGATTCAAATGCCATCACTGATAGTGATATTAAAGTGTTGTATAACAGGACTGATATGTCTTTTCGTTATTATAAGTCTAACAGCAAAGTCAGTGAAAATGAGGAACAATTGGTCAAAGAATATGCAAAACTAATTGGAAAGAAATGCTGTCACCAGATATTACTATACAGACAGTGAAATTAAATTTATCATAAAATATGTTTTAATGCCTTACCGTTTTATGTTTTAAATTTTATAATTTCAAATACTATTGATAATAAATATATTATTAATAATTTTCGTTTATTATAATTATCCGGTTTACCGGTAAGTAAGAGTACGGATAATTATAATTCATAATATATTATAGTATCAATAAGTTTGCATCATTTGATAACAACATTAATAATTATTTATATCTGCAATTAAATWAATTTTTCATAATTTAAAAATTATTAACAAACAGTTATACAATATTAAAGGTATTATACAGTAATACGTTTTATATGAAAAGTGTGTGTTATTCAGTGTTGGCAGAGACAAAGTGTATGTATAATACAAAGCGTATTATACAGTATAATACAATGTAAATTACATGACAATTTTGGCTTACAAAAAAAATTTAGCGCCACCTATTAACAAAAATTCACAAACAAACACATATTTTKTAATAATAATTATTTTTTTATTTAAAAATTTTTTTTAATTAACTATCAATTTAATTCTGGTATTTAAATATATTAATAAAATAATTAATATTAATTTTTAATAGTTTTAGAAAACAACGATTCTAATTAACGATATTGAAATTATGTAATAATAATAATAATTTAATAAAAAAAATAAATATTTTATTATTGTTAATGTAATTTTTCTATAATTGTAAAATACATCCAATACATTGTATTTTACTGTAATTTACAAAACCAAAATTGAAAACCTTGTATTTTTCCAACCCTAGTGTTATTACAGTTAATACAGTACTGTATATGATATAAACAAATGTAATATTTTTGAAAATTATGATTATTTTGTTGTAATTATAATTTAAGTATAAATTGAATTAAATTATTAATTGATTGACTGATTGTATSAATTGGTGTGAAATGAGTTCATCAGTGGAGAGGATTCTGGTTTGCGGTGATGTCAGAGGAAAATACAAACAATTGTTTGAACGCATAAATACTGTCCACAAAAAGTCCGGTCCTTTTCATATGGTTTTATGTGTCGGAGAGTTCTTCACTGATGATGACCATCAATACAATGAGCTAATTAACGGCACAATATGTTTGCCACCGATTTCCATCTATATATTGGGAACAAGTGATGAACGACTCGTCAAATACTATAAATCAATTGATCCAAACGCTGATTATGATTCAGGCTTTGAATTACGCGATGGTATCATTTATTTGGGCCGAAAAGGCATTTTGACCGGCAGTTCGGGTCTGAGAATTGCATATCTTAGCGGACACGAGACTAACAATAATATTAGTGACAATAATAAGACTTTGTTTACTATGAAAGACTACGAATCATTGCTTTTATCACAACAAAGTTCTTCAGCAATTGTAGACATATTAGTGACGAGTCAATGGCCTAAACATGTGTTTCGTCACTCTGAAGGACATCCGCCACAGTTAGACGACATCAGTCAAAAACAAGGATCAGAATTGGTCTCAAAATTGTCACTATTATTACGTCCGCGCTATCACTTTGTCGCTAGTTTTGACAGCTTTTACGAGAGACACCCCTTCCGTAATCATCGAGTATTAGCTGAAGCGGCCAAACCTGTGACACGGTTTGTATCAGTAGCTGAAGTGTCCAACAAAACCAAAGCCAAGTGGTTGTATGCTTTTGCTATCACTGCGGCTAAAGATTTAGATGTAAACGAATTAATTAAACAACCAAATGATGTGACAGAGAATCCATTCAATRATATATCTTTTGATCCAAAGACTAACCCAAAAAATGAAAATGTTTCACAATTTTTCTATGATTTAAATGAAAATAATAATAAAAGTGACAATAATTATAATCAACACAACAAAAGAAAAAGACAAAATCAGAATGAATTTCGACAAAGAAAACAACGAAATGTCGACCCACAGGACTGTTGGTTTTGTTTGGCCAGTCCTCAGGTCGAAAAGCATCTGATTATATCAATTGGTGAACACAATTATCTTGCAATGGCTAAAGGAGGACTCACTGATGAACATCTATTGATACTACCTATAGAACACATGAGATCAACCATTGAGATTGAATCGGAAGAAGTTTTGACTGAAATAAATCGYTTTAAATCATCACTTATTCGATACTTTGACACAAAACAAGAATCTGTTGTATTCTTTGAACGAAATTTTAAATCATCTCATCTTCAGATTCAATGCGTTTCGATACCAAAAAGTAAAACTCAAAATCTCAAGTCTATTATCTTAGAGGAAACCGATAAGAAAAATCTTGAATTTATTGAACTCGAGAGTGAAATTGAATTAAAAGATGTTATAAATACTGGAATTCCTTATTTTTACATTGAATTACCCGATTGTAAACTCTTTACCCGAATAAAGACCAATCAATTCTTTCCATTACAATTAGGAAGAGAGTTGTTATGTCATCCCTCTATACTTAACTGTTTGGATCGCATCGATTGGAAACAATGTGCTCTAAGTGAAGATCAAGTCATCACTTTGGCCAACAAAATACGCAAAAATTATGAACCCTTTGATTTCACATTATTAGACTAATTATTTGAATTATTGTATTTTGGATAATATTATTTTTTTTACATAAATAYCATTTTGAATACAATAAAGTTATAAGAGTCGCCGACAAAATAAATTGTTATATATATACCAGGGTTAAGTAAGGGGAGGTAAGGCCAAAATACCCCCCCTAAGATCGAGAAATTGGGATTTTACCCCCCCCCCCAGACTTTTTGACCAAATTGGAAAAATTGTCGCTTAAAAACGACGAGAAATGACCCCCCCCCCCCCCCTAAAATTTCGGCGCCGAAGGCGCCGAAAATTTTAATTTTAGTTGATACTATTTTAGTAAATGTTTTTATGTTTTTAATATTTATAAGAATCTAATTATTAATTAAAAATAGTTAAAATAACGTTAAAACTCATCAAAAATAACATTATTTTAATTAAAACAAACTAAAAATTAAAAATTACCTATTTGTTGAAAAGATTAATCATATTACAATTTAAATATAAGTTTAAGATAGTTTAAGAAGTTAATAAAACTTATAAGTTTTTTATTAATAATTTTTAAATTTTAAATAAAAAAATTAAAAATATTTTCAATTTTATACTTAATATAACTAAAACTTTAACAAAAATTGAGTTAAATAAGTAGTATTCAGTCAGTATTTGTATAAAAATAACATTTAAAAAATAAAAATATATAACAAACTATAAACATTAAGTATTATTTAAAAAATTAATTATGTTAAAATTTAAAAATTATTAAAATACTAAAAATAACTCATAGTGCATCATTAATGCTTTTATCAACTATTTTTAAATCTTAAATAAATTATTTTATTTTTTGTTAAAATTTAACTTATTAATTTAAAAAAAATTTTTTTAAATATTTATTTTTTGTTAAAATTTAAGTTTTTGTTAATTTTTAAGTTTTTATATTTTTGGAAATTTTACCTATTTTCCCAGGAATTTATACGGGAACTTATGGGAATTTTATTGAATTTACATGGGAATATTTGGGAACTTAAGGAATTTTTAGGGAATTTTCTCTTGACCCCCCCCCCCCCCCCCCCCCCCCCCTTGATTTTGGATTTTTGAAAAAATTGCCATTTAAAAATGCAATAAAAATCTTACCCCACCCAATACCCCCCCCCCCCCAAGATTTTTCGAGAATTTTGAAAATTTTACTCCGGTCTACCCCCCCTAAAATCCAAAACCTTGCTTAACCCTGATATATAYTGTATTTGTTAGTACAGTATATACGGTATATAATACTTATATTTCATATTTTATTTTGTTTAAACTGATTAATAAACAAAAAATTAAATTAGGTTTATTTATTTGCTTTCTTAAACTTTTATATACAACTTATTATTTTAATATATTCATAAATTAAAATTAATTGCAGCAATATTTTACATTTGCTTCAGTATTTATAAATAATAATATTTAAAATTAGTTTAAATTAAAAAGTATGAATTCAATTTAATATATGATGAATATAGTGGATAATCTGCTAACTTTCCCTAACATAGAGTACATGTGCACTGGGCTTCACAGGAATCCAAACCCCGCCCTCATATTGCTATTCATCCAAAATCATCCCTTTATAGCATCCAATTCTTGAGTTATCAATAAAATGAACGTTTCTTACGGTTTTTWAACATTTAATTACATTTTACTTTAACTGTAAATTACAATCAAAATGAATGACAAGAAAAAGGTTTGCAATATTTATCTTTATTTTGATTTTTAATAAATTATTCTATAGTTACAAATGAGAGGATTAGAGGCAATCGGTTTCGTATCATTTGTGGTCMTAATTCTGGTTATTTCAATATTGACGACAATTACAAATTTAATAATAATTTATAAATTAAAACTCTTTCCAAATATGGAGTTAATGAGTTTTGTCAACGAAAATGTCTTATTTCATGGAAATGTAGATCTCGACAAAATTCTTCTGTTTAAAAATCAAATAAATGGTAAAATGAATTCATTTTTTTTTTGTTTTATTTATTATTTTAAAAATTTATTGACTATAGGAGTGTCGACAATATCGGGTGACATTATACTGGAGAGCGGGACTTCTGCCCTCAATATTAATGACAACGGAATTCATATGACATCGGATAATGGTTTTGAAGTTCGCACTAAAGATTCAGATAAATTGATTTTTCCCATTGACTTCAGCTCTTTCTCTATACCGACAATACCATCTCTAGCACTGCCCGGCGGTGCTAAAGATGTCAACAAAATCAGATCGCCATCAGATCAAGATCTGAATATAAGATCCCAACAAAAAATCAAAATTCGTGGCAATGAAGGCATTGATTTAGAAAGTAAACGAATTAGTTTTAATGGGTCTTCAATATTCATGTCATCAATTAAAGGATCTATTATTTTGGACTCTAAACAAGGAATTCATATCAATACTAAAATATTTGAAAACATTATTCATCCAAATAAAGATCAACAATCAGGTGATAAACAATTACAATACAAGTTATGTGTTTGCGGTAAAACTGGAAGAATATTTCAAATACAACTGAGACATCCGAGCCATGGATGCGCTGATATTCGCTTCCCTGAGTCAGCTAATCCCTGCGCTTGAATTCACTTTAACAGTATATTTATACTTTATAATACCGGTATTTATTTTATATCATCAATTATTTCAAGTAATTAACTTATTTAGATTGTAATCACAATATTTAATTTATATCTAATATATATTTTATTTCTAATGTACTTTAATTCAATAAAATAATTATTGTTTTGTTATTTATTACTAAATTATTTTTGTTTAAATTATTATAATATGATATATCCCTAACAATAATTTTCATATATTTTATATGCAAACACATAATAACTTTAATCGTTTATTTAATCTAAACATGAAACAGGTTTAATTTAGCTTGAACAGATAACTAAAAATATTATAATTAGAATAAATACATAGAACCATTAAATTTGGTTAATCGATTAAAGTTTGTATCATAAAATTTTATTAATAATAATTATTATTTTTAATGGCATTTATGTATTTTAATATCATATTGTTTGGTGTACTAAAAATATTGATGAATGATATTAATATATAGTATTTATATATTAACCATTAATGATATATAAAGTATTGTATTAATATAATATAAAAATTGTTGTTTCTGTTGAAAAAATTAGAGAGCCTTAAACAGCGGCGCCGGCGATGACAGCGGCGATGCTTTTAATTTCAATTATCTGGTCAACAATATGTTGGATTTAAAAGTGACCATGGACAATGTTGTAGATAATTTTAAACTAAATAAGAATGTAGTTGGTCATTTTTTAATTAATTGTATGATTGATTGGGCAGATAATATATAGTCGACTGTTAAAAAATTGTAAAAATGATAGTAGACTGCAATTAATTAAAAAATGACCAATTACAATCTTATTTAGTTTAAAATTATCTACAACATTGTCCATGGTCACTTTTAAATCTAACGTATTGTTGATCAGATAATTGAAATTAAAAGGTTCGTCTCTGTCGTCGCCGTCGCCGCTGTTTAAGACTCTTTGTAAAAATTATTTATAATTTTATACTATTTTTTCGAAAACATTGTTAATTTGTTTCCTTTTAGTTATTAAAGTTTAGTATAATAATTAAAAACCAGTTAATAAGCTAAGGACAGAATTATCATTGCCATAGAATGAAATGAAATTTATATATATAGCTCTTAGGAATATCTAGTCTTTAAAGGGGTCAGAGCCCAATGGGGGGTCAGAGCCCAATGGGGGGTCAGAGCCCAATGGGGGTCAGAGCCCAATGGGGGGTCAGAGCCCAATGGGGGTCAGAGCCCAATGGGGGGTCAGAGCCCAATGGGGGTCAGAGCCCAATGGGGGTCAGAGCCCAATGGGGGTCAGAGCCCAATGGGGGGTCAGAGCCCAATGGGGGTCAGAGCCCAATGGGGGGTCAGAGCCCAATGGGGGGTCAGAGCCCAATGGGGGTCAGAGCCCAATGGGGGTCAGAGCCCAATGGGGGGTCAGGTGGCTAAAAATTTATCCAAATTTATATCCAATTCAAAATTATAAAAGTGCCATAGATAGACAAAATTGTCATAAATAGACAAAAATAACAAATACTTTCAAAATTTTGTGAAAAAAATTAAGTAAAAGTTTTTAAAACTTTAATCTGCGAATTGTATATAATTATTACAATTTAGACTTTTAAATTTTAAGACTTTATTATTACTCCCAATTTGTAAACTTTAATATATTTATCACATCAATAAAAAATTTATATAAAAATTAAACCAAACATTTTGGTATTTTACTGATTATTTAATAATACATAATATACTGTACTTTTCTACTGTATTATATAATTAAATTATTTTTGACAATAATTCATCCAATAAATTATTACAGTATTATCAGTATTGTTAATATATATTTTAAATTGAAAATCTGTGTCATAAAATAATTAGTTTGTTTTTTTAAATAATTGTTTTTTTAATAAACAAATTAATAATATAATGCAATTCAGGTTCCGCTCCCAATGTCATTAACCAACCAATACATACGGTATCAGTAAAAGCGATTTTGCGTACAAACCCAACAGTTATTTATATGACAATACAGTACAGGATATACTGTATAGTTGTCCTTCAAAATTGATAAGAGATCTTAAAATGAAAATAGTGTTTTAAATCTTTAGATTTAGATTATGTAATACAACAAACACTTTATATAATAAGTTAATTATTAGCCCTTTATTAACACTGAGAATCTCATAATATCAAAGTCAAACTATAATATTAAGTTTGTAGGGCTTAAGTAACGACAATCAATTTGTTGTTAATATGTGATAATTGACTGAAAATACAGAAAAAATATTACATTGCATACGTTTGACACTGATTTCAATAATTAAATTATAATTTGTGATAAAATTCATATAAAAACTGTTTTTATATTTTAAAATAATATAACTTTTAGCCGTCTATTGAAAATCAATAATTATAGAAATGGATTCAATCAATAATCTACTAAACCTGGACACTATTAACCAGCAGATCAGGGAAATGGAGTATGCCGTCAGAGGACCCATACCTATAAGGGCCACACAATTAGCTCAGGAACTTAAAAGTGGTGTCCAAAAACCGTTTGAAGAAGTGATTCGGGCCAATATCGGTGACTGTCATGCTATGGATCAAAAACCCATTACTTTTTTCAGGTTTTAAACAAATATTTATTCAATTACTAATTATTAGTAAATTATATAAAAAGTTTTTATRTATAGACAAGTGCTGTCAGGTGTTCTCAGTCCTGATAAATATCTTTCAAATTCTGAAATACCAGAAGATGTCAAACAAAGAATCTCATTATTATTGACAGAATTGGGAGGAAAATCAGTCGGTGCTTATTCTGATGCTTCAGGAGTTGAAATCATTAGACGACATGTGGCTGAATATATTGAAGAAAGGGATGGAATAGCCAGTGATTGGCAGAGTATAGTATTGACTACCGGAGCGTCTGAAGGCGCCAAAGCTATGTTGTCTTTCATGAATTCGGGCTCAAGTGATGGCATTCCTACCGGTGTTATGGTTCCCATACCTCAATACCCTTTATATTCAGCAACTATTTGTGAATTATCAATGCATTTGATTCCCTATTACTTGGATGAAGACAACGAATGGGCGCTCAGTATTGATGAACTCCAACGATCACTAAATGAATCAAAAGCTAATTGTAAACCAAAAGCAATTGTTGTGATAAATCCAGGAAATCCTACCGGTTCTGTACTCACACGTAATAATATTGAAGACATTATTAAATTTGCCAAACAAAACAATTTACTAATAATTGCTGATGAGGTATATCAACACAACATCTGGAAAAGTGGTGCAAAGTTTTATTCATTCAAAAAAGTTATGCACGAATTGAATGTCAAACTAGAATTGGTATCAATGATGAGTGCTTCCAAAGGTTAGCTCTTTTAAGGACTTATTTTTATTTAATAATATAATAATAATAATATAATTTTTATTTGATTTTTTATAGGCTTTATGGGTGAATGTGGTCTTCGTGGAGGTTATCTTGAAATATGCAATTTTGATCCACAAGTAAAGGCTGTATTTTTCAAGATGTTAAGCGCCAGACTTTGTTCATCTATTTTGGGACAAATAGCTATGGATTGTGTAGTAAAACCTCCAGTTAAAGGTTCTCCTTCTTATGATATCTTCATTAAAGAGAAACAAGAAATTTTAGATTCATTGCAAAAGAGGGCCAAATTAGTTGCCGATACTTTCAACTCAATTCCTGGTATTGTATCCAATCCAGTGGCCGGAGCCATGTATGCCTTCCCGAAGATTGAATTGCCTGAAAAACTCATTAAAATGGCTGAAGAGAAACAACAAAAACCTGACTTTTTCTATGCGATGACTTTATTGGAGAGAACCGGTATTTGTGTTGTTCCCGGCTCTGGTTTCGGTCAAATTCCCGGTACGTATCACTTTCGGACCACAATTCTACCACAAACTGACAAAATGGAGAAAATGATGAATAAATTCAAAGAATTTCATTTGAAATTCTTAGACGAATTCAATTAATCGAACGGAATATTACTAAATGTCTATATTTTACTGTTATTTACAATAATTTTGTATTTTTAGAAATATAATAATTTTAGTGATATTTGTGAAACAAAATATAAGAAATAAATATTTGAACGATTATTTAATTTTAATAAATCCAATAATATTATTATTTGCATCAATAATACAATAATTGTTATTTTATAATATTTGTCTGATTTAATTGAATAACTATTAAAAATTGTGATAAAATGTTTTACAGTAATTTATGTATAAATAGTAAAAAGATTACTTAATTTTAAAAATAGATGCAATCAAATGTCTCATCAATTGATCCAATAAAATATTTGATTACTAAGATATTATAAAATACAAAAGTCTATTAACAACTCAAAAACAGTTTTTAAAAAATAATTTTTTATATACCGTATGTATAATAAATACACTGAGCAGTATTATACAGGTATAAATTATATACAGTATTAAAATCTATTATTTTGATGATCACATTATCACATAAGTTATGTGAGATAACATATGAGTAGAAAAAATCTAAATTAGTAATTAATATATAATAAACTTAATAATTGTGTTAATGTAAATCTGTTTAATAGTATAAAACAACAATTAGTTCAAATATATGTATTATATAACTAAAATTAAATAATAAATTATAGAATTTTCTTATTCATAAATGTTTAATTAAGTTATGAATTTTTGAAAAATTATTATAATTTATAATACTAATTATTAATTATTAATTTCGCCTATACATTACAAATTAATTGTCCAAAATATACAGTAAAATTTATAGTAAAACATTTCAATATACAAAAGTTAAATGTTTATAAAATTAATGTTAAAACTATATGCTCTAAAAATTGTCAAAAAAATAACATTTTATAAATAGTTTCATTTATGTTAAATTATTATATAATATTTATGAGATGAATCATAACTTGTAGACACTATTAGATTAAATGATAATCAAGTAAACGGCTGAAAGGATAACTGGTTTGCATTGTAATTGAGAGACAGGTTTTGTAATAACAAAAGTAATATTAATAGTAAGGTATTAATGGTTTTATGATTACAGGAGTTGTCAAACAATACATTGAATATTGAATGCAATGTTGTATTCAATGATACACTCATTGCTTACTTGACGTAACATTTGTTGACAAACAGTCTCTCAAAATCATTGCCTTAATGGCTAAGTCTTGCGATACTTTCGTAGTGTTACCGCCGCTGACGGCCAACAATTTGACTATTTTTGGCAAAAACTCTGACCGACCTAATGGTGAGGTTCAAGAAATTGTTTATTATCCGCGAAAAACATATGAAAATGAATGCAAACAAGAGGTAAGTCATAGACAACGATGACATGTCATTAAAGTCAACGATGCGTTCAATCATTGGTATGTCTTCTTCTTGACTTTTCAGTGCACTTATATATCAGTGGATTCAGTGCAACAAACCTATGCTGTTATCCTAAGTAAGCCCTCGTGGATGTGGGGCTCAGAAATGGGAGCCAATGAGTATGGCGTTTGTGTGGGCAATGAAGCCATTTGGACACAACTTAATGGACCCAATGATGAAGTGGAACGACTTCTTGGTATGGATTTGGTCCGATTGGCACTGGAAAGAGCTAAGACTTCTTGCGAGGCATTAGAGGTGATCACAACATTATTGGAAAAGCACGGACAGGGAGGCACCTGTTCCGAGAGCTCATCATTCACTTATCACAATAGCTTTCTTATTGTTGATCCCAATGATGCCTATGTCTTGGAAACAGCTGATCGCGAGTGGGCCGCAGAAAAGATTGAATCGGGATTTAGAAATATATCTAATTGTCTGAGTATTGGCACTAAAATTGATTTAATGAGCAAAGGTCTTAAACAGGTGGCCATTGTTAAGGGACTGTGGGATGGCGTCCAAGAGTTTAATTTTTCTAAAGTCTATGGCACCGGTAGTGCTGATACTCCACTCGATAACCAAAGATTTATTGCCGGAAGACAATTGTTGCAAAACTATTCCAAAGGTTTGTTAACTATTGATATTTATTTTTTTTAATATATATGATGTAAAAACTTTCAATTGGTTCCCAAAAGATAACTTATTTGATATCAACTCAATGATTGCAATACTGAGGGACGAACCAAGTGGTATCTGTCGTCCCTATGAAGCGGCATTCCCTTCCACTTCAAGTCAAGTAAGTTATACGATACAGATATCAAAGTTTGAAAAGTATTGATATCACGCGTTAACGAATAATTAATTAATTGAGTGTATATTAACTGTATATATAACTTAACTCCAATGTTAATATCTTTATTACTTAATTATAAGGTATCCGTCTTATCAAAGAGTGAGTCTCGTCCCTCCTGTCATTGGTTTACCGGAACTCCGGACCCAAAACATTCAGTATTCAAGCCCTTCATATTTTGCGATGGTTTTGAAATAACTTCAAACATTGTGTCTCCGGTAATACCCGACGACCCGGTCAGGACTATACCAAGATTCCAGAGACAAGTCGACCGAAGACATACTCTCTATAAAGTTCATCAAAACTTTTATCAAAAACTAATTCAAAATAATAGTGAGGGAAATGACTTAAGACAGACATTGAATCGATTGGAAAAGGATTGTATTGAAGAAGTGGATAAAATGTTACAAAATTACGATTCTAACGACCAAACCATCAATATTAAGGATCTTTTCAATGATTGTGTAGAATCAGAGCTCAGGTTTTATAAGTGAAATATTTTCACAAATGTATTACATTTTATTAATTTCAACTTTTAATATATTTTATGATAAAGTGCTTTCATTTTTTTAGTAATTTATATATACATTATATTTAATATTATAATATAGGAAATTATGTTTTAAAGTTATTATGTCAAATACATGTTTATTATAGCAATTGTTTATTATTTTGTTTACCGTGTATAACAAAATGTTATGTAGTGACATATAATTTACTGTACTATTAATATGATGGCAATTATTTTTAAAAACTATTTTTATTCAAACATTGAGTTTTCATTAAAATTATTATATGAAATAGTTAAATGACTGGCATAAAATCATAATTAATTCTATAAAATGATATTTGTAAAGTGCACTTATCTAAAAAATACCGGTAATTTTCTGTATATTTTTTATGTTTCAATAAATTCTGAAATATTAATACACATTAACTATTGTCTAACAAATAATTTATAATATAAATAGTGATAAATAGAGATATTATTAATCGATGATATTAAACTAAGTATAAATAAATTTATTAGAAATACATTACCAGTAAATTGAATTTAATGTAAATTTATAGATTTAAATATTGCTAAATTAAGAAAATAAATATAATTCTACTTTAATTATGTACTTTTTTAACGATGATAATGGGAAAAATACATTTATATTAAAAATTGGAGGGAATTTATATTGAATTTGTTTTATTAAGAATATCGCATTTATCAGTAATGAATTTATCACTAGGAATACACATGTTATGCTATATAAGTGATAATCAATTTTATAATTATTTTGTATCTTTTAAAAAATGTTTTTATTATAATTACGGTAATCAAAAATATTATTACATTTTAATATAAAAATTTATTTATAATAAAATAATTTTTAAGTTTTTAATTAATAAGTTTTTAGAGATAAGATATCCAGTATTATACCGGTGATACTGTATATAAGATAATGTATGATATGCACCGGTAGTTCATGCACTTGGATCATGCAATAAATATATAGATACTCTATTACTTTACAAATTGAATATTTTCTATGACTGTATTATTTATACACTATTTTATTAGTTTAATTAAAATAGTTTGTATGAAATTAATTCAATTGAGACCAATGACTAGTAATTTGCTAAACAATATTTGCCATATATTAAAATACTTTGAAAGTTTAAATAAATTTAATAAATAATATTATAATATATATATATATGTTATATACAGTTATATGTTTGATTACCTGTACTTTACARTAAATGTTATTATGTGATGAAATTGAAATCAATTGACATTATTATAAGTTAAGGTATATTATAAATGTGACTTAATTCAAGGTTACGACCTATCGTTATATCGTATGTTATGTTGTCTGTGAACGAGGAAAGGGAGACACTGTACTACTGTACACAGTGTACAGTATATGAGCTGAATATAGAGAGAAAGAGAGAGCCGACTATTATTATAGTAGTTATTATAGTGAACGTTGAATACACTGTAAATGTGGGACAACTCATACACACAACTGACTACTCATACGATTGACTATCAAATGAATATAATATAAGGATATGTTGTGAACATCAGTGAGACTCCAGTGAAGTGACTGTAGAATCACTGCTAACAACACAACACAGTATTAAAGCTATCAGTGAAGCGACGATTGATTTAAGTTTGAAATACCGATAACTTTGACGGACACCGATATAAAGTGAAACAATAAACCGTATGTATTGTTATCTATTATTTAACTGATTATCACCAATAAAGACATATTTAGTGACCAAACCTATGAATGTCTTTTCATATGATATATTACCTCATTATTATACACACCGTTACCGGTCATAATTAAGCCCAACATTACTATTGATTCAATTATTTTTATTATATTGTATTTCTAGACATAGTATACATATTATATTTATATCAATAATACTAAACTATGTTTTAATAAATTAACCGTAAATTAAGTTAACCGTAAACTATAAAGAGTTTATCATTTTATTTGATTACTATTTAATTAAATATTTAAGAAATCTAAAGGTTTTTGAAAAAATGTGAACAAATCATCAAACGATGATTTTTATCGACCAAACCATCATTTGCTGTGAAATCACTTTTCATGTGCTATTATATCAATATTTTAAACATATTATATAATATAATATGATTTGTAATTATTAATTAATTAATAATACTTTGTAAACCACATTCACACAGATTTACACAACGATCTCACTTTTGACTGGTTTTTAACAAATAAAAATATTTTTAAGGAAATGGTAATAATTTATTATAAAATGCATGAATTTATTCATAAATTAATTTTTATTTGAATATTATCTCAGTCTGTATCACATATTGGTCGTCGATTTGTCCCACTTTTAGATCGCGTTTTAGTTGAAAGATATGCCGGTTTGGCCACTGTTTCTGCCCGTCATATATCAGCCGATGCGACGGTAAATATTTATTACATTATAAATATGTCATAAAATAAATGATAAAATGTATGAATGGTTAGGATTTGAAAGGAGTTTTGGCCAAAAAGATTGTCGAACACCAGAAACGGGTCAAAGAATTCCGTAGCGCTTATGGATCCAAAGTGATCGGAGAGATTACTGTCGATCAGGTTTATGGAGGAATGAGAGGTCTAAAATCATTGGTCACCGAAACTTCATATTTAGATCCCGAAGAGGGCATTGCTTTTAGAGGATATTCTATTCCTGAAATAAAGAAAATTCTTCCGACAGCACAGGGCGGTGAAGAGCCACTTCCTGAAGGCTTATATTGGTTATTATTGACAGGAGAGGTGCCGACTGCTGATCAAGTAAAAGGAGTGTCCAAAACTTTGGCCGCACACGCAGATCTGCCATCACATGTGGTTACAATGCTTAATAACTTTCCATCACATTTGCATCCAATGTCTCAATTGAGTGCAGCCGTAACCGCTTGTAATACTGAATCATTGTTTGCAAAGGCTTATAATGAAGGAGTAAACAAAGCGACGTATTGGGAACACACCTTTGATGATGCTATCCGACTGATTGCTAAATTACCGACAATAGCGGCTACTATTTACCGCAATTTATATCGTGACGGATCATCAATTGGAGCCATTGATACTAATAAGGATTGGTCGGCGAACTTCACTTCAATGCTGGGATATAATGATCCGAAATTTACTGAATTAATTAGACTTTATTTAACGATTCATAGGTTTGCTTTTATGTGATTATATGTATTAAAATATACTTAATTGAGTTCTTTATTAATAATGTAGTGATCACGAGGGCGGTAATGTTAGTGCACACGCAACTCATTTGGTTGGAAGTGCTCTATCAGATCCTTATCTTTCATTTTCTGGAGGAATGAACGGTTTAGCCGGTCCTCTGCATGGTTTGGCTAATCAAGAAGTATTGATTTGGTTAACAAAACTACAAAAAGAATTGGGTCAAGAAGTGTCTGATGAGAAACTTAAGGATTTTGTTTGGAAAACATTGAAATCAGGACAGGTATGTCATCGATATTTATTTGTAATGTACTAAACTTATGTTATGACAGGTTGTTCCCGGATATGGTCACGCAGTGTTGCGTAAGACTGACCCGAGATATATAGTTCAAAGAGAGTTCTCATTGAAACACTTACCAAATTATCCATTGTTTAAATTGGTGTCACAAATATACAAAATAGTTCCACCGATTCTCTTAGAATTGGGTAAAGTGAAGAATCCCTGGCCTAATGTTGACGCCCACTCTGGTGTTATATTACAAGTGAGTTATACTATTATTTGTAAAATTTTGTTTAGTTTTTTTTATTACTAATACCGGTATTTAAATATTTTTATAGTATTACGGTATGAAAGAAATGAGTTACTATACGGTACTGTTTGGAGTTTCACGTGCTTTGGGTGTAATGGCTTCGCTGACATGGGATCGAGCATTAGGTCTGCCCATTGAGAGACCCAAATCAATGACTACTGAAGGTCTCCAGAAATTAGTTGGCGCAACATAATTGTCTCAATGATTTTAAAGATTGTATTATCAATTGAATCAATTATAACTAAATTTTTGCCGTGTGAACAGTTTTTAGTAAATTAATTAAATTAAGCTCTCATTTTAATTATTGATAGAAAGTGTTATTTTTGTGATTTAGGTTTTATTTAGCACCTCATCAGTGATTTAGCGAATCTTGATATTCGGTTTTATGTAAAAAATAAATACATTAATAACTCATAATATTTAATTAATGCTTAATATAATAAAATGCATTATTTTATTAGACGAATGTGTTTTGTATTGATCGACACATTCCTTATTTAAAAGCAATAATTCATTTTAATAACACTTCTTTAAAAAAAATTCATGTAATTTTAAATCGTTAATCAGTATATTATTAAATACAGTACAATAAAATTATTAACTTATTGTATAAATACTTGAATCCAGTTTAAAGTCAGTTTTAAATGTGCATAAATTATAATATTTCTACATTTATTCAAATATATGCATTATTATGTAATACTGTACTGTATTACACAGTAAATTATACAGTATATCATATACTGCATATACCATAAGGTTGTGAATAAATATCAAATAGACCTGTATTAATTATCTGTGAAATATATATTTAATATAATAATTGTAGTTATTATTGAATTAGAAAATAAAGCATTTTAGTTATAATGTATTTATATAACAATACGAAATAATTATTAATTTTTAAAATTTAAAACTGTATATAAACAAAGTTGAAAACATTTGGCACATATTATTAGTTTAAAAATAAAATTACCGTAAATGCAAATTATAGCTAATGAATGCAAGGATAAGTCATATAAATAAAGTTTAACTGACATTCAATTCAATATATTTATAAACTTTTTTAGACAAAAAATAATAATATATAAAACATAAATATAATTATTTATCAAAAAAAAATATAGTTTTAAGATCATTGATAATTTAAATACAGAAAACATTTTAATTAATTAAAAAAATATTTTTGCATGTTTTCACAGATTTTTATTCATTTTATTGTATCGATAGAGTATTAATATATTAATATGGATTTAACAATAATTATGTTGAAATTAACAAATTACTGTATAACTGATAATTAGTAAATATACTAAAGTGCTATAACTTACAGTATGTTAAGTACATGTAATATCCAATACTATGATTCCGTATAATTGAATATTAATTAATATCATATATTCTACTCGAATCTGTTTATAGAATATTTGATGTAAAATATGATTAATAATCAATGAATATATTATTACTGTTAAATACAGTACAATAAACAATAATGGATTAATTAATTATAATTTGTTAATAATATAAATTTATAACAAATTAATATTTTAAATACAAGTAAAGATAGTACAGTACTGTATATGTATTAATCATATTATAAATTTTGCTAAAATTTGTCCTTCAATAATAAAGTACTGTAATAATTATTATTGTATTTGAGTAATGCAAGAATATACTACTGTATATACCACTGGTGATCATTCAAGTGATTTCTGATTACTTTTGATTAAAATGCATTGTCGAAGCTTATGGTTTATTATAATATATTTCATCTAGCTCAAATACACTGTTACATATTAATTTTAATTAAGTGGTATATTTTATTTAATATTATATAAAAAAGGTTATTAAATTTGTGTATTATAATTTTTTTGTTTTTTATCTTGGTCAGTAATTATGTTTTTAAGTAAGGGACCGTATAATAATCGTGATATCGCCTGCTATATACTATATAGTGACCAAATTATGTTTTATAACTCGTTATAATGCGTTATTCAAAATTCATACAAATTTTGGCCAATTATTTCAACAACATTTGAACAATTTTTTCTTTATAAACACTATAGAAATTTATAATTATCTTATTCTATGTTTATTTTCTATTAAAAATTTATACAATAATAATAAAAGCTAACACAAAAACTTTAACTTTTTAATTATATGATTATAATTTTTATAATGAATTCGATTCAACGGTTTATAATTAATAATAATTAAAATATAAATATAAATATTATAAATGCAATACATTTTACAAAATGTTTTAAATAATTTTCTAAAACTTTTAGAAAAAATTTATTCGACTATTATTTGCGCAAATAGTTACTAAAGGTATTCAACAATTACTGTAAAAATTGACTGAAAATATTTTGCAACAATGCTTTTTATGACATTATTTTTACCAAACAGTTATATATATAGAAATAGAATGAATTAAAATTAAAGTTGTGCATGCTTATTTTTGTTTATTTTAAATGATTTATATTAAAATATCATTTTATTGATTGTCCAGATTTTTCTGTACATTTTGGTCACTATAATTGTAAGTCAAGTGTAGTCAGCTGTCAATCACATGACTATTAAATTAAATTGTTTATATAATTATTAGAAATTAATGATTGTATTGATTGTATTGAGATTATAATATCAGTGACACAAACATTGATTTAGGATATAATGTATTCAAGCAATCAATTGATGGTTTGTGTGCACCGATGCCGACAATTGGCCGCTTCGGGTCATTATTATCGACCCATTTTGGCCAACAGTTACTCTCATAAATTAAATAGTATTAAGACATTTACAAGACATGACCACCAAGTGATTCGCCAATTCTTTAGACTTCCATTTAAACCATTCAAAGGACAGACAAATATATCAAAAGTGAAGAAATATAGTGAACGACGAGTACTTGGGTTTGTTTACACTGATTGTCCGTAAAATTAGTAGTCATTTATTAATTAAATATATTATTGTTACAGATATTCAAAGGAACAGCTGTATGAAGTGGTATCTCTGGTTGACGACTATCACCTATTTCTTCCGGCATGTGTTAAGTCACATGTGTTTGAACGCCGTAATGGTTTTCTATTGGCTGAACTGGAGATCGGTGTCCCACCGATTATTTGGGAGAGATATACATCTCAAGTAACTCTTAGAAAACCCAATTCTGTGATCGCAAGATGTAATGACGGAAAACTATTCAATTATTTGGAGACTCACTGGACATTTGGCGACGGATTGCCTCATATTAAACAAAGCTGTTGTCTTGACTTTAGGATATCATTTGAATTCAAATCATTAATTCACTCACAATTATCTCACGCCTTCTTCGATGAAATGGTTCACAAGACTGTCAATGCATTTCTCAAAAGAGCTGAACAATTGTATGGAAAACAATGTTTTATACCAAATGCCAGTTCATTGACTCAAAAAACAATGAGTTAACCATTAGTTTTGATTTAAATGTTATTTAATTTTATGTATAATATGTATAGTAAATAATTTTAGACAATTAAAAGTATTTGTTGTAATTGTTGCTTTTTGGGGCTTAATTAAAGCTTTATACAGTATTTTAAATACATGTTTACTAATTATATGTTTAAAATAAAAAACATTTTTTATTATGTTTACAATTACAGATTATTTAATAAATTTGTTTAATCATTTGAAAATGAATACAAAATTATCACTCAATAGTGTAATAAAAGTGACTATCTTTTCATAACATATTATCTAAGTTTTATATAAACCATGATTTTTTACCATTTATTAAATGGATTTTATAAGCATTTAAAAACTAATATCATATACCAATAGATGAGAAAATAAATGAATTGATAACTAAATTGTATAATTAACTAATTCTTGTAATGATATCTTCAGTTTTGCCACTTTCCCAATATTTCGCTGTCGCGGAACAAATAGTACTCTTTGTCTTCGATCTCGACTTTAGTTCCTCCATATTCAGGTAGAAGTACTTTATCGCCGGTTTGGACAGTAGTGGGAACTACTTCTCCCTTGTCATTCCTATATCCAGGACCTACAGCCACAACAGTTCCCGATTGTATCTTTCCCTGAGCCTTCTCTGGTATCATAATACCTCCTTTAGACTTAGTCTCGGCCACAAACCGTTCAATCAATACCCGATCAAACAGTGGTATCAAACGACGTGCAATTGAAGCCTATAAATAAAATACCATTTAATTAGTTGATTCAAATGATGGCTTAAAGTGATGAAAATTTATTACCATTGATGACAATCTAATTAATTGATAGAAACAATTGAAATGACTTTAAGGGATGTATTGAATCAAACAAACTCTAAACACTTGAAAACATGTGCTTTGAATGGACTTCAATGGACTTCAATGTCACAAATGTCTCGTTAGGAAACTTCCAGAAGTGTTGGCCCCGACCTATGTATTACTTGTTTCAACCAATAGTATTAACACAACTGTCTCATCGATACTATTATTTCATATCATTTTTAAATTAATTTCATTTATATTCAAATAATATTAATATTTTCAATGATTTTTGTTAATAATAATAATAATAAATTGAATAAAAATTAGTTAATACATGTTTGGGTGACATTACATAAGCCATAGCCGGCACTCATTTGAGTGTATGTCTAGAGTCTAGACTTTAACGCTATTCTAGAGTTTACTATTGGATCACACATTCAGTTCTCTATTAGAGTTTGTATTCAACGCTTGTTTTCATTTAATTGTTATTTCAAAGCAATTGAATCTACATTTGAATCAATTAATTGATTCATTGATTGTCTTTAAATTGATTGTTAAGTGACAGCAAACGTAAGTAAATGACAATTCATTGAATTAAATATTATTTGACTTTTAAGAATCGTTTAATAAGTTTTCATCAAAACACGTGTTTTGAATTTTTAAAAAAAAAACGAAACTCATGTTTGATTTGTGATATAATTAATTGATTAGTGAATTGTTTTATAGACAAACAACAAGACATGTATAGAGTGCCATCACTCCTGAGGACAACTCTTTGTCGGCGATTGCCATCCAATGTCTATACACAAAGGCATTACGCAAAAGACATAAAATTTGGAGCCGAAGTGAGGGCACAAATGTTGGCCGGAGTCGATATATTGGCCGATGCCGTGGCTGTGACTATGGGACCAAAAGGTCGTAATGTCATTCTTGAGCAGTCATGGGGTTCACCAAAGATCACTAAAGACGGTGTAACTGTTGCCAAGGCTATAGAATTGAAGGACAAATTTCAAAATATCGGCGCAAAACTAGTTCAAGATGTGGCCAACAATACAAATGAAGAGGCAGGTGATGGTACCACCACTGCCACAGTTCTTGCCCGAGCTATTGCTAAGGAAGGATTTGAACGCATCTCAAAGGGAGCCAATCCTATTGAGATTAGAAGAGGTGTTATGTTAGCAGTTGATAAAGTTGTTGACAAACTTAAAGCATTATCAAAACCCGTCACTACTCCTGAAGAGATTGCACAGGTGGCCACCATATCTGCTAATGGAGACAAAGCTATAGGCGAACTAATTTCATCAGCAATGAAAAGAGTTGGCAGAGAGGGTGTTATCACTGTTAAAGATGGCAAAACTCTTAACGACGAATTGGAAGTGATTGAGGGCATGAAGTTTGACAGGGGATACATATCACCATATTTTATAAATACACCCAAAGGTGCAAAAGTTGAGTTTCAGGACGCATTGCTTCTCATCACTGAGAAAAAAATATCAACGGCTCAGTCTATAATACCAGCTCTAGAATTAGCAAATCAACAGAGAAGACCACTAATTATTATTGCTGAAGATGTTGATGGAGAAGCATTAACTACTTTGGTTCTCAACAGACTTAAGATTGGTCTTCAAGTAGCGGCAGTCAAAGCACCGGGTTTTGGTGATAACAGAAAAGCCACACTTCATGATTTGGCCATTTCTACCGGAGGTATTGTGTTTGGAGATGACGCCAACTTAGTTAAACTTGAGGACATCCAACCATCAGATTTTGGACAAATCGGAGAAATATCTATTACTAAAGACGACACACTTTTATTAAAAGTTTGTTTAATTGTTTTTATCTTAATTTTTTAAAATTATTAATAAAATATAATAATTAGGGAAAGGGAACGAAGGAAAACATTGACAAAAGAGTTAATCAAATTAAAGATGAAATTGAATTATCAAATTCTGAGTACGAAAAGGAAAAATTAGCTGAAAGAATGGCACGACTTTCTAATGGTGTGGCTGTACTCAAAGTTGGCGGTTCCAGTGAAGTGGAAGTCAACGAAAAGAAAGATAGAGTTACTGATGCATTGAATGCCACCCGCGCTGCTGTTGAGGAAGGAATTGTTCCCGGAGGAGGTACTGCTCTCTTGAGATGCATTCCATCACTTGACGAAATTAAACCTGAAAATGAAGACCAGAAAATTGGTAAGAATTATATATTTACTTTAAAAGTATGAATTGTAATGTTTTAAATGTATTTATTTTATTATAGGCATTGAATTGATTCGTAAAGCCCTAAGAATGCCGTGCACTCAAATAGTACTGAACGCTGGTTTAGACGCATCGGTTATCGTTCAAAAAATTTTGGATTCAACTGATGTTAACTTCGGTTACGACGCTTTAGTCAACAAGTATTGCAATCTAATTGAAGTCGGAATCATTGACCCGACAAAAGTGGTCAGAACTGCTCTGATGGACGCCTCCGGTGTTGCCTCTCTATTGACTACAGCTGAGAGTGTTGTGGTTGAAATGCCTAAAGAAGAAAAAGAAATGGGTGCTGGAGCTGGTGGTATGGGAGGTATGGGTGGAATGGGAGGAATGGGTGGATACGGAATGTAGTCATAGTTTACTTATAGTTAGTGATTTTAGGTATAAAATAAAACATTAAAATTGATGTACTTTTTTATTCAATTATTATCTCATAATATCATACAATTCATGTATCAAATCATGTTCAATATGTTTTGAATTACTTATACACTATTAGTTTTCAGAATTTATATAATAAAATATACGTTTTTAAACAATAATAATATTTAAAATTATTTAATATATATTTTGAAATATTGAATAAATTTATATCTTATATTAATATATTACAGTTATATATAATTTAGTTGAGTATATTCACTGTTATTATCGAAGACATAACTTTCTACAGTACCGGTAGTTATAATTCACTTTGTTTTTAGTGTTTGTCTAAACACATGGATAACATTATTTAGACCTCTATATCGATCAAAATAAGTTACACTTTATGTTACTATAAATCCAATTTCTGACCGTTAGTCCTAAAAAAAGTACTAAATTTATTGGTTTAAATCCTAAAAGTCCTATAAATAGTGTATTTTAAAAAATACATCAAATTAATAAAAAAAATATCACAATTAATATAATTTAAATTTTACATATTTAGCATTCAATTTTGAACATTGAATTTTGCATAATCTTAATATAAATATACATTTTAATAATAATTTAATTTATAAATTATAATACTACATACCGGTAATCATAATAACATAAATAAAAAAAATAAATCTAAATTTTAGAAATTAACAAAAATTACAATAGTTTCATTACCATTGTATGTAATATTATTTGTAATTAAAATTATTGTATATTAATATTATTTGATAATAATGTTGAATAATGAATGTTTTAGTGGAAACCCTAGAAAATCCTAAAATAGTCATTTTTAAGTCCTATTTAAAAGTACTGTACTTTTAAATACTAGAAAGTTGTGTCTTTAGTTATTACTGTCAAATTAAATAGATATGCAAATAAAAACCCAAAGTTTATATTTGTAATTTAAAAACATTATATTAAAATATAAAATAATGTTTTTATCAGATTTTATTTTGTAATATTAGAGTTTTAATGATTATTCATTTAAACTGAATTTTAAAAATTAAGTTAAACCTGATATACGTACAGTTAATCATAATATTAAAGAATTTATACTATAAGTCAAACATACAGAATATCTTTTCTCAATTAAATTAGATAATGTAATAATAATATAATTATTTAAATATAATAAATAATTGTATAATTAATTTAGTTTTATTTATTAACAATTTGATTTAATTTAATACAGTATAATAAAATATAATAAATTTTATAAAAACCAGTGATTTTATTTTGAAGATTTTATATTTTTAATAAGTTTAATATAACAATGAATACAAATTAAAAATTAAATAATAATTATCATAAGAAATCGTTTTAATAATACTGTAAATGATATTTTGTTTATTTTTATTTTATTTAGTATATAATATATAATATTTTTAACAAATATTTTAAGTAATTTAATAAGATATTTTTAAAAATAATAATAATAATAAATGTTTTATCTAATATTGATTGTTTATTGCTCATTGGCTTTCATAATAATAAGATTTAATATACAGACAAAAATATACAGGAGAAAAGATTTTTAAATTTTTTAAATAATACAATTTTATAACAAATCAAATATTATACAAAAAAAACAAATTATAACATAAAATATCAAAATAAATAACTTTCAATTACAGATACATTTAATAGCATTAAATTACTAAATTTACAAACACAGTACAAATATTAAATACGGTAACATTTAAAATATAAACATTATGTAAATTAATTAAAAAATTAATATTTAAATAATTTTAATTTATATTAGAAAATATTATTAAGTTTATTAAATAACAGCTATAAATATTATCAGTATACAAAAAATTAAAGAAAATATACTAATTTTAATTAATTATTTGTTTTACAAGAAAAATTCAAAATTTTAAGTGTATTTTAATTAATTTTATATATTGATTATTGTTATAATAAATAAACTGTTATATTATTAAAAATTATATAAATAAAATATATTTATAAATTGTATATAAAATATAACCAGTAATTAAAGATAAATAAATTGAGTACATTCACAATATTTCTTACTTTATATACTGTATAAGAAAAAAGCAATTTACTAATAAAAAAATCAAATATATATTTTTTTCAACTAAATAATTCATTTAAAGTGATCCATCAAAATGTTTGATAAGGAAATTATTATTTTCTTTAAAGCTTTTAATAACAAACTTTGTAATAAACTCCTTAATAAAATTATTATTTGCCAAATATATTAGATATTAAACATATTAAATGTTATAATAATTTTATTTATATAATATCTCTTAGCATGAAATTGACAACAATTTATATAATATTAAATGTATTGCTCTCAGCTCTTATGTGGCTTAAAATATATGTCATTTATAAATAGATATTTGACTTTATATTAATGGAAATTTATAGTACTCTATATAATATGACATCACTTTCATTATTAATACGATATAATCTTTAATAAAAGGTTTAATGGTTTACTAAACATACTCAATGAAAATGTTTAGACAAACTTTATGTAAATTCATTAATGAAAGAAACACTTCAACAATACATTTATTAGTTATTATTAAAGTAATATCAATATAACAAAAACAATGTTTACTTTTAAGCACTTAATTAAAATATAAGAGATTGCCATTTATGCCATATGTTGCATATATTAATATAATCTTATATACAATAATATGTATATAATAATTTCAACTACTGTTTATATCAAATAAATATTTAATCAAAATATGTATTAATGGCTATAAATTAATAAATATTTAAATCATTTCTTATACTTATAAAAATAATTCTATTCAATAATTTTTAAAACATTATTTAATAAATATTTAGATGACTTTTTACTAAATAGTTTTTTAATTAATTTATAACTAATATTAAATATTCTAAGCATCGCATTGCCAAACAAACTCTTAAAAACATTATAATTTTATAACTAATATTAAATCATGTTTATAGTTACTAAATGTAAACCAAGTATTGTATAATAAACAAAAAATTGAAAATATTTACAAATCAATTATAATTAACATTAAGATATCTCAATGTTCTTTGAAAGATTGGTTTCTATTTTTTAATTTCTTTATCTTTATATTCTAATCACAACTAAAAATTATAGTAAAATATTAGAAATTATATAAAGCATACCTATATAAGCAAATTTAAAATGTTTTTAAGAATTTTATCTGTCAATGCTAGCAGAATAATTCTCAAATTAATTTTTATAAAATTTAATATATAAGAAAATGTTAATTTACAAACAATTTTATTTATACGAATATTTTTATTTATTAAAACTCTATTTAAATACTTTTCTGAATAAAATCATCGAATTTATATAACTATGTTATTTAATATAATGTAATTGTTATTATATTAATTTATTAAAATATAAAATACAAATTAGTAAAATTTCTTGAATTTTTATTATAATTTAGTTATAATTTAGTTATAATTTATTATAATTTAGTTATAATTTATTATAATTTACTATAATTATAGTTATAATCAATTATTTTCTGAATAAATATATATTTTTAATAATTTACTGATTAAGTGTATTAATAAGTTTTGACTAACTGATAATAAATTAATAATAAATATATAAATGAATTATTTAAAAAATAAAAAATAAAAAAATGCAATAAACTTTAGTAATAATTACAAAATAAATGCTGTAATAAAAGAGTTTATAATCATATTTTTTAAATTAAATTACAACTATATATTTTTAACATTTAAATTTTTAAAATTATAATAGTATAGAATTACACATAAATCATGAATTATATAAATTTATGTTAACTTATAGTATAATAAATTACAGTTAATGGTGTTATATAATACTGTATACTAAATGTGTATTACATAATTTAAGTCTGTTTTTAAATATTGTTGTTTTTTCTTATATTAATATTTCTATTATTAATATAAATAGTTACTATGAAAATATCAAATATAACATTACATTTATTAAACATTTTGTTATAATTTTGTGCTCCAATTGATTGATTAACTAATTTATGTATTAATAAAATTGTTGTTTACCACAACTTATTTATATTGTCTAAATATAAATTTATTATAAATTATTTTGTTTGGTAACTATTGTAATAATCATAATATTAAGCAATTTTATGTAACAAATTTTGATTAAATGCATTTTATTTTGTTTGCTTTATAATAGTTTATAAGATTAAGCATTCAATCAGTTGGAAAGGGATGCAGACCTGATGTGTGCTTAATATTAGTGTCGCTATAGAAACCTAATGGCAAAGAGTGAGAGTATTTGACTTTAAGAGTGGGATAGCATTGAATCAGTGCTTCTTTTTGGGAACAGTTAAGGGTTTGTTTGCTTCTCATGTCTATAATAAACGACAGATCCCTTAGTTGTTTTGGCATCACTTCAAAGTTGGTCTCATTAAAGCCAAGTGTTTGTTACATATCATATACAGTATATTATAGACGATAAAAACCTCATCAATTCTGAACATCTTATTTAGTGCAACAAGTGATACAATGAGTGAACATCAAAACCAACTAATTGTTAGCCAAACTAACTGTTCCTATAAGAGTCACATGCATTCCGACCAAACTTTTAATACAACTCTCACTCAAAATAATACAAATAATTTCGACAATATTTTACTCTATGATAACGAATCGCAACGTATTATTCAAGAATCGCATCAGAATTCATGGCAAACGGCTTTAGTTTATATATCTATTATATTAAGTGTTTATATAATGACTATAATTATTGTAGCCATTCGTTACACTTTCAAAAAATATAATAATAAAATATTTTGTTTACTTTGGCCAACAAATTGTTGTCAATCTTGTAATGCTTTACGAGTCCCACAATTCATCAAATCATCAAAATCTCGACAAAATGTAAGACTCAAATTGTTAATACATATTATTTATACTTTTATAGTAAACATTATTTTTTTATTTACAATAATATAAATTAAATATACAATAGATTATAAATAAATTAAAAATACTATTATGATATATTTATTATATTATACTATATATATATATAACTTTATATATATATAGTATAATATAATACATATATATTAATAGTATTTTTAATTTATTTATAATCTATTGTATACTTAATTTATATTATACCCTACAAAAAAATATTTATTACTTTACAGTACTGTATTAGTTTATTCTACAATTTGCTCATTTTATAAATTGGTTAGTTTAACAATATCTATTTGTATGACAAACTAAATATAAACTGAAATAAATTTGATGATCTTATAAATATTAACAAAGTTTCAAAGCAATGATAAATAAACTTATGCTTGCAATTGACAGAAACTCATTTATTTATAACACAATCTACTCATATACAGTATCAAGTAATAGATCAATATATATATATGTATACTGTATATATATTTGTATTCATTATGTGATAAATAGATGGATATATAGTTAGAGATGAGAGAGAGAGAGAGAGAGAGAGAGAGAGAGAGAGAGAGAGAGAGAGAGAGAGAGAAAAGGTTTAGTTATGTTAAATTCGCATAAAAATATATAATTTAAGATTAATGAATATTTTTCTTTCAAAAGTTATTCTTTCAGTAAACTTTAAACTACAATAACAATTAGTTAAACTAATTAATTAAAACGTAAAAATCATTTTTGTTTTAATAAATAAATAATTTGGTCATTAATTATAGCATTTGTTTAGACCATCAAAGTCGGTGTCATTGAGCGCATCCAATGAACCCAATGGTAATGCAGTTCTTTATATATCATCGGATGACTTAAATTCTATTGAAATAATACAAACCTCTCATGAAATCACTGAAACTCATCTTTAGTTCAATTTAAATGTACATAAATTTATAAAAATATGAATATTTTTTATTTTTCTTTCTTAAAATATAAATTGTTTTTCAAGTCACGTACTGTAACTTATGTGTATACCGTATAAATTATATATAATTTATATACGTAAGAAATATTTTGTATTTTATTGTTAAATAACACTTTATAAATATATTAAATTAAATTAAAAATTATGATAATAAGTTTATTTAGTTCTTGTATAAATTACGATATTTATTATATTAAAGTTAAATATAACTATTGAATATTATTAAAAGATGTTATATTACACAAATTTACACAAAAATTAAACAAATAATTACAATTAATTTTTATTATTGAATTACAAACATATTTTTAATTTAAAGTTTCTTTAAGATTTGTACTATAGTTATCTGTTAAAATATAGTACTGTATTGACATTAATATTGACTTTTTTATATTTATTACATTTAAATCAGGGTTAGTAAGGGGGGTAAGACCAAAATATCGAGATTTTGGGATTTTACCCCCCAGACTTTGACCAAATGGGAAAAATTGTTGCTTAAAAACGAGGAGAAATGCCCCCCCTCCCTAAAATTTCTACGCCGAAGGGGCCGAATTTTTTTTTGTTTTTAAAAATTTTAATTTTAATTAAAACTATTTTAGTATGTGTTTTTATGTTTTAAAATTTATAAGAATCTAATTATTGATTAAAAATAAGTTAAAATAACGTTAAAACTCATCTAAAAATAACATAATTTTAATTAAAATATTAAACTAAAAAATTAAAAATTACCTATTTGTTGAAAAAAGTAATCATATTACAATTTAAATATATGTTTAAGATAGTTTAAGAAGTTAATAAAACAATAAATACTTATATTACAAGTTTTTATTAATAATTTTTTAAAATTTTAACTAAAAAATTTTAAAAATTTTCAATTTTATAATTAGTATTCAGTCAGTATTTATATAAAAATAACATTAAAAAATATAAATATATATCTATAAACTATAAACATTAAGTATTATTTAAAAAATTAATTATTTTAAAAGTTAAAAATTACTAAAATACTAAAAAACTCATAGTGTATCATTAATGCTTTTATCAACTATTTTTAAGTATTAAATACATTATTATTTTATTTTTTGTTAAATTTTAAGTTTTTGTTAATTTTTAAGTTTTTTTTTTGTATTTTTGGAAATTTTACCTATTTTCCTAGGAATTTATACGGGTACTTATGTGAACTTTATCGAATTTACAAGGGAATATTCGGGAATTTAAGGGAATATTAGGGAATTTTCTCTTGACCACCCCCTTGATTTTGTATTTTTGAAAAAATTTCCGTTTAAAAATGCAATAAAAATCTTACCCCACCCAATACCCCCCCCCCAAAGATTTTTTTGAGAATTTTGTAAATTTCACCCCGGTCTACCCCCCTAAAATCCAAAACCTTGCTTAACCCTGAGTAAAATATATACCGAAATTGACAATTATACTAAGTTTGTATAATACAAATCGTATTTTACTGTATGAGACATACCGTAATCTTTTGATACTTAAAAAAGTTAAAATTTATTTTTAGTTTTTTTTTGCTAATCATTACTGTATTTTTTAATTTTAAGATTAATTTTTGATACACATTATATTCTGATAATGATTAACAGGATAACGATTCTGATAATAATATTGAAATACAGCAATAATTACTTATGACTTAACATTTTTATCATTTTAAGCTAATTCTGTTTATATTAAAATTTTCATTATTTTTTTAAAAACCTGAATGTTTTGGCTAATCGACACATTAATTATTTTACATAATATTTTTAATTAAAATTGAAAAACTACTGGTATGTCAATGTAATCATCAATACATATACAACTTTAAATATAACTAATATTAAATACTAAGTTATTTCATATAAAATATAATTAGTTTAATAACTAAATATTTGTATTAATATTTTCAATACGAATTTATCTATGAATTTTATAGTAAATTATTGTTAATGAATAGTTAAAGTATTTCAGTAATGTTGTTGTAATGATATAATAATAATGAAAAAAAGATTAATAAATTTTTTGAATATCATTTAATACCTGTATATCAAACTAGAAATGAATATTTTTTATTTAATAACTTATTCACTGAACTATATTTATGAAGTTATCTATTAAGATACCGGCACTGAACTAATCTTTAAAATACTTATTATAATAATATTATTAATACATATAATATTAATTTTATTATAGTATTAAAAATTCAAATTATAGTGTTTTTATATAATTTGCAATTTTAGTCATTTGGTATTTAATATATTGATATTTAACTCGCAAGAAATAATTAGATAGTTTTACTAAAACTTGTGCTAAAATACTAAAATATTTTTTAGTAAAAGGTGTTTATTATATAGTGTATATACAGTTTACATCTATGCTATATTATAATTAGTTTGTTTTAAAAATACATTACAAGTGATAATTAAATATTATTCTTAGTATTTTAATTAATAATTAAAGTATAAAAATTAATTTATTTACTTACATTAAACTAAAAATATTAAATAATAAATAATTTTTTAAAAAATAATTATAATTATTTATCTATAAGAATATATATATATATACAGTATATATATTGTATATAAATATTATAGATCCCATTTGTATAGTAGTGTAGTGTATACAGTAGTAATAATATATATGTTTTATGTCTCACAAATATAGTATTACAATATCTATAAATATTCCCATATGATAATAAGGTAAAATTTCTATAGAAATTTATTTCTGAAAAATTTACTAGAAATTTCTATTTGCCCATCTCTAATTACAACACAACAATACTTACCTGTATTTATTAATTACAATATATAACTTTTAATTAAATTTATAGTCATTACAAAGCTATACGTTATGAGGTGATAGCCATTATGTGTAATAGACTATTACTACAATATTAGATGAAAATAAAATTTAATTTATTGTAGATAACAGTATAAACTTTTTTTTTATATAACCATAAGTTTATATAGAGTATATAAATATAATAAATATGTAATGTATGTGTGACTTAAACTACTTAACCTTATGTTTCCTCAGCACTAGGTTTATAATGGTATAATTTAATCTGACCTAGTACCTATTATATTTACAATGAGTTAGACAATACTACTCTCACTCTACTAAAAATTAATACATTTAAAACTTGAGATTGTTTTACATATGCACTATAGAATATATTTAGTAGAGTACATTAGTATACTAAAAATATGTAAATATTAATTATATATGTAAGGTAAATTTATATAATTTAAAATAATAAAATATTAATAATTTTACATATTTCTTATTTATAAATTGTAGATAATATTTAGTATAATATACTGTATTTAAATTATAAAAGATTTTACTTTAAAACAGTTACAAATAGCATTAATTTATATGAATATAAAGAATATTTAATATATTATAACTTTATTTATATTATAACTATACAGATTCTGTATTACAGAACATAATAACTAATTATGATAAACAGTTTTAATTGTATTTTTAAAATTAATACTTTAGTTGTAAAATATATTTTTTTAAAAGCAATTTTATTAATAAAATTTTTATACATTGACTTGTAATATATTCACAAAGACTTTAGAATAAAAAAATACCAGGGTTGCGATAGGTTTTCTATTTCAGGGGGTATAGGGTGGGTCAACAATTTTTTATTGCATTTTTAAACGACAATTTTTTGCCAAATTTAAGTAAATTCCCTATAAATTCACCAAATAAAAGGAAATATTGCAAACTTAATTCTTTAATATTCTCAAAATATTTTATTAAACTATTAGTATTTATTTTTACAAATCCTCATAACTTTTTGGTTTTTAGACCAGGGGGGTTAAGTTCCAAAAAAATGTAATCTCAGGGGTAAACCGGCTTACCCCTTTACGCAACCCTGAAAAATACATATTTTGTTTATTAAATGTTAATATTTAACATTATAAAAGATAACTCATTACAAATACCAAATAGTATTGCATTTATAATAAATTTGGTGAAAAACATATAAATTTTTTAGTTTTGATGAATCATTTTAGAGTAATATGAATCAGTATTTGCGGCTAAAATAGACGGATTGTCAAACTCGACGATCTATTAAAAAAAAGTAATTTTAGAAACTATATAGAAGTTAATGAGCTATAAGTGATACCTTTCCATCACTCAAAACCATAACCCGATGGCAGTGTTGAACAGTTGCCAATCGGTGTGCAATCATAATGACAGTGCAATCTTTAAATGTTTGAGTTATAGTATTTTGAATGATTTGTTGCGTTTCTCCGTCCATATGAGCCATAGCTTCGTCAAGAAAAATGATTTTACTTTTCCTAAGCAAAGCTCTGGTCATACAAAGTAGTTGTCTCTCTCCGGCCGAAAAACTGGCGCCACTTTCATTGACAGACGAATTGATGCCATTCTTTAAATTATTAATTTTTTGACTTAAATTAACGCTTTCAAGCGCTTCCATAATAGCTAAAGTATTAAATTCATTAAATGGATCCAAGTTTTTACGTATAGATCCACGAAAAAGAATGGGATCTTGAGGTATGATTGATATACGAGATCTGAGTATATTTAATGGTATGGATGATATGTCAATGCCATCAATATTAATAACACCAGAAGTGGGTTCAACTAATCTAAACAATACGGAAGCAATAGACGACTTTCCAGCACCGGTTCGGCCAACAATACCTATTTTTTCTTGTGGACTGATATCAAATGTAATATCTTTTAAAACCAATTTAAGACCCGGTCTGTAGCGCATCGTTACGTTTCTAAAGCTTATTCTTCCTCTTGTTGGCCAATCAGTGGCAACTGATTCACCGCTTTCTAAAGAGACATCTTTTTCAGTTTTCAATGTTTGTATATACATATGGATTCGCTCTACTGATGTAAATCTGGTCTCAACGTCGACACCCAAACGGATAACAAATTGCAATAAACCGCTCAACTGATAGTAATTATGTGTTTTTATATTAATTTTTGTAATTAAAAATAAATAAATATAACAAACAATACAATACCTGCATTGATAAGACAAGTGCTAAACCAGCAAATGCTGATCCAACACTTCCCTTACCATTAATGGCAAATAAGGCGGCAAATAGTGAAATAAAGACACACAAGATATCCATACGAGTGGACAGCCATCTCATTGAACAGTAATATAGAAAATTAGGAGCAGAATGATTGTCAATGAGTTGATTGAATTTATTAATAAATTGTTTTTGTTTGTTATAAGCTTTGATTGTCGACAAGCCTTCAAATGTAGTGGTGATGTGACTATATATAGGAGATCGACGGGTATTTTCCACGCGTTTCAGATCACGCATTGCTCCTCTAAACATGATATGGATTAACCAAAATAAGCCAATCAGTACTGTAAATGCTATGAGAAACCAGGGATAGACCATAATTATAATGAAAAGATTGCACACAACTATCATTAAACGCTGCAAAAAGCCGTCCAACGCTTGCGGCACTTGAGTGTCCACTTCATCCATGTCTCGGGTAAATGTGTTTAGTATACGTCCGATGGGAACGGTATCAAAAACTGACATGGTACTTCTAAGTACCTTGTTAAATAATTGATTATGCAATACATTTGAAGCACTCAAAGTTACTTTTGTAAACATATATCCCAACGTTAAAGTCACACATAATATAATGACAATAGTGAGACCATAAATTGTTTGATAAAATTTCAAATTAGGATTATCTATAATTATTTCATGACCTCCGGTGCCATTCATTATTGATGTAGTCTTGAGTTAATTATTGAGTTAGTTAAGTATATAATAATAATAAACATTTTAATTTACAAATTGATTATTAGACTTACATTTCCACTTCCCTGTGATATCCAATAACCTAACCACCAGTTGGCAAATGAAGAAGCAATAGCTTGAAAAGTAAGCCAAACGATGACAAACGAGACGATAACCATTCCTCCACCGGCTGTTATATAACCCTTATATGTTTCTAATGATATATTTCCCGAACCTATGGTTTCATCTATTATTAAACGACCGGAGTTTAGTGTTTCAGTAGAATCGATATCATTGGTCTGCGATACAGAACTTTCACTACTATTTTCGCTCAATGAAAGAGGCTTTACATCTGACCAATCGGGAGATGAAAAACGTATATCATTACCATCGATGTCCAGATCAGTCTCTTTTTGTTCAATAATTTCAATTTCTTTGTTTAATGAACTCATTTCTGACGAGTCTATTAATTGTTTGTATTCATAATCGCTATTATATAAGTGGTTATGAACTCCAATGTTGACAACTCTTCCTTCTTTGAGGAAAACAACAAAATCCGTGTACTCTAAGCAATATGTCTGTTGAGTCACAATTAATACTGTTTTGTCTTTTAGACCATTTCTAATGCATTGACTAAATATATGTTGAGCAACATTGCGGTCAACTGAAGATAACGGATCGTCCAATAAGTAAATATCTTTGTCTGCAAAGTAGGCTCGAGCTAAGCTAATTCTTTGTTTCTGACCGCCTGAAAGAGTCACTCCTCGCTCACCAATTTCTGTTTGGTCTTCAGCGACCAGCGATGAAATGTCATGAGTGAGTGCACAACATTTGACGGCTTCATAATAGCGTTTTGAATCAAAATTATTGCCAAATGTAATGTTTTGACGAACTGTTGCGTTCAAAATCCACGAATCTTGTGGTACATAAGCCACTGAACCTCTTACTCCAACTTTTCCTGATATTAGTCTCATTTGTCCTAAAACTGAGTGCAATAAAGCTGTCTTTCCTGAACCAACACTTCCAATAATACCAATATGTTTTCCGTTAGGGATTTCAAAATTAAGATCAAAAAGACAGGTAGCTGTCAGTGTACTCGACCTCTGAACTATACTGATCTCATTTGATGACATTTGTTCACTATTTAAGACATTCATTTTAGCGGATGGACAATATCTATCCCACGCAAGAGTGGCGCCATTGAATTCAACTGAATTATCAGTAGAAGTCGTTAGTCTAATATAGTTGTCTTTATCGTCGTATTGAAGAACTTTTTCAATGCGATTCATAGCTATCCTTCCGTTTACAATATCTTTAAGATATATTGGAAGTGATCGGATCCCGTGTGCGGCCACATAGTTAACCATTACTAAAGTAAATGCCTTTCGGGAATCAATTAAAACGTTTTGAATAATTAAAATTTAATTTTCAAATAATTTTTATCAAATTATTTACAGTAGCAGCTGTTAGATCACCCTCTTTTGATAGAGTGTACGCAACAATTGTCACAACAGTTATAACCAATGGTGTCATCAATGATAAAGAAGTGCTAATAGTTTGCAAGTATTGACACTTTTCTAGTAATAATTTTTCTTTTTTTCGAAACTCTATAATTATAGATAAACTAAATTACATTTAAAAATAAAGTAAACTTAAGATTAAAATTAACCTAAAATTGATTGACTAAATGTTTTTTCCCAACCATACAATTTAATTAGTTTTATGTAAGTTAACAATTCAGTCATATAAGAGACACGTTTATCGCTATTAATGACAACTCTTTTCCGATAATAACTTTGTCCTTTTGCTATCAAAAATTGTAATCCAAATATCAATATAAAAACCAGAACTCCGACCATTGCAAACACTCCTAATAAAGACCAGGTGTATACTATAGTAACAATTGTAACTATAGGACCTCCCAAAACAAGTGGCAGTATATAAATCATGTGAAATATCTTATTGATATCCACTGCAAATAAATTAACCATTTCTCCAATTGTTTTGTTAGTCGATCGAGAGGTTAATATTTTGTTATATAAAAGTGTATTTAAAGCACTGGTAGTTCTAATGGCTGTCCGAATACATATGGCATACATAATAGCAAAAGAAGTGGCTCTTCCCAACTCTGATACAAACAATGCAATCGTCCATTTGATTGCTTGCGAACCACTTTCAGACTCATTCTCTATTGAATCCAATAATTTCTTAAGAAATAATGTCTATAAATATAAATTTAAAAATAAAATAAATATTTTTACTCTTTATTTTTGTTTATTTAGCAATAGATGAGTGAATACTTACAGAACTTAAATAACCCAATAAAAGGCAAATCAGATAAAAAAGTGAAGAAAATAAAAGACGAGTTTTGATAAATCGTTGAATAACTTTCTGAAGAGAGGCGTTATGTAAACCATGTTTTCGACACTCACTCTCCCATATATTAGACATCCTTTTTACAGTAATTTTTGTTAGTTTAATACAAAGTATTTTTTTTTTAATATAATAGTTGTTAGTTTTGACAAAATATATTTGAGATTAAATAAAAACCTAAAGCTATTGATACGACTCGAGTCCAGAGGAGAACATTCGTATATATCATTGGATTTGATACCACTTCTGAAGGATTGCCATACTATTGGTGTCATCCATTCAAAGAAGACAAATGAAAAACAAGAGGCACTGTCCACTGGCATATCCTTTTCATCTCTACTAACCATATATTATATTATTATTACTAATTTTTTTATAAATAATTGTCTCTAATATTTAATATTAATTTGTATTTATATAATATGTTAAAATTACCGCTTTTTTCTATTAAATGGTAGTAAATGTTGAAATTCATGTCTATATTTCTTGAGTCCTTTTCCTTTAATATACTCACTTGAAGTGGTCGTCGACTTATAAATTCTGTGCATAAAATAATGACATTAATGATAAAGAAAACATTTTTTTATACATATTCTCGTCGTCGTCTTCGTTGACATTTATTTTAAGCTCATTATGAGTGTCCATAATTGTCAACAAATATTCTGTATAATAATAATCACTAAATAAACTTTAAATTATTAAATTAAACTTTATATAATTAAACTCATTAACCTAAACAAAGATATAATTATTGAACAACAAAAAACACATTTTGTTTAAATAAGAGTACTCCAGAAAATTAGTTTATTTATTATGAATATAATGGAGTTTAGTTATCATTATATTATTTTTTGTTTCCATAACTTTGGCGATAAATAGTAAATAAAATGGTAAAAAATATTGCTTAATTGTCTTTTATTTAACAGATAAGACTACCAATATATGCATTTAATTACTAATGTTACAAATAATATTTATTTAGTTATTTTATTTATTTCAGTAGTATAATAACTGATATATTGTTTTGTTTAATTGTGATTGCTTAAATTTTATACTATTGAATAAATTTATACATTTATATAAATACAGTATATTAAATAGTACATATTATAATCTTATGTATAAAAGTTATGCTCTTTTATAGTTAATTAATTAAATAAATAGTTTATATTTATTGTTAGATATAAAAATAATTAATTTTATTAATATAAATATAAGTATTATTTTTATAATAAGTTTATTTTTAATATAAATAAACAATATTTTTTATAATCATATGATGATTAAGTTATTAAAACAATATTGTTTAAAAATATTTCTGGAAACATTTTGAATATATTTTTAAATATTTATAACATTTTTACAAAGTTTTAGTCAGATTTATTCATTTAGTATTTATAAATATTTCAATTATTAATGTTATTAATTAATTTTTAAAATTAAATTTCAAAATCAAAATCCATATAATAAATTAACAGTTAAATCAATAAATTTTATTGCACTACAAAAATTAAGTAGACTTTGTTTTAAAATTATAAAACTTCAATGAAGTAAATGATTTATTACTATATTCTATAAAAGCCATAATAAAACTGATTCTTGAAATCGTTTTGTAGTATATTTGAGATCAAAGTCAGGAATATAAGTCTCATAACCGGCTGAAGCATCGGTTCCAAAGACATCGAGAACCATACGATTCAATTGATGTAAACGATTACCAGTCACTCGGTCTAAGAATTTCATATACGATGGCTTCATGTGTTTCGGCTCTAAAACAGCCTTTAAATATACAAAATAAATAGATTTAATTGTATTAATGTCTGAGTAAACGTTATATACATATATAAAATAATTTAATTAAATATAATTACTGAATAAAAGAGTTGAGCCGTAGAAATGGCATATATTATATGGACGGTTGGCATCACATATTTGATGTAACCTTTTTTAACTCCAATACAATATAATGACTATAAAAATAAATATTAATGAATAATATTATAAATCTAAAGTTTATATAGTTTTTTTGTTGTAAACCTCAATGCATTTCCACATCAAATATAAAGTAATTGACGTATTTGGCGATAAAAACATTGTGGGACCGGCAAAGAGGGCCGCTATGATGGCGTGCCAGTCATGGCAACCATTAGATGCCCAACGAAGACTGCAATTAACTCCTTTATAAATAGCCGTAAATGAGGCCAAAAATAAGCCAAACTTTAAATTATCTGAACTGAAAAAATTATTTCTAATTATGAAATTTGGTCGTAAAAGAAAAGCTCGTGGTTTTGATAGTGTCTTAAAAGCCGACTTTCCAAACCATCCAAAGAAAAATGAACGCAAAAATGAATAACAAATATATGAAAAACATGAATTTTGTTTGTGTGGACAGGAATTATGTTTCGGAAACAGTGTATAAAATTTTGCTACAATTTTGCCGTAAATTGTATTCACTGGTTGTGACAATTGAAATGTATTGGTTTGAATCATATGGTTTGAATCAATTGATAAGTTTTGTTTGTTATTAGATCTCTTGGATTCTTCTCTTCCAATAATGAATTTTAAGGCCAAACTCACGGGATCGACACCGAAGCCATTCTTTTTAATTATATATAATAGTATAGACATTGTGACTGTAAAGAGCAATATTTCTCCATTTTTTATGGGTTTCATATAACCACGCGATATAAATATCCTAAATATGGTTTCCGATGCAATGTTGGCCACATAGAGTGCAAGTGCCGGTCGACGGGATGGCCTCTCTATAGTAATGGCTAATAAACTTCCGATAAAAGCTGGAGTATAAGCGCATAAACTATAGTAAAATTTTCCCATTAATTGTCGGGTTAAACAAAACAATAAAATCACTGAAAAACCATTAAAGCTTAAGAAAAGCGACGAACGAATAATACTATTAATACTTTGTTTCAGTCCATTCACATCCAAACCTTTTTGTAAACCTTGAGATAACTATTATTATAATAAAACAATTATTGAATTAAAATAAATAATCAATTATTTAATTATTAATTTTATATAATATATTTTAATTCAAACACTAAACTAATTATTTGTAAATAAAAACAAACCAAATATAGCGGTGTATATAATTTCAATGATTCTTTAAATACAATAATTCCCAATTCAATTGCTGCTTCAGAACAGGAACTATTGAAAAATAATACTTTTAGCATATATTCAACTATTACTTTAGTAGTAATCAAAACTTACGGCGTCCACGTGTGTCCTAAACATTTAACAATATATATAAATTTTATTAATAATTAAGATAATAATAAAGTAATAACTTTAAACAACTAAATTTATACAATTATAAAAGGGTAAACAGAAAATTTATATTTAATTCATTAACTTAAATTGTGCTAAATAATAATGATATAATTACTAAAATTTTCATCATTGTAATATACTGTATGTAAACTAAAAAATATATAATTTAAATATTACACAATTACATAATATATATTATACAATTCTTGTTGATCTAATACAATTAGACTAATAGTCAAATTTTAAAGTAATATAAATATGTCAATTAAATATAAATTAAAATAAGAAATTAAGATAAAAATGTCCGATTATATTGTCATATAGTCTAATATTATTATCATTAAATATTTAGTTGATATACAATACTATAGATTATATAAACTTTATGAATTAAATTAAATTAATAAGTAGTGATAAAACTATGTTAATGTTTAATCAAAGATTAAAACACTCACCGATTTCATAGCAATTGTAAGGTACACTCCAGTGAGGCATCAAAATTTTGCTTAAAATTGAGGGCATTTTCAATAGATTTACTCGAATTTAATTCAATAATTTAATTGTTTGACATCAAAGTCAAAGACAAACAGTTTTCAATCTAATCAAACAAATCGATTGTATATAAAAATAGATTTAATTTTGTAATAAAAGTCATTAGAAAAAACTCTGTTTTGTTCACAACTGTGTCCTAAATATCAAATTGAGTTAAAAGACATACAACTTATTGTTACTAGTCTTACAAAATAGTTATATAATATCATAAACTATATATAAATTATATAACTATGCAATATTTGGTCCGGTTTTTCAACATTTTCCCAAACATGCGACACGTGTTTCATATAGTTTTTTATTAAATCATATTTAATATATAATAAATGAGATTTCAAATTACAAAACTAATAAGCTTTCATAATAATTATACTATCATTTCACAAATTATATTATATAATATATAAATTTAATTAAATTATAATAAAGTAAATTTATATATTGATAGCTAATAATATTAATAATCTCAAATTCAAACAGATTGGTCACTACATAAATTTTCAGTGTGAGTGTTGTACATTATATACAGTATATACCGGTATGAAAACAGGTTAACCTAAAAGTGATGGCCTAAATTCAAACTTATTACGACTATGCCTAACTGTAGTATACCTATATTACCTAGTACAGTTACTACACTATCATATATTAGATTTTAATATATGATAGTACAGTAAGTAAGACATTAGATCATTATTTATTTACTATATTTATTATCAAAAAATAGTAACCATTATATCTTAAATTACTGTATTATATAATAGAAATATTTATCAAAATTTTAAATAGATACTTATATGGATTTTTTTAATAAGCAAAAATATATCAAAAATATAAATAAAAACATATATCATAAGTAACATTTTGGGAAATTGGGGTTTTATAGTCGTATTAATTATAGTAATATTAAAATATGGGAATTTTATACTATTTTAATTTAATTTTGTAAACAAATTATTTACAATTATCTAATAATAAGTGTAAAAATTTCCACCTAAATTTACAAATCAATTTTAGGACATAGTTTTCCCAAAAGCTATAAAACATAAGTTATTTAATATTGTATAAGTTATAAAAGTGCAAAATATTATTACATTACAAATATATTGCAATAACATAAATATTATAATTAGTCATATTTTGACAAATTATTACATTAAAGACTAAATATAGACTTTAACAATAGTTTTATTTAGTTAAAAATAGCAATTAAAATACTTTAATAACTTAATGTTTACAGTATATTATAACTTATAATAATGTTTTATATAATATGTTTATAACTTTATATACAATATTTAATATCAAATAGTATGCAATTGAATACTACAGTATAGCATACCATACAGTGTCAGTCAAATGATAAGTATTGACTCGTTTATCAATTTGAACGATAATATAGTAAAATGTAATGACTATTGAAACAAAAATTTCCGTATATTATATTTTGCCAATTAATATACACAAACAATAATAAATAAAAATATTGCAAAAACATTGACTTTGATTTTATATATCAGCTGTTAATGTAATATCTAAATGGTTTAATTGACAAATAAATTCAAATCATTTACCACTTATTTGATGATAATTTAATCACAATATGTTTGATATTAAAAAGTTGTCCAAAATTTGTTTATAAAATAAGAAACTTTTTAAAAACAATTTAATAAATAAATTTTCGATGAAATCTTCATAAAAAATTAATATTATAAGAGAAAACAGTAATACATAACATTAAAAGCAATTATTTAGTGGCAAATGTGTGCCACAAATATATAGACAAATATATAGACAAACACTCGACATAACAATCGGTAGTCAAGTGTCGGTCAAACCATTCAAAAGTAAACATTGAGTGAAAAAAACTAGATTTTAGTTAAGTTTTAAAATTATAGTTTAAAAGCCACACAACTATTACATAATATTTTAGGGATTTCTTATATATTGATTTTATTATTTAATTTTGCTTTTATTAATAACAATTATAAATAACTTTTATTCAATTCTATATATATTTTCATATTTTAAAAATTTGTAACATTTTTAATAAAATATATTTAAATTTTGTCAATAAATCTATAAAAATACTGAAAATTACAATAAAATTGAATGAAATGATAGTAAAGTCCCCATAAATGACAACAGCTGTGACTCACATATGTATTGTAATATTGTTTACATATTTATTGTTATAATTATTATATTCATTGTATATATTGTTTATAAAATTGTTTTTTTAAATCCATTTATTTTTAAAAATTTTATTTAATTATTTGTTAATTGTTTTGTGATATAAATGTTTATAGAGTTTTATTTATAATTGTGATAAACAAATAAATAACATTTTTATCAATTAATTGAAAAGACAGGCTTTGGGATCAAATGGTAAGCATTTGTTAAGTAAACTCAAAATTTTCCGTAAAAATCATATCTAATGATTGATAACATAAAACACAAGTAATCAATGTATTTGATAATTAATTTTTGTCACTATTTTTTGTCAATTTTCTCAATCAATATCCCATTTAAATGTAAATATGAGACGTTTTAATAAAAATATTGAAATTTGATAAATGGGTTGAAAATTGCAATAAAGGGTTGGGTGTTGGGGGCGTCAGTGGGCTGTGGGGGCACTTGTATGACACAAATAGCTTGTACTGAAATTTGGTGAAATTTTTTTTATCAAAATAACGAAAGTAAATGTAATTTTTATGATAACGATATGATTTATTTAATTAAAAACACGTATGAAATGTACAAATCATATATATATATGATGTTTGTATTGTACACGAAATGAGCCAATGGTTAGCAAAGTTTGTAATAGTTTTCCAATAATTTGTTTGAATGTCTTCCGCTATTAAAAGACATTGCATTTCACTCTCAATATTAGCGATAAAAGTCTATATTAGACAACCAATACATTACTTGTTTTCATTTAAGTCTTGGATAACACAATCAATACTTGTGGCTAATAAATGGTTTCACATTTTACACACTATTTAATAATTATAACAAATATAATAATTTTTGTGGTAAGTTTTGTTATTAATATAATATATAATATAATAATTATATCATACGATAATTTTGTAAAACATGTGCTTTTAATTATTAATATCTAAATAATTTACTGTATTCTAAATTTTTTTATAAATTAAATTTTATTGATAATATTTATCATGAACTTTAAAACTTTTATTGAATCTATAGATGACTTATAGCTAATGTGTTATAATTATCATTTAAAAAATATGGGGACATGTATTATTGATTTGCATATATGCTAATTGTATTTATAAAAAAATATGCGAAAAGTTTTTCCAAACTAAATATGTTTAGACTCGTAATTATATCGATTATACCTATACTTTGAAAATTATTTAATTGCTAATTATATCATTTGTTTACAAAAGTCAAGGTTGTAAAGACTATAAGTTATGAAATCAATTAAACTCTTTCATAACTCAGTTCACAGTTATATTAAATTAAAAATAACATTATTTTTATAGATATATAAAATGTTACAAAGTTTGATGATTAGTGTCTCCACAGAATATTGATAATTATTTAAATTATTTTAAGGTGGGTTTTATTTTTAGTTATTATTTAAAATGATTATCATGGTAGTTTTTTATTTTATCAATCATTGTTATAATTTATTTATTTTTATATAAATGAAAAATATTTATATAATGATAATGTAATTCATATTATTTTTAATATTGAGTTTATAATAGGATCGAAATTCAATAGTCTATTTTGCAGTCCACCCCTTAATATATTGTATTGCATTAAATTTTATTCATTTGCTATATTTGATTATATATTTATTGTTGAGTTTATAATTAAATTTATTGAATTACACTATAGAGCTGTTATGTCTCAAGATGTCAAAGATGTATCAAAAGTTATATCCAATGAAATCGCATTAACACACAATCACAACGACGAGAAGCGGCCACTTATTCCTCAACATTATAATCACTTAGAAGATGTCTATCCATTCACATCTTCCGGTGATGAAGGAGATAATGAAGACAATGATAACAGTGAATCTGATTTATTCAGTTTTGCTAAAACTAAGGTTAAATGAATAGCTTTTTAAATATGATTTCTATTGAATATTATAAATTTAATGATAATTTTAAATTATTTATAACACTTTTTGGGTATTATTATTATTATTATTAGAGAGAGATGATTCGTGATTCACATTCAATTACTTCCACATCTAATATACAAACAATGATGCATCTCCTCAAAGGAAACATAGGGACGGGTATACTAGCGATGCCAAGTAATTATTAATAACATATTTGTTTTAATGTACAGTATATTATATTATAATTAAATATAAATATTTTATAAATTGATTTATAGGTGCATTTGCAAACGCCGGTATTTTAGTAGGAACTATAGCACTACCAATAATGGGCATAATATGTATTCATTGTATGCATATTCTAATTAATTGCAATCAAATACTATGTCAACGATTTGGATGCAATACAATGGATTACGAAGAAGTGGCCGAAAAAGCAATAACTGTGGGACCAAAAAAAATTAGAAAGTTTTCCGGATTCGCCTCTATATGTGTTTCGACATTCCTATTAATAACACAATTTGGTTTTTGTTGCGTTTACGCCTTATTTGTGGCCGAAAACTTAAGACAAGTATTTATTGATTTCGATTAAATCATACGTTAGCTAAAGTATAGGCATTTTTGTCTAATTAGGTAATTCAAGGCCTGACACACGATAAAGTAGATCTGGATGTCCACATCTGGATGCTAATGTTGCTTCCATTAGTTGTTACATTATGTCTAATCAAAAGTCTTAGGACACTATCTATAGCATCAGCCGTGGCTAATCTTTTACAAACCACTGGATTAGTTATAGTGTTTTATAATTTAATTCAAGAACTACCCCATACTTGGGAAAGACCATCTTATGTTGATTTATCAAAGTTTCCATTATATATGGGTACAGCTATTTATGCATTTGAAGGCATCGGTTTAGTACTACCTCTACAAAAGGAGATGAAAGAACCGGAAGCTTTTGGGGGTAAAATAGGTGTTCTCAATACTTCAATGACAATCGTCGCCTGTCTGTACATTGCTGTCGGATATTTTGGTTATTTAAAGTTTGGCGATGAGGTCCTCGGATCAATCACATTGAATCTTCCGGCGGAACCACTTTATGAGACCTGTCGTCTTATGTTTGCTTTGGCAATATTCCTCTCCTATTCCATTCAATTCTACGTTCCCTTCAATATCATATGGCCGTGGGTTCAAAATCGATATAACCTTAAAAATGGTGTCCGAAAGTCATACATCATTGAAGTGTCTTTACGCGCAATTTTAGTAGCCTTTACTTGTGAGTCATTTACCATCTATTAAATAATTAACTAATTTTTGAAACTTTTCTTTTAGTTGCATTGGCCGCAGCCATTCCACGTCTTGGTTAGTATTCAGACAATTAAACTATAATTATTTAGTTGACACTTACATTTCGGTACATTTATTACTCATTTATAGATTTATTTATATCATTGGTGGGCGCCCTTTCCAGTAGCTGTCTTGCTCTTATATTTCCACCTATTATTGAAATAGCAACCAAATGGGATGATATGGATGGTATTACCATAATTATAATTACCATATTTTAACTTAAGTTAAAAATATTTTATAATATACTAATATATTATAATGAAATATAGGATCGTGTCTTAATTGGTGGTATTTGATTACCAAAAATATATTCATATTTATCATAGGAATCGTTGGATTTTTTACAGGAACTTACGCTAGTCTTCAGGATATTCTTAAGGCTTTAAAGAGTTGATAACTTAATAAAGTTTATAAAGTTGTTGTAAATATAAATTATATATATAAAGTATTTTATTATTTTATTATTAAATAAAATGAAAATGATTATTATAAGCGAATAATAAATACAGTAGTAATATATTGATAATAATGTTTGTAATTAATTATACAGTACTGTACATCATTGAGAGGTGTTGTGATGCGCTTCTAACTGTTCTAACAGTTCTCTTCTTTGTTTTTCAAGCGCTTCCAAGTCATCGGCGGACTCATTAAAGGCAGAACTGTTTCGCTTACTCTTCTCCGGTGACTCTAAACGAGTTCTCTCGTCATCCGAATTCTAAAATATATTAAAATTTAATTAATTAATATATTTATAGATTATTTACCGATAAATATTAAAAAATAATACTGTATTATAACTAACCGATGATTGTTTTCGAGTGTTTATTGACTTATATTTTTGATAATTATCTTCACTATTACTGGACTCACTGGGAGAAGCAACTGATCGACTTCTGGAATGAGAGCGATTGTCTTTATTTATGGCATCCAATCGTTTATGTTGTCTCTCATCATCACTGGATGATGCGGACGATGACGATGACGAAGAGTGAGGTTTTTTAAGTTTTTTCGATTTGTCTGATTTTTTGTTGCCATAAAAGCTCTTCTTTGACTTCGAGTGATGATGAGAACAGCTTTCTTCCATAGTTCGGATGCAACTCTTGAATATAGTTATTCTTTCGGCTTCAGATGGTATGGCCTGAAACGCCGCTTCATTTTCTATCAAATCTCTAATTGAATCCCAATGTGAATCTTCATTGATAGGCGGATCCAATTTAGCTAAAACAGCTAAGAATGCTGTTTCTAATTTGCGCTTATGTTTGGTCTCCTCTTTAATTCTTTCTTTTTCCTTTTCTTTTTCTTTTTCAATAAGTTTTTCATAAATTATTTTAACATTTCCGCCATCAAGTGTTGCACTTCTGGCGTCTTCACTTAAAATAGTGGCAAAATCTACATAAGAAGTACCAATAGTTACTTCAAAATCTTTACTTTTAAGTATATCTTTGATTAATTGTTTTTCATCTTCATATCGAGCTTTGAGGTCTTCTACATAAAACTTAAATAAGTCGAGAGGTGTGGAACCAAAAAATGGTTGGCTCAACATTGCACTAAATCTTGGATCAGCACTTATCTCGTGATAAAGATTAACCCATTTAGACATTGAGGTTAATTTTCCACTGGCGTGTAATTCATCTAAGAAGGCAATGAATGCTTCTCTATTCTTCCTCTGAAGTCTAATCTGTCTTTTCTTTTCGCGTTTCTTTTCCTCTTCTTCATCATTCTCTAATTGTCTGATATGATCTTCAAATACAATCAGAGCGTCTTCTTTATCCATTCCTAAGAGTTCTGCGTCTTCAGCAAATACAGGATTATCGAGTAGTAGTTGTTGTGCCTCTTGCCAAGTGATCCGATATGTGATTTGTGTCATTGAGTCCAATATATTACCCAATACTTTCATATTACGCTTACGTAATGCTTTTGCTTCAGACTTTTCTTTTTTAGCTAAATAAGTGATGGCGTCTTCAAATATCTCTCGGCGATCAATATCTGGAACAGCTTTCCAGATATCAATATCTCTAAGTATTTCACAGGCGGTCCTGTATTTTGTGGTAGAATTGATTTTATCGGTTGAATGCAAGAATTTTTCCATATTTTCTTTCGCACGTTTCGCGCGTATCCTTTGTTCCTCTTTCTCTTCTTTCGCTTTCTGGACTTTATAAGCGTTAAAAAATTGTTTCCTTTCCGGATGACTTCTGAACCTTTCAAATCGTGGATCAGAACCGATAAGTTTGAGAGCGTGTTCCCAACTGGCAGTTGACGAGACATTCTTTTCTTTTAAAAGATCTTTAAATATTTCTGACACTTCTTTAGCATCGGTTGGCGTTGCAATTGTCTCGAGAAGTGGTAAATCATTGGGACTGCTGTCCACTTTACCCTCACTACTTGTATCAGAAGCGGGTGATTGAGCTCCAGTTGCTTCTTGAGAAGCATCTGTTTTTTGTATCACTTCTTGAGGTGGTGTCGATGGTATTGTTATTGTTGGAGTCGATTGTAGTGGAGTTGTTGGAACCGATTGTCCACCAGATGATTGGGAAACTACATCTGCTTTCATAATTCCGGAAGCTTTGGCTTCTTCACTGGCTATCTTAGCTTTGAGTTCATCTAACTCTTGAGGTATTGTCCACATTGACTGTTTGGTTGCAATATTGTGGTAATAGACTCTTCCATCTTCTGTCTTATATTCTTTCCACTGACAAGTAGTCAATTGTTTTTCGGATTCGGTTTTCAATTCTTCTGGTTTTTCCCACGAAGACTGTTTGGTAGTATTATTGTAATAATAAGTGCGTCCATCGGGAGACTTATGTTCGGTCCAATTGGATGCCGAAGTAGTCGGTGCTGTGGTTGTGGTCATCGTTTGCGGCACAAGTGTTGGCGGAGCGAGTGGTGGAGCGCTCATCATTGGATACGCCATGAATGGCATTCCCGGTACTGTTGGCAGTGATGGCATCGGCGGTGCATTGTTCTGACCGTTAGTCGGTATGACCAGTGGTTGATATGACGGGAATGTACTCTGATTTGGAAGCATTGAAACAATAACTCAATTGACTATTAATTCAATTGTTTACTAATATTTATAAACCACTGAAAACACTATTTATATTAATATTAATATAATATTTACTTTTATTTTTCAATACACATGTAATTAAACACTAAAAAGTCATTCATAAACTACATTACATTCAGTACTTAATTAATATTAAATTTAAAGTATATTATAAATAATATTGAATTTTATTGAATTGTTAGCATATTATTACATATTGTTAATAACAGTTAATAACAGTTAATAATAGCTTAATTTATATTAATATATAGCAACTTATTTTTGGTGTCATCAATGATTATATTGTAAATGTATTTATTATTTATTATTAATTAATTGATACGATTTTATAATTATTTTTTTACTACAGTATTAATATTATACAGTCATATACTGTATAGTATTGTATTAATACTTAAATAACATAACAAAAGCATGTCATATATGAATGACGCTATAAAACATACTTAGGTAGCAAAAGAGTGCAGTCAAAGCCAATAATTGTTATGCAGGCAAATGCTATCTTTAGGCGCTTACTATTACACATATTATACATATTAAGTGAATTAATGTAAATTTATATATTAATCAAAATATAAAAACAAGCAATAAGTGTGAAGTATGACTGTTAACGCCATGTCATAGAAAGTGATATTAAATTACGTTATATTATATGATATTACTATTGAATGGATTGAGTGTCCGATCATTGAGTGTCTGTAATACTAATCAATTGAAACACAAATTGCATTCAATTGTATAACAAAACACAAGAATTGTTTGTGTTTTGATTGACATAAGTATTACACCCATTGTTGACAACAATGACAACACTCGTGATGACGACACCAGACATTCAATATGTGCCGCAACTGATGGACACCGACGACACTACCGAAGCAGCGAAACCTAAAAGAAAGAGACAAAGACTCGACCATTTGTCACAAGAAGAGAAACTCATGAGAAGGTGATTGTGATTACCATTCAATAGATTTTATTATATATTGATTACAATTTATGATTCAATACTTTTATATCAAACAATTAGTTGTAATAAATACTAATTTTTTGTATTTCTATCTAATTTTTAAATCATATTTAATTAGGATTTCAATAGATTAGGTTATATTGGATTAGTTTGGATACAGTTATGTAAATCACTATATATTAAGTTTAACCAAATTTAACAATCGATTATAAGTTTTTAAACTCAATTTTATAAGTTATATACAATTATTTAGTTATTTTAAAACTAAATTTGATTTAATTTTTAATACAAAATCAGTGACAAAAATAGGTGACAATAGTTTTTTTTAATAGTAATAATTTTGTTGTCGAAGTTTAAAACTATTGTTTTTGTGATATTTCTAATATAACTACAATAATATACTCAAATTATATATTGAAATTGTGTCAAGGCCAAATTATTGTATAAAAATTATAGGTTTAAGAGATATTTAATATTATTTATAGAAAGTATTGTGAATATCATATCTTATATTTTCAATAAATTAAAAAATTATAATTAATTGATTAAATGTTGATTTATAAAATTAAAATTAATTTCAAAATTATATCCAGACATTTATTTTAAGATAAATTTTAAGAAAGTTTTTAAATTTTTTTATAAATGGATAATTTATTTAAAAAACATTTTTTAAACGTCAGTTATTTTTATTGTCATATTATATGACTTATATACAGTATTATTATTAATGTAATGATAATTATTAATTTTTGAATATATATATATATATATATATATACTGTATATTACAAACAATTATATTATCATTTATTGATTGATACAGAAAGTTAAAGAACCGAATGGCCGCCCAAAGCGCTCGCGATCGCAAAAAAGTGAAACTGAATGACTTGGAGGATGAGGTGAATGTACTGATTAAACAGGTATTTACAGTACTATAGTTTCATATGAAACACACCTAAAAATGACATTTATTTGTTTTGTGACTTTTTATAGAAAAAAGCATTAGTCTTACGAAATGCGAAACTTATTGAATCAAATAAAACACTCGAACAACAAAATAGAGAACTTAAACAAAAATTAGGTCTTTTGTTGTCTAAGACTGTGATCAAAGAAGAGTCGGTTGATATAAATGACTGGAAAGAGATTATTGAGTCCGCAGAACTCATTAGTGATCCTCAGCAGAAGGAACAGGTCTCACATCCGGTCATTCAATCGCTGATAATTCTGCCATTGATGACGCTATTCGTCTTTTGGTTGATCACAAAGAATCCGAAGCTTTGCTCGATGTTCTTCACACGTATTCAGAAGAACTGCTCGACGACAATACAGATACAGAATTCAAATCCGATGTACAAACAAATGAAAGCATATCAGATCACCAACAGACATCACATTTGGGATCAATTGAAGACCTGATGACATTCAATGATCATTTATATTACAGATCGTCACAATTTACTACCGATTCAATTGATGACATTGACATCATTAATGAAGACAATGACTGTATTTCATACCCTACCAGTCCTTTTTCAAACAATAGTGATTCCGGTTATGAATCGATATCTTCACCGATCTCTTTCCCATTAATTAATCAAAATAGAGCTAATTTACATAATATTCCTCAATTGGACACTTCATTTGGTGAACTATTTCCGGATTTAATGTAATTTAAAAAAAATATATTTTATTTATTTACCAGTTTATACACTAATTAACATTCATTAACCCGATATATTATTTTATAATTCTTTTTATTTGCATTTAAAATCCATTTATTTAAATTATATTTTGTTTAAAAATTTGCAAATAATATAAAAAGCAAAAGGAGCACAAAAAATGTAATAAATTATTGTAATTAATATAAATAAAATGTCAATAAAATTAATTGAATTGTTAGTACAAATGAATTACTCTTTACTTTTAGCCAATTCTTCGAAGTCTTTTTCGTTGAGTTGAGAGCGTAATAGAGTGATGACAACGCTGTCATCCCTTCCCTGATAAAGCATTTCTCCCTCGAAGTCAACCAAACTGTACTTTCGAGCTCTTAGGAGAAGTCCGACCACTTTGTTTGAGATGACTTTGTAGAGTTCAAAGAGTTCTTTGAATTTCATGGTATGTTTTCCATCATCAGAAGTGACCCCATGTTTCGTAATTATTTCACACAAAAGTTTGATTTCATTAAAGAGCAGTTGTGCGGCCTGTTTGCCCCGTTGTTCAGTTTTGCTGCCCTCAACTGGTTTACCATAACTTGAAGAATAAAATCATTAAATAACATCCAAATGATAATTATTTGAAATACAAAAATAAATTGAAATATACTTTGCATCTTCTTTGTTGAGCTTTTGTTTGGCAGCGGCCACGGCATCGAAAGACCCGGAGAATGGATTCAATTTCTGTTTTTCTTTGTGCTGATCCGCCCGTCCCTGAAATTGGGAGATCCGTGAACTCAGATCTGTATTACCATAAAGTCCGGGCAAACGATTGGTTTTATTTTTCTCCTCTTCAATAGTGTCACTCATTTTGGTGATCAATAAATGAATGTATGAATCAATAAATTACACAAAACTATATCAACACTAAACTCAAGTATTGCTAATAATTAATATATATTTTAATATATGAATCACTTCTTAAGTATGTAAGTCTTTGTCAGATATTTTTTTAGAGATGTTATAATATAACGGACCAAACGATTAACAGAATATGTAAAGTATTACTGACGCCAATACTGAGCCATAAATTGTTTGAACTCAAGGCCTACGTAAGCGATGACTTTAGAGAGCAGTCATCTGAAGATAAACTGTAGGTTTTAGTGCATCTCTAAAGTTAGGCATCACTTTTGCCATACGTTTCTATAAATAAATCATTTGATTGCTATTTATAGGATTCAGTCACTCATTATGTTGTAAACATATAGTTATCATACACTTTAAGTTGAATAACAAGTTATATAATATATATTATTTTGTATATTATTTAAAAACCACATAATAAGCCAAAAAAACTGTCGACATTGACAAAGATTTGTTGAATAGGAAAGGAATAGTTTGATTGAATGGTAGGACTTAAGAGACATAAAATAGCGTAAAACAGTAACATTGTGTCGAAGTAATGATTTGTTTGATGGCTGGTGTGATCCCAATACATACCAACTGATTGAATGCAAACCGATTTATACAAATGTTTTAATAGCACCCGACTTGCATCCCATGAGAGAGTGCACGTGCCGTCAGTGCGACACACGCTTAGCCAGTGCTCTAATGCTAACCATTGTATGTATGTATGTATGTATGTATAGGCTCTGTAGTGTTAGGTATAGGGCTTTGCTTTCTCGCACCGACCATTCATTCAATGTTAAGACTAGCTATAAGAGTGATCTACTCGTGAATAACAGATTTAACTGCACGTGACTTTGTTACGGGCATAACAACCACACCGATCGGCCCTTTCTATCAACAAACCAGTAATCAAAGCTTAGGTATTGCTTTACTTTAACCACTGATTATTCAATTCAATTGAATCGCTAATAGTTGACAACTTTTATTGCATTCAATTGTTAATCACTTTCACCGCCGCTAAGCTTTTATATCATAAGCACTGTGTTTATAGTATATATAAATAGCAAATAAGTTTCGTTACACTAATACTACAATATATGTATAAATTCTTATATATAATATATACAATTATATTGCATAATATACTACAATATATATGAAGAATTTCAATTAAATTTTAATCACTTCATTCATATGTATGATAAAAATGAATTCAATTTTAATTTATGAAATTCAATGACTATTTTCATCACAATTGCACATTAAAATCGACCAGAATTTTGATGAGATTTATATATATATTCTCATACAATATTATATGATACAAACTAGTATAGGATAATATAAGATATACAGTATACTGTATACTGTATTATAATGTATGTAATATAATTAAATTTATGATAATTTGATATATATAGTTATATATATATATATATATAATTGAAATATAAGTCGTAATATAAGGACTGCTATTGAAAACAAAGTACAGACAAATCTCAATGTCTTATATTGCGATCATTGAGCTGATAGTGTGGAGTCATATCATTGTGTGGCATATTTGAAGCTCTTGTAAATGGAGAAAGTGATCCTATATTCCTTCTGTTAGGGTTTACGCCCAGATTTTCCCAATTAATCCACGAAAGTCTTGCCGTTAAATCTATTATTAATATAATATTTCCAATATTTATAAATTATAAAATAATTGATTAATTATTTAACAAAAATTATGATAAAAAGTAGTAATAGACTGACCACTAGTATTCCACTCATGTGTGTGCTCTCCTTTGATCTCTCCTTTAAGACATTTCTCAATATAAGTGATGGGATCGTAATCTGATGCCAATATCTCTTTCAATAGTGCTATGTATGCAATAGCTAGTCTTAAAGTGTCAATTTTTGATAGCCTATCAATCCATACCATAATTGAAATTAAAATAATTATATATTTATTTAATTTAATAATCAAATTACTTATTTGTACATTTAAATAAATATTCTATATATTGTACATAACATAGGTATAACACAGAGAATATAGGTTAATTTATATTTCTCAAATTAATCATTATGAAAATAATTTATGTTATTATGTTATTACTTATATTTACTATATATATATAGATTTTATTATTTTGATCGAAATTTATATCGAATATATAATCTATTTCAAAAATTTATTTAAGAAATTTAATTTTTTATATACTGTTGTAATAATACAGAATAGAGTACTTATATAACTTGTATATTACTGTATTTATAATAATTGTTTTATATTTAAATTATTGTTTTATGTGTGATATGTGATTTTTATGAGATTTATTGAATGTAATTAGTATTGAAAATATGAAAATACCGTTTTTCAAAGGGAAAGGTAGGCACATGAATCCTTAGTTCCTCGAAAGCGCTGTTAATGCTGAGCATCCTTTTCCTTTCACGAATGTTGGCTGCATTACGTTGAACATTGTAGGGCCCGTGCGATGGATAACCTCCCGAACCAATCATTGCATTATATCCACTACTAAGGAGTCCATCGCAGTGTCCATTGTCTGTAAGTTTTTTCTTTCACTTAAATGACTGACACAACAGAAGCCCTGCGATGGACTCCTTATTGGTCTCTGACTTATTTGAAACAATTGAATAATTCATACAAATTATTTGTATTGTTTCTCTAAATATTAACTTAATTTAAAAATAAAACAGTAATTTGTAATTATTATTATTATTTGTTAATATGTATTTCATTTGCTTCAAAAGTGGATCAATGTATGAGAGTCATCGCAGGGGCCATACAAGTGATACAACATTTAAATAGATTATAAAATGATGTCTCTATAGAGTATTCAATTGTGTTAACTAATTGTGGAAAGTATTTATCTAAACATGCATTTTTTATAAAAAAAATTATAATTTTTTTTAAATATTTCAAACAAGATATTTAGTTTAATAATTATATATATTACTGTGGCAAATATATTTCGAGACAAATTGTAATATGAAAACTTAATAGATTTTTCTGCATTCGGTTTAATAATTAAAAATTATTTTTTTATGGTATTAAATAGTAGAGATATTCATTATTATTGTTAATTTTTTAAAATATTTTATAGTATAATAATTAAAGTTTTATAATGCTACAAAATTAGTAACCTCAATTTTTAGAATTGTATAATTTATAAAATCTAAGAAAAACTATTAATCCTGATAAAATAATAAAAGTATTTTTATTTTATTAGATTTCTGACAATTAAAGAATTATTTATGAAAAATTACAAAAAAATACAATTTATACTTATTTCTAAAAAACGAAAATAAATTTTAAAATGTTTTTGTTATTTATTAAAATTATATTATTCTAATAAATTTTTTAAAATGATTAAATATTATATTATGTTGCCTACTTTTAAGAAAATAATAAAATAATTTTTTATTATTGACGAAAATACCAAACATTATTAAAAATTAAAATTGTGCTATTTTGGAAGACAAATTTAGACCTAATTTTAGATAAAATTATTTATTAAAAATTGTAAGCATTTGATAAACTTACTGATTTTTACTAAAAAATAAACATCAAATATTACTCTTTAAAATTAATATTTTTTTGTTTAAATTTATTTTTATTTTAAACATAAAAATATCAAAAAAGATTACTGTTTTAAAATGTCATCTATCAAATATTTTTGTAAATAATTCCGAAAACTTTTTAGACAAAGATATTAAACTACTATTATTTTGATAAGTGATAATCATAGAAAATATGTACATTAAAACAAAAATATAAAACATTCTAATATTCGAATTATTTTAGAAAAACTTAGTACAAAGATTCTGTTCGAAATTTACTAGCCACAGTAATAAATTTATAGGATATGTATAATTAGATAACTAATAAAAATAATATAATTATTAGAATAGTTATAAAAAAATAATAGAATATTTAATATAATAAAATGCATACAATTATGTTGTAAGAAGTAGTAACCACGCGATGATATGTCATTAGTAGTACCACTACTACACGACTCTACTTCGTTATCATATAGTTTGCATTCATCCGCATTATTAGCTGACAAATCTATAAGTAATTTGTTATTTTTTATGTTATTTTAAATAATAATAATAATAATATGATATAATTTATACCTTCATTAACTTTCATAATGAAATTATTTAACTAATTTAAAGATTTAGTTGTGATATATATATATATAATGTTGTCTTACCTTCGGATTGAAAATTACTGAGTCTTGGATCTGACTCTAAGTGATATTCACTATTAAATTGCAAACTATGATTGCACTGAGTCTGCAAACACTTATTATTATTATTTTTATTATTATTTAGTTGATTGTAATTCTGTTGACAACAAGAACTGTAAGATGTATGCCTGTCCTCACATACAGATGCAAACACATAATCAGTAAAGGGGTCCAAAACAGAGGACGACAAGCCTTCTGGAGATGACATCTCAATCTCATATACCCAGAGGCAGACAAGTTATATGGATATATGTTTATGAGTATATTTCCAGTGTTGGCACAAAAATTATTTTTAAAAATTAGATCCAAAAAGTTGGTACTTATTATAATCAAAGCTATTTATGATATGTATGTTCACAACAGTTATACCACCAAACTTGCTCTCATATACTCTAAGGATAATATAGTATATATGGTCCCTATGTTTCTATACATTGAGTAAATGAAATCTATAATATTGTTTTATACTCCTTATTGGGTTAAAAGCAAAATAATGAGTAAATGTTGTGTTTGTGACAGTATTATCACAATCACTGAAAGAACCACAAGAATAGGCTCCCAAACCATTATTTTCACGGATTCTCATTACCAAAGATATGTCAAAACCAGCAACAAATCCAATGACTATAAGGAGGAGCTAAACCCGTATGCAATAGACTAACACCCAATAACTGAACGACTGACCCAACAAATCGATGCCTCAGCTCTCAGGCATTACCACTCTATAAGTCAATCTAATCGTTTGTTTTTAATGTTTTATTTTTATATTGATATATAATTTATATGCTTATTATTTAAGCATTTATATATATATTTAAATAATTGAACAAAAATGTTAAAAACAGAGATTGTTATAAATTTCTAAAACAAAATTATCATGCTCAATTTGGCTTATTTATTCCCTCATCACATGTACATTCATACAAACCTACAGTTCCCACGAGTACAATGTATATCGATATACAGTAACAAACTTGAGTGCCGTTTATAATATTATAGCGTTTCACAGATTTTCTGCATCATTACGGCTAATATGCGGTGACTCTCGATATTCACAAATAAAATAATTATAAGTTTTTCCGATACCATAAACATTGTATTTAATATTATATCATAAACAGTAAATACAATTTGTTTCGCTCAGTTAATAAGTGGCTAATAAGTGGCTAATTCATACTCTAAATTATGGTCTAAATCATTGAGTTTATAATTAACTTTTCATCAAATAACTATTTACGGTAATTGTTAATAATAATTACTTAAAAATTTATGTGACTAAAACTAGCGTTTTATTTAGTAAAATATTTTCTTGAAGATTAAAATGTGTGATTATATGTAATATTATATATCATGTTTGTTGCAATTGACGATAAATTAATATTTGAGACGATTTTCAGTGATTTATTTGCTTTCAGTAAAGAATCCAATTGTATTTTAATTAATATCTTAAATCATAATCACATTAAGAATTTATAATTTTTATAGATTGCATTAATCACATTTAGTTTATTTTTTAAAGTTATCCTAGTTGTTTTTAAATTTAATTATTTATTAATTGATTATAATTTGTTTTTGATGATCAAATGATTTAATTGATTTATTATATTTAATAATAAACTTATATTTATAAAATTTGTATTTCAATAATATTGTAGTTTTTTAATAGGTTTAATAGATTAATTTTATAATGTTATATAATACTACTTATTGCAAGCCATACAGTTAGAGATGAGCAAATAGAAATTTCTACTAAATTTCTATAGAAAATTTTACTTTATCATTATACTATGGGATCCCCATATCTATAGTAATATTGTATTAATGATACTTCACTGTTATAAATATAGGATTCCTATATAAACTTAATATAATTATTTAATTATAATTAGTTTTTTTGTAAAATATTATTCCTAATTTAATTATATAAGTAAGTAAGTAAATAGATTAATTTTTAAAAGTTAAATATCAATAAAAAAAATACTTGTAATAATATTTAGTTATTATTTAAAAATATAATCTATTTTAACAGATAACAAATTAAATCTTATAGACAAAAATTTCGTAGAAAAACTTTTTTGCTAACTCTACATACTTAAGCTACATATAGATTATTTAATAAAATTGAAACTAATATAAATCATAATAAGGTTAATGTAATTTACAATTGTTGTCTCGTTATATCTCACCTAAACTATACTAATTTTAATTAAAAATATATATTTAAATTTTTAAACTAACCCTTTAATAAAATATTGAAACTGAAACTTAGTTTAAAACTATTTTTAAAGTAAATTTAAGATCAATAATGTCTATAAATGTGTTAATTGGTATCCTTTTAATATCGACTACAATTATTATAGTAATTGAAGGCATTTTGGGAACCTATACATTGTGTGCATATATGATATCAATTTTAATTCACTTCATTATAGTTAACGACATAATTAATTTGTTGATATTATTAATATATATATTCATAATTTTAGTCAATTTTCTATCAATTGGTGTATTATTGTTAGCTATTATTTCGGGTTATTATGAAAAATGGTTTTCATACGAATGGTTTAGTTTGTTGTCTTTATCTATAATAATATGCTTAACATTACATAAGTATCAAACGAGAGTCGACTTGTTTAACGAAGTGGTAGTAAAGGAGATGTATTTGTTTCAAATACAATCATATAATCCCAACCAAAACTGTCATTTCAAAAGCAATTGCTTTGAAATGATAAACTTTCACAGAAACCACAAGTGCTGTGGATGGTTGTCTCCCAATGACTACATGCAATCCAATTGGCATTTAAAGCACAATAACACATACCTATTGCCTCAGTATTGTTGTAATTATTGGAGAATAAGACATATGCATAACAACTGTACCATTGATTCAGAGGCTAAATATGAGATCGGATGTCATTTAGCGATGGCTAACGAATACGAGACATTCAATCCAATCAGTTATAAGTATGGTATCGCTTATCCCGTAATCAAAGCTATATCTATCATATTGTTTGCGATCACCAAAATGTCATCACTTTTGCCCTCAGCTGAAGGTATATTCTCGGAGTCTATTCTTAGATAAATAGCTCTATAATAACTGCAAAGTTATTGTAAATTTTTTTAATAATTGATTCAAATTAGTCTAAATAAATATTTATTTACGTTAATTTATATTTTAATTAAAATAAATTTTATAGATATTTTAATCACATAAAAATAGTATTGTAAAAAATAATAAATTTAAAAAAAAATAAAATTCTAATCATTAACAATATTCATATCTTTAAAACGCAAGAATCCATTAGTAAATATACATGAAATATGAATTTTATTGTTATTTATCAAATTCATGGGTTCTTTGACTATGAAAGCGGCCGAATACCAGTTGGGACTCATATCCAACGTATTAATAACAATATTATTAGTTAAATACAATTCATACCAATAAAGAATTGCATGAAATTTTCCGTCTTTAATGACATCTACTATACATTCATTGCTTGGCTCAGTATTTATATCACATTTTGATTTAAAGAAATCGCAAAAATTAATATTTAATAATTCAAAACTTGAGCTCAACTTTAAAAAGTCAAGTTTTGAAACATCAATGTTTTGCATTATTTCAGTCTATATATAATAAATAGAAAAACTACAAATTAATAACATTTGAATAATACAGAAATATATGTTAAATATTACCTCAAAAATGTTGAGAAATTTTTTAATCTGATAGCCATTGACATTATGATCGCTGACAAGTCTGGATCTCATAATTAGGTCTTCACTTTGAATCAATAATGCTTTGATAGTTACTTTGTATGGCATAAATGTTGGTGTCTTTACTGAATATATGCTAAGATAAGCTAATTTTTCTAATAAATTGCTTCTCATAAGACCTGATGGCTCGACAAAGTCTAAGAGAATTAAATGATTTGTCATATGTTTACTCAATTCAATTAAATCATCAAAATTACTAAAAATAATATTATTAGTGTCCACTTTACATAATGTCATAAACTGTTTTATATTATCTTGAATATCATTGTCATCGTTTACTATTACTAATTGTGATAATAATTGACTTTTAATACAATGCAAACTTGAAACTGGAAAATAACTAAAATCTATAATTTTACTAATATTCTCGCTTTCAATGATTAAATTCAATGATTTTATAAATGCCTCATAAAAGATGGTAGCGTTAAGATATTTAACGAGATCTGAGTTCAAGTAAATAATTTCCAAATCTTTGTTTGGTTTGATTTCATTGTCAAAAATTTTGAAATCAATTAATTTTAAAAAATCTTCATTTAAAGTAAAGCTCATTACTAATCGTGTATTTGGTTGCAATAACAGTGGTTTATAAGTAATAGGATATATAGCCTGTTCCCATCCAATCAATTCAGTGGGTGGTTGGGTTGATATATGTAAATCATCGATTAGATTCAAATCAAACCAAACAGCTATGGCATCGAGTTTACCTGAAGACACACATTCAACATCTATATTGAATGAATAATCACTTTCTAACAGCTTTTCAATTTGAATGATATCATTAAAATTAATATCAATTATAGGAAACGGTTTGCTCAAAAACTTTTTGTTTTTAACTTTAGTTAAATTAATTGTTGTATATTTCATATCATTAAAATCGACTCCAATGATAATATTATCAGATATTAATAAATTTCCGAATTGTTTGCGATTAACTGTAAAATATTCTCTTAACTCATCGCTATCTATAAGAACTCCATAAACTGTAGCTTTATTTGGGACAACCATTCCGTGATTTGGATCAATGATTTCTTTATGAGCTGAATATATTGTGGACAATACGTGTTCACCAAACAATCCGGCGTCAAATATCTCAGTGACGACCAAATGAATGCTTAATATAAAGATATTAAAAATATTTTACATAAATTATACAAAATTTATGTCTAAAACTTACGGTTTAGGAATCATTTGAGGAATAGTTAAGTTTGTGGACATTTCATTAAAAAGTATCACTTTATCATCAATACTATTAACTTTAAGTACATCTTTACATAAATGGTATAACATTTCAGATACTTCACAGGCGTATACCTCACGAGCGCCCGCTTCTACCGAATAAAGACTTTTATAATAAAAATAATTTTCTAATTAGTTATCAATTGTTAATAAATATATATTAAATATCACCTCAAAAGTCCAGATCCGGTTCCTATATCTAAGACAGTATTATAACCCTTTTGGACGGCGAGATGAATGGCTTCCTTGAAGATAGTATTCCTCTTGATATCATTAATCATAATGTAATGCCATCGAGCAATAGCTGATGACTTGATATTTTCAAGACATAAATGCGATAAATTGTAGTTTGGATTCAAAGCCAATGATGAGACAAAGCAATCAACTGATTTCGACAAAAAGCCTTTTCTGAAAATGTATTTAAGATCACAATTAAACAAATAATGACTAAAATACCACTTTTCAGACTTTACTTATAACAGTAAATGCCTTTATTATAATGAAGATCTTCACAATTAGGAAGTGATTCAATGGCTTCACAAAAGGCATTCATAATAGTCTGATTGTCAGCATTGGTCTCCAAGTGTTGGATGTGTCGGTCAAAGGCATACAAGAATGTGGACAACCATTTTGTGGTCAACTCTTTGTATGATTCGTGTGAATGACAGTTAAGACACACTTTAAAGGCGACACAAAAGTGTCCACAACTGGAGCCGTACTGTCCATACTTGAGACACTTGACTGCCTTTCGGACCAACTTTTCGACCGATGTATTGGACACACAGTTCTTGTGTTTTGCACTCATTTCAAGAGATCCGCCGATTTTGTTGACAATTCAATGAACAGTTTGTTTTGACTCTAAAATCAACACAAATGTCAATAAAAGACGTTTTTGTGTTATTTTACAGAATATCTAATCAATTGATTCATTAAATTAATATTTTTATTAAAATTCATATCTGTATTATAATTTCATTTATTAATTAATAACTTATTTGAAAACAATTTAATTAAAATTAAATTTGAAAAATGATACCAAATATCAGATCTAATTAAAAATATATTAATATTATATATCGTATTACATTAAAACCTTTATTATATTAATAAAGAACCTAGTTAACTATTTTTATTGTCAACTTATATCATATTTTAAGCATAAAAAATGTAATCTAAAAATCTAACATTGTGACAGGAAATTAAGTTATTTTTCAAAATATAAATTTATTTATTTAATAATAACTTTTGATTAACAAATAATAAAAATATTTTTTCATAAATATTTACTTAAAAATAATATTTTTAACAAACTAGTTCATCCTTATATGAATTAAATATATAATAGAAAAAAATAAAAACAAATAAAATAATCTATTTTTTCAATGTATTACCATATCTTCCATAAGATTCGATTTGCAATAAAAACATTTTCAAACACTAAGGGATAATACATTTAAAAATTAGATTATTTTATTTGTTTTAATTTTTTCTATTATATAATTAATTTATATAGGAGTGGAATAGTTTGCTAAAAAAGTATTATTTTTAAGTAAATATTTATGAAAAAATTTTTATATTATTATTTGTTAATCAAAAGTTATTATTAAATAAATAAATTTACATTGAAAAAATAACTTTATTTCCCGTCACAATATTAGTATAACTTTTAGATTATATTTTTAAATTTTTTATGCTAAATAAATAAATAAAAAAAAAGTTTGGCTGAAATCGGAGACAATATAATAAGTTGACTATTGGTTAAAATAATACAAAATATAATAATAAAAATGCATTTTATTTTAGTAAAATTGAATAAAATTTAAATTTTCACACAAATATAATAATAAAATTAACAATTTTTCCAAAAATCAAGTTTTGTTTTTTATAACAATTTGTAAACTTTTAAGAAATCTAAATTACATATTTTAAAAATTATACAAAGAATACATTATATAAAATTGAAATGTTGTATCCATTTATCAATTCTCTGTTAATTTAAAAAACAATTCAAATATTTACTTTATATTAAATAAATATAATAAAACTTGAAAAATGTTTACCAATATTAAGAATTCCTATAAGTAAGTCAAATGATTTTTATAAATCATTTTTTGCCGCAACAGTGACGCCTCCGGTGGAAACAACAGGGACGGGGTCTGAAATATACGACTACCGGTCGGACACAACATGGTCTACGGTAATGACCGCCATAACCACAACAGGGAACAGTTTGGACCACATCTATGCCACAAAACAACAGAGTTGTTGTCATTAAAATTGTTATCAAACAGATTCTTGAGCTCAACATTTCCATTGCTCTGACTCTTAATGTTTGACACAAACTTTTGTTAACTTATATTATGTATACATTATTTAATAATAATACCAAAATTTATAATATAGTTTTGGGAAATACCAATATCAAAATTTTTATATAATGTAAATATCTTATATTTTAATACATTGTTATATAATATAACAGTTGACAGCATAAAATATTTAAAAATCTTATATGGAAATTATTTCAAGGTAAAATAAGTATTATTGGTTATACATTATTTTTTAAAATCATTGACAATTGATTATACTGTATGTACGTAAATCAATACTTAATATTGTGAACATTATTGGTAAAAATGGTTTTTATTGAAGTGCTTTAGAAATATTAAAAATGTTAAAATCACTTTTGAAACAACACTTAAAGAAAAAAATTATTAAAAAATTCCTAGAAATTAAAAAAATATTTTTCAGAATATCTTTTTTTGTAAATTATAAAACTATTCTTAAATTATTTCATTTATTTATATTAAATACATAATTAGTGACTAAATAATGATAACTACTGTAAAATATTGTATGTTTTAAATTTCATAATAATTATTTTTTTTAAACATATCAAATGATTTTATAAAACCTTCATAAAAATATAGAAAAGAAATGTTAGTTAAAATTATATTAAAAGTAATATATATATATATATATATATATATATATATATATATATATATATATATATTATAAATATTAATTTATCATTAATTATGACTGTCGTATTTGATTACTGCTGGTTAAAACAACGTTCATAACAATTAAAAGATAACTTAATGTCTGAATTTAAAATGATTTTATGATTAAGAAATATCTATTTTTGTGATAAAATTTTATGTAAAAATATAAATATATACAATTATCCACAGACATTAGGACCTTGACTTTTGAACATAAAATTTAAACAAAAAAATATAAAAATGTATTTTATGTTTAGGACAGACATTGATTTATAAACTAATAATATTTTTTAAAACTTAAATAATACATTCAATACAATACAATAAAATTCAATAGAAATTGTTAGAACATTAAATATGTCATATTAAAGAATTGAAAATAAATTGACGTAAATTCATATATTATACTAAAATACTATTGTATTGTAATATTGAATATACTGTATGTGCTTATAATGTTTTACAATTAAATAAAACACTTACTTACTATCACTTTTAATATTACGTTTTGTTATTTTTACAAATCTTTACAAATTTTGCAATAAATTAATATTCTATTTATTATAAATATATTAAATTACCTTAAATACCAAACAATTAAAAAATATCAACAAAATTATTTGTTATTTGAATTTGTAATGTGTGTCCGTTTTTAGAATTTCTAAATTTTGACTTTGGATTCAGATATTTGATAAAATGTCATAAATGTCTAACTTCTTAGCTCTTAAACATTTTCAAAATTGTCGACAAATATATATATATATATATATATATATATTATTTTTTTCATAAACTTAATTAATATTTGAATAATAAGTAAGTGTTTAAAGTGTGTGAATGTCGGTCAGTGGATAAATGTGTAACAAAGTGTGTATTCTGGAAGTAGTTGAGTCAGAAAAACAGTTAATACAACAATTTGATAAACTTTCTAGAAGTTTGTTTAGAAATGCTATATAGCTTTCTCAGTTGGTTTAGTTTTAAATATAATTTTTTGTATGATTAACGTAAAAATCCCATTAGTTTACCCTAAATAACATTAATCTTTAACACAATAATTAACGACATTATTAATGACTATTACCGTCTGAGTACAAGACATTTCATGACAGGTAATGCTATAAGTGATAGGTTTAGTCATAATTGCTATACTCCTGGAGTTTGCTTGATTTGGGGCACAAAATCCTAGACATGTTATAAGTTTTTATTGTATATCAAATTCATGTCACTCATGATTTTTTCTCAAATTTAATTTATTATTAATTAAAATTATTTATTTAATTATTTATTTTACAGTATTGATCGATCATTTATTAATTATTGATCGATCTTATGATATTAAATTATTTATTTATTGATTGATCGATCATATAATTTAATTAATTATAACTAAATTTAGACATTTAAAACATTTATAATACTGTATTTACCATTTATCACATTTACTGTCATTCGGCTATTTTAGTTATCGCATTATCTGCCAGTGTTTGGCAGGTTTAGTGATTATTAGTTGCATATCATTATGAAATTTTTTATTAAATTTTAAAATTGATGTCTAATTAAGTTGTTAAAAACGGTAGTAATAAATAAAATAAAATAAAAATTAGACTAAAATATCAATTGATATAACGGCTCATTAAGAGGTATTTTCAAAATACACCACTTATTTCAAAAATTATTAATTGAAATTTATTTTAACAATATATATCTTATATATGAATAAATGGGATTTCATATTTTAATAATTAAAATTTTTAAAATGGCACCATTTTATGGCAATAAAATTACAAAGTTGCAAGTCAATTTTTTTCGAAACTTCCAACATATTCTATAGAATATTTGTGTAGTATTTCACAAAAAAGTTATATTAAAGTATTAATATATATTTTTTAATAAAATTCTAATTTTTATTAAAAATACATTTAGTTTCTTAAACATTATTACTAAAACTAGAAAAACATTAAAATTTTAATTAATAATAAAATTTAAAATTTTGTAAATTATAATATTTTTTAAAATTCATAACTAAACTTTGGCTTATTTTTTAACAAATTTTATATATTTATCAAATAAGTATTTATATCCTTTAACACTGATATKAWAACCACAATTTTTTAAATAAAAGATTTATACTTATTTAACTTTTAGTATAATTTAAATTATGTTATGTACAGCCGCAAATTTGATTTTTTAAAATTTATTTTTTAAAAATAATAAACGCCAACTACCCCCACACCAAATCTACATTAAAATATTTTTGCTTTTATTTAAAGTATAGAAATAGCGCTATTTTTAAAAAGTTAATGTGTTTGAGTCAGTCGTTATTAAATAATAAACTAAATTATTAATAAATAAAATAATGTAAATATTTTAAATGACTGTAAGTTAATAAAAATTGGAGTTTTATTTGCAAAAATATTTAAGTTAATTAATAAATACATTGCAATTATAAAATATATACTTTGATTATAACTCATTTTAAAATTAATATTACTTAATAAGTATTATAAAATATATAATATTTAAAATAGTTTTACAATAAATATAGAAATGTTTTATACAGTATTTTTTATAATTTAATATTAATGAAAATAATYAGATTTCGAGTAAATTTCCTTTTATTCTCTAGAAATTTCCAGAAAATATATTTTCATGTTATACTATCTATTGAATCATAATTCCACACATATTATAACCAATTGAATATTGAGTGGTATTTTGTCGAATAGTATGACTAAATTTATTAAATTCATATTTATTTAAAATTATGTAAATAAAATTTTATGCATAGTATTTAAACTTAAAATTATTATAAAATATATTTATCCCTCTAAAGGGTTAGAAAATAAAAATAAAATATTTTCAGAAAAATGGAAAGAATTTGGAAACTATTCGTTGAAAATTAATAAACCAATTAAGATATGTTACTGTACTGTATAATACATAGTTATATTTATCGTAAGGGCTATCATATAATCAATTTTAATTTAATAACTTGATTTGAATGTTATATATTATATGAAAACTTAAAAAACAATATAAACAAAATAACAGTAATTTTAAAATCTCTAAACAATAATTAGAATCAAAATATTGATTGGATTAATAAAGAAATATTGCATTAATTATTTTATTAAATTTTAAAATATAATTATTGCTTAGGTGTTTGTGTTTACTTTCATAATTATTATTATTTCAATAATTGAATAAATGGTGATAAAAAATCTTGACATTAAAGATTAGGAGTAAACTTATTAAGGAATTTCATGGCCAACTCGTACCCAAAAAAACAGGCGGCGTTTGCCGGAAAAGCTCTTAACATAACAGGTGTGGCGCCCTTATAAAGAGCTCCAATACCCTCCTCTTTGAGCATTAGTCTAAATACATCCCTAATACCATTCGGGTATTTACCCTCCGGTGCTGTTTGAAGTCTAGACTTGAGTACATCTGGAGGTATGGCTACCATCCAGTTAAAAATACCGGCCATTCCTCCAGCAAATAAAGTTCGACCAGCACTCAGATCACTTCGTGATTTGCCTTCTGGTGTTAAAACTTGTTGTAACCATTCATATGTCATGAAATACATGCCACTCGCCGGTACGTCTCGCAAAAGAGTGGCTGCCGTTCCCTTATATATGCTTCTTATTCCTCCCTCGCGATACAATTGTTTGGCACAATCGACGGGTCCCTTGTATTTGATGGGTGTCTTAGAGTCTGCTGCCTGTACTTGAATTAGACATTTGATTCTCTCTCCCGGTGCCATTATGGCAGTTGTGAACACACCCGATATCATACCCGCATTAAACAATTGAATCATAGTTAACGGATCGTCTTCTTTGGTTTGCTGTAAACGCTTTCCGATACCAAATCCAAGAAAACAGACGGCAAACATAGGACTGACACCCGTGAGGGGCGCAGCCATGCCTTTGTATAGTCCGAGTGCCCCTTCTTTGACTATAATCTTCTTCGCGCAATCAAAAGTTCCCGCATATAATGGTTTCTGTCCGGCCATTGGTAGCGGCATTGTCTGCAATCGCACTTTGATTGTGTCCAATGGATGACCCGCTGATACCAAACACATACCACCAAAACCACCGGCAAAGAAGTTCTTCAACGGAGATGTCTTCTGACCCGACATTTGTGTCTTCGTCTTATAACTTGATTATTGACACAAATTTATAAATATTCAAAAATATTGAATTAAAAAGACATCAAAACTAATGATAGAAAATATATCAAAACAAATGTATAATTGATGTCAATGTATGGCAAAAGTCAGTCAATTATTCAATTAAATTCAATATAAACTAATTGACTGTTAATTCAATTAAACACTAGACGTGGACTCAAATCAAAATAAATATCATAAGTTAGCAAACAATTAATGTTACTATAAATGAATCAATTGATTGTTATTCAAAGTGTATCACAATATTAATGATTATAATGAGTGCAACCGTTCGGTTCGGTTCTTAAAAATTGTTTCAATTCATTGCTCTATAACTACAGTATAAAGTAGTTCTAATCATAGAATATACTGTAATAACTGTATATTAATATTAATATTAATATAAGTATAACATATGATAAACATCTAAATTATTAATAAATTATTTTCAAATCAAAGTATTGGTACAAATGAGTACAAATTATGTGACATTTTTGTTGACAGTTTCTATAGAAATATTATTTTTTGAAGTCAACAACAAAAGTATTGCACGTTTTGTTGGATTCTTTTGAATGCAATGTTTGTTTGCATTTCATAATCGAGTTATTAATCGATTGAATGATATGTTAAACAAAAGACAACAATTGATCCCAAAATGAGTGCAAAGTTTGAGTTAAACGTCTGGTCCGGTGATTGGGGTTTACCATCGATTGACTACAAATGTCTTCAAATGCTTGCCTTTTGCCGCTTCAGGTAATTATCTATTTTATCATTCATTTGACTCAATGATTGATCACATTATTTGATAATTTAATTATCATTAGTGGAGTTCCCGTAAAGACAGTGATTGTAAATAATCCTTTGTTGACATCGTTGCCATCGTTTAAACATAAAAATACGCGATTATGCGATATGAAGAAACTGGTGACATATCTGAAGGAACAGAACTATAGCGCAGACTTTAATCTCTCGTCAAAAGATGTGTCGGATGTGTTGGCCTACGAGTCACTACTAAAGAGTCAATTAGAGCCGGCATTACTTTACTTGTTTTGGATGGACGAACAAAATTACGTACAACTCATGAGAGGATGGTATGCAAAAAGACTGCCTTTTCCCACAAATTACTTTATACCTAATTATTACAAGAATTTGGCCGAAAAGACAGTTCGGTCGCGATTTGGTGGCCAAGCATTGAACGGTGATATTAATAATACAATGATTGCCGACTCAGTCATAGGCGAAGCACAGAAGTGCTTAACACTACTTTCAGAGCGACTTAAAGACGAGTATTTCTTTGGCAAAAATCCGAGTTCTTTTGATGCCTTAGTTTTTGGATATTTAGCTCCACTTTTCAAAGTTCCGACACATAATAAAGTTCTTCAGAATCACATCAAGTCTTGCGATAATTTAACAAAATTTGTAAATAAAATTTTACAAAAGTATTTTCCAACCGTTAAGGAAGACAATCCAAAAGCAACACAAGACTCGGACACAACCAGTGATAATACAGATGAAAATGAATTTGCAAACAAATGGACTGACATTATATTATCCGGTTTAGTCGCTACGGCCGCTATGGTTGGATACGCGCTCTTCACAGGTCTAATCAAAATAGATGTCAACGATGAAGATGACCATGAATTGGATGAAAGCTCTAAAGTTCCTGATCTGAGAGCTATTTTCAATGATAATTATGAAGAAGAGGACGAAAATAATGAAAATTAGTTTAACAAATATTTCATAAAAAGTCATTTTCGAATATTTATTAATAGAAATATAAATACTTTTTATATACAAAATAATAAATACAATAATATATCATTTTAATTATATATAAATTTATATAATTTGTAGATAATTCTAAGTCAATATAAAAGGTAATGTTTTGATTCGTATATCAAGTGATAAACATTTAGATATGCAATCTATAGATTGTCTATTTATTACTTCAAACCACGAATTAATATGTGTTTCAAACTGTTTAATATATCTTTCTGGACAACTAAATGAATATATTTGATGATTACAGTCATCCCAATGAACACTATAAGCACAAAGAGATTGAAAGGCCAAACAATTACCATTTTGGTGATCATTATTGCTATAAATTATAGGATATCCTAAAAAGGCCCCACAAATGAAACATAAGTCGATGTGATCATCGATTATATCAATTGAAATGTTTGAATCGTTTTCATGAAGTTTAAGTTGACTTAATATATATCTTATAATAGATTTTTTGGATTCAATCTGTTCCGGTGATAATACATTTGGTAAATGAAGAGTAGGAGAGACATCAATAACAGCATTGAAAGTATTATTCAATATATATGCCAAATGTTTTGCCAACAATTGATAATTGCAAATAAATATCAAATCTTTTATATAAATAACTTTTAATTCACTTAAATCAATGTCCAACTGATGGCACAAATGGATGACATGTCTATAATCACCTAAACTTAGTTCCCATAAATACGACGGCTTTAATGATAATGAAATTGCTGTTAACTGTTGTCTTAAATCAGTTATTAATTGATTATCATATTTGTTGGTCTAATAAGTGAGTGAACAATAGGTTTAGTGATATCTTAAGACTACAATCAATGGTTTAATACTTACAGAATGTTTCATTGTTTTCATTGCTTTCAAATTAGTTAAACTTATTTTAATAGACAAACAAATTGTTTGAAACAATATTTACAATACATTTACACAGAAATTTCTAATCATTATATGGTTTTGACTGCATTTCATTGAAATGTTTATTAAAAAAATTACTAATTTTACTTAAATAATAAACTATTGATAAATAATTTTTCACAAAATTAGGACAAATGTCTCCATTATTTGATACTTCTGTCAATGTATTGAATAATATTTATTGTTTACATTTATCTAACTTTTCATATAAATAGTGACTCTCTTTATGTTTGGTTTGTATTATAATTAAGACATCAATTAAAGGGGATATAAATTAATGATTATTAGAAACAATGTATTATAGAGTAGATGTATGACATGATTGATATGATATTACAGTTAAAGATATTGAATGCTATTATTATTTTAATTAGTAATTAAAATAATAATAATTTATTAAATAATTGATTGTTTTGAATAATAATTGAAACACTCATTAATATTATTATTGATTGATTGTAATTATTTGTCAATAAATATGTTTAAATTGTGTCCATTGGTAAGTCTAACTTAATTGTTTGATTAATTTGATTATCATTTTGATTGTATTATATTTTTATAGGACTGGACTGATCTCAATCCTAATGCACCCACTTTTACACCAAGAAGTGCCAAATTAGACACAACAAGTAATGTTGACAATAGTGATAAAAAGGTGATCTTAAGTCAATCATCACAACATTTGGTGGCAATACCAACAATTTCTGGAGTCAATAACAATAATAATAATAATAATAATAATTCAAAGACAAGGGGAGGGAAAAACAAATCAAAACAAAAAAGTAGTACAAAAGCGCCTAAACTAACTCTGGAACAGTTTATAACCGAAAAGTTGACAATTGATGATAAAAATAAAAAGGGATCAACTCTTGCCATATATAGAAATCAAAGCAATTCAAAGAAGACAACTACTGTTCAAACCCCTCGTAATATTCTGGACTCTTCAGCGCCATCACGAAAGAGAGGTAAAGAAAGAGAAATACCAAAGGCTAAGAAACCAACACATCTTAAGAGAATTATTCACAACGAGAGGAATGGTTTGCTTTTACCAAAAGATAATGTTATTCAAAGTGATGGACAATCTTGTGATGAGATTTATGATTTGGAGGCTTTGAACAAACGTTTGCTTCATTTTAAATCATTTCGTGAATATTGTTGTCAACAATTAACTGAAGAGATCGATAAAATTACAATTAATCTTTTAAGTGATTTAGTTTTATTTCAAGACAGACTTCACGCAAGAGATCCAATTAAGGCATCAATGAAAAGGCGTTTGATTTATGGATTTAAAGAAGTGACTAAATATGCAAAGATTAATAAATTAAAGCTTTTAATTATTACTCCGGATATTGAAAAAATTGAGAGCAGGGGTGGACTCGACGATAGTCTACATAATCTTATAACAATTGCAGAGACAAATGAAACACATATTGTTTTTGCATTAAATATGAAAAGTTTAGGTATTGTCTGCAAAAAACAAGGAATTGTTAGCTGTGTTGGAGTTTTGAATTATGACGGATCACAGGTAAACGTTATAACTAAAGATTATTAATTCATAATTGATTTTTATATATTAATTACGATTATGTTCTTAATGTAGGATAACTTTAAGCAATTAATTAATTTATCGGAAACTGCGAGAAATGATTATAAATTAATTGCTGAACAATCTTTGGATAAATTGAAATTACTTTCACAACAAGAAATCGATGAATTAGTTAAAACACCGTCAGATATACCTAATGAATGGATACAAATTAGAAATAAGTTAATTAACCTTGATAAATTTAAAACACTTGATTATATTAAATTAAAAATTAATACAAATAAGAGTTCGAAGACTTTTAAAGCTTGAATTTCAAAATAAACTTTTCAACTAATTTTTAAATGAGTTTAAATTATATTTTAAATATACATTTTATAAGTATTTTATTATTGTATATAAATTACAATATATATATATATTTGTAAATTGTTATGATAAATACAAGTTTCGGTAATTATAAAATATATTTATAAAAGTAATTCATTAAAAAATTTTGAAATTATTTTTATTTTCATTACGTATTGTATCAAAGGAGACACAGATAACGAATGTCTCCTAAGATTTTATGTGACTATTTTAGTCAAGAATTTTTTATTAATTTTGCTTCCAATGAAATTTAAAAATTTAAAAAAACGTGCTAGGTTAGTTTTCTTTATTGATATACCCGGTTGATAATGACAGATAGCATTGCCAGAACAAACTTGTAGAAAGTATATCTAATTTATGTTACTTATTAATTTAACTTTATTAGTAATTACTTAGTTACTAATCATTCATTCTATTACCCACTCACCCACTCACCCACTCACCCACTCACCCACTAATATACTTACTCTTTAAATAAATAATGAGTTTGTGATTTTGACAAAAAATATTTGTCGACTATTTTACACATTTTCTTTAAGATATTGTCATTTGGTTTCAAACATATTTCTATTATAATATTATATTTTTCATCAAAACCTTAATTTGAACTCAAAATTATAAAAATAGCTTAAAAATAGACAATTGAGATGCAGAGGCATTGCCTTAACTGCGGTGAGACATGGGAAGCTTGCGGTCAATAATTATCTCGAGAACCGGTGGTCAGATCTTGCGGTCAAACATATAAAAGTTGTTGAGCATAAAAAGTTAGGAACTAGGGTCCACTTGAAAAAATTTTAGGTCCACCAGGGGGCCCACAAAAAAAATAAATCATAAAAAATTTGTATTAAAAAAGTGGCGGTCAGGGAGTATCTCGAGAACCGTTGGTCAGATCTTGCGGTCAAACATATAAAAGTTCTAGAGAATAAAAAGTTAGGAACTAAGGTTGAAAAAATTTTAGGTCCACCAGGGGGCCCACAAAAAAAATAAAACCCATTTATTTTAATGTAAAAAAGTGGTGGTCAGGGTGTATCTCGAGAACCGTTGGTCAGATCTTGCGGTCAAACATATAAAAGTTGTGAAGAATAAAAAGATAGAAACTAGGGTTGACATTAAAAAATTTTAGGTCCACCAGGGAACCCACAAAAAAAATAAAACATTAAAATTTTGTACTAAAAAAGTGGCGGTCAGTAATTATCTCGAGAACTAGTGGTCAGATCTTGCGGTCAAACATATAAAAATTGTAGACAATAAAAAAATAAAAATTATGGTCTACTTGAAAAAATTTTAGTTCAACCAGAATTTCAACAAAAAAAAATAAAACATTTTTATTTGGCAAAATGGTATTCAGTGATTATCTATAAAACCAGTGGTCAGATCTTGCGGTCAAACATATTAAAATTATAGAAAATAAAAAGATAGAAACTATAGTTCACTTATAAAAATTCTAGGCCAACTAAGGGATTCACAAAAAAATAACTTTTTTATTAAAAAAGTTGCGGTTAGTGAGTATTTTAAAAACCAGTGGTCAGATCTTGCGATCAAAAATATAAAAGTTGTAAACATTTATAAATTAAAAAAATGGTTAATAAGAATAATTTTTGGTCTACCAGAAAACCCATAAAAATATAACATTTTTCTATTAAATAAAAATATAGGTTTTAATTTTTTGTGAGGTTCAAAAAAATTTAAATTTTTTTAATTTAAATTATTGTTTACTTTTAAAGTTTTAAAAACTTTTAAAGGTTTGACCGAAAGATCTGGCATCTAGTTTTTCAGATAAACAATGATCAATATTTTTTTAATACAAAATTTTTGTTTTATTTTTTTGTAGGTCCCCTGGTTATCCTAGAATTTTTATAAATGAACTATATTTTCTATCTTTTTATTTTCTATAATTTTTATATGTTTGACCGCAAGATCTGACCACTAGTTCTCGAGATAATTACTAACCGCCACTTTTTTAGTACAAAATTTTCATGTTTTATTTTTTTTGTGGGTTCCCTGGTGGACCTAAAATTTTTTAATGTCAACCCTAGTTTCTATCTTTTTATTCTTCACAACTTTTATATGTTTGACCGCAAGATCTGACCAATGGTTTTCCAGATATTCACTGACCGCAGCTTTTTTAGTACAAAATTTTCATGTTTTATTTATTTTGTGGGCCCCCTGGTGGACCTAAAATTTTTTCAAGTGGACCTTAGTTCCTATCTTTTTATTCTCTAGAACTTTTATATGTTTGACCGCAAGATCTGACCAACGGTTCTCGAGATAATTATTGACCGCAAGCTTCCCATGTCTCACCGCAGTTAAGGCAATGCCGATGCAGATTATCATACAGTACTGTATACAATATTATAGTCTTATTATGATATCATAACATTAGCCATAAGCTGATCAACAAATTTTACTGAACGGTATTTTTCTAAATTAAAGTCAATTTTATCCATACATTTCATTATAAGTAAATGCTTTTTATTAGATAACTTTAAACTGATTTGTATTATTGATTGCGAAGTTACCCATCAATACTAAAAAGTAATAATAATAATACATGAAAATTATTTGTCATTATTTTCTATAACTTTTGAAATATTATGAATAAATGTGTTTTTATATTATGACACACTTAATAAAAAATAGTAAAAACTAAAATTATCGAAATAATAATAAATTAAAATATAATAAACTAAAATCACTATTTATTTGAGATTAATTTGAAATCAAATTTAATTTAAAGTTTTGAATATTTAGTAAATGTGTTGATAGATGTCGTTAATGATTGAGTGATTCAATGCAATTGGTGTGCAATCAATGCAATCAATGCTTTCAGTGTTTTAATGTATTTGTTAGCCGTTGTGCTCAACACTAACACATATACTGTAATACATTATAACGTATAGTAAAGTACTGTAAGTCTCACTCAATGTGTGAATGTTTATCACATATTCATTGAGTGATGCGTTCAATGCGTTCACAACTTGAATGACTAACCATTGATTGCATTGAATTGATTGATAGATACAGACATCGATTGATTGCAAACAAGACTTGATTTGTCACTCTTTGGTATTAAATTAACCGATTGTTCAAACATTTTGGGTGTCATTACATGTGAATCGTGTTTGCAGTTGACATATCGGTCACTGATATAGTTGTCATCAGCAGTCATAATGTCATCATCGAGTGGGACGTCCAGTGGTGCCGGTGCTCATCGTCACCGATACAAGAATCAGGGTTTGGACGCAACAGAACTTAGGAGGAGAAGAGAGGAAGAAGGCGTCCAATTAAGGAAACAAAAAAGAGATACTGAACTTTGCAAACGAAGAAATTTAGCACAAACTGGTGATGAATGGTCTCAAGGATCACAACCAGACGATTCGGGTATCATTGGCAGTCAAATCACACCCGAAATGGTGGCCGCGCTTTATACGGACGACACGGAACAACAACTTATAGCTACACAAAAATTTAGGAAACTTTTGTCAAAAGGTTTGTAAATTTAGTGACATTTGAATGATTGACAGAATAATACAAATTATTCATTTTGTATCTTATATTTGATTACTAGAACCAAACCCACCGATTGATGAAGTGATCCAAACGGGAATTGTTCCGCGATTTGTTGAATTTCTTCATAGGGATGATAACTCAGTTCTTCAATTTGAGGCTTCATGGGCTCTGACCAACGTTGCGTCTGGCACTTCATTGCAGACCCGAATGGTGATCGAAGCGGGAGCTGTTCCAGTGTTTATACGACTTTTAGAGTCAACTCAAGAGGACGTACAGGAACAAGCAGTTTGGGCTTTGGGTAACATTGCTGGCGATTCCCCCGAATGTCGAGACTTTGTGCTGAATAACGGAGCTCTCATGCCTTTACTTCAGTAAGAATAGTTAACTAAAAATAATAATAAATGTTTTATTATTACCGGTAATTGTTTTTGAAACAGATTGTTAGGAAAATCTTCACGAATATCAATGACCCGGAATGCCGTTTGGGCCCTCTCTAACCTTTGTCGCGGCAAAAACCCTCCGGCAAAGTTTGAAACTGTCAGTCCATGTCTGCCTGTTTTGGCGCGACTTCTCTTTCACAATGATAGTGATGTCTTATCAGATGCGTGTTGGGCGCTATCATATCTTAGTGATGGTCCCAATGAAAAAATTCAAGCCGTAATCGACGCTGGAGTTTGTCGCCGATTAGTAGAACTATTGATGCATTCAAACCAAAGCGTTGTATCGGCCGCCTTGAGGGCCGTCGGCAATATTGTGACCGGCGATGACATGCAAACTCAAGTAATTCTTAATTGCAATGCTTTGCCGTGTCTTCTGCACCTTTTGTCATATACTAAAGAGTCGATCCGAAAGGAGTCCTGTTGGACGATATCCAACATTACCGCCGGAAATAAACAACAGATTCAGGCGGTTATTAACTCTAATATATTTCCAGTTCTCATTGAGATCTTAACTCGCGCCGAATTCAAGACCCGAAAGGAGGCGGCGTGGGCCGTGACAAATGCTACCAGTGGTGGATCACCCGAACAAATAAAGTATTTAGTAGATCAGGGATGTATACCTCCATTATGTGAACTGTTGACTGTAAATGATCCCAAAATAATTCAAGTGGCACTTAATGGCCTCGAAAATATCTTAAGATTAGGTGATGTTTTGGCTAAAGGTCCTAATGGTAGCGGAATTAACGAGTTTGCCGTTAAAATAGAAGAATGTTATGGTAAGTGTTTAGTAAGACTTATTTGAATGAATAATATTAGCCTAATTTGAATTGTAATTTCCAGGTCTCGACAAAATAGAGTATTTGCAATCACATGAAAACGTAGAGATCTATCAAAAAGCTTTTGAAATCATCGAACGATACTTTGGTACTGAAGATGAAGAGTCAGCCATTGCGCCGACAGTCGATGATAACAATGAGTTCCAATTCGGTTCAGCCGATACTACAAACAATGAATTTAAATTTTAATTTGATTTTATTAATTAAGCACTTGTTTTAGCAAAAGATGTATTGATTAGTCAGTAGTTCAGATGTTTATTATTATTCGCAGCTTTTTATTTCAATTTTAATTATAATTCAAATGATTCGATTAGTTTGAAATAGTCTCCAAATTAATGTTAATTAACTTTAATTTTTTAAACAAATTAATTTCTAATTTGGTTTCAATTAAATTGTTTAAAAACATCTTTTGCTTTTATATTTGTTATAATTGTGAGACAAAACAAGACATTAATAATACAACATTTAATGAACGCCAACAACATATTAATAATGATAATATAATAATAATAATAATAATGAAAATTATTGAATTAAACCCAATATTATATACAATTAAAATTGATAATATTATGTCTGAAATACAATGTTAAAATAACTTACAAAATAAATACACATTTTTCAAATGTACAGATTATTAAAAAATTACTAATAAAGTGTCAAATTATATTAAATATAAATAAAAAATATTTTAAAATCTCAAAGCATATTGCTATTTGTTTTTTAATGATTACAATAACGCAATTAAGTTAATTTTTAACCTAGTTTTCTATTACAATATTGTTTCATTATAGAGATTCATACATTGATTTTATCAAATACTGTATTACCTTACGTACAATTTAAGATTACCGGTAAATTAGATCATATTATCACTAACATCACTAATTAGTTAAATTAAGGTAAATCATGATCTAATATAGATCAGAATATAAATTTTTATCAATCAATATGATTAATCTTTTAATTAATTTTTTTTTAAATTTTGAGTTAACATAATATACAATAATAATAATAAATTTATAATGTTATCATACAGTATACAGTGTTGAATCATAAGATTGGGTTATGGATCAGTCAGTAAATTGCACAATAAATTAATTTAATGATTTCTTATAATAGGCCGGATTTTTGCCAAAAATTGGCAACGGATGGGCTTCTGTATTGAACACCCATTCCTCAAATGAGACTAAATCGTCGGTAGAAAATATAAGATATAAATATTTCAATGTTTCGGCCAAAAGAAAGCTTTGCTGAACGTCGTCTTTAGGACCGTTTACGTCGTAAACGTTTTTAATACCAGAATATCCCGTCTCTGTTCTGCAATATTTATAGATAGCCTGTGTCGCCTCCCACGCCCAGTCTCTATACTTGTTGTCGTGGGTTAGTCGCCACATGTAAAACCATCCCTCAATCACTTCAGGTCTTTGAATGTAATATTTCTCATTTGGTCTAATAATATAAAAATAATAATTATATATAAATTAAAATACAGTACTTTAAAAATTTCAATTCAATACCTGACAGCTTTTGCTTCAATATTATCAGTAAATCTGAACGATTCGGGACCTATTCCTGTGTCAGTTCTTGCATATGACTCGTGACATGTATGGGATAGTTGTGCCCCTAATTCCAAGTAATGATTTTTCAGTTGTGCATCAAGTGATTGACCACTGAGTGCAATAAGTCCAGTGATAAAACAGGCCAAATGATCCATTTTGTGCTCAAGTCTATCGTATTTCATTTCGGCGATATATGTTAGACCTGATCGAGACTTTTGTACTAAATTCTTGTCTATGGCTGCAATGGCCTCATCCCACATATGACGCGCTTCCATGTCTTTACCACCCGATTGGATCCATTCTTTCAAAAGATACTCATAAAAGCTATCTCCCAGAGCTCCCACTGATATATGTGCTAATATTTAAATGATAAAATTAATTATATTTTTTATAGATTATAAATATTGAATTATATTCTTTATAAATATTTAAAATATCTTTTTTGATAATCTAAAACAATTGTTATTAAAATTCAGATTAATTTTAATAATATCGATAACGTGAGTCAATATAAGTAGTAATAGTTTAAAATAATAAAAAAAACAATTAAATTACAATTTTGTTATTTAAAATTTAAGTTTAAAAAATTAATTAATTAAAATATCTGCATAAAATGAATTCATTTAATATTTGCTATGTGATATACAGTATAATAAATTTTATTGTTTATTAAGTCTATTAAATATAGACTACTGGTATATAATAATTTAGATTAAATATTTGAATTAAATTATAATGTATATACTGTATTAACTACAGTAGTGTTGATTTAATTTTTTTTTTGTAATAAAGTGCTTATCACTTATAAGTTAGAGTATTGAATACATTTAATAGTACATAAAAGTAGAGTATCATTGTATAATATAGTATTATAATATACAGTATTAATACTTAAATAAAATTAGTAAATATTAATTGTAATGATAATATGCATCTATTATTATGTTAATAATGAGGGCAGTTATGCCCTACGGGTAGAAATTATAAAAGGAGCAGAATTATAATATGCCTAAACATTATTTATTATTATATTAGAAACACTACTAATTTAATAATATATAACATTACTGTTGTTAACACACATTGCAATCAATATATTGTGATTTACATAAAATTATTATCAAATTATTGCTATAAATCAATAAATAGTAGTTTAATAAATAAAATTATAAATAAAAATCGATACATACGTTGACCAAATTGACCGGTTTTAGGACTAATATAGTTTGGATATAACCCTCCGTGAGGTTTAGGTAACTCATTGAGTCTATGCCTAATGCTTATGACTTTATCTTTATATGTATTATCGCCAGTAATATCACTTAAATATAGGAATTCCAAGTGAAGAGTACCGACTTCTGATAATATAGAGCTGGACTGTGAGGCCCAGACATAGTTCTTACTCGAACCGGTCGACGGGTTGACCAGAGCGTGAGGTAATCCCGTCGGTGTATTGAATGCGGGCAACATTCGGGCGGCTATTGAATTAGCCTTTTCTAAAAACATGTCATCTTTAGTAAAGGCATAACATGTGAGAAGTCCGCCAACGAAACGAATAACTGTCTCAAAGACTGAGACTTCACTATTGATTTCATCGAAGTTTAGATTCTGTTGAATCCAATCGCGACCTTCTTTGAACTCATCCTTCATTCCCATTATGAACAATGTGTCCAATCCATCAACAATTGTGGCCCCTTTTCATTGATAACAATCATTAACAATATCGATAATAATTGATATATCAGTACCTAATTTGGTTGTTCCAAAAATGCCGGCCGAGTGTCCCTTCTTTGAGATCGGTTTCAATTCATTCTCACCCCAGGCATAGGTCTTGTAGTGAACCCACGCCTCTCTCATCATTTCCTTAATAAAGTCTCTCTTTTTCCTCACTTCGGGATCGCTATCTTCACCATTGGGTAATACTAGAGGTTTCCAGTTATCATCGAAGTCCTCATGTTTTTCAGTCAAGTCTTGAGGCAAAGCATTTTCATTAGGTTTCGGGAGTACGGCATTCAATTGACTTAAATTATAACTAAAATGTTGACTAATTTTGGCCCGAAGTCGCTCCGCGTCTTCAAACTTAGCTCTGGCAGTGTGTGTGTCATGACCTCCCAATGCGTGACCCGACTCTATTGGCGGCACTAATCCTAAGAGATCGGGCCCTAAATTATCGGCCGGTTTGATGTATTTGTAAACATTGCTGGCCTTAAGTTCAGGAAGAAAGGCCACACCAATAACACTGAACACAATGAAGACAATCACCACTAAAACCAATAAATATTTCTCACGTATTCTTAGTATTGATCGACCATTTGGTGATAAAATCGGGAATTGAGTTGAGCTTCGGGAGTAATGAGTTGGCAAAACATTTCGACCCGACATCTCTGACCGCAGTCCTTACTATCGGTTGATTACCAAATGTTGCATAAATGTTGATAATTGTTTGATTACTTTAAAGTCTTCAATTAGATGGTTATTGATGTGTCCACTATGTTGTGGACACTCATGTGATAATTGACACAAAAACTGTAATACACTTCACTATTATAATATTAATACAGTATATCCTACAGCAGTATTGTACAGTATATACAGTGTATACTGTATGTTGTTATTATCATATATTAGTTATTAGATGTGATTTTTAATGCTTTTATATTGATTAACAGGTATTACTATACAGGTATCATATTGTATAGGCATTACATCTACAGTATAATAGGTATTCAACATTATAATAATGTACTGTAAATGTAATTATAACAGTAAATACTTTAAATAATTTCAATAACATATTAACAATAAGTATAATATATTTTATTAAATAAATGATATATTAATTAATTATGAATTTTGTTGATTATTGACATTTTTAAAAATTATTATAAATTATTATGTGAATCGAGGTTTTTAACTTTTACCGGTAAATATTTTGCAAAATAAAACTAATAAATTCAATATATTGTTTGTAGATCAGCCTAATAATTGTTTAACTGAACACTATTACCGTAATATAAAATATTAGTTTAAAAATTCATTTTAAATTACAGAATTTTTTTTATATAGATTTTAAATCTACCAAAAATATTTAATTATTTTTAAAAAGTTACCAATATCAAATTATTTTGTTAGTAAAAATTTATTAAAATTAAATGTAAAATTACAATTAAAAGCTGCATTAAATGCAAAATACAATTACCGGTAATGGCACAATTAAAGGCTTAAAAATTACAATCTTATTATTTTTAAAAAATGAGTTATAAAAAATTATTAAAATATATACATATATACTGTACTGTATATATCCGCATACATATATTGTATGATAAATTTATATTGATATACAATATATCCTAAGTTGTATATAGAAAAATATTAGCTGTCAGTAACATTAAAATAGAAAACTAAACTAATATATACTAATGTAATAAATAAATATAATATATTTGATTATTTATATTACATTAATTACTTATTGTATATTAAAAAATATATAACAAATAATAAATTATGCGTTAACTATACAATCATTAATATTTAAAGGATTGAAATTAAAAATCCATTAAAATGTATGAATTGTTTAAACACAGGTCTCGGCGTCTGATTCTGTAATTCGCGATAAATTCCAAAAACAATTAACATTTGTGTCTATTATCAAACAAATCAAATATAAATTACCGGTAATTGAAAAATAATAATAAATTATTTCAGAATGTATGACAAACCATTGCCATTGAGTTGACTTCTTTTTATGAGTAGATCCATAGATCGATGATTGGGTATTATAAGTGTAGTCCTTTCTCCTGCAGCAGAGTTATGATTGCCCACAGAATCGGTAACCAAAAGAAGTTTTTTGACGACATCTTTACCAAGAATATTGTCTATAAGTGATTGTAAGTAAAGATCACAAGAAATTGAAAGTTTGAGTTTATCTCTGTTCCAAATCATAAGACGAGATTCTTCTAAGGCAACAATTGACACTTCGTATGTTTCTTGAGTGCCGACACCAAACCATTCGGGAGAATCAAGAAACTGATGGCTATCTAAAATGTGTAGCGGTTTGCCATTTCTTATCACAGATACTCTTCCGGACAACAATAGTGTCAGTCTATCGACTCGAGTCTGACCTTCGATGGCATAGATATCGTTTGGTTTAAGTGTTTGTATTTCACGAGTGCAGTCATATATCTGTTTAAATACATTTCGCGACACTTTTAACGGCTGAAACAAATTTCGATAAACCATTTCCACGTCGTGTGGAAACCTATTGACAATTAAAGCTAAATAAATAAATAAATGAATGATAAAAATGCATTAATTATATAAAGACCTAACAAATGGATGTAATTTCCAGATAATGATAATGACATGAATGGCATTAATTGTGGTAAACAAGACATTCCAGACAATGATATCGGCCTCACAGGTCACGACCCACGCCCACAACCAAATCAATAGACAACCAATGGTAAGACAAACGCGAAGATATAATACACCGTATATACCATTGGTTGACAAGAAAGCCATCAAAAGAAATACATTTGCCGTTTGAAACAATACATCATTTGATGTCTTGAACAGAGACTCTAAACATACCGACAGCGGCCGCGACAGATATATTGTGCCAAACGTGGCCACCGTTGATATGTTACGACTCATAACATAAGCTCATTACACAATATACACACATATAATCTAATCACTCATGGGATCAAACTCTTTGGTGATAATCAAAGAGACTTTTTTGTGGATAACTTTGTTTCAAATCACATGTTATTTGTTTGACTCAATGTTTCTAATGTTTATCAATAACTTTAAAATAATTATAATTCAAACGTAACGTTATATATGAATATTTAATACATTTTATCATTGAATTGAGCGCTAAAACTGATAATAATATTAAATTAAATGTTATTTAAGTGTCAATTGATTGATGTGATCGTCATTTTCATCGATAATGTCTTTCAAATCTAATAAAAGTCATTCAAAACTCAATTCATTTGACATCAAACTCGATGACCAAATGCAACAAATGGGTCAAACAATTGGTAAATGTATTGATGAAGACCTGTCACTACTTAAACCAACTATCGATTGGTCACAATTGGCTCAACAAATGCCTGAATCCAAGAGGTGATCATTTCATACATTTATTTATCATATTTGTTATTAACTTGTGATTACATATATAGACAATTGAAGAATCAGATGATGACTTCATCAGAGATTATATCACAATTGGATAAAATCAACGATAAAATCCAAACCTTAAACAATAAATCCAAACAAATTAATGTCACCGAAAATGAATTAAATTTGCATTCATTGAGTGCTAATAATAATCAATTGAATTGTTTATTACCGACATTCAAGAAATTGGTCGACAACTTTGCCGATAAATACAATAAACAAGCAGTCGATGGAAATGATTCTTTGAATGACAAACTCATTGATGTGGAAGAAGAAAGGGTAAAGACATTGCTAAGAGTGTCACAACAAATGCAACAATTGTATCAAATGGATAAACATTTAAATACTTTCAATAAAATGTAATCAATATTTTAATAATCTATTCATAAAATATTTATTTTTTTGTAACTTTAAGTTATAATTTATAACACAAATTATATTATCTTAAAAAACAACTACAGAATAAAGTGACAAAATTTTACATAAAGTCTAAAACCTTTCAAAAGTGATGATTAGTTCGCAATGATTTGTTTGAGGGAACAGATCCACGGGTACGGCATTTATCGGCACAAAAGGTGATCCCAAGTGAGAGTTGTGTCTGTTGGATGGCACACACAAGTGTACAAAATTTCTTAAAGCATAGCCTTCCGGTTTACACGAGACATACACTATCTTTCGGATAAAATTTAATTCACGCAAAATGTTTATAACACTCGGATGAAGACCAGCTCTGGTAGGGTTTGCGACAACTACTATATTATCTGAATATAATTCATCGACAAGTTTTGGTAGTTCACGTTCAACTGTTCCGGAAATAAAAACGGCATTTTTGATACCATTAAAGGCGGCATTTTTCTTGGCATCATTAATGGCTGATTGGGATGAATCGATGCCAACGACCCGACACACATCTGATGCCATCAATATGGCCAGAGTTCCCGTACCACAACATATATCCAGAACTGTTGTTTTTTTGTTAACATTTAACTCTGACATTATAGTCTTGTATAAGACTTCAGCGGCAGTTGTATTGATTTGAAAGAATGAATCGACTGATATCTCAAATTTCTTATCAAAGAGTGATTCAGTGATAGTTTTATCACCAAAAATGTTAATAAACGGCGATTTTTCATCACTAAGTCTGGTATGTCTTGAGGCCTGAAAATAAAAGGATTTGATTCTGCAATCGTCTTCAAAGAATTGTCTCAATTGATTCATTTCATCATTGAGTTGCTCTTGTGATAGTTGTTGTGGATGGAGAATAGCGGTGACCATGTGATCACCTAAACAATTAGATCTAATGTGAAAGCGTCTCCAATGACCTCCGAGTCCATAGTTTTCACACGAATCATATTTAGTGATATATTTGAGATAACTTTGAAACTTTTCGGCAATACTTAGATGCGATTCCCGACTGACAACAATATGATAGGGCTCTACACAATACACCTGTTTATTAACAGATGGCTGGCCTACAAAAAAGCCGAGCGTCCGGTTATAACCATCAATTCCTGGCCATATACTAAACTCATCTTTGTTACGGTATCTTTCAACAATTGGTGATTCTTTGACCCGTTCCAGAGGACAGACAAGTCCATCACCCGCACAAATAACCGGTGAATTGATTTCACGCAACCGTTTGCCAAACGATTGCAAGATTTTCTTGTTTTTCGTGTATTTAATACCCAATTGTTTGTCGTATGACTTCCCATATAAAGGTGTTATAATTTGGTTAAGGATTTCAAACCTATTTTCAGGAGTTATATGATATGGAAGTGGTATGAGATCACCAACTTTTGACAACTTTCTCAATGTTGACATATTGTCATCAATTAGTCAATTGATATCTTATATTTCGATGTCAGACCACTTATCAGATCTGATGACACTTTAATTGTCTTAAAATTTGAAAATAATCACAACTTTGTTGACAACAAACACTACGTTATGTTTATTATTGTTTTATAACATCACGTGTTTTCTAAACATATGACAAATGTTTTGCTATTCAATGAAATGGCAAAAAACAGTCAAACCATTGAATGCCATTCATTATCATTAGTTGATAATCCAAAGTGTCTTATATTAAGATATTATGACAAAACAAATTTAAAGTATAGGAAACTTATTGTTCCCATCCGTGACCACATCACCGACCAGACAGTGGACAACACATGCGATCAATTGATAGCTAGACATAAGCCATATTTGGATCAAGTGTCTCGACATCACATAATAAATTTGTTAAGACATCTAATCCGTAAAGACAATAACAATGCCATTGCCATCGATGACATCAAGTCAGCCAATGAATTGTCATTTAATGAAGACGACGAAGAATTTGTTTTTTGAAAGCGATTGTATTTTGACTTTAGGCGACGGAAACTTCACTTTTTCTCGATATTTATATCAATCTTTTAAATGTAAAATAATAGCCACAGATGTTGTAGACAATCATAAATCTAATTCATTGATAAAAGACAATCGTGAATATCTTATAGATAACGGACATAATGTCTATTTGGGAGTGGATGCCACTAAACTCGAAGAATATCCGCTATTGATGTGTCGAAATGATATATCTTATATTATCTTTAATTTCCCTCATGTTTTGACTAAGAAAATGAAAATTGGATTAAATCGTCAGCTATTAAAAGAGTTCTTTGAAAGCGCTCAAAGATTTATTGGCGATAAAAGTATTAAAGTTATGGTTAGTCTCTGTAGCGGTCAAAGTGGTGTCAATGATATTGAAGAGACTGATCGCAAGTGGTCTGATTCGTGGCAATTGCCAGAAATGGCTACAAATGGTAACTTTGTTATCATTGATTACAATGATTTTATGTTTGACTACCAGTTTATTGGTTATCGATTGAATAATATTTCATTTAATACTAATTTTGCTAAAACTTTTACTTTAGAGAAAAGAGATAATATTTGTATGAATTTTGGGAAATTATCACATATTTTATTAAATAATAATAAGAATTTATTCACCAATTATTTAGTAATACAATTGCTTAATGACTTGAAAGAAAAGGTTTATGGATTACTTGAAACACAATCTACTATTGATTATAACACTAATATTTGTCCTTTTATTAAACATTGGATTGTATTTAATTATAATTTAATTATACTAAACAAACTAAGAAATTATTTTAATAAAAACCTAATTTATGAAAAAAACGTAATTAAGATAAATGAAACACAAATAGGAAGTTATGATGAATTATACATTAGATTAAATGTCGAACAATTATCTCAATTATTGTTTAAAATAACTGATTCAACAATTTTATGGTCAAAATATCTTTATTTTGATGAAAACGATAAAACTTATAAAACTGGAAACATTTTTAATAAACAACACATTCACGACATATCATTTTGGGTTAATTGCGATTCATATTATGAAAACCTATTGAAAACTATTTTAAATATTTTTGGTACTCTATTGAAGTCAATTGAATTGAAAGATTCATTTGAATTTAATTCAAAAATATCTAAATGTTATCGAATTGTTTACCAATCTATTGATTGCGGACTAAGTCGACAAAAATGTAATGAAATGCAAATTAAAGTCAGAGATTGTCTGACTGTTAACTTTGGATTTAATCTAAGATAATATTTGTTTAATTTATTGGGTTAACTGTTTTTATTAAAATTATTTAAATATTTCATAATTTTGTTATTTGATATGTCTGTTATTTAATAAATACATTAATTTTAATATTAATTAATTTCTACATAAATTTTTGGTTATGTGTTTATTTTAAATAATAATTTATGAAATTTGTTTTTTGATTTAAAAATTGATTTAATTTTAAGCCTTCAAATTATATAGTGATTAGTAATTAAAACATCTTTGTATTCGTAAATTAAGTTTATTATCTGATTTTTACTATAAATTAAATTACTATTAATTTGATTTTTTCGATAAAATATCAGAAATAAGGTTAACTTTAATTATTTTCCTTATATTTACAATACATAAGTAATTTAAAATACTTTTATACTGTAGTTATTCTTGAGCTACTCAGTAAAAATAAAATTATGTATATTTATTATTTATTTTTTTTAATTAAATTTTCATATTTGACAAAATATTTTTATTATCAAAATTTATAATATAGCTTTGAATTTTATTAGATAATTATATATAATTCAAGATATATAAGATAATAAATATTTGAATTATTATTAAAATAAGACTTACAATAAATAGTAATAAATATGTTTTATATCAGGGTTAAGTAAGGGGGGGGGGGGGTAGGGGGGGGTAAGGCCAAAATACCCCCCCTAAGATCGAGAAATTGGGATTTTACCCCCCCAGACTTTTTGACCAAATTGAAAAAATTGTCGCTTAAAAACGAGGAGAAATGACCCCCCCCCCCCTAAAATTTCGGCGCCGAAGGCGCCGAAAATTTTTTTGAAATTTATAAAAATTTTAATTTTAGTTGATACTATTTTAGTAAGTGTTTTTATGTTTTTAATATTTATAAAAATCTAATTATTGATTAAAAATAGTTAAAATAACGTTAAAAGTCTTCAAAAAATAACATTATTTTAATTAATGGGAATTTATACGGGAACTTGTGGGAATTTTATTGAATTTACATGGGAATATTCGGGAACTTAAGGAATTTTTAGGGAATTTTCTCTAGACCCCCCCCTTGATTTTGGATTTTTGAAAAAATTGCCGTTTAAAAATGCAATAAAAATCTTACCCCACCCAATACCCCCCCCCAAGATTTTTTGAGAATTTTGTAAATTTTACCCCGGTCTACCCCCCCCTAAAATCCAAAACCTTGCTTAACCCTGGTTTTATATATAATTATCAAATATGACAAACCATTTACAAAATTTCATAGAAGAATGTGGCCTTAAATTGACGGAAATAGTAATGTTATGATTGATTACAATCTGTTATCGATATTCAGTATAACATAATCTACTCGACAGGTCATACATCACAATCTATGTGCAAACCATGTCTTCAAAATTTAATAGTTTAATATTTTTGGCAAACTCTACAGCTATTTAATCCATTAAATAACTGTAATTACAATCAAAAGTTTTAACATTTAAGTTAGTTTTAAGAAAATACTTTCAAATGTTTGAAAACTAATTTAAATATCCATACATTATATTCAAATCATTGTGTGTATGACATATCATACACTGTGTGTATGTGTGTATGTGTGTATGTGTGTATGTGTGTATGTGTGTATGTGTGTATGTGTGTATGTGTGTATGTGTGTATGTGTGTATGTGTGTATGTGTGTATGTGTGTATGTGTGTATGTGTGTATGTGTGTATGTGTGTATGTGTGTATGTGTGTATGTGTGTATGTGTGTATGTGTGTATGTGTGTATGTGTGTATGTGTGTATGTGTGTATGTGTGTATGTGTGTATGTGTGTATGTGTGTATGTGTGTATGTGTGTATGTGTGTATGTGTGTATGTGTGTATGTGTGTATGTGTGTATGTGTGTATGTGTGTATGTGTGTATGTGTGTATGTGTGTATGTGTGTATGTGTGTATGTGTGTGTGTATGTGTGTATGTGTGTATGTGTGTGTGTGTGTGTATGTGTGTATGTGTGTATGTGTGTATGTGTGTATGTGTGTATGTGTGTATGTGTGTATGTGTGTGTGTGTGTGTGTGTGTGTGTGTGTGTGTGTGTGTGTGTGTGTRTGTGTGTGTGTGTGTRTGTATGTATGTATGTATGTATATATGTATGTATGTGTGTGTATGTGTCGATAATAGTAGAAATAGGATTTATTATGATATACGTTATATACAGTGTATATAAATATAGAACCGTTGAATATATGATATAAACATAACTTATATTTGAAAGCAATGCCAATCTATAGTAACCTTCAATTCTAGGAATAGAAAGTCCTTTTCTAATGACACTATGGTTACAGACTTACATATAATCTATAATATCATACATATTATATGTATAATACTGTTTAATATAATACCCTTTAACTTATAATAAATTATATTTTTTGGAAATAAATATACAAATAATATTTGATTAAACGCTTTTTTAAAAATATTTATCTAATTACAAAATAGTATATATTATTATTACTTTACAATAATTTGTTATTCTTGTAATTTGTATTTACAAAATGACAACACAAATAATACATAGATTATGACATTTTTGGGGGTATTTTAGATATTTATACCTTCATGTAAATTAATGTTAATTATTAATTATTTACATAAACTCATTTTAAAAATATAGTAATTTTATGTGAGATTTAGGTATATCATTGAATACAGTATAAGTGTATAAATAATGCTATAATAAATTTTATATAATACATTATACTGTTACTGTATTACTGTATGTAAAAAATCATAGCATTCATACCAGTGGATAAATCCGAGTGTTTTAATTGTCTAAACTTATTGGCATTATTTGACATTATAATTATAGCTATTTCTTTTAAACTACTGTCTGTAAGTGCAAATAATACCAGGGATTAAATGTGAAACTATTGGGTTAAATGTGATATTTAGTAGTACTATATTAGTACCAAACCAAATGATAATGAATTATCAAATTAGCCCCACTATTGAAATTATTAAAGTTTTTTAGTGTTTGTAATTACCCCCCATTAAAATATGTCATTTATTGATCCGTCTATTTAATGCCAAATAATGGTCTACAATAAATAATTTTTAATTTAATGGCCGGTCTGAAGCTGATTATCGTATTAATTATTATTTCTATCATTATTGCATTAATTAATTAGTTTTTAAATTATCTTTACAATAATTGCTTTTAATTGGCTTTTAATAGTTTGTGATTACAATATTACAAATGTTTTTAAAGAATACCAATAAGTTATAGACAATTAAAACACTCGGATTTATCCACTGATTCAAACCATGAATTAAATTATTGACTAAACTCGTAAATAGCATATACTGTACTATAGAATGATAGTCTACAGTAAATTTATATACAGTATTAATACTACTATACGGTATATATATCTTATAGAGATCTCAATAATTGTATCCTAAAAATATTTACTATAATATAATTTTTAAAAATATATTTGATGATAATAATAATAATAGGATTTACTAAAAATAATATTTAATTAAAAATATATTGGCATAAAAAATTGAAACATTTTAAAAACTACGCCCTAAACACATGTTTTAATTTTTTGGATTTTAAATTTTGACGAGTCATTTAAAATTATTATATTTTATAATTTATCCTCATTTTGTACACATGATTGACACCAAATTATTAACAATATTTTGTTCAACATTTTGAGACATTTGTATGAATTTTAAAAAGTATTTATAATTCTTATAATAAATTATTTTACATTATAATTAAATAATAAGATGTTAAGAAAAACAGTTATTTTTTATATTAAAAATCTAATTTTTTACAACGTCTAAAAACATTTCTAAATTATTTAGCTTAAATAGTTTATTTCAAACTATATTTAAAATAGTTAATAAAAATTATTATATATTAATAAACTTAAATAATTTTTAAAATATAATTATCAATATAAATATTTAGAAATTAGATTGAATTAAATGTTTAAAATTAATTTAGATAAGCATTAGTAAATTGTATCAAATGTTTTTATTTACATAATTTAATTTATTAATGTATACTAATTTGAATTAACTCTTTAAATATAACTGAATATATTTGAATTATTGTTTGGATGAAATGAGTTTAGATTTGCGATCAAATGTATACAATAATAAATAAATTTTAAAACTGTTAAAATATAATACTGTATATAATATATTGTAAATTATATTACATAATATCGATATATGCAGTTATTATAAAGTATAAATATAATACTGAATTTATTATAATAAAATCAAATCAAATACATTATTTTTTAATTTGGATAAAAACAGAAATTTAATAAATAATAAAATTAGTAAAATTAGTAAAATTGTTAACTTAGAAACTTAAATTTATTTAAATTGTAATATGTAAAAAAAAGTTATAACAGATAATTATTACAAAAATATAAAATTGCATAAAAATTATAAATAATAATATAACCTTGTTTGAAATATCTCACCTAAAATTAATTAGTGTTATAAATATGTTTAAATAGTAATTTTCTAAATTATGATTATTAACATTAAAATATTTGTAAAGAAAAGTGACGCCAATTGAATGTTGACTGCATTGAGAGCACTGTTAGGCAAATACCGACCTCTAAACTGAACACAGAATCGTATTCTGTGTTTAGTTTAGATTAGCATTCATTCACATTCACTGTTAGTCTGAGAGAGAAATAGATGTCTAATACTATATAACTGTATCTGAATTTTGTTAGAAAACTTGAGTATAAATTTATTTTTATTTTAATCCATAGAAAAACTTTAAAAAACTACACTATTGTCACAATTATTGACTTGACATTAATGTTATTAATATAGTTTATTTTAAACGAGTTATTTCATGTGATATTATTATTATTATTTTATAAATAAAAAAATTAATTTTCATTCATAACAATACTATTTTTTATAATAATAATAATCAAACGTCAAATTATTAATGAGTTATTCCAAAATCAATGATTTAATTGGTGTTTGAATCGCCCACATAATCAATAAATTTTATATTGTAAGAGATATAACATATAATTCAAGGTTTTTCTAAAATATCAATATTTCAAAGCCTTTACTCTTTTTTTTATCTTAAGATTTCTTCCGAAATATTCATCGATTAGTCTTTGGTTTTGAGACTTGTAATCAACGACACAATTGTCTGATCCATTATTTCTTGAAATATGGTAAACATATGCGAAAGTAACGGCAAATTAGTATCTAATGGAACTAATAGTGAGAAACAAGTGATTATGAAACAGTCAAACGGCAATCATTGTACCGATTTTGTGGCCAAAGTCAACAAATCTGATGACGTATGGGAAACAACAAATGTTGAACAAAATAAAATTGATTCATTCACTATACATACCTGTGCTATAGTGATAGCCAGTGCTACTATCAATGGTACCATATTTGGAGTGGTCAACAGTTTCGGTGTACTCTATGTATACCTATTAGAGAAGTTCAGTGCTCAACAAAAGGTTCAATTTCTCGAACCGCTAATAGGTTTGTGTTTATACTTTATTATCATTTCTTAAAATAACTTATTTTACATTAATTTTGCAAATATTTGACTAAAATATTTACTATAACTCATAGATAACTATATTGTTATGTAATCTTTAAAACTTTAGACTGTAAAGCTATTATAAATTAATTGACAGTTATTATATATAATCTAAAATATTTCTTCAAAACACTTGTTAAGTCAATCAATTCTTTATTGCAAATTATTTTTAGATCAATTATTCATTTTTATCTACAATAAAATATAATAGACTTTTAAAACTTTTAAAATTAAACTTTTATAGTAATTTAAATAATTGTTCATAAATTAATATATTTACAATACATTATATAACTAAGCTTATATTCTTTAACTCATTTACCCTCCGATTATTTTTAACAAATTTCTTGGACTTAAAGATAAGAACTTTAGTTCAAAATACTCGTTAATATCTGTTTAAAAATATTATAAATATATATAACAAGAGATCTAAAAGGTTCACCACTTTATGTGGTTTTGGCGATAATTCAAGAGCCCGTCAGTGAATATAAAGACACTCTGTTTAATGTTTTAATTGAAATCAAAAGTGATTTTTTACAATAAAAGTAATTTAAATAAACTATAATTATCATTATAAAATTGAATGAAATTTTTTGTTATGAAAGTGTGTGGTGTATTATAATTTATATTATAAACTAAATCATATACAGTATTAATTGACACATTAGAAATATAAAACAGTATATGAATTATTATCTCAAGGATAAAAACAGGCCATCATTTAAATAATTATTGATATTTTATCAAACTTTTTAAAAAAACATATTAATATAAAATAAACATTTATTTTTATTAATCCCTTATAAATCCATATCTATATTAATATATAATTAAAAAGCGTTAAATTATTCATTGTTATAATACTTCATAATCAATAAACGATTCTCAATCTATAATATCTGTAATATTAATACTTAATGTATAGTACAATACTGTATAATATACAGTGTATATACTAATTTCATTAAAATTTTTATAATTCAAATATTTGATTAAAATATATTTATTTATTCAAAAATTATTAGTTTTTTGAAAGGTATTTACACTTAAAATTATATAACATTTAAAAATAATGTAAAAAATTATTAATCATTTGCAAAAAAATGTTTACAATGAATATATATTATAATTATATATTTATATTATTTTTTATATTATCAACATTTGGATACAATATACAGTGTGATACACTGTATTATTATAATAATAGATAAATATGTACTGTATATTCAGTATATACTGTATATATAAATTGGTAAATATTTATTTAGAAATACAAATATCCAAAAATAGATCTCAATTTTAGTTGTAATCCATTATTCGAGTTGTTTTTGAAAACATTTAATTTAAAATACTTTAAATAATTGATTGTTAATAGAATCGGTTAAATGCAATAAATTTCTACACAAATCACTGATTCTATTATTTCCTATTTTAAAATTGTCTTTTGAATACTTGCCATAAATGTAATGTTTAGTTAAATATGTATTTATTTATTATATGCAAAGTTTTTTTTTGTTGATATATCATGTCGTGAACCTTTAAAAAAGTAATTTTGTATAACATTAGTCAAAAACATATAAATAAATAAAATTGCTTAAAGAATATTATTTACAATAAAAAAAATCAATTTTTAAGTTTGAATATAAAAATGGCATTATTTGGTATTAATATAATAAATTGAATGTTAATATTATATTATGTATAGTATTGCCAGAGAGACTGTCTAATAGCTTATCTTTTAGTCTAATAATCAATATTTAATATTAAATAACTTATTATTAGACGCTAAACATAACATAAATTTTTACTAAATAATAGATAAGGTTTCACAACTCGGACTCATCTCAATCAATAKAAACATTATTGAACACTATATTATTGAAAATAAATCAATTATTAAAATATAAAACATAGATTTCAATGTAAATCAATGTTTACAAATTTATTGTACAGTAATTATGATGTAATGATAATAAAAATTGCAGAATCGGAAACTTAAATTATAATCAAATTAAAAATTATCTATTAATTGATTAAATTCTAGACAAACATAAAGGGTTTCGTGTAATTATGATAGTAATTAATACCATTATATGTCAATTTATGTCAATACAAATGAAAAATTATAACAACTTATACATGTATTAATATACAGAAAATTATTTATATTTATTAGAATTTAGTAAATAATAACCAAATTTTTACAATTAGTTTTTGAAAATTACATTTAAGTAATATATATGTAGATATTTATAATGATTTGTTATAAAGTTTTTTAGAGTAATTTATAAATACTAATGGTCTGAAAACAACTACAACTATAAATAATTGGCAAATTTGGCATTTGTCTGATATGTCAAAAATAAATTATTAATCATTGAAATGAATGATTGCATTTAAACTGATATGAATGCCCAGTCTTTTTGACGACAATTTATATAACTATTTGTGATCAACTCAATGATAAAATGTCTAAAACTGATATCAAATATTTTTTATTTACATTATAGCGGGTGTCGGCTCCGTATGCGTTGGTCTCATATTTTTTTGCTCAATATTTGCCTCATTATTGACCGATCGCTTCGGTATTCAGAGGATATGCTTTGTTGGTGGCCTATTGGCCACCGTAGGCATGTATAGCAGCTCATTGTCTACTAATTTGACACAATTATACATAACATATGGCATAATATTAGGATTGGGAGCATCACTTTCATACGCTCCTTCACTTGTTATTTTAGGCCATTATTTCAAAAGACGTTTAGGTTTAGTAAATGGTTTGGTAACGGCTGGTAGTGCTGTCTTCACCGTAATTATGCCAATAATGCTTAAAATGTTAATTGAAAGCAAAGGCATTAATGGCACTCTTGAGTACTTATCATTACTGATGTCAGTGCTAATGGTATGTGCGCTTACATTCAAAGAAAATCTATCATTTAATGGCAAACCTAAAGTCACTAATGAAGAAGTAGTTAAATGCAAACGGAAGGGCTTAATGAAGAGTTCGCTTTACAAAAACAAGTTATATATTTTGTGGGCCATAACTATATTATTATCACTGTTTGGCTATTTTGTGCCGTTTTTTCATTTGGTAAAACACGCCAATGATGTGCACTCGGAGTTTAAGGGAGAAATACTGGTCACATGTATCGGTGCCTTCTCTTGTTTGGGTCGCTTCATAACCGGACCCATTGCTGACATATCAAACGTCAATCGCATTATTTTACAGCAAATAGCCTTTTGCTCGATAGGCTTATTGACGATTAGCATAACAATCGCCAATAGTTTTGGACTTTTGTTAATATGTTGTGGTTTAGGACTTTTTGACGGTTGCTTTATATCAATTCTGGGACCGATAGCTTTTGATTTAGTCGGACCTGAAAATGCCAGTCAAGCCATTGGTCTACTCTTGTGTTTCTGTTCATTGCCACTCACTGTTGGCCCACCCATAGCTGGTAAGCATATATATATATACACAAAATATATCTTATATATACCGTATACTACAATACAATTAAATAACTTAATTTCAATTATTTGCTTCAAATAATAGCTTATTTATATGATGTGAACGGCAATTATAATCTGGCTTTTGTGTTGTCCGGCATTCCTCCACTGATCGGCGCTTTCCTTATGATATTCATTCTTAAACTTCAGAGAAATATTAGACAAAAAGTCAAACTTTCCTACGAAGACACTAATGCTTATAAGTCGGTGTCGGGTAATGGACTCAAAGAGACTAATAACAAGTTATGTGTAACACTAGTCAACAATGATGTATAATATTATTCATATAATAATTAAGTAAAGGTTTATAAATTATAATCAACAATATTATCAAAAAAAATATAATATATTATTAATTTTGTTTATAAAATCTAATGATATTATATTTGAAATAAATTACTCTTAAGTGCCATAAATATAATGAGATTTATTTTAATGAAATGTCAAACAAGTGTTAAATTAAAATCAATTAAAAGACAAATAAAAGAAACTATTTTATACAAAGCAATCCTTGTATTTCAATAACAAATGTTTCAAAACGTCGTTTGAATGTTGCCCTGTGAGCTCTGACACCATCGAGTGCTAGTCCTTCCATAAGCTTTTCAAAAGCTGTTTGTAGCTGTTTTTGGATCACTTCCTCTTTGCCAGAAGTAATGATTTGTTGCGCCAACTCTTGATATCTCGAGGGAAAGCAACAGATGAGTGAAAAGAGAGCGTTGGCCACACTCTCTCTCATAGTCACATCATTACTGGTTCCGCATTCAAATAATGTGAACTCAAAGATCAGCGCCAGAAATGGTTCAACAAGTCTGACAATTGTCACGAATTTGTTTGGTTCGCGCATAGCATGAGTTCCCAACACTGAGATTATTGTCAGACAATTGCTCTTTATTTCATTACCGAACCTATTATTTAATTAATAAACATTAAGTCAATTACAATTCAATACTTAATATAATCTATTGAATAATATTTAATTATTTATATCTATTGTAAACAAAATTACTTGACTCCAATCTAATCAATTAAATAATTTGATATTTATATATATATTTATAAACTCAACTTTATATAACATAAACTGTCCTAAATCAGTGACAATCATAAGTCATATGAATTAACAAAACTGCAAAAATATCATTTTTAATGTTATCTCATATCTATGTCAATATTAAGCATAAAAAATCTATTTTTGATATATTATTACCGTAATTATTAAGTTATAATATAAATGTAATTATCTTGAAAATTAATCAAAATGCTAAATAAATACTTTAATTAATAACAAAACATCTTTTGTAAAATAATTTGATATGTCATTAACTTACGTTGATTTGAGAGCGAGTTGAACGCTCTCTACAATTGATTGCATCAGAGGATCGGGCAATCCTTGGAGTCTTTCGGGATCTTCACATAAAAAGACAATCAGCTTATAATAGCTTTGACACAATTTGGGAAATCCTAACAATTGTGCGCTCATTAATGGCATTATTATATTGAGACCAACAAAAACAATTTGAGTGGCGCTTATACTTGAGTTCTGGTCTCCCTTTACGTCGTGAAACCATTCAATAAAGTCTTTGGCCGCTAAGTCATTAAGAAAGTTTAAAATCACTAAAATGTCATTATATGCCTCTTCGTCATCAATGGATTCTCGTGAAGAACGACAAGAATTATGTTTAGCGTATTCATTAAGTATAGCTATGGATGTGTTATAAAATGTTAAGACATCGTTATCTGATAGATAACAGAGTATCCGATTTGTCAGTTGTCCCAAAAGGTTAAGAATTGCCAATACAATAGAGTTATAATTATGTAAAATTGATAACATTTTTGGTAAATCCATAAAAATAGGTGATATAAAATTGGGCCAAACATTGTTTATATTGACAGCAGTCGTACCACAAGCTATACCTTCAAGACATTCATAAAGTTCAACAATAGCTGTTCTCAATGGTTCGCCGAGACTTTGCTCTTCAATCGATGTCTGAATTTTTCGGTAGCGTTCGACTAACGGCTGGAATAATTGGTCATAAAGTTCGGGATTGTATGTAACGATATGGACAAACACTTGATATATATTTCTACGAGTAGTTATCGATAGGTTTTGTAATTCATTAGTTGAGTGTTTGGTTAATAACTTATTCATATTAACGCAATTGTATAGAGCTTTACATCTTTCAACACAATTCTTGACGAAATGGACTAATGTTTGGGACGATTCTTCAGTTACCTGAGCCTCACTCGACCAATGAATCAATTTTGTGATTATATGATCAACAATTAAATTCAGTACATTATTAGCATAGATAGAGTCGCGTCCAAAACACGTGTTGAGAGCGATACTCATTTCATTATAATCGCTCTCATTTGGCAACAAATATGTTAACATAAATCGCGATATGAATAAAGTTAGAGATAGTGATACCTGAGGACTGACCCATTGATTCATATTATTTTCACACAAGTATTTCTCCATTTGACATAATTTTAAAAATATAGTTATAATTCGTACAATAGGATCAATATTAGATGAGGAAAATGCATCCAAATTTTGCAAACATTGTAACGTTTGACTTAAATCTGATTGAATTGCTATAGAAAATGACATCACTTGTGATGGTATCATCTCCCGTTCCCCATAGTATACATAATTGGTTTGAGTCAATACATTTGCTGTTATTAAAATAAGCCAATGAATGTCTTCACTCAAAGCAGTCCATTCGTACATTTTTTCTTGTGATTGTCCATCACGTCTGAGACATGTCTCAAATTGATTGACACGAAGGGAGAGAATTTGAATCAAACAATTAATTGAATGATTGGTATCAATCCGTGCTATAGAGCCGATTGCATTCAACTGTTCGCCGTATAAAACAATATCATTGTCTTCAAACTCTTGTATGTCATCTTCAACATCATTGATAGGCTGTCTTAAACCCTCGGGTCGGCTCAAATGTATTCGAATATATGCTTCAAATATTGGTCGCGTCCAGACTGATAACGCATCTAACTTTATCACACTATTAGATCCATTGTTTGAATTATCTGATTCTTCATTACGATTAACTCTTTCAATAATGGCAATGACAGACATCCATGCGTTCAATAGATTGTCAATTGATAGCTTGTAGCGATCAAACTCTTCTTCATCTTTATTGCTCAATGAATCACAGAGTAATTTGCAGGTAATCTGTGCCATCATCTCAAGAAAAGACTTCAATAAATCCATATCAACAAAGTTTATTTGATCTCTTGATTGAAGTCGTATACAAATGCGATTGATTACAGCACTTAATGGGACCACTTCTGTGATAGTGATTGTATCGCATATTTGCTTTACTAAACCTATTGTACCCGATATTATAGCTTTTAAAAATTTAGATCTGCTTTCGGCATTTATAAGAATTGGTCCATTAAGTGATGACAATTGATTAATACATTGCAATGAATAGTGCATCAGTTTGTCGTCATTTGTCTCTCTAAGACATAAATGAATTTCCATGAAAATTGATATGACGTCTCCATCAAGCAGTACTTCCTTCCAGTCAATGGCCGGTTGAAGAACTGGATTCTCAATAGAGTCGACATGTTTTGCATATTGAGATGAGAATATAGTGATGACATCGAAATTCCACGAAAGAATAAAATCACAAATCCGTAGCAATTTTGTCGATAATTGTGTCCATTCGCCACTCGGAGGTGTTGTCCGCGATATTCTTAAATGAGTCATTAGTGTAGAGACAACACATCTAAATATACTCTTGAGATGTGTGTTTTCAAATTTTTTCTTTGACCTCAAATGTGTGGCCCACGAGAGGCCAAAATCGGACGCACGGGTTGAAGATGAGTACTCGTTAAGCACAGACAACAATGATGTACAGCATATGATTCTTGATGTGTGATCACTGTTAACATTGGATAGTGTTTCGTATAAAAATGTCAATATCTGTGCCAAAGATTGGGAATCATTTCCCTCATCGATTGCAATACGCTTTACAACAATAGCGCAAACCATTAAAAGCTGTTCGCAAACAAATGGTTCCAACGGATGACTATTAACATAATCATTGAGATATTTAAGAAGTATTTTTCTTTGATCTTCATTGAGATACTGCCAGTCTCTGATGACACCATTCTTGAGACACACGCCTGTCTGAAACTGGACGAAAGGCACGTGTGATGTCTCGAGGATATCGCGACACAAATCAAACGGACACTTTGTCTTCTGAAAGTCAATGAACACCTGTTGTGCGCCATTCCTCTGCTCTGTTGTCACACAGTTTGGCGGTGCCTAACAATCCACACAAACATATCAATTAGGTATCAATAAGTGGTCACAAAATACATACCAATAGCATTTGGGCACAACTTTCCAACTGTTGAATAATATTACCGTTCATTGTCTGGTCTGTCGTCAATCGGTGGTCACATACATCGGGTCACTGTCTCATCATATGTTTGGTCAAACAGTCCATTCATTTCAAGTTATTATCGATGCAAACAAATGTTGCGATCGGAGTGAGAGTCCACTCAGCTATACATCCAATGTTTGCCACAATATATACACTGTTTGTTACAATCCTATGGATGCCATTCATTATATTTCTATGTAAATAATGTATAAATAAATACATCAATACATTACATATACTCTATTTATGTGACACATGTTATAACAGATTTAATAAGTTATATAATATACTAATTGTAATATAAATATAATATAATATATTATAATAAATAAATATAACATATCATAAAATTAACAATTCATTTACTAAATAATGTTATATCATATTTCATTCAATTATCATTGATATTAATTTACATTTTACTTAAAATAACTGTTAACTATTGAAATAAATATCAAAAAATAGAGATCACATAATAACTTCATTTATAAATAAAATATAATAAATTGTTTTTAATTCATTTTCAATTTTTATATATCAATATTTTGAATATTTTTTTCAAGTTTTATAACATGGATTATTAATAGGATGAACGTTATGTTTTAAATAGTTATAAAATATTGCTATTTGCAAATTGCAATCTAAAAATTACATTAAATAAATTTATGGTAATATACTGTACATTAATTTAAAACAATTAGAAATTATGTATTGAATAGATTTTTAAAAAATTATGTTTGAGAATAGAGTGCAATAAATACTGTATAGTTGTTAGAAAATATAATATAACTTAAATACTTAAAACAAATGAGAATTTTTTGTAATGATAACAAAATTACCATTAAATGTGAAGTTTTATAATAATTTAACTATAAATAAATACTATACTTTACTCTAACTGTTATATAGTTTGACAATAATTGTTATTATTAGTCAATTAGTTTTTACTTATTTAAAAAAAATCATATTTTATAAAATTCATAAGCTATAGAATTTTATTTCTATTGGAAGAGTATTTATTGTAATAAATTATAATTATAAACTATTGTATATTTGTTTTTTATTTAAAATATAGACATTTAATGATACTTTTTAAATATAAATACCGGTAATTATATATGTTTTGATAACCATTTTTCAAACTGGTGTCAAACTACAGTATAATATGCAATAGCTTAGCCAAAATAATCTTTCAAACATTAAAAAATTTATAGCAAAACTATATTGATTAGTAAATTAAGCAATAAAAATGTTGACACTATAATACATGTTCACTCAACCCATGCCGACCTCCCGTATCGCGTACAGCACTGGTATCCAAAACCAGTGCATATGTGGTGACAACCGGTGACCATTGAAACGACAGCCTATTGGACACATTATTACTAGTTTAGTGATTTGCAAGTGTTTTCAACCAAAAATGAAAATAAGAAAAACTTTTAATTTAATTTATTGTATTTTTAATTTAAATGAAGAAATTTTATTTAATTGATGTTTGATATTAACGATATTGTCGTTCAATTATAATTAATTACTTAATTAAACTCAGATAAAGTTTAAATGGAAAATCTTTTATTAAAAGTTTAAATTTTAAACTCAAAATCAAATGTTTGAAACGTTATATACAGTATATTCATAATTAACAACATTGTAAGCAAAATAATAAATTTTAAACAGTAATTGTTATTTTAATTGAAAATAATTTGCTTAAAATTTTGGAAAATTTATTAGTTTTAGTTATAACTAACTATAAAATTCAGTTTTATTTAGTATGAAATGTTAATATTTTTAAAAATCTTAGTATTAGTACTAATAATTAAAGATTTGTCAAATAGTTTTTGATAATTACATTAAGTAATACTGTAGTTAACCTCAACATTGAAAGTGACCCCACTTTGGGTAAAATATTTGCATAGTTTAGTCAAATGACTAATAAATAAAATAAATAGTTTTGTATTGAATTACAACACTATTATTGAAGTGTTGAATGTTTTAGTATTAAGTGTTAGCCAATGACAGCACTCATAGCTTTCCCTTTAATAACATAACAAATGTCGCAACAAATGATTTAAAACAATATTTTTTAGTAAATGAATTGAATTTGAAGTAAATTTATGGAAACATTTGAATAATGATTAGTCTATTGAATGCTATATTTATTTCAATTCATTTACAAAATAGCATTCAATTGATGACTTGATTTGTTGTCATTAAGTGATTGTTAGACCACTTGTTATACTATTAATTGATTGTTTGACGCCATGAGTCTTGTCTTGAATTCAACGATTGATAGCCAAATTGTGGCCAAAACATCGGCAATTAGTTGCAGTCAATCGCCGAGAACTGAATTGTATAAAAATAAAGAGAAGTGTCAAAAGGTATGGAACTATTAAATTGTGATAATTATAACAAATAACTAATGATTATAACAATATATTGTCAGCAATTAAGACGAAGACGTAGTGAAACTGTTGTTGAACTGAGAAAACAAAAGAAGGAAAACATTTGCGACCAAAGAAGGAGTATTTCAGTTCTTGATTATTGGTCCGATGAAACCATTAATGATGAAGAAGACGAAGAGCTAATGGCACTAAATATAAATGAAGTGCTCATGACTTTGACTGTGGCCAACGTTTCAGACATATCACCGAAATATATAAAATATTTGCGACAATTTATACAAAATAGTAGAGAACCGCAAAACCTTGAGAGTTGTGAACAGAAAGTGGAACAGATTCTAGTCGTTACTCAAGTGATGACTGAACTGTTATCCGACAAAATGGTGACGAAATTAATTATTTGTATCAAAAGTGATGACTCTTCAATGGCTCTTCTCCAAGAAGTATTATCACTATTGGCTCTCATATGTTCCTATGGTAAGGATGAGGTGATAGTGTTGGTCAAAGCCGGTATAGTTAATGATTTACTGTCACTATTAAAATACGATAATTTTAAAGTTATCGACGAAGCAGTTTCTGCTCTGACATTCATTTGGGATTCTTGTACTGAAATGCAAGACTTGATTACTAACACGAATTTCCTTAAATCAGTAACTGATTTGATTGATTCAGAAGCGTCAGTGAGTCCATCAAAGTTAGTGAAAAATGATCCGAGAATATCGTTAATGCGGACCATTTCGTGGTCACTCTTAACTTTGTGTCAAAATCGAAATCTTAGATCATATCTATTGGCACACAATTTGATTTCCTATTTTCAGAAACTTCTTCATTATTTTGATGATAAGGTTAAGACATATGTCTTAAAAGCACTTTCAGCCACTACTGAAAGGATTGCCGCCATTAGCGATGATAATTTGTCTCCAGTTCTTAAGATTATTCATTCAATTGTTAGTAATATAACACTCTTCGAGTCGATTATACAGCTTTTATTGGCAAACGATAACAATATAGTATTTTATGCCATCCGTATAATTGGTAATATTATATCGTGGGGCGAATCATACACACAAATTGCAATTCAGGCCAAAATATTGGACAGATTTAATTGTTTACTGAATCATCAAAACTCGAAAGTGCAGAGAGAGGCCGCGTATACTGTCTCTAACATAAGTGCCGGAAATTATTGTCAAATACAAGCTATTATTGATTCAAATCTTATGCCGGCAATTGTTGAACTCCTATATATGGGTGACTACCGAACTCAAGTAGAAGCAGCACATGTATTGCTCAACATTACTTCAGTTGGATCAGCTCAACAAATTGCTTATATTATCAATATTGATAAGAAAGTTGAAAATATGGACTCAGTTGACGCAATGGCCACTTTGTTGACAGCAGTTGATGTCAAAACAATTAATAATTGTTTGAAATTTTATGATAACATTTTGACTTTTGCTAAACGAATAAATATATTAAACGAAGTGATAAAAAAATGCGAAATCTCTTCAGTTGTCTATTACATTGAAGAACTGCAAAATAACAGAAACACTGATTTGGCTAATTTGGCGACACATCTGATGGATGAATACTTCTCTAAAGATATATCACTTGAAGAAGAAATGTTATTAAATACTAGTCTCAACTCCGATGATATGATATCTGAACAGAATTTTTCATTTTGAATCTTCATTTATATCTGATTTAAAATATTAATCTTTATTTTGTTGATTGTTTTATATTTTTAATTAAAAATGAATAGAAATTAATATAATATAACATATGAATGTAAATTATGTAAAAAATATAACTAATTATTATTGTTTTATATTGTATTAAAATGTATTTTACTATATACAACATTTATTTAAAAAATAAGTAACAAATTATTTATTAATTAAAAATTATTTAGTTTTATACTTTCATTTGTATCATTGATTTCGATGCCATGATTTCCACTACTTCTCAACAATGGTGTCAACAAAGAATTATTGACTGGTTTTTGATTACCTTTAAGTTTACTTAAGATAATAGCTATGATTAAACCTATTGTGAATGTAAAGGCAGAGAACCACATGTAAGACAAGTTATATAATGAAAATGAATTGTTTTGGTTGAGAGGTTGTTGTGGCAAACTTGAGGTTAAGTTATTAAACATATTGTTTGGACATTCTTGTGTTGATCGAGATAATGGTATCGGTTTTGAAGCGAATAAAACGTTACCGATTCCGATCCAAAAGCCGACGATTAAACTAATAACAAATCCTATTAAAGTACCGAATGAATTACATCCGGGACAACACATACCGGCTGTAAAAAGCATTAATAAGGGTCCGCCAACCACTCCAAAGATTATAAGTGACGCCTGAAGTATAGCTGGCATTTGGTCGGCCAATACTGTCAGTGAAACACAAAGACATCCATAAAACATAACCAAAATCTTTGAGGCAATTATTTCAAATTTTTGTGACAATCGATCTCTAAAATGTGGTTTTATATAATCTTCTAACGAGACGGCAGCCAATGAATTAACAAATGAAGAAACCGAAGATAAAGAGCCGCTAAAAATGCCAGCAATTATAAGACCTGGAAGGCCTGGATATGTTGCCAACGACTTCATCACAAAATATGGCATCAATTGATCAGATTTTAATATTTCATTTTCAAGCAATGGATCGCATTTCCAGAAATTGGCAAAAATAACTAATCCGGTAAATGCTGTGATCAATGATAACATTGAAGTGAGAATCCAACTAATGGTAAGCGCTCTATATTGAAAAATTATTGAAATCAAATCAAATTAATTATTATTTAATAATAAATAAAATAGTTATTTATTACTTTTGAGATTTTCTTAAGCTTTTTAGTGTCAATAGTCTCTGAACTTGTGTTTGATTGACTCCATAAAGTGATACATATATAAATACCCCACCAATTGTTAGTGACCACAAACTTTGTCGAGTGAATGGGTTTGGATCTAAGCTATAATTGATTTAAGTATTGAATATTTAATTATTAATATCGCATATTAAAGAATAACATTGAATAACAAAGTTATTAATTTTTAAAAAATATATTTAATTGTTTAGAAATTAAAAGAAATGTTAAGAATGAATGTAATACTTGATTAAATTTAATCGGTTAGACACGAGAGCCCTGTGCCAGACAACATCAATCCCTCCGACATCAACAGTGCCTTTAATTATGATAGCAATTAATGCGGTAAACATAAGTATCGATTGAAAGACATCCGTCCAGATGACAGCCTTAATGCCACCAATAGTGCAATAAAGAGTACAGACAAAACCTACTGAGATAATAGCTGTCCATTTAGACAGACCTGTGACCGCACTGAGAGCCAGTGCCGGCGCGTACAACACTATTGACATATAGACTATCATTTGTGTTGTGAATACCAAAGAAGCGGTGATTCGTACGGTTCGGTTAAATCGTTTTTCTAAATACTAGAAATAAAATTAATTTTAAAAATTTAAACAATTATTTGGCTAATTTTAAAGAAAAACCTCATAAATTGAAACAACTTTGAGTTTATAGAAAACAGGCAAAAATATGAGTCCAGCGATTGGAGTACCGATAATATAAGATATGTTTATAATGATAAACTCAATGCCAAACATATATATCTCAGCGGTAACTCCTAAAAGAGTGATCGCCGACATAAAGCTGGCCATCAGTGAGAATGCCACCGGAATTACAGACATTTGTTTGTTTGCCAACAGATATTCTTCTGTTGTTTGCTGTCGACCTCCACTGAGTTTGTAATAAATACCAATCAATGCTATTTGAAAATAAAGTAAAGATTTAATAAATTATAAGAATTACATTTAACAACAACTGACCAGAAATGACAAGCATTAGTCCAAACACTGTGTAATCAATGACTGATAAGTGATTCTTCTCTAAATCCATCTTTCTTTAGACTAAAAGATACTTAAAAACTAAATGTTAAAAAATATTTTGTTTTCTAATTATATTATTTGATTTATCGTTTAATATTATGTAATACTATATCCATAATACATATATGTATAATATTCACGAAATTAAAAATATTGAATTTTGTTTGAAAATAAATTTGATTTGTAATGAAAACTACTGTTTTCTGTATATATATTATTATAATAACTCGTGTATTAAATATTCTAATGAATACACATTTTCACGCAGAAGTCGTTGCTATCATTTGAAAAGTCATTTAAAGAGTGGTTTGACAAGAATTTGAAGACCTGTTCATAGATACCACTCTTTGTGTTAAATAAAATATTCATATTTTAAGTGATGTTTAATTTGCAGAAAAGATTTTACTAAAATTTCTGAATAGATTTAATTTTATAATTTAAACTAACATTTTAAAAATTAATTTGCTTTATAAACAAAACATATTTATTTTGTAAAATTAAAATAAGTCTAATGTACTTATTTTAAATCAAATCATTAATAATTGCTATAAATATTATAATTATCAAATATTTTCTTAAATTAAACTTTATTTATTTAAGTCTTACTTAAATTGATTAATGTTTATTTAATTAATATTTTTCAAAATTTAGCTAAATATAAATACAAGATTTTCAGTAATATTATTTTTTTGTGAAATAATTAATTACTCAAATAAATATTATACCAGATTATTAAACTACCAAAAATTTTACAAAAGTATCTTAATTTAACAACTTTAAAATTAAAAAAAATACATTTATTATACTCCATAATTTAATACTGTATAAAATTATTTTATATTATTGCAATAAATAGTAACAAAAACTTAAATATTTTGCATAAAATTTCATTGAAATATTCAAAAATCAATTTGAAATCAATAAATTTAGACATACTATTTAAGAATACCTCTTAAAATATTAAAATACAGTTTAATATAACAATGTTTTTTAGGGTTCAATAGGTGGTAGCACAAGGAAATAGATTCCCTGGGAATTCCAAGGGAGCAGAAAACATAGGGAACTTTTGGTAAATAAAAAGAGGAATGCTATTTGTAGAATCATAAATATAATATAAATATATTATATGATCTAATGTATTATCATTCATAATAAGGTATTTATATTCTAATATAACTATTTAATACAGTATATAGAATGTGAAAACAAGTACAAAATGCCATATAAAACATCAAATTATATATAAATATATACAGAATATTAAATGTATTATTTAATAATATTGTTTTTTATAGTTGAAGTTAAACAATTATATACAGTCTCTCTCTCTCTCTCTCTCTCTCTCTCTCTCTCTCTCTCTCTCTCACCCATGAAATGCTCAAAAGTGATGAAAAAACTGATATCACTGTTACTGTGAATACAGTAGTGGTGTCTGACTCGGCGTTGATAATGGCCTCAGATTGAGACGGAAAACACTCGAATGTTCCGCAAATTGTGACCGTTTTTCACCGAAAACTGTCTTCAATTATAAGTTTTAAATAAAAAGTTTATAATAATCTGTTGTGAAGACAACATAAAACTTCATAAATTATTATTAATATATTATTTACATATAATATCATCAAAACTATTAGATATAATTATATTTTAAGATATAATTTTTTGATTAATCAGTGAATTCATATATTATAATAAGTATTCAATAAATAAAATAATAAAAAATATATATAATAAAATTTATTAATTTGATATATCATTACCAATAAATATAAAAATAAATAATAATTCTTTAGTACATTTGTAAGTTTATTATACAGTATATTACCTAAACATATAAAAGATTTATATTATAATCTATAAATTTAATACTGTATTATGGCTTGTAATGGTGTGATTGATAATATTACCGTAAACTATAACTTGTATAATAAAATTTCAAATACATTAGATATTAAAATATCATTAAAAACTACAATATTTTATGTACTAATAAATACTATAAAATTGACTAATTGTTTAAATTTTTTAATTTAATTACTGTTTCGATTGATAAAATTAATATTAGTATTTATTAATTTTGTAATATTTTGAGAGTAACTAAGTGTCTTAAAAAATAATTGAAATACTAAACTTATCTATACTTATTAACATACATAAGCTTAGAACTTTGCATTTATTTGCATTATATGTACCATAATTTAACAATTAATTATTATCGGGAATTTCAGATATATTCTATCTTTAGTTATAACTTTTAATTTAAAAGTTAATGCTATTTAAATATATGTTTAGTCTGTATTATTTTATCATTTCTTGTTACGATATAAAAATAATTAAAATTTAATAAACTATTTACAAGCAATGTAAGTTTAATAAAAAAAAATGGTAATACATTTTAAAAATTATTTTTAAACAATTTAATTACAATTTATTAAAAGTCGTTTAAATTTAAAATTCTATTTTTATTTGTAATATGATATTACATTAATTATATTAATAATCTACATAATTATATACAAATTTAATTTAAATATTTAAATCATTTACTAGGAAGACATCACTTAAGAATCCTTATGTTGACAATCTTGCATAACGTAATACAGTTTAAACAAATACTATTGTTTGGGAAAATACAAAAATTATTTTAAATTATAAAAATAAATGATTTTAAAAATCATGTGTAAAATTGTAACAATATTTTATTTTAAATAACTTTTTGAATTTAACCTCAAACGACAATGTAATAATTGAACGGATATTATAGCATATAATCTTTGAAAGTATTGATACTCAGGACTAGAGATGCAATATTTCACAATCTATTTAATATTAGAGTTTAAATAATATTATTAATATTTTGTAAATTCATTGTTTTATAAATATTGCATTTATTTTTTAATGTTGATTACTTAATGTTTGATAGAATTATGTAATTGAAAAAATTATTTTATTAAGTACTTAAAATTTTATTATAAATAACACATTGTTCCTATGTTCAACATAATTACATTATGAAAACGTATGATTGTATGTACAGTAGTTTACTTTTATTTTATAAAATTTAATTTTTTAAATTTAATACTTTTCTCCTAACTAACCCATTTGAGATTAAATACTTCTAAAATTTATATGTTATAATATCTCTTTTATGATTTCACAATTAAAATTAAATTTATTTTAATCTAGTTCAAATATAAAGTGAGTTATTTAAATAAATATTGATATTTCATATAATTTTCAACATGATTTTCACGATAATTCAAATTAAAGTTGAAATTGAAATTCAAATATTGTTTACAATACTAAATTCAAAAATGTTTTATATAATAATATAATAATTTGATAAATTAAAATGTCATTATGAATTGTCATGATTTGCATTAATTTTAACTGAAAACTTTTCAATGTACAACATTTTATACAAATATAGACAAAGTTATGATACACACGACATAACTGAAACAATAACATATATAATAGGTTTGACTGTAGTAATAATTAAAACATGAATCTATTTTATTAGGATTTGGACAAATTTTCATTGAAGGAAGTTCCCAATTAAAAATAGCTTATTTTTCTTTAAAATAAGTAATACATTTTTACTGACTTATCTAAAATTTTCATATAGCCTTAAATCGTAACTAATACTTATAACTTTGCTTGCTTATTTTGAAAATATTATGAATATTAAAAAATATGACTAACAATTAAATTAATTTATTTTAACATATAATAAGATAAAAATAAGAGAAATTATATAATAAATTAAGAAATTACCGGTAGATTTAAAAATGGATTAGATTTTAATAAGTGGTATCACATAGAGTTTTTGAGAACTTCCTCTGGAACTTATGGAAAATATCTTTAAAAACTAAATTAACAAAAACTTTAATTAAATAATATTGTACATAAAAAGTGTTTCCATTTTTAGCTGTTAGAATTAATTAATTTTTAATAATAATAATAATAATTATTGTTATTATTATTAATTTTACGCAATTTATAGAAGAATAAGAAATTTTTAAATGATGTATATTAACAATCATTTGCCGAAATATGCTATAATTATTATGATAATAATTTATAATGATTTAAAATTATTGTAAATTTTATATCATTTTACAATTTATTGTGTATCTGCTAATTAGTTTTATATTTAATTTTTAATTAATATTTAATATTTTTGTTGTTTTATTTTATGATTTTTAAATATGTACACATTTTAAATATTAATAATTAACATACTGTATTTGTTAATTTCATTAATTATTATGTTAATAATTGGCACCTATATATTATAATAATACTTTACATAATATATTTTATAATAAAAATGCAATTTTACAAAACATTTGTTATTTAGTGTGTTGTTGTATTAGATTTAATTTTATCTACAAATAAATATAGTTTAATACTAATTTATCTATAAATGCTTTTTAATTTTAAATTGATTTACTTGACAATGTCTAATCACAGTAATAATTATTTATAATAAACCATATCTGTTATTTGACACATATTTAAAACATTAAAGCATTTATATTAACTCAAATATTTTGTTAGTTTTTAATCACAAGATTTATATTCTGTAACAAAATTAGCAATTTATTAGAAGAACATTCTTTGCATTAATTATTTACTATAAAATATTGTTTTATATGACAGTTATTTTCTATTGTAATATTGATAATATTAACTAAACATTTGAGCAAATTTTTTACAGTAATCTATTTTTTTAGTAATTTAACTATTTTTTAAATATTAAATGTATTAATATTATAGATCATAAATCATGTCATACTCTTCACTGAATTATGTATTTTCGTCGCATTTTTATATCCTAATTAAAATACTTTCTTAACTATACATTAAATGTAATATTTTATGTTTAATTCACGCAACATTGTAATTAAATCCAATGTTGCAAATAAAAATTTTCATCAATAATAAATATAAAATAATCAATGTATATATTAAATTTAATTTTAAAAAGTTTTGAATAAAATAATTTATAATGAATATCGTTGTAACGTAATGACTTTGTATAGATTTTTCAAATATTAATCACTAATGTTTATCATAATTAAATACTTTAAAATAAAAATTTAAAACAACACTAACATACATATAAAGAAACCCTTTATACTCATAAAACTATTTGGACTACAATTTGGACTTTTATTATTAATCACTTTGTTTAAAATGTTAAAATGCTATAAAATATGTCTAAAATAAGTAAACAGAAATATGCAAAAATTTATCACATTATATTATTAATAAAATTATTTCTAATTATCTTAAAGAAAATTATAAATATTGATTTCTTTTCAAAAAATGAGAATTTTATTCAATGAATATATGTAACTATGTATCAATTGTTTTATTTTCATTAGGATGTATTAAATAATATTAAAAGTAATATTTAGTTTATAATTTACTAATGGCTTTCACAGTACGATAACTAATTTAATTTAAATTTTACTTAAAATGTTAACATTTTGTTTTTGAATTACTTATATACTATTATTAAAAATATATCTGTAACATATTTAAATTGAAAATGGTTTTCATACTAAAATTTATTTAAAGTACAATATATAATATTTTTATATAAAGTATTATAATTTATTATCTTTTATACTCATCATTCATAATAATCTAACATTTTTTATCATAACATAGTATAAATATCAATCTATTTTAATCTATTGAAAAATTGGTTTACTTTCTTTATGTTATAAATAAAATATTTAGCATTTCTATAACATAAAGGCACGCAAACTATTTTTTTAATGAACAGATTTCTCGTAATAAATAAACAAATTTTTAAATAAATAGAAAACTATTCTTTGAATAAATTTGAAAATATTTAGATCTATAGCCGATTTGTAAACAAATTACTGTATTCAACAAAACAATTACTTTAGGTCTCACTTTCTTTGTGCACTTTTTCCCTTTTTATCCACTTTTTTGCTTTAATCCAAGTGTCACTCAATCGTGAGGACAGGGATGATGAATGATTAGTTGGTTGCAAAATGTTTGGACAGATATCATCGCTTTCAACATTCTCTATGGATGATGAAGAAGATGATGAAAAAGATGCTGAAGAAGTAACTTTACTTTTAGAAGTTTCTATCGATTCATCAGTATTTGATGATAATTCTTGAAGTTCTTCAGTTTCATCAATTGGCAAAAGTAGAGAATTTGGTCGCGAAGTACCACTTCTCGAACCAGTTTTAGATGAACGCCGGTGTCGATGAAGACTTCGGCTATATTTTCGCTTACGATTGAACTCCCATTGAAATGATGTTGCATTGGATTTAGAGGAACAGTTGTCTATAGAGGAACTCAATGTATTTGGCAAACTTGAAGATGAAGAACAATTTGGTGATAATTCTGTAGATTTGGCTTTAGTAGTATTATCAATACAATGCTTATGGAGCACACAATTAGATCCACCCGATCTTGAATAGGCCTACAATTTATAGAATACATTATGTGCTAACTTCTATAAATGTAATATTTCTAACATAACTGACTTTTTTGTGACTATATCTTTCAAATATTTGGTGAAATGAATTTATAGAATATATGTGAATGTTTGACAAAATAATAACATTTGATATATTATAGTGAGTTTGGAATTTGCTATAATATATAGTATATAAATATTATACTACAGTATAAGTCAAATACAGTATTATAACTAATAATTTATAAGTCATATTACGATTGTGTAAAACATACTGTATTACCAAATCGACTTCAAACTATTTACACCAATTTTTTAAATATCTTAATAACTACATATATAATACAATTAAATTAGATTTACTTTTTAAAATATATAATAATATAAATCATTTATAATATTTCAAATTTGTTATTGTTGCAAAAGTAATATAAAAATTATGATTAATTAAATTTTCTATATTTTTAAAAACTTAATTTACTCTTTTCCTGTTAACATATACCGTATTAATAAATTTAATATAAAATATTATCATTTAATTGTAGGTTTTTATATATTTTTTATTTTAAAAAATAAAATTATATTATATTATATTATAGTATATTACTTTATTTTCGGTTATATAATACAATTTTGTAAAAATTCTTTAATTTTTACTAAATTTATAGTAAAATGCTTTGTAAATTATTATAAATTTTTTTTAGTTATTCATTAATATTTTATCATTATAATTACTATAAATATCAAAATAATTATTCAATTGATTTAATAAAATAGAGTATATAAACTCATTACACTATTGTATATAAAAATAATATAGTATATAAATTATTAATAAAAAACTATTTATAATACTTTATATTTAGTTTATTATTTAATGATAGTAAATGACAATAGCTCTAAAAGTTTATATAAATTATTAAATTATATAAAAAGTCAATCATTACCTCACAAGGACTTGACACAGGACTTTGTCCATTGGGATCGTAACCAAACTCAACGTAATGTCTAACAAAAACGGCTCTCTGTTCACGAAATACTTCAGTGACGGGTGAGACGGGACTACTGGCCGGAGAGATATAGAATGGGTTTGTATTGACATAATTACGACCAGTTCTTAACACATGTCCGGTGTTGAGACCTCCGCGAGTCGTTTGTTTAAGTCTTAATATTTTTGACCGACAAATAACACACCGTAAGGGAAGCATTCGCTGACTGACAACCATTTGAATTGTTTTAACAAAACATTTACGACAAACAACTCTATGACCACAAGGATAGGTCTGCATCGTAGCCACAGAACTGATGCATATAACACACTATATATATATATTTATACAAATAATATGTGTATTAATTAATTATAAATATTTAATTTGATTTCATTTAATATTAATTTCATTGAATAATTTTAAATGTAAATATACTCTGTATCTTTTATAATTTTATATATAACACATTAAATATATATAATTTATGCAGTATATATATCAGTTTAACTATTGAAATACAGTATAATTGAAAGTTTTATAAATACTTGTCAATACAATTTAATAAGTATTTGATTAAATTGATTGATTAAAAATTTAAATATAATGTATATAACTAAGTAACATATAATTAATTATTTTAAACATATTCCAATAGTTAATTAAGCTATTTTTAAAATACTGTAACTTTAAATATTACAACAAAATTAAATTTATAGTCCTATAATGTTAATTTTTAAAATAGTATATTTAAATTATTTTGACTATTATTTAGTTGATTAATGTAATGTTAAATTAACGTTAACAGTTATATAACACTAATAAACATATTGATAAAAAATAATAAAAAAATAAATAAAAATACAATATTCTCTATATTTTATATTTATATAACACTGAATATAAAATGTTAATCCATTATACAAATGTTTATTATGTCATATATGTACTCAATTGTCTTTATTTTTATCTTAAAATGTTAACTTGAGTACAATAATGTTGAAATATTGAGACATTCATTTATAGTGTGATTTAATATTGATTAGTCTAATAAATTAATAAAATAAAGCTATTGTACATTATTTTACTGTATTAATATTGTATAATAGTGATGCTTTTATGAGAGTATTCATTGAGTAGTTTTACATTAAAAGTGTTAATAACATATAGTATAAGTAATAGTCATATAGTAGTGTAATCACTGGCAATAATGTAAAAGCAAATATATAATTAAATATTCGCATTGCATGCTAAATAAAATATATTGTGTTATACAGAATAACTTATACTATTATTACTACTATTCAATAATAAATACAAATAAATTACTATTTGTCCTAATTTGCTGAATGACAGCAACCAAATAAAATTTTGTTTAAAATACTCTGACAAATATAACTAATTGATTGATTGATTGATTAATAATCAATATTTGAAGTAATTATTAACTGAAAATTAATACAATAAACTTAATACTTAGTTATATAAATGAAATATGATCACTAATACAAAAAAATGCCATACAAATAAATAACAGTGAAAATTAATTTAAACATTAAATAATTATTATTAATTAAAAAGAAAAATAAAAAGAAAAATATAAATATAAATAAAATATAAATATAAATAATTTATAATTTTTAGCTTGTTAAACTATCTCTATATATCACATGTCTATATTAATATAATTTCTAAAAAACAATTTAACAAATTAGCCCAAATACTGGACACCAATGTTATTACTAAATTACTAATATTAAGCAAACATTTTGTAGTATTGTATGATATTTATAGTCTATAATAAAAAACAAAATGTCATTTAATAATAACTCATTGAAAGCATAGTATATAATTTAAATGTATCATGCTAAGTTATGTTTTGATAATTTATATAAAAAAGTAGCTATTGGTCTGAAATGCGTGATATGTCATAATGGGCTGATTGTCGTAAAAATCTAATTTAAGCCTAAATTTACTCATCACTTGACAAAAGAGTTTTTCTCCATTTTTATATGTATGTATGTATGCGTGTTTGTTTGTGTGTGTGTGTGTGTGTTTGTGTGTGTGTGTTTGTGTGTGTGTGTGTTTGTGTGTGTGTGTGTGTGTTTGTGTGTGTGTGTATGTGTGTGTGTAAGAGATGTCACATTACTTAATATTGACGTTTGAAAGCTAATGCATCTTCTCATGCATTGTTTGCTTAGTGAACACAATTGTCTCAAATAATGTGCCAAAACTGTTAGCATTTATAAGAAAAGTTAGCTCTAAAAGTGAGTGCAATTATTTTTATCCATTAAAAACATATTAAAAGAGAGAGCATTTCTATTTTTAGTATTATTTCTATATATTTTTTACTCTTTAATCGATTACTGCATATATATCTCTACATTATATACCATATACTGTATACTGTATACGGTTTGTGAGCATTAGATCATTGATTGAAAGGATTGTTGTATTTCTGTGAATATTTCAGTTCAATATTTTCTATTGAATTCCCAGTGATTGTCACTCTACTGTATGTCTATATATTTGATTTGGTGTCATATGATTTGGCCGCATATTTCATTGATTTGTAAAAATGTAATAAAATTAAAATATTTACACACTAATGATTTCTATTTTATTAAACAGTATTTTCACTTTATTTAATATAATATTGACAGTTAAATAACTATACAATATCTATAGTATTTGAAAATATTAATGTTGTTTATAAAACTTTGACATTTATTGAATCTTAAATCCTTATCGATCAATAATATAATGCAACCAATAGTTGGGTCATTTGATAAGTGTCTTATAATTTAATGGCTAAACTTTTACTAAAATCTATTTTAATAGATATATAGTAAACAATATAAATGAATAGATGGTGACCTACCTCTTCATCCGGTGATGTCGCCAATTGCTGGTCCGTCTCATCTTCTAACTTAAGAAGCAATTTATCCTTTAAATCAAAGTATAGACAAAAATCAATACAAAAACTAACAGACAAACAAATATTACAATCAATAGTAGTCTAAGTAATAATATCAGCATTTCTTTGACTCAATCAATGAATTCAATGATTGTATAGATCTTATAGAGAGTATTGAGTTTATATCTAATTTTGAATCCATTTATAATGTTTAATACTGTTTTCATAAATATGACAAAAAAAATTATTATAAATTATTATATAGTAACTGAATTGATTATTTTTAAAATATAAAATATTTATTTCTTTAATTACAATTAATACCGAAAATATCGTTAAAATTATACAACAAATATTAAATAATAAAATAATTTACAATTTAAAAAATTAGTATTAAACATTCATTAGTAGTTTATTCATAAACATTCGTTGATTATCATAGTATTTATTTATACCAATATACAAGTATTTTTATACATTTGTTATTAATATATAAATAACAAATTAATATTAATTTAATTAAAAAATATTATATAAACCCGTTAAGTTCATAACATATCATATTTAATAATAATTATTAAATAAAGTATTATCATAGCCAATATAATTATTATATTAGTTTATGTAAATATATTGCATTTTTAATGTGTATCAAATTTATAAAACTTTAGTTAATAATAATCTTTTTAATAACAAAATATTAATATTTAGTAAAAACATATACTTTAATTTTCTATCAAATATAAAATCTTATTTTATAATGACATATAAAAGTTTCATTATAGTGATGTTTAGATTTTTAAATTACATAAATATATATTTTACTAACTTATTATTAATCATTTAATTTAATAATAGCAATGACAGATATTTAACTTTTTATAAATTTTGTTTTTGATATTCTATTCTTATATTTTGCTAAATTTTTATAAAATATGTGCAAATCTGTGATAAACTATAAATTATAAAAATTATAAATATATATTTTATATGAATTATATTCCAGTATATATACTGTATATATATTAAATATAATATTTGTATATTAAATATATTATAAATTTTGCAAAATTATTATAAAATATAACAAAATATACTATTAGTTTTTATAATATATTATAGTATAATGTCTAATGATAAAACAGAGTGGATTTTGTTTGAAATTCATTTATAATATTAAATTTATATATAAATCTATTACTTTAATGGAATATTTTAAGTTAAATTTAAAATATTAACCTTTGTATTCAATCAAGAATTTTGAAAAATAAAATACTATTCATATAAGTTTCAAACCATACAAAAACCCAAACACTATATTTAAGGTAAATATAAGTTTAATTAATTTCAAGCTTATAACATACTCATAGTAATAAATTTGATTATATTTAAAGTAGACACTCCACCCATTCATATATGATATCTATCATTATATTATCATTTCTGTAACACTTATTATTGAATTTATAGCTCATTAATAATCATTTGGTGACATTTCTAACGATAATATTATTAATATGATTTTTGAATTGTTTATCATTAATATATTTCATAACATTAATATTTAATAATAAGTAGTGTCATTTTTGAAACGGAAATTTGTTGACAAAAACTATAAAATTAATTAAACAATGTATCTTATTTGATATAAAATTTACTACTAGTTTACATATTTAATATAATAATCATTTACATATTTGCTACTATTGTAATATTTCTATTGTATTTTATATAAATTATGTTTTGCTTTTAATCAATTATAAAATAATGTTTACTCTAATGATTAGCTGATGTTATATTATTAGAATAATTAACATTACAATTATGTAACATTTCTAAATAAATAACCTATAATATACTCTAAAATTATTATCAACAAAAAAAACTATTTAATTAGTTGTGTAATATATTCATACTTAATTAATTTGATTATTTTAGTCAAATATTTTTAGGGCATAAAACTTTAAAATGTTAAATAAAATAATAAAAAAATTTTCTAAATATTTCGAATAAATTCAATGATATATTAAATGTACAACTATTTCAATGTATCTATATTTATGTCTTAATAAATGTCGATTTTATACACAATCCATATAAGTATTAATTCAATTCAATTGGGAAAAATTCAGTTCATAACAAATGTCATTCAAGATATATTACAGTAGAGTAGAGTACAGTATAGTATAGTACAGTACATACATGAATAAGTAGAGTACAGAAATACAGTTAAGCCGTAATACAAACTATCGTAAAAATATCAAATATACTCAATATAAATGTATAAATGTGTGGATTTTATATTTGTGTCTTAAGAAAATTTCAATTTATAATGTATTTTATATAAATAAAATGTTGCTTACTCGCTCAAAACTATATATTTACAAATTAAATAAAAAAACATTTTTTCAACTGACACATACATAACATTAAACATTTTATTAAAATTTCTATTTATAACACATTCAAGACATTTGAATTTTAAAAACAAAATCAATGAATAAAAAAATAAAAGTTAATAATATGTAGTAATAAGAGTTAGGATATATGATACAGTAGATACAACTATATTATATTAATAGTTTGTAAAAGATTAATACATTTAATCATTTTGTGTACATTATTATATAAATAAAAAATGCATTTTGAAAACATTAATAAATGAATTTACAGTAAGACAGAGATAAGCACTAAACCGTAAAAATAGGAGCAAATAATTGATATAATATTAACTATTCATACAAATGAGTTTTATTATACTGTATGCTAAATCATTATTAAGTTTAATGAGTTATTGAGAATTAATAATTAATAAATTATATAATTATCATATCATCAAATATCTCAAAGTTATATTAATTTTTTTAATAGCCCTATATTTATGTAAATGACATGTTGTTAGCCATTGATTACACAAAAAACAACAATAAAAGTCACAAATTAATATATATATAATTTATATGCAATATGTTATACAATATATAACATAAAAAGCAAAGTAAATATTTAACAAATGACAAGAATAGATAAAATTGAAGTATTTAGGGATAAATGATTGAAATATATATAAACTTACAATTTTATGGTTTAAATGTGTTAATTCTTGTTCAGTCACTCTTTTTGAATCCCTTTCCAATTCATATGGTTTAGGATCAGTTGATTTAGTTTTGAAGCCAAGAAACATAGGGGTGAATATATTAGACAGGAATTGACTAAAATTAAATGCCAGACAATTATTGTTAACAGTATTAGGCATTGAATAACTGTTAAGTGATTGCAATAATATTTTCTCAAAAATATATGAGCCTTAATGTTGACTCAAAATCTAGTAGTCTATCATTATTTGGTTGATTGGTTGTTATATATGATAAATAAATATAAGGTATGTCATTAAAAAAGACTGTTTGAATGATTAAAGTACATAGACTTGAACAGTGATGATCATAACAAATAAGCCGTGATTGCCTTCATAGGCTGACCAACATTATTAGTAGTGCCTTCCAATGTATTGCATATATCACATAACACACTATACTATCTTATATAGTGGTAACGCATGCCCACCATTGTGCCCAACATTACGGCAAAAAACAACTGTTCCCATAATCTTCTCTCTATTGATTCGTTCATCGACTTTAATGCTCTGCACTACTCTTTCATCCAAATGATTCCCTTTTCTTATATAATATATATTATAATAATAATAACTTATCACTTCTCATATAATCCTTAACATTATTCATTTTATAAATGAGAAACTCATTACTATTGAGATAAATGAGATGAAATTTATACTCAAATGTCACTATAATTTTATTCACGATATTATTATTTTTGAATTAGTTATTATATATAAGTTTTACAACTCATTAAACATTCAATTCTGTATAATTTCAACTCATTTTCTATAAATATTGTTTATATATTTAAAAAAAGATTTCTTACAGAATATTCTGCTGTTGTATTAAGTAGGTTATAAATACAGTACAATATATATACATACCGTATATACAGTATATATTATAAAGCATAGAATAAATTGTATCAATAATTTTTTTGCTTAACCAATAGAGAAATGCAAACAAAAAACTTGAAGAACATTAACAGTTGTAATGTTTATTAGCTTTTTTAATGTTTGTGTTAATGATTTTGATTTTTATATTTAGCCCTAAGATGTCACAAAAATATAGTATATTACTAAATACAGTCTATTATATTATAAATATAATATGCTTACACAAGTTGTTTGACAATTTCGCCCACAAAAAAAATATTTATTGTATTAGATTATCTCATTTAGCACTTAATAAACGCCATATTTTTATCACTCATTTCTTTGAATTAATATAAAATAATATTAGAAATTTTCATTTTAGAAATATTGAATTAATAAATTATCATATTATATTAAATAAAATATGATATAATGATTATGCCTGCATAAATCTAAATAATTAATTTTATTACTTTATAATATAAAAAATATAATTAGAAAATTTATGCTGAACTTTTAGTTAGTTATTTTATATAATAATTAACAAATAAACAATATTAATGTAGATATAGTTAATAATTTTTAATTAGTAATATTTAGTTACAGTTTGAAAATACATAGTATATACTTAAATAAACAAATCAATAATTTATTTGATTTGAAAAATAAACAAATGTATAATTTTTAATAAAAAACTTTAAAAACAATTATAATTATGAATTAATATTTAATTGCATTAATTCATTAATCAAATCTTGTTCTTTACTAATCTTTTCCATTTGATTCTTCTCTAATGTTTTTCCTGAATCTATCTGTTCCTTCAAATCTTTTATTTGTTGCAATTTTTTCTCCAAATTCTTTATTTTCTTTTCGTTTTCATTCAATGGTATAGCCTTTGACTGTGGTTTTTGTGAGTTATTATTATTATTATTATTTGACTGTTTTGTATCTTTTCTCAGATGAGGCGGAATATACTTCTTGGGTTCGACAGGTTTTGATACAGATTGTCCTTTCGGTATTACAATTTGTGGTTCACTAAATTGATTAGAGGGTTGCCATACAATATCATAAAGTTCAGTATTGGTATCAAAAATATTTTCATATTGTTTGACTCCATTATAAGTCCAAATCCGGAACCCATTTCCAACCCGAAGTCTAGGCGCTGTAGTTGCTGTTAAAATATGTTTGCCATCGGGTGACCAATCCATATGAGTAGTATCGGGTGCATTAAACTCGGAAATAAGTTGTTTTTGTTTGAAGTCCCAAACCTGAACACCACCCCTAAGATTGCCAAAACCTGCGAGTGATACCAAATTACCAAAACTATTGAAGCAAATAATGTTTCGACTTCCTTCTCCAAATTCAAACATTATTTCCGATTTATTGTTAAAAAGTGATGTTTTTGCCGGCATATAACCATAAATGACACAAAACATTGAACTATCGGGTGTCCAACAAGTATTATGAATGGGTCCGTCTTTATTAAGGCTTACTATAAATGTCTCGCCTTTTATGTTCAAATAGTGAAGAGTTTGTTGTCCGTAATAACTTTTGCCCGTTTGGTCGACTTCTGTTGAACACAACAATAGCAATGCGTTTCCTATTATATAAAAATTACATATCAATAAAAATTATCATATAATATAAATCAATTAAATAGTCAATTGTGTCCAACCCTTTTGGTTCCACTTGAAGTCCACATAATCTGCTTTATAGAAGCTTTTGTTAGCGATGGCCATACCCTCAAAACGCGGGTATTGATAAATGCGGACAAAACTTGGCTGACCCTTAGCTCCAACAGTATAACAGGCAATGTAATGACAACCCGTTTGACTGTCGGTCACCACTGAATAATTGGCCACTTTTTGTGAACACATCCGATGAACATATCGTTCAAACCTATTGTTTTCATAGATATTTAATTCCATATTCACGTGTCGGACACAAATCGATTCATCATTAGTCCAGTGCGGACACCATCGACTCGGCTTCTTCTGAGGTAAGGCTTAATATATATTGTAAAACATGTGATTTTAGTCATCAAAATATAGCAAAGAAATGATATTTGATTACCACTGCTGAGTGATTGAGTGGCGATATCATAAAGATGAAGATTATTGACATTGTTTTGATTGGATGGATGCCAAGTGGACAAAATGGTCCCTTTCGGTGATAACTTGACATAATTCATATTCTCATTCTTCTCGAAGATGGTCTGACAGTCGGGAAGTGTCACTACTTTGATACCACTATTATCAGCAAAAGCCAGATATTTGCCATCAATAGAGACATCAATACATCGGACATCATTTCGTTGACTCAAAGAGTTGATCTCTGAATAAGGTTTGTCTCCCTTTACTAAAGACAAACCCTTAGATCCTCTTAATATGACATTTGTTTCGGCCATTGATTTGTTTGTTAATTATAATTAAAATCAATTAAATGTTTAAATAAATAGTAAAACCAGTGATGAAAGCATTGATAAACTCAATCCAATTGAAGTCAATTACGTTCACAACTAATAAAACCCTTTAATGTTTAGATGTATTAAATGTCAATGTATTACACATTTTCATAATTGTTATTATATGACGTATTTTATGTTAAGAATCAAATAAAACAATTGAATATTTCCGGCATTTATTCAAAACAACATTTTTATTGTGTTTTGAATTGTAATTAAAGTGACAAACAATGGCATCAATTGATCCCATTGTCGACCATAGGATCACTCAAAGTGAAGACATAATCGATGAATGCAATCAATGCGTCGATTATATGTTGGATTTGGTCTCAATGTCACTCAGTTTTGAAAGCACTGATCCCAAGAGGTCAGACAATTTGATGGTCAATGAATCAGACGACCAATTCATGATTGAAGCCAAAGATTTAATGGATTATATGCTTGAATTGGTTTCATCTGCGGTATCGGCCAACACTGTCAACGGCCCTACTAATGGATCCATGGATGACGATAATGATATTGAGATAATAGAAGTGGACAAAGCAGATGAAGATAAAGATATTGAAGTAATTGATTTAACTGACAGTCAAACAGATGATAGTTGTGATCTTTGTTTGGTTTGCGGTCAGAACAAAGAGATCAAGTTTAAGATCAAAATGAACGATAAGATTCTTAGTTGTTGTTCAATGGATTGCGTGGAAACCGTTAAGACAACAGATAGTTGTTCCGTGTGTTCGGCTCTAATCACAGGTGGAGTACAAGGATTTCGGCCCAACTTTAAGGCCAATTCAACGCTTTGTAATGAAGAATGTCTTGTAAAGCATGACATCGATGCCCAACCAAATACTCATTGTTTTACATGTCGTAAGCCATTAGTTAAAGATAAAGTAATATATTATTGGCAAACAATGGAGTTTTGTTCGGCTGCTTGTGTTCAGACACGACAACTAGTGTTTGGCGCAAAATGTGCCAAATGTTCGACTTCTGTCAACAGGCAATCATTAGGCAAATATTCAGTTCGTTTCGGTGATGTTATCAAACAGTTCTGTGTCGGCACATGTCTTGAGGCATATAAAAAGTCATTAAAAGTGTGTGCTTTTTGTCAGAAAGATCTCAAGTTTTGTCAGACTATATGTATTGCAACGTTTGGTTTCGGAGAGAAAATGCGTATTCGAGAGTTTTGTGACCAGATTTGTAAAACCCAATACACATTAATGTTGAACTCGAGGAATGCCGCGCAAACACTCTGCTCTCAGTGCAGACGAGAGTCGGACACGAAAAATGTTACCGAATTTATGTATAAAAATAAAAAGTATACCTTATGTTCACCGATATGTGTGGCGGCATTCAAATATGACAACAAATTGAAGACTATATTTTGTGAGAACTGTCACAAATACGGCTGGACTAACACTTATAGCAAAACAACTGTACATATCCTTCACTTTACTGGTGCCACTCATGTGTTCTGTACCACAAAATGTATGTCAATGTATGTCTTAAAGAACCGTAAGATTGTTGCCTGTCTTTGCTGTAAAGTTAAGAAATATAACTTTGATTTAATTGAAAGATATGATTGGGATAGAAATGAATCCCGACTTTTCTGTTCATTGAATTGTTTGACACTCTTTGATATTGCCGAAGAAGAGACTGTCAAACTTGGACCCTATAATACCCAGAAGTTTGTATGCAATCAATGTAATAATTATCAGTGGCCACAGTTTTTCTTAAGAACAGATAATAATGTTAAACATTTCTGTTCATATCAATGTGTCTTTCAATATCAACGACAATCACTTCCAGATTCATTAATAGCTACAGATGTGAGAAATGGAAACACATTTGAAAATAACAATCCTTTAATGTCGGGTCAAAGCCGAATGTGGACGCCGTCCATATACGGCAATAAGAAACCGCAGTCATCACAAAATGTTACATTAAGTCAAATGCAACCAAATATATTGCAAAGAATAGGTCCTCAAAATGTGGTTTTTGCTAATATCAATACAACAAAGACATCAACTGAACCTGTGGTTAGCACAAGCATATCATCATCTGATTTAATAACAAGCAATACAACTACTGTAACAACAGAAGCAAATAGTGTTGCAAATGGTGTCAAAACAATTATAAAGGAAATTATCAAAGAGACTAAAGAAGTGATTGTCAAAGTTCCAGAAGCAAAGCTTGTAAGAAATAAATGCATTCAATTTCGACCACCGATGCAAACTAAAGCTACTTCTTGTCGACCATTTCAAGTGGACCAAGAAGTACAGACTGATCCCATACCTAAAGTTATTTGTCCACTTTTACTACCAGTGCCAATGTTTGTTCCCATACCAATTTCATATATGCAACCTCTGGCTTTTCCTATTCCTTTGCCGATTCCATTTTTCTTTAAACCGGATCCACCGCCTCCTCCCGTACCCGAACCCGCTTTAGAGGTTGAATCACAAAATGAAGATCAAACGCTCAACAAAGTCGACGATTTCTTTGATAATACTTTTGATAACACAGACTTAAATCAAACCGGTTCTAAAAGAAAGTCAAGAAACAATACCGAAGGAACAGCTTCTAAACGGGGAAGAAAATCTGAGGTAACGACAAGAGGTAAATCTAGAGGAAGAGGAAGGGGTCGTGGAGGATCAAGAGGACGAGGACGTGGCCGCGGTCGCAAAAAAGATGAATGGGAAACTGATTCTGAAGATGATATTGATGAAGAAGCCATTGAAGAGTCTGAAGTTGAAGATGAAAATGAATCATCAAATAGTAATAGTAATGCCTATCAGCCACAGGGTCTCGAATATCAACAAGAGTTTCAGCCAGACTTTGGTACATTAGATTTATCAGCAATTGTTGATTCAACCATTTTTGACAACAACACACCCAGAGGTCGTGGAAGAGGACGTGGCAGAGGAAGAGGAAGTGCACAAACATCAAGTGGACAAAGAGGTCGCAAGAAACAAGAAGAGGAAGATTTGGGTTCAGTTTTAGAAAGTCAATTGAGTACAAACACTTCAAATGCAGGAATAAATGCATTTAGAATATGGTTGAGACAATCACAACAATACTTTCAAACACAAAATGTTCTTCAATTACATCAAAATATATTGAGTGAAATATTTTGTAAATTTGTTGAAGAGATCTGTGAAGTTCACGGACAAGAATATTCTGCTGATTATATTTATTTGCTTTGTCTCGATCTTCAAAAATATTTGGCGGATAATAATCGTTTGGATAATATTTTTATGGATCCGGCGTACAAACAGTTCATACATGCTATACATACCAGACTTATTGGTTACAATCCACAGCTTACTTGTATTCAAGAAGAAAATCTTTGGGATTGCGGACAATTAGGCGCTCATTCGCCTACAGTATTGCTCAATACAGTCATGTATTTGTCGACCAAATACTTTCATATGACTGAACTCGACGAACACACGTCCTTCTCGTTTTCAAATCTAAGCAAACAGTGGGCCAATGATTCCTCACAATGTCTTATATACCAGTCCTCGAAACGTGGAAGAAGAAAAAGAACGTTAACCTTATATGAAAACGTTGAGAATCAGCTGAGATGTCCCGTTAAACTATTTGAGTTTTATCTATCAAAATGGTATTATTGATTGATATTAATTTGCTATTTTGTTAATAATATTTTTCTTTATTTTAGTCCAGAAAATGTCACTCAACGGCGAGATATGTTTTATTTATATCCAATTGAAGGTTGTGTTCCCGATAGTCATACCTGGTATTCATCGAATCCATTGACTAACGCATCGGTAACTAAAATGTTGCAAAGGATTCTATTTGTCAGAGAAATTGTTGCCATTTCTTCATCCAATTTATAAATTATGGTATTTTATTATCATTACTATTATCATTATTATTAATATTATTATAATTAAACTGGAATTTAATTTAATAAAACATTTACTACATTACCGTTAAATTGTGTTTTTTCTCTCTGATATGGAAATGTCTAAATCATGGGGAATAATGCGAGTTTTGTACCATATAAAAAATTTAGTTTTTTACTTTGTATAATTATTTACTTTTTAATTATTACCATAGGTGGTAAAAAATGCGAGTTTTTTACTGTATGAAAATGTTATTTTTCATTTTTTTTTTTGAATTCCATATGGGGAAAAACACGATTTTACTGTAAGTTAAATTATAAATATAAATGTTACTTATAATTAAACACCTTTTTATATGACATTTTTGTTATATCTAGGATTTAAAATATTAATTAACGAATTAAAATATTTTTATTTAACGAAAAATAAGCATTATTTAAATGACCAGTATTAATTTATATTTTTACTATTTTATTAAATTGTAAATTTTATATTCCAAAATCTGTTTAAAAATATACGGTAAATATTTTCAAAATATACCAATACTTTATATACCAATTACGATAACATATAGATAATCCATTAGATATAACCTAATATTAATAAAAATAAAATATTCAAAAGTATTTCAAAGTTTAATTGTTATTCAAACTTATAATTGTGAAAATATGTATTATAAAAAAATGCAAAAATATTTACCGTAAGCTTAAAATACAGTATAAGATAATTCCATATATTAAATAATTTTTATCATTTATGTAATAATAATCTAAATTAATTTTTTTAACAAATTCTGATTGTATAACTTATTTGATATTTTTGACAATTATTAGTATAAAATCGAAATTAATTGATTTAATGAAAACATTTGTTTAATTGCAATTTTTGAACCGACAATAAAAATATTATTGCAAAACATGCATTTTAAAGCATGTATTAAAATTTAAAGCATTAAAGCAAGCATTTACTGTATAGCATTTATTATATAATGCTAAAGACTATTACCATTACTTTATTATAATTGTAATGTTTTGATTTATAATCTAATGATATTGTTTTATTAATTGAGTACAACATCAGTCTTATGCAAAATATAATTGATATATTAATTTAATTGTTTGTTTTGAAACAATATTTTTACTGATGGTTCATAAAACTTCATTTGTTACGAAACATCTATCAATTATCGTAATATGAAATGTTTTGATTTAATTGTTTTTTTTTCATTAAGTTTGTTGACTATAATAAATAATTGATTTACCATTTGTTAAATCAATTAATTTTGATTTATAAAAATGAAATAATAATTACTAAAAAATGCTAATAAGTTTGTTTTATTTGCCAACACTTTTATAAAGATTCAATTATTTGATAAAATGTGAATTAATAGCAAACTGACTGATTGCATGTTATTATTTTGACCATGGTCAGTTTAGATACATATAATGACAAACCATAGGGGAAGTCAAACACAACCCTATAATTATTTCCTATTAAATAATAACTAATTATATCTTTGCTAAATTGTAACAATATTTTAAGTCAATATTAATTAAATGTTTTACAACTTTATTATTTTTTTTAATTATCCGACAATTTGTAATACAAATTATAATGAATATATAATAAATTTTAAATTAAAAAATAAATTGTTTTAATTTAATTAAAAGTATTTACCGGTATTTTTGTATTCAATTAGAGATCAAATGATTATGTAATCATTGTTTGCGTTATTTATTTGAAGCACACATTCATTAGGAGTTTATTAATAATATAAACACAAAAGTGATTGACTTTTCAAAACTAATGGACAACACGTGTGAAGACTTTCTGGCGTTTGAGGTTTGATTTAATTCATATGTGAGTCGAAGATCTCATTATAAATGAATGAATGGTATGTCTTGTGATAGGAGGCGCTAAAGAAAAGTCGCAAAATTGATGACAATATCATTCATTTGTTGAATACATCGATTCCTACCGACTCTTTCGCCGTCGGATCCACTAATGCAGGAAAACAGTGTCAAGAATTGTATCAACAGGTTTGACATCTTATTGTTTGCCACATTGTTATAACTATTGTCTTAAATTGGTTCATAGCTTCAGACATCATATTCACAACGAGAGAAATCAATTAAACACTGTATTAGTGTTGTCTCAGATCGGGTCAAATCTATTAAATCTCAACGACAACAAAATGAAGATGATATGGATGTCTTAAAGTCTTTACGTAAAGAACAGACTAAACTTAGACTTATGCAGAATGAGCTTAATGTAGAAGAAGTGGTTAGAGATAGGACTGTAAAGGTTTGAATTTATGTCACATCTTGTATATCACTATAACTGATCCATTATTATAATCCAAAGGTTTTTTACGATAGATGTCGATCTTTTTATAAGCCTAAAGACATGAAAATTTGACCACTATTTGCGACTATAAGAATCTTAAATTTTTATAACATATATTAGTAATAATTAAATTAGACTTAAGTTTTCAATTTGTAGTTTATTTGTAAAACTAATCATATTTTATAATTATTTTGTAACACAATTTAGAAATCATTTCAATATATTATTACTCATTAGAGTGACAATTGTTTTAACAATTGAATGGTTTGAGTAATAAATAGATTTTTGTTTTACTATAAAATTAATGTCAAATGAGTTGACAATAAAATCTAAGCAATAATTTGTAAACATTTTGTAAATATTTGTTATTTTTGTCTATAATTTTTGTGGAAGTCTTCATTGATTTTTTCAATAGATTCTCCTCTTTTGATGGCTCTCTTAGCCATAAATGAGGTGCCAATGAAGCCGACGATAGCCATTGCCATCATTAAGAGTGATCCGTGAACTCTAGCCTTATTGTGGACTTTCTTCATCATTGTTTCACTGATCAATCAATTGTTACAACATTTAGTCTAATATTTCTAACAAATGATAATTTAATTGTTGATATCATATGTCTCTCGAAGACATTATCCATAATTACTTACTTAACTGAAGGAGGAATGGCATCCTTTGACGGATACTTCTTATACCAGACTAACAATTGTCTGTCAATTAGATTAGGGATGTGTTCCTTGAAGTGAGTCATCTTGAGATGAGTCGATGTCTTCACCAATTGATCACTTGATTTACTTCTTGTGCCAAAACTGACGATAAACTCTAAATTGTTTTCAATTATTACGAAATGCACAACAAATGTGAGAGTCGTTCAGTAAAAATGTTACGAATTATTGTTTTCATAACATTTTACACATATTTTATATGTAAACAAATTTTAGGGAATATTTTTCAGTAATGATATATATGAATGACTAGAAATAAAATGATCAAAATGATCATGTTCATTTATTCATTTATTCATTTATTATATAAATAATAGTTAATAATAGTTAATAATAGTTAATAATAGTTAATAATAGTTAATAATAGTTAATAAACTGTATTTAAATGTTACTTAATGTTAACTCTATTGCGACTAACAGTGACTATAATAGTCATCAATTTATTATTGATTTTATACACCGTTTATGTCTTTTATTACAAATTCTCTGCAAATTTTCCGACAATTGCTGAGAGTGTCCAACAAAATGTACAAAATATTGATATAATTGATATTAAAAACAATAATGTCTTGAATACATCACATTTGATGACTATTGAGATTTGGTCGAAGGCCGCGATTGGTCTTTATTTATGGCAACACATACTTCGTGGCCAAATCGAGACCCGAACTGAAAACAATGCATATATATCGGGTTCAGTCAAAGTTAATGAATTTAAATTTAAGTTCAGAAGTGGTCCGCTGTTGATAACAGAATCATTGCAACACTTATCCGCACAGAATCTGATTCTTGTACTCAATGGCAGAGACAAAGATAAGATTAGATTTGCTACCGAATGGATTGAAGGCGTGAAGATAGTTAAGGACAAGATTGCTAACATAGGAATTGTTATGTTAGGCGATGAAGACTGTCATAACAATTGGATCAAACCATACATTGAATCCAACGGAGGATTTATTAAATTCTTATTCGTTGTCTACGACTGGAAAGCCATAGATAATCACGATATATATCAATGGCCATTAGGTTTGGCCACTTATCGCAATTTTCCTAATCCGGATTTCAACAAAATTAATTTTCAGGCGAGTCGTCCGTATGTTTGTAATTTTGTGGCCACTATTTATCCCGATTCTTCACGACAAGAGTTAATAAATATATTAAATAATAAATATCGAGATATTTGTATAATAAAAGTAAGATATGAATGGCAACCAAAAGAGACAACTGATTCACTTAATTATTATGTGGAAGCACTCCGTCTGAGTGACCTAACATTGAGTCCGATCGGTCGGAATCACGAATGCTATCGAATATTCGAAGCCTTGTCTTTCGGATCGGTTCCTGTCGTTGAAGAGAATATGAATCACACAAAGAAAACAAGTTGTGATAAAAATGAAGCCTATCGTCTTCTTAAAGAAGCCAATGCGCCATTGATTTATGTGTCCAATTGGACACAAGATTTACCAAATATATTATCAAACGAATTAAATTTAAGTCTTGAATACAAAATACAAAGACGTTTATATATTATTAAATGGTATTCAAAGTTTAAAACATTAATTAAATCTCAATTTCTAAAAGTAATAAATGAGAAATTTGTTTAAATGGTATTTAAAATGAAATCTTTATACAAAAATAACAAAATAATTTTATAATTTGCACTCAACTACTACTCGATCCATGAGCTGAACGAGAAGTACAATGGGATTCAAATTTATCCTCCAATACGGAGAGTCTTTGCTCGATAACCAAAACACTATCTGTAAGTGATTTCAGTTGATTTATAAAGGTTTTGGTTAAAGACTCGGTATTATCTGAATGCAAATGATCTCCACTATTATCGATGATATCTTTATTAGCGATGCTATCGATATGTCTTTGTCCACGATTTGAATTTTTATAAATATCTTCAGAATTAGATCGACGAAGAGCTGACTTGAGTGGCATTTTGTTGCCATTTGTTACCGGTGTTTGATTTCTACTCGACTTTGGTGTCGATAAAGGAGTTGATTGGTATTGATGTCTATTTGAATGACTTTTGGGAACAACTAATGGTTCGTTAATGTGTTCCTCAATATGTGAATAATCATCGGTTCTGTCTTTATCGCCACCGATTAGATTACTTTTCCAAATCATTATTTGTTTATCATTACCAGCGGTAGCAAAATAATTACCATCTCTTGTAAAGGCACAGCAATTCACAGCACCGTTGTGTGCCTTTAATGTGAATAGACCTCTGCCTTCAAGTAAATCAAATATTTTTGAAGTTTCATCAGAAGAAGCGCTAATCAGATAATTGCCAGAAGAATGAAAGTCAGTTGCATTGACAGCACCGGTATGTGCGGCGTAATACTGAATCATCTTTTCCTTTCTTAAGTCCCAAATACGAATCGATGTGTCGGCACTTGAAGACGATATAATATGTTCGCAATTTGGATGCCATTCAAGTGATATAAAATGAGTTGATTTACGTCTTGATGTCAATTGAATGACAGCTTCTTTAGTTCTCACGTCCCAAATACTGATGAGTCCGTCGTCACCACACGAGCCGATCAAATGAGGATTAAGACGTGAATATCGTGAATGTCTGACCCAATTGGTGTGTACTCCAGATAGCGATGCAATGAACTTATTTGTGGCATTTGGTGACCATATCTTAACTGTTTTGTCATCACTTGCTGTACAGAATTGTGTGTAATCAGCGTTAGTATCGACACTACGAATAGGCGATGAATGGCATCGATAGACCACCGATTCGTTCTCAGGATATCTGCCGTTAATTTTATTCATTCGCCATAAACGGACGCAACAGTCCTTTGAAGACGAAAGCAAATAATCATTTGCAAAGGCGACAGACATTACAGAGTTTGTGTGACCGACCAATCGGTAACAAATCGACTGCTTTTCGTCCACTGACCACAACATCACCGTATTATCATCTGATCCCGAAACCAATTGTTTGCCATCACTCGAGAAACTAATCCAATTAATTGCCTGTCGGTGTCCTTTGAGTGTCACCTCAACACTCGGATCCAAGAGATCGTTGTACGAGAAATCAGACATTTCGTGACCAATATTGGGATCAACTAATCACTCATCGATTCAAACATACATTGAATTGAAGCGCTCAAAACAATCTATTTTATAGAGCAATGCTTTCACACTCTTTCATACAATTTGTCTTATTTTTACACTAAATTGTTGTCAATATTATTGTATCACTTAATTAACACATTGTTTTCATTACACTGACATTTGGATCAATTGAAGACATTTGTGGATAACTGACTATCACTACAAATATCAATGACTTTTAGTGTCGGGTAATGAACGGTATTGTCAAAGTCAACACTCTATACACATATAGTTATTACATGAGTACTGTTTGAATGCATAGATGTCTCCATTGATATGATTCTAATGTATTAATAGAGTACTGTATTAGTGTTGTATTAATTGAGTAGTATATTAGTGTTGTATTAATACATTTAGATTATTATTATTATTATAAGTGAATTGTTGTAATCAATGACAATAAGAATGTGTTAACTATAGCGTTGAGTCATACATGAGATACAGTGTTTGTGATGTGAGTGAGGACTGCATTGACTGTACAGTACTGTAGACTCACTACTCTATTGATTCAATGCTATCCAATGTATGACTGTATTGAATACTATTGACTATAACTCTACTGTAAAGTTGATTAACATTAATGGTATTGAAATGATTGATACAATCAATGATTGATTGATTGCTTTCTCTATAATTGCAGTGATTATTGACTCCGAGTTATAGTTCATTGATTGTCGACTAACTGTCACTACATTTGATTGCATAGACATTGCTATGAGTGTTGTCTTTGATTATTATAAGTGATAAACAAGTGGTCCATTGATCGGACCAATTGGATGGACACATAAACAAACAAACATTTTGACAACAAATGTCTTCAACACATGTCATGACAGTTAAAGATGTCATTTGAGTGCAAATAACTACAAATAGTTTGCATTAATCAGTGGTTTATTAATAACTATAATAAAAGCAATAATTAATAGATTTGTTGTCAATAATTAGCGACAAAATCTATAGGAATTCCTGTCGACGATAACTACCAGTGCTTAACGTCATTGAAATAATTGATATCATTTACAGAACATCCATATAATAAACTAATTAGTCATTTAATAGACTTATATTGAAGATGTCTTTTTCCAATCAGTCGAGTTTTAAGCCATCGAAGATGAAAACAAAACGCTTTCGTCCCAAACACCAAAAGGCAAAACTATTTCGGGCGTCGGAACCGTTGTTATCGGTGTTCATGTGGGGCGTCAACCATACGATCCACGAGTTAACACATGTGAACGTACCGGTCGTTTTAATGCCCGATGACTTTAAAGCGCACACCAAAGTTAAAGTGGACAACCATTTGTTTAATAAGGAGAATATGGCCTCACATTTTAAAGTCAAAGAGTATTGTCCACTAGTCTTTCAGAACCTGAGAGAGCGCTTCCAAATTGATGACACCGATTATGTCAACTCACTGACCAAATACCAACCCTTTGCACATAACGGTGGCGGCAAATCTGGCGCCAAGTTTTACGAATCATACGATCATCTCTTTATTCTGAAGACACTGACCAGCGATGAGGTGGAGTCAATGCACCACTTGTTAAAAGAATATCACCCTTATATTGTCGAAAGACACGGCAAGACATTACTTCCTCAATACTGTGGAATGTATCGGTTGACAGTTGAAGGCACCGAAACATATATTGTTGTTATGAGAAATATTTGCTCTTCTGGTCTAACAGTTCACCGTAAATATGATCTCAAAGGTTCAACCGTTGATCGCGAGGCCTCAGAGAAGGAACGAGGAAAAGGTAATCCCATTTTCAAAGATAATGATTTCATGCGCGATGGCGTCCGTATATTTATGAGTGAAGAACGCAAACGCAAGTTCTTGGATATGCTCGACGCGGACACAGCCTTCTTATGCCACAAAAATATTATGGATTATTCACTTTGTGTTGCCATTCATGATATGGATAAGGCTGAACAAGAACTTATGGAATGTGCACCCAATGAAAAACATCAACAGTCAGCTGAAGAGGATGAAGGCGAGTCCAGTGGTGGCGATCAAGTGGCTGAACCACATGCCGCTGTGCCAACGCCTCCTGATTCTCCCGAAACTCACCACAAAGCATCAGATGCCAGTGAGAACGACCTGCCCCTCAGTGCCACTATCGACCCCTCCCGAGATATTTATGCTATTCAGTCAAATGCTGGTAATTAAATTGAACCAATCATTTAAAAAAAAAATTCTCTTAAAAAATTTTATTATATGTATTGTCTTTCAGAGAGTACTAAACGTGAAATATATTTCATTGGTTTGGTGGATGTGTTAACTCAGTTTGGTTTACGTAAACGTACGGCACAAGCGGCCAAAACGGTAAAACACGGACCAACTGCTGAGATCTCAACCGTACATCCGGAACAATACGCCAAACGGTTCAATGAATTCATTGCAAAAGCAATTGAATAGATTTTTAATCAAATGATGTCTTTTGATAATCGATTTAATTGTTGTATTTAGTTATATAATACGGTTGCAGACATTTCGACATTTGGCAAAAATCATATAATTCAATACAAAACCTCAATTTAGTCATCAAATTCACTGTAAAATAGTGTTTGTAATTTTGTCACACAAACACAATCATAACATTTCATTGCCTCAGTATTAGAGCAACAAATTTTAGTCAATTGGTTAAAATCAATGTTTTTATTTAATTTATAGTGTTTATATATATATATATATATATATATATATATATATATACTGTATATTTATATATGGGTATACACTGGATATAATTTATTATTTAAAATTTTGCCGGTATATACAAAGTATCAATTAATGATAAATAATCTATAGCTGTATCGTATGTAATATCCTATGCATATACCGTATATATAATTTATAAAATATCACACAATCCTAATGTTTATTAATTAACTTTTTGTATTAATTGTTGTATTGACAAAAGGGGGTGAATTTGCGTCCCTTACTGTAGACTGTGCCGACTGGACTGTCTCATTGTTATGAGTTCCGTCACAAAAGGGTCGGTGTGTGGTTTGCTTACAATTACAAAACCAGTATTCCTTAGTCTCAGTACACTCCCATCGAACGGGTCTTAAAGGGATCTTTAAGTGAAGGTTTTTATGAGTTCCGTCACAGAAGGGCTGACCAATAAAATGACAAATTATTTATTTATTAATTAATATTACATTTGATTGTTCAGACCATTCAACAAAATATCAATTTTTACTATCAAAATGCTAAATATGTAGTCATTTATATTTGTCTCAATTTTTATCTATTTATTTATATAATGACTGATTATAATGGAGTGAATAAAAAACAGTAAATCTATTGTAAAATAACTTAAATACAACTCTTTAGTGATTTATGTGAAAAATGTGTTTTCAATTACTTTGTATACTATAATAAAATCTTTTGAATGTAAATATAATTATTATAAAACAAATCAATTAAATGACTTACTTGTCGATGACTTCGACCACAACTACACCATAAGTAAGCCTTTCCTTCTTTGCAAAGATATTTGTGAGGCTTTTTGGCGTAAATACAACCCATTTCTTGCTGTGAGTACTCATTGTAACGCTGTTTGTCCTTCAAGTCTGTCAACTCTTTCTTGATTTCCACAGTTTTAGGGTCCGAGTCGTCGAAGACCTTCTTCGATAGCCATCGTTTGGTTGACAAACAGTACATCCATTTGCTCACACATCTCGATGATGACAATTGTCGCACCAGTTGTGACATTATATTTGTTTTGTGTGAAGATATCCGACAAATAATAGATTGAATTCAAGTATTAATATATAATATTAACGTTAAGTTTATTTTGAAAATGTATTTAATTTTGATTAAATAAATTCAAAACAATGTTTATATCGTATTAAACAATTGAAACATAGATTTCGCCACTCATTCAATGATTACACCAATAATAATAACACGTGTTTGAAGTCAATAGCGATAATAGTATTAAATTTATATTTCATATGATATTAAATGTAATAAATTGACTAAATTTAGTACCAATTGATGACAATTTGAAAGCAACTAAAAGATCGTTAATAACACTATTGTTTGCATTCATTGCATTTGTTATGAAAATAATATTACATTTATTGTAATACAAACTATTGTCTTATTAATAGTAATATTAATTAATTGATTTGTAATAATAATAATAAAACATTTGGACATAAGTTAAGACCAAAAAATGAAAAGCAGAAGAATTGACAGAAAAAATGCCAGAAAAGAGAAGAAACAGAAAAGACATTCTCATTATTTAAAGAAGAAATACGATATAAATATTAATATTAGTGACAATTGTGAACAATTAAGTGATGTCAAGACATTGACAAAGAATAGACAAAATAATGATAAGAAAGAGAAAGAAGTGAAAGAAATGAAGACAAATTTGAAAGTGAAGAACAAAGAGACAAATATACCAAAAATGACTTTTATTCAGAAGAAAGAGATTGAAAAAGAAGAGCGAGAAATAAAAAGATTAGAAAAGAAATTGAAATTAAATAGAAGAAGAAAGAAGAAGAATACCAATGAAAAGACAGTGACATCACTGCCAAAGTCGTTCAAAACTGAAGGTTTGGATTATATTCTTGAAGTAATTGATTCATATAAACAACAAGAGAGTAATGATGAGTTGGACTTAAACGACAAGAAAAGCCATAAAATAAGTAATGATAATATCTTAAGCGATGAATCAGACATTAGTGAGGAAAGTGATGACGAAGACAATGAAGATGAATATAGTGATAATGAAGAAGAAGAAGAAGACACAGACAATGACTTAGTGTCAAATGTCAGCGACGATTTGATAAGTGAGATAAATAGTGATAATGAATTGCAATCAGAAGAGATTCAAGTGATGACAAAATTAAAAAAGAAAACTAAGAAGAAAAATGATAATGAATTGAAAGAAGATATCTATGGGTTTCTTAGAGATAGCAAAGGAAATATTATAAAACCAGAAAAAAGTGTCAAAAAAACTATTGAAAATTCTTGCGTATCAATTGATAATCAATTAATGAGACAAATGAGAGGTGCACTCAACAGATTGACTGTTAATAATGTGCTAACAATTAGTTCACAAATTAAAGATTTTTATCAACAATTTAGTCGTCACGATGTCAATGAAGCACTTGTATTGTGTATCAAGAGTTCAATCATTGATTTGGAGTACAATTCATCACAAAAACTGACGACTGAAATATCAATATTAGTATCGATTTTGTATTTTCTTAGTGGCGATGAAGTCGGTGGACATGTTATCCATAGTTTAATAGTTAAATTCGATGAATTGTTTCACCAAATCAATACCAATGACACGAAAATAATGGATAATTTACTTTTACTTATATCTAATCTATATCTTTGTGGTTTAATTGACTCATTACTTATATATGAAATAATGATGAAATTATGTGACAATTTTAATGAGAAATGCATTGAATTAATTAATCAGATCTTAAAAGCCATCGGATTTACTCTTCGTAAAGATAATGCCATTAAAATGAAAGAATTGATTCTTCAAATACAGAATTTAGCTAAAAATGTTGATAAAAGTAGTTTAAGTGGACATCGGATTGAATTTCTATTGGAATCTTTGATTGCCATTAAAAACAATAATATGACAAAATTCAGAGGATATGGAACTGTAGTTGATTTACAACTCATAGAAAATACATTGAAGAGTACCATCAAAAAGATAAGAGTCAACAACATTATTGGTACATATGATGCCATTCTTCAAAGTTCTCACTGGTATTCATATACTATTAATTTTGAATCGACTAATTCATTGAACAATAATAAGAAACAAACAAATTTCTTAGACAACAATAAAAGCGTTTCAAATGAATTAAATGATAGACTTGTGAGAGCTTTGCGATTGAATACTCCTTTGAGAAAAACAATAGTAATGTGTTTGACTTCTGCTAATGACTTCATTGATGCCACTCATCGATTGATATCAACGACCAAAAAGCAGTTTTCAGAAGTGACTAATGTATTGATTCACATATCCATTCATGAGAAGCATTTTAATCCATTTTACTCCCATTTATTACAACACTTAGGCAAATGTGACCGAAAATATAAAGTGAGTCCAATATCTCAAAACAGACAATATTTATAAATTGATTTTCATTTATTTTATTTATAGTTAGCCCTAGACTTTGCCATTCGCGACAAGATTTCTGAATTACAATCTTTACAAACGAACCAACAGTTTGTTTTGTCACAACTAGTCTTAGATTTACTGAAGTTGAACGCACTATCCATTACTTGCTTAAAGGTAAACATTAATTGAATCATTTTTCTGACAAAATTACTGATCCCTTACAAAACAATGACAATAACTTTTGTTTGTATTGTTTAATTGGTTGGTAAACAGGTGGTCCACTTCACTGATATGAATGAAACGTTAGTCCTATTTATGAAAAACATTTTATTGCCGATTCTTGAAAGCGAAGAACTTATACAACAAATTCTTTCAAAAATTGCAAACAAAGATTCGTTTGCGACGGCTATTCGTCTTTTTATTGATTGCTTTATTGATCAAAAATATCGCACAAAATTGGATTTAAAGCGTTTTCAAATCAAATTATCATAAATTTGTAACTAAATTATTCTTTATTAATAAAACTAATTTTTATAATTAAAGTTAAGTTTAAAAAAATAAAAACAACAATTAATTTTTAAAGAAGTAGTTTTGCTACGTTTTGACGGCATTGACCTCCAGTTTCCAAGAAGTGTTTTTTGATACCTTTATATAATAATAATAACAATCATTGAGTTTATAGTTGGTATCAAAATAAATCAAATGACAAACCTTTTTAAGTGTATTTCTTCCCCCAAAGCTTTTGATTTCATTGAGCAGCTGATCCCTGACATTCATATTATTGGGTGGTTCGACATGTTTTACTTTTGGCACTTCTCCACCATTTCGGACTACTTTATCACTGTTCCATCCTTTCGTTTGATACGCTTTTGTATTGGTTTTCGGAAGTGTATTCGCTCCAAATGTTTTAATTGTTTGTGGAACTGGTGGTGGTATTGGTGGTGGTATTGGAGGCATCGATGCTATTACTGGTGATGGTATTGGAGGTGGTATTGGAGGTGGTATTGGCGCCACCGATGCCATTGCTGGTGATTGTATAGGTGGTGGTATTGGTGGCGGTACTATCACTGCTTGTGAAGGCTCTTCTTTATCATTAATTTTAGGCTTAGTTTCATTTATAGCAAACTTTACTTCTTTTAAACCACTTTTACTATCATTTATCTCATAATTTAATTTCTTTTTCAAATCATTGTTTTCTTTAATTTGTATTGAATTTTGTTTATTATCAGTCAAATTATTGTTAAATTTTTTTTGTGAAGTAAATTGTTTTGTTATAACATTATTATTATTATTAGTAGTAGTAGTAGTAGTAGTAGTAGTAGTACTCGTAGTAGTATTAGTACTATTATTGTTATAAATATCAGTAAAATTCTTGGAATTAAACCGAATGACAGACTCAGAACCGGGTTTAATAGTAATAGTTGTTCGCTCTTTGATTGATTCAGCTCTTTGTGGTGGCAATTGAGGAGAAGGAGATCTACTTTTCAATCGTTCCTCATTTTGTGCAATTAATGATTGAACTTTAAATTTAGGTGATTGTAAACCATTTTCAGATGATTTAATTGTAGTCGCATTCATATTAATTTCATCAGATTTTATAGATATCTGTGAGACATAGCGTTCCTGACTTTTAACGGGTTGTTTGACATCATTGTCTTCCAACACAGTATTCTTGTTTCCGCTCCACGAATGGATGCGATTAATCTTAGGAGCACTTGTTATCAGTGTCTGTATTTGAGGGGAACGGATAGGCTTTGTAGTGGTTGACGATGTAATTGTTGTCGAAGTCGATGTAATATTTACTTTTGACTTGTTTTGGGTGATCGAAGGTCTGATTTTTTCTTCCTTTTTTAAAGAAGGAAAAGTAGCAAATGATTCGGCCTTTGGATTAGCAACAGATGATGACATTGACTGTTCTGTTCGCTTAGTATTTAGTTTGTCTTCATAAATGTCAACTTCTCTCTTATAGGAACCAATCGAGAAGTTCGCCAAACGAACTCGTGGTTTACATAATTGTTTGACTTCATCAGTGATTGACATTTTTTCTTCAGATGTTGGACTTGGGGACGTTGAATACGAAGAAGACAACGAAGAAGACAATGGTGATAGCGGTGGCGTTGGTATTTGACTTTTAATGACTTCAACACTTGTTTTGCTATCGCTTTCTGAAATCTTTTTAAAATTATCACTTTTAATGTCTTTTTCGGTTTTATTTTTATAGTTATGTGCTGTAATTGAAAGTCTTGGTGTGGGTGATGGCGTTGGCGATGGTCTCTCACTTCTTATTGATTTTATATTTGAAATTTCATCGTCTGTTTTCGTGACAGAAATTGTAATATTTTTTTCATTTTTTGTATCAATAGTTAATTGTCTTTTATTATCACTAATATTATTATGGTTTTCAGATCTCTTACTATTATCGACTTCTTGTGTAATATTCAACTGAATAGACTGTTGACTTTCGATGTTATCACTTGACTCTAATCGATCCAATTCTTCATTAAGTGATTGTAAAGTCACTTCAATTTCTTTGTTGATTAGTTCTTCGTCACTAATATTTGACTCATTGTTTGTCGTTTGATTGTATTTTATAAGTTCTTCAAAATCTTGCGATTTTTTCTTTTCTATAGTTTCAAGTGATTCTTCATTTGTCTGTAAATAATCTGATTTGCAATCAATCAATGGTTGACTCAATATAGACTTTTCGTTAGCACTTTCATCAATAGATTCACTTAAAGAGCTGTTCTCATCATATATGCTGTTCTGAAACGGTGACGGCGGTGGCAATGGTATCGACAGCTCTGCTAAATCTATTTCGCGATTTCCTGTAAATACAGTTTATATAAATATATAATATTTAAAGATAATAAATACCACAACTATTGCTAAGTTACTAAAATTAAGTAAATATTTAAAAATGTTAACTGTTTTAATGCAATACAATGTCAAAGCTATATAATAATTGCATTCAATACTGTATCCTATATTAGATATACAGTAATATAATTTAAACACATTATAGCTATAATTTTAGAATTTGTATCAATACAGATGTAGTTTAATATAATATTTAAGCTTTTATTTAATTGTATATTATTAATATATTTTCATTAACAAAATTTCTTAATAATTTAAATTATGAAACTTATGTTAAATTAAATGTCATTTTAATATTTGTCTAAAACTATCAAATACTGTACAATAGTCTTAAACACATCTACAAAGCATTTGTATAAAAATGAGTCATAAATTGTATTCAAATTTAACATACAATACAATATTTAACTTGATTTTTATTAATAAGATTTATCTATAATACAGTATTATATAATAAACAATATTTTTATACAAATGCTCTGTATATGTGTTTAAGACTATTGTACAGTATTTGATAGTTTTAGCCAAATATTATAATGACATTTAATTTAACATACGGTAAGTTTCATAATTTATAGGTGGGTATGTGTGGTCTTAAATCTATGAATAAAATAATTAAAATAAACCAATTTTCTATTTATCGTAAAATATATTTAATATTACTAACTTTTACAAAACTAAATAACTAATAAATCATATATTTATCTTAGAGTAGATAAAAATATATGTAATAATTTATAAATATAATATAAATGAGTAAATGTACAAAAATTATTTTACAAACGTTGTATTACTAAATAAAAATTAGTATATAATTAAAAAATATTGTTATAAAGTTAATATTCATTTAATAGTTTACATGAAAAGTCAGTTATTAAGAAAATAAACTAAATATTTAGCAAACCTTCTCTGTCTTCATGCTCTTCCACCACCTGTGAAGTGCATTCATTATCATCTAAATCAAGTGCAGGTGATATATAATTGATTTCAGCTACTGATTGCTTATCCAATGATTTAAAAGATGTTTCATTGATTAATAGCTGACTATTGTCTGCTACCATCTTATTGATGGTTTCATTAATCTTTAAATTATTGTTAATATGTCCCACATTCTCATCAATGTCTTTACTATCGATAGTTCTATCAATTGAAGACAATTTAAGACTTACTTTTTCGACATCTCTCACATAGGTTTGTGTTAAATTTGACAATTGTTGTGAACTATCTTTAAGTTTACTCACATTTCTATCTTCTTTGTCATCATTTTTAATATCATTATTATTGCACTGATTTTTGTCAACTATTGACTCAATTGTGTTAATTTCTTTGTCTTGTGGTATACATTCATCAGAGTTAAAGCTAACTGTATTGTCTGAAATTGATTGTATGCTCTTATCTTCATTTGACTGATCGTAAGAGCAATTTTTAAAGTCTTGCAGAGGTGTTGATGAGCCGTTAGTTTGTGTGATAACAATAGGGGACAGACTTCTGTTATTAATTGAAGACGCGTTACCACTACTGGATGAGGAAGAAGTTGAAAGTGGAAGACTCACTTCACTCATACATTCGAGAACTGATTTACTTTCGTCTGAATTGAAATCATTATTTTTACCATTAATATCAGCTAATTGTTGAACTGATTGTTCACTTGTAATGCTTGGCGGCGGTGGAGCGCGACGTTTCTTCGCTGTTATCTTACAGTTGGTACTCGACGTTGACTTCTGTGTGACAGCACTTGCCTTTAAGCTATCTTTTGGCAGATTTGTTGATTGTTCGGGAGAGTCACTACTACTGAGAACAGATTCGTGATAACCACTTGAATCTGAACCTGAATTTTGTCTGACGTGTGAAACACCATTTGAGAGAACCTTAAGAACGGGTTTGCTTTCAATAATAGTTTGTGACAAATGATCGTCTTTTTGTTCATTTAAGTCAGTTTTCTGAATGTTTGTCTCATTTTTGTCTTTAAATGAATTCATTGCTGATGGCGACAACCTATTTGGAAGTGTAGCCGATGAAGACATAGGCGGAAGTGGTGCCTGTCTTTTCTTTTGTGGCTTAGAACCAGTTGGCGTGTGATTTACTATTGATTTTTCATCCATTGTTGTAAAGTCTGGATTTGATTGACTTATAATCAATGAATTGATAGGCTTTTTAAGTGAAGCAACGGAAGAATTATTAGACAGATCGATCTGAGAAGTGCTGTGAGCGACAAATTGCACCTCAATTTGAGATAATGCCTTATTTGAGATGAGAGTCACTTCATTGAGTGTATAATAAGCTAAAGTTTTATTGGCGTCCAAGACTTGAGGTGTTTGATTGTTGGTCACAATACGAACCAATTGATATTTATTGGCGTCCAATGATTTTTCACTACAAATTATTTGTTTTATCGCAGCAATGGTAGCATTGGGTGTAACTCTTAATACCATTAATTGATTTCGTGGCAAATTTACCTGAAGTCTAAATGTAGTTTGAAATGGTATACCAGTTGAAGGAGAGTTACTTTTTAATGAATTATTTTTAATAGGTTTAGGAGTTATTGCAATTTGGTTGACATCGAGGGAACCGATGGGTGTACTCGCTTTAAACTCACGATCACCGACACAAATGGTATAATTAGCGGCATTGAAGCGATATTGTGTCGATATGTTGACCAATAAGTCAAGCATTGGTGTCCGTCTCTCAACATTAATCACAACATTATTAGCTTTGTTTGGGAGCTTAACATTGAGGTCCATCCGACCCTCAAGAAGTTCATTGATAGCACAACTGTCATCACTAGTACAGCTCATTCTGCCATTAGATTTAGTTTGACTTTTATTACTTTCTAATTCAAAGTCAATACTTGTTATCACTCCTCCACTACCACTGTTTCGCTCACTTCCCACTGATGAGGAAGACATTGCACTTTTCATATTGGATGTGCTGTTCAAATAAAATAGATAAACAATAATAAGTCAACAGTTTTTATTTATATATAAATTTTTAAATTAATGTTTCAAATATTTATATTTAATTAATAGACTTAACATTTGAAAAACATGATCTGTCAATAAAACTATTATAAGAATGTTAATTGTTTATCATTAATATTAACAATTTAATAGTCTTATAATTTTTATTAAACATTTTATTAACATTTTATTGCAGACCAAAACCAAGATTATTATTTTATTTCATAGTAATTAAGTTATTTTTATTATATAATTTAATTTATATATACTACAGGTATAAACACTGTAAACAATCATTAACAACATTGAAGTTCATATCCTTATAATAGTGACAACCTGTGGATACACCTATTTTTTGTTAGTTTAGTATAAATTATATTTATGAAAGTTTACAACACATTTAAGTGGACCTTAATCTTTGATAATAAGATCAAAACTATTATCATATTATTTTATGACATTCTTTATGCGCTTAAAAAAAAGTAACAGTAATTTTATGATTATTTCTACTATATATTAATATATTTAATAAATATTAGTTATGATAACTCATTTTTTACTAACTATATAACGAAATAAATGTCTACATAAATATTTTTTACAGATAATTAAAACATAAAACAATTTCTATAAAGAATTTTAATAAGTATATCTAAAATTCGTTATTTTATTAATATTATTATTATTAACAAAATATTATGAAAGTTTACTATAAATACTTTAGTTTCAAATTTTTAATACAATATAATAATACAGTAATATTTGCATAACAATAATCACATCGATCTCGTTTGATATACACTATTATAAAAGGAGTGCCGCTTTTCTCAAACTTATTATTTACTATTATATTATTATTTTTAAATCATTAAAATAAGTATTCAATCACATGAAAGCATTCAAATTTTATTTATAGCATTAAATTGTTGAATATATTTATTATCTTTTAAAATAAACTCTTTTTGAGTAATTGTAGTGCGATTATCGTATATATTTACCAAAATAATAATTTAGATAAAAACAATAATTTTTATATAATAATGTATTTATAAACTATAATATTACAGATTACATAAAATTTATAAACACACAAAACTCATTTGATTTTATGATTATTATTGATTACTAGTATATCATATATTAATCTAGTTTTGATAATGAAGAAATATTTTTCACAATAATTTATAAATTATTATTACATAACATATAATAAATATAAACTTTACTATTTATGGTAGCTATAAGTAATAAATAATTATATATTGTCTAAAAAACTAAGTTTGGTTTTAGAGATATATTAAGTAAATAGAAGTTGTAATCCATAAAAGTAAATCTCATTACAAAAAAAAACATCCAAAAACAAAATATTAATTTCAATCTAATTAACATTTAGTGTTATATTATATGTGCAAAAGCTATAAATATTAATACAAGTATTTTATATTTGTTATTTACTTTTTTAATATTATATCTTAAATATTTATATTAATTTGTGTTTTACTTTTAAATTGTTATATATATATATATATATATATATAGTAACTAGACTGGGAATAATTTTTAATAAATAACTATAAATAAAAAATATTTTAACTAATAATAATAATTTTATATTAAATTAACTAACATTTATAAAATTAATGTTTATTAATGTATAAAAAGTTAAAGTTTTATATTTGAATCAATAAATTTTACATAAAACTTATCAAAATAAAAGTTATTAAATTGTATGGAAAAAATTATAATTTCAACAGACGTTTAAAAATAATAAAATGAAAATATAATATCAATATATCTATTTATGAATTGCTTGGTTACTAAAATTTTTGTAAAAATATTGAGAATAATAATACTACCGGTAATTACATTAAAATCATGATTAGACATATTTATTTACTTTTGACATTTTGAGTCAAAAACTTATATTTTACATAATTATAAATAATTATTTAAACAAATATATAATTTGTAAATATAATAGATATTTTTGATAATTCTAGTTTTGGTAAATAGTTTTAATTAAATAAAATAATTATATACTAAATATATTAAATTTTTACATAAAAATACTTTTATTTCTACACCATTTTCTAAATAAACATATTTATATAATAACTATACAAATACTAAGATATAAGTTGTTTATAAGCATAATGTAATAATTTCCACTTTTATTTATTATACAATTAACAATTATTATTCAAAAGCAAAAAAAATACAGTACTGTATAATACAAATAAGTAATGTATTAAAGGATCAACAAAACAAAGTAAACCATTTGTTTGTTTGTTTTTAATATTGACTTAAAAGGAAAACAAAGCCATAAATAAATAAATTATAAATATTTAAGGAAAATATTTAGACTAAGATTGTAACCAAAGTTATTATCTATAATAAAGTATAGTATACTTGTATGACATAAATATTTTTATTAGAGTCGAGTAACTAATAAGATATTAGTAATAACTGAATATATATTTTTTAAAATTTAGTCAAAAGATTTAAGTGTTTTGGGATTTTGGGATAATTAATACAATAAATTGTCAATAATTGTGAATTTTAAAATCAAAAGTACTCTTATAATAATAATATTTGACTTTTACTAAAATAATATTATAATTGACTTACAATTATTATTGATTAGCAGTGGATTATTATATTTAGAGACCAATTAAATTAATATTCAAATACATACAGATCTTAATCAACCATTTCTTATAACAATTGTGCACCAGTTGTGTCAATTGTCTGACAAATATGTATATTATGTAACTCTATAACAATAGTAACAATACTGTAGAAACACTACTTTATGGTAACATTTAAACGTAAAAATATAAATTACATGTATTAGAGTAAATGTTTTTAATAATTTCATATACTAGTGTTTATTAACACTTTTATTATTTAACAAAATTGATAAAAATTGATATTAAAATTATTATTTTATCATAAACGCAACAAAACTTTATGGCACATTTATTTAATTAAATTTGTTGTTTTTAAATCTATTATATATTTTTATCATAGAGTCATTCATATGACAATTGAAATCTTAAACAAAATTTTTTTGAGGAAACATTTTGCTAAAATATATAGAAATAACGTTTATATTATAAACTTTAATATTAATAAGTTTGATGTGTAAAAGTAAATGCAATTATTTTTAAGTATTGCATAAAAAATCAACAGAATATTTTGAAATCAAGTTTATAATAATTATAAAAAGTTATAATTATGTAAAAGTTATATACGGTTATAGAGTGACTGTAGAGGCGTTTGGAGCCAACAAAATCCCAATCAAATGTTTAGATTTTAACCATTAAATGCATAATTCAATTAATTGTCAGTCAGTGTGTGTTTGTATATAATATTATTGGCAATGAATACAAGTTAATAAATAAATGAATGAATCTAAGAGTGGGTTTTAAAATATAGTAAAAAGTGTATAAAATGCGTGATTTGTTTGCAATTTATTTTTCATACACAAAAACGGTTACCAAAAAAATTAAATTATAAATCTATTGTTATTAAATTAGTAATATTACCTAAAATTAAATTATTAACCACATTATACTATATGTCCTTCAAATGAAACAATAAATTTATGCTAATTATGTACCACATCTGGTACTTCTTGTAGTGGTAACTGTTATCGTGACATAACTCTATCACCTCAAACATCCCAATGCAAAACAATTGAAAGAAATTTAAGATTTTATTGTTTGTCTTCAATTATTATCAATTAAAGCCAACAAAATTCAATTAGTCATTGCATTTCTAAATTAATATGTTTTATCACTATCTGAAAAATAAGTGCCTTTTGTGTGTAGAGCCGACTATTTAGGGTTTCTGTAATTAGTTAATAACAGTTAAGCAAAGACAAGGACACGACCTCAACCTTAGACACGACCTTTCAAGGCTCAAATCATGCCATCACTTCAATACATATTTAAGGCTCGGCTTATCATTAATTTAATGCTTAACTCAAGTCTAGCATATTGTGGTCAATCCTAGTGCTCGTTGGAGCCCAACTGAGCACTGATGTTGAGGTAAATAATAATATATAAAAAGTGATTATTTTGTTTCCTAATCATAGACTCTTGTATTTAAGCAAACCTTTGAAAATCCTGTTTTTACTTTTTTTGATACTTTATTTAAGCGATGCTTCATTTGAACGATATATTCTCAACCGTCTCAAAGTCACTGAACCTCACAAACGATAGGAATGTAGTCTTTATAAAAGCTTATATATGTTGAGAGTATGTGTGTGTTATGTAATACCAAAATATTAAGTATATTATGCAGTCCTGTCAGGAAAATAGCAAACAATTTACAAAAACCCGCCAAAGGCTAGAATTATCATTAAAAACAAAACTGAGGGCAATATAAAAATTGCTTAAATATTCATTTTTTAATACTTATATATAAGTATTTACTGTATTATTCAATACTAATCCATATATTTGTTGCATGTTTTCAAAATACTAAATAATTTATTTTATATTTGCGATTCATATGAAAGTTATCAACAATTTCTCTATTTAAATATTTCATAAATAACTTAAATTATAAAAATTACATTATATTACATTAATTCATTAACCCATTCAATATTATTAGCATTTATAAATTAAAATTTGAGATACGCTTACAATTTAGTAATTTCAAAATAATTGACAACTGCTTCTTACAAATTAAAACTCTTATTAATCTCATGTAATTTTTTAAAAATATTTATTCAGTAAAAAATATGATTAATGAATTAAATTATTAAAAATGTTAAAACTATTCAAATAATTAGTTGAACAAACAATTTAGTGACGATTTAGTCCAACAAACACGTCAAAAGTTTGGGCCATTATTTATAAAGTAGTAAATATTATTGAGTAATAAATTTTAAAATATCAGACAATTTTTTAAAGGAAATACTGTATATACTATATATACTGTAAAATATTATTTAAAACATTTCCTTAAATAAATAACAAAATAAATAAAATTATAACTTAAATATAAATAACTAAAATAAATTAATAAAGTATTTTTTAATATTAAATACTTTTAAATATTTCAAAATACATTTTTAAGAAATTGTATAAAAATTGCTATTAAAAAGCAGATAATAGCTATAAATTATTGTAACTTAAATCGTCTACAATTTTTCTGGCTTTGTATCAAACAATTAACGTAAAATCAATCAATAATTTTCTACAATATAAGGATTGGTTGGGTTTTGAAGGGTTTTCTTTCAATTTATTTAAAGTTATGAATATTTTCTTAATATTCGGTATTTTCTTCAAAATTGATTATAAAAACAAATAAACGTAAAAATATTAAAATAAGAAAATTCCATATTATATGAAACATATGATACCATATCCAACAAATACATTCATATATTTACTTATAAATTTATTTAAAAATTTAATGTTATATTATGTTAATAATATATAAGTCTTATATAATAAATATTTAAAAAATGTATTTTATTTAGACTATAATTACAGCAAAATAATTTATATTAAATTGTTTTTGAAATATGGCATTTTTTAAAATTTAATATAATATTTTAACATTATTTATTGATAATCTAAAGCATTTTGAAATAATTAAGAAAATGTTTTAACATATTTTTATATTATTTTAACAATATTTAATCGATAGCTCATGTAGTTTTTGAGATAAGGCACATACCTTTTCATGCATACTATTTTTAGTGTTAAATTTATATACAGTAATAATTCATTAAATCAATTGCTAAAAAATTACCATTAATTTGATCATTGGGTCTATTTCTTGATACACTTTTATCTATTGTCAACTATAATACTTTGAAATACTTGAATACTTTATTATATTATATTGGATTTAATTAATAATCAAAATTTAATTGTAAATATTATCTTTTATTCATTTAACATATTTTTACTATAAAAATATTAAAGGTTAATACTGTAAATAGAAAATTCATTGAATATATTAAGTTTAATATTAATATATCGCATTTTCAATTATAATAATAATATTGTATTAACTGATAATAAAGTAAATATTCAATAAATATATTATAAATGCATAATAATGTTAAATTCGTGTTTTGAGAAAAAAATTAAATAACATTTAAACAATAATAATTCAATAGTTACTACAATATTTAGTTGTATCTTATAGTAAACCAATAATTTTAAAAATATTTAGCTTTTATAAATTGCTTTCAAAAAAGTTTATTATTATTTTTTACCTTACAATAAGCTGTAAGTTTATAAAGCAAATAAACTAATATTTAAAATTTAAAAATCACAATTAGTTTAACCCAATATCCAACTCACAATCAATATGTTTATCATTTAAATGTTTTAAAATATTAATACTGTATATTATGTAATAAGTTTTATATTACTTAGTATTATTTAAAAATATCAAAATGTAATAATTAAACATTAGTTTTGTGTACATACCGTAAGTTAACATAAGTGACATGTTTTTAATACTTTATATTAAATACTATACATTACGTTCACATATTTAAGTGTTAACTTATAATCAACTTCTCTGTTAGATTTTTCATTAAAATAGTGATCGTTTTTGTATTAATTGTTTTATATACATGTAGTTATTGTCTTTTATTTGTCTGATAAGTTTGAATTAATTATGTATTAATTATGTTAGCATAAAATTAAATATTTTAAATATTTATGTCACAAAACAGTCATTCAATATTAAGTTATTAAATTAAATAAATTATAAAACATAATATTAAATCAGTGAAGAATACAGCATTTTATAATGAATACAATGTACTTGTTTTATAAAATTGCATTTTAAGCTAAATAATAATATTATTATTAATTTTAAATATTATTATTATAGAAGTACGATATTTTTGCAATTAATAAAACACACTATTATACAGTAGTTAATACAATACTTAAGTTTGATTTTTGATAGCTTATCAAACTTGAACTAATTTATATTATAGGTAAATATTTTTATTAAAATGTTGTACACGTATATGAAAGATATGATTTTGCAATATTGCTATATTTATAATTCTTTTTAAACAAACAAATAACTTAAATATTATATAAATGAAATTCTTGTTATATTATATCTTATTAAGTAAATTAATGGATATCTGCTGTTTTCCATTTTTATGAAATATAACTATTAGTAATCACTAATTAATAAAATATAATATTATATATAAATTTAAATATAATATATTTTATAAAAAACAACTTATTTACAATAATTTAGAAAAATACGTCAAATTATATTTACAAACCATAAGCAAAGCACATATGATTAGACTTACCGATGAAGACAAAATGTTGGACATGAGGTGCAAACGTTACCCATACTAATCATAATTTGGTTGATTGTAAGTGTCATTCAAAATGCAATGAATGGATAATAAAATTATTTTTAAATAATATTTTTCACATCAAATGAACTCATATCTGAAAGTTGACGATAAAGTTCACAATCAATTGAATACTACTTCAGTACTGAAATGTCACACACAATCATTTCATCTCTATTTTCTTGTCATTTCTATCGTTGATTTCATATTATTTTCAATTCAAAACACTACTGTATTTCTGATATTTTGCAAATATATGAGTAAATCAATTATATATTAAATCTTATAAAACATATGAGAATACATATAATGTTGTTATTGCAATAATTAATAGGAGTGACTGTATTACTACTACTACTACTAGTATTGAATGTATTGATAAAAAAGTAATTGAGTTTCAGTTTCTTGTGAACAGATGAGGAAAACTCGACAGATTGAGGGCTTATATACAATAAGATAACAAACAATAGTTAAGGTATTTACAGCACTTGTTGTCCAATGCCAGCAATGCTCAGGGATGAGGTATGAGCGGTGAATATTAAATATATGATTGTATGAGACATTTACTGTATATACAGTACTTATATGTTATATAACAAAGTTATGGACGGTTTATAAAATAGGAACGTAAGGAATGTAATGCCATTTGTGATCATAAAAATAGATGAATACATTTGGATATACATAACATATTACACGCTATTATTCACAACTATTTGAGAGCACAGGGTCTCAATACTGAGCACTTGGAGTCAGGACATTGAGTTTAGACACGTTTTTGCTCTTTGCTTACGGCATATGTTAGGCTGTTTTGTTGCACTTATATTACTAACAAACAGATATTTACTAATAAAACCAGAGATTTTTCAAAACAACTTTTGCTTACAAACACATGTTTTTTATATTTAACTATTACTAAAGTAATATATATTAACTGAATACTATATAACCATAGATTCAATGTGGACCACATAATAGTATAAGAAAACAATACGATATGAGGTAAATAAGCAATGGTATGGCCAAACAACCGGTGCTAAAAAAGTTACCTGTTTTTCGTGTATATACAGTATATTTATCAGGTTTATTAAGCTCTCGACTCAACTCAAGGGCAATGAATGATGGATTTGAAAAAAGCAATGAATGGCAAACTCATCGATGCATTTGACGGCACAACACATATAAAACTTACAGCACTTATATTAACGGAACTACACTCTCATGAGTTACTATTTCGGGATATATTGTGTTTCACTTATAATTTCATATTATGTCAAACAGTATTTAGTTATCATAGTCTATAACTTATCTTTATTTTGGATACCATTAAACAAATTTATATGATATAAAATTAACTATTATTATAAAATATACACTACTACTTGTAAATTTATATAACTTTACTATATTTCATAATTATTATATACAGTATATTAAATAATGATGACTATCAATTTAACGTTTACATAGCAAAATATAAGTATCACATAAACTGCTGATTATTTATACTTTAAAAGTTTAATTAGTAAATATTATTTTTATTGATTATATTGATTTTGTTAATATATTGAAACAACGCTATAATATAAATCAAGGTTTATTTATCAAACTAAACTTATTTATACTTCTATATACATGAATATTATAAAAAATATACAGTAAACTAATTTTGATAATTATATCATCTCTGATTTATTCAAGTTGTTTATTATATAATTATTTTTTGATCAAAAAATTTTTTTTATGTATTAATTTTTACATTTTATATTATTTATTTACAAGTAGTATAATTATGCTAAAATAATAAATTATACTTAAATTTATTTTATTGTATATTTATTAATTATATAAAAATATATATTTCGTTTTTATATTAACATTTTTAAAATTTAAAAATTATTTTAAAGTACTTTAAAATTAATTTTAGTTAAAACTTGATTTAAATAACACATTTTTAAGATCACATAATATTATATAAGTACTGTATAATACAATATTAAACAATACATAAACTTGAATATAATTTATTCTATGTGTTGACTTAATAATTATATAGTAATCAAATAAAAATGATAAAAATGATAGTATCATCTTTTCAATTAAAAACCACAAATTATCTAAAACTCCAAAGATATTAATAAATACAATACAAATACAATGCAATGCAATGTAAAACTTGTTACTTAGTTCTCATAACTTTTTAGAAACATTTGTTATTTTGTATTGAATTTACATTCAATTGAAATCGTATATAAAGGCTAACAGTTTTATAAGAAAGACCTATTGCTTATTATAAAGCTTTAATTGTGATAATATTTACACAACAATTGTTTAAATGACCTCATATTTACTTTATTATTATTATATGATATTTGATGTAATGTAATGTATTTTAAAAGTCATTCATTATTATTATTATTTACCATTTCTACTGTACTTTTAATATTAAAATGTTATAATAAAATAGTTCATAGGATTCAAGAAATTTAAAAAAATAATCAATCAATTTAGTACTTACTTTATTTAAAACATTATATGATATGAAATACATCTTCATATTTGATAAAATTCAAGTCATTTTCCACTTGAAAAACAAGTAAAATAAAAGTTTGATTGCATAGAAAAATATGAAATATTTGATGAAATAAAAAATGTAAAGTCATTAAACGTATAAATGATGAGTTGCTTGAAAGGAATGGCTATTATTTGGTAGACATGGGGTGGTTGTAGTGGTTGTAGTGATTGGTCTGATGATGACAGAGCTCACAGAGTTGATGGCTAGTGAAGGCACTGATAGAGTGGTCGCTCAAACAACTTGTTAGTCGGTTTGCAATCAAACAATGTCTTTGATAGCACTTTTGGTTGAATGGAGACCTAAGATAATAAAGTGATTGCATGAGTGACTCTAACAATGGCTTACAAGACATTAAGTAAAGTTAAAATTGGACTTAAACTCACTTTATTGCTGACTCCCGGCTTTACATTGCAGTTATTATAATACACTCATCACTTAACAGAATAAATGTGTTGCGGACTTGTTATACGAGTTCATCCAATGCATCCCAACCCCAACCCCACCAACCCATCCAACACACAACTACATCAACACTGCATTACAGCCCAACCCTTAATATTACGAATTCTGGGACAAACACTCCAAACATATCGGTGTGAATGAGTTTGAATGAGGCCTTATATATCATAATACAGTACATGTAGTTATATATATTTATATTTATGAATATATGCTTTAAGCTATTATGAAATCAACAAAAAATTGTATTAATTATTAATTTCCCTTATTTTTCAATAGTTTGTTTGCCCACTCTATACCTCATTTTATTACAACTAACAAAACAACTTTACTTGTTGTCAATTTCAACAAATGATTGCTTATATTTTTATTACTTATTAAAACTTTATTTATTAATTGAAAGCTCAATACTTCCGAAAAGTATTTCTTAATTAAATAATTTAAACAATATATATTGTGTTTGTATTGTATTTACTAAATATAATATAATATACTCCATATACTATTTAATATATACTATATATATATAAATACTCCAATTTTTATTTGTATTAAATACAACATTTATAAATTCATTGTTTAAATGTTTTATAATAATAGTAATGTATTGTAGTTTCTGTTAAACATTTGTTTAACTAAGTCTATAGGAGTCTATTAAGTAAATCATTAATTCAAGCTATTTCAAGACATTTTTTTATTAAATTACTCCCACTATAATATTTAATGATATTAAATATCACATAACAATTATGTATATCTAAAGTTATAAATTATATATTATAAAATATGAAAATAAATAAATATCATAAAGACAAGTTGTATGAATGTTATGAATAGTATATCAATATCTTGCAAAGTGTTACAACAAAAATATATTTGCTCTCAATTTTTTCTCTATTTCTAATTTTCTGTTATTTAGTATTAAAATATTTGTATTGAAGGCTCTATAATATAAAAATTTAAATAATGGTTTGAAATGAGATCATTGGCGTCATGACTGTCATGTCTTTGCATTTGAATTAAACTCGAAATTAATTGATTTTAAGAATTCAATGTCAAAATCAAACAAAATTTATAGCTCTTTCGTGTTTAATGTCAAATATATTCAAACAATCAAACGTCTAATTTGTATTACTTAATATTTTTATTTTTTATTATATCCCATGATTAAAATAGTTAATAATTTTAAATCTACAATAATAGCAATATAATTTTGATAGATACTATATGCATATTATATTAAATAATTATAAAATATTTTAAGCATGTTACATAGATTAAATTGAGATTTAAAAGTGATTTTGATTACCTCAATAAATATCCATTATGTCAAATAGTTTTAAGTATTTGACAAATAAGTTTACTTAATAAGCAATTTACTATAGTTTATTTTAACTCATGCTATTATATTTAAATTTTCACACAATTTAAAATATTCAAAAGTGATAGTACTGTTATCATGTATTTAAAAAAGTTTATCATCTTCTATCTATATTATATGTAGTGTTGGTAATTTTTCGCAATTCAATTTTCGATTGCCGCAATTGCGGAAAATTGCATGAAATTGCTTGAAATTGCGCGCATGAGGGAATGTATAAAAATTAACTTTGACAACGTTAAAAATTTAGTTTACTATATATTAAGATAATTTACTAATTTATTATTATTTTTACATGGCTTTTAGATGGCAACATTTTATGATAAAATAATTAAAAATTATATAATTAATTTATGTTTTTATTGATATTCCTTTACCATTTAAATTTTGTTAAATTTTAAAAAATTATAAATTGTTCTATGTTACAATTGCGATTTTCGCAATCGAGCTTTTTGCAATTGCGGCAATTTCACGCAATTTCCGACCAATGCAATTGCGCATTTTGCAATCGGTACATCACTAATTATATGATATATAATATGTATTAATTTTAATATTATATTAAATTACTGTATAATTAGTATTAAGAAATACCTAATTTCTATAAATTTCTCTGACAAAGATGTCTTATTTTTAACAAAATTAGTAATTATAATAAAAAATTAAAAGATACAAATGTTAAAGTATCAGGAGCAATTTACTTAAGTTAACTACAATTCATAGAATTTTTGAAAATGTAATTTAATTAAAAATTAGATTTAAAAAATAAAATAATAACTCAGTATTATATTAATATTAACAGTTGTTAAATAAATAACTTATTA